TTTGAACTCTAGATAGCGCTACGTATAACTGGCCGTGTGTAAATACTTGGTGTTTATTGAGTTTTATACCTATTTTTTCAAATGTTTGGCCTTGTGACTTGTTGATGGTCATAGCGAAAGCTAATCTAACAGGAAATTGATTTCTGTAAAAAGAGACTGGCAGATTTTTCTTATTTTCCAATGTTATTCTTGGTATAAAAACAATTTTACCTATGTTTTCTCCAGTGATACATTCACATTTCAATACATTTTCTCTCATTTCTACTATTTTTAATCTTGTGCCTACATAAATGCATTACATAAACCTTCTTTTATATCTAAATTTCTTAAAATCATTACAACTGCATTTACTTTTAGCTTAAGTTCGAATTTTGGGAATTTTGAATCACCTAAAGTGTTCAGATATTCTGTCATGTATTTGTATTTTTCATTCTGATCTTCTTTGATTTCGTCTCTACTAAAGTATGTTTTTTCATCTCCTAATACAATGCTCAAAGATTGTTCATTTATTTCATCAACCTCTACATTTAGTGGGGCTAATATCGATTTTCGAGTCAACTTGTTCGCATTGCTATTTGTTATTTCATGGCCATATATTTCATGTACTAAATTACTTTTTGTGACACAATTTGATGGTAAAATAATTTTTTGCTCGATCGTGTTGTTTTTGCCTTCACCAATTTGTAGAATATCTTTAGCAAATTGCAAATTTTCCGCTCCGGCTCTCATATTTTGTGTTAACTTCATGATTTTGAATTTTGGCCATAAACTACTACCTTTTACACTTAATCTTACTATTTGATTTGTGGTGGCATTTTCTTTTATTGGTAAGATTTGTCTAAAATCACCTCCTAGTAGCATAATTTTGCCTCCAAATGGTAATTTACAGCCAGTAAAGTCTTGTAATGATCTATCTATGGCTTCCAAAATGTATTTGCTTACCATAGAGGCTTCATCAATTATAAAAGCTGATGTATTGATTAATTCTTGAAATTGTTTTGTATTTTTGCTAACATTTGACATGCTGTTACTATCAAGATCTAATCCAAGTTTAAAGGTACTGTGAATTGTGTTTCCGTTTGGGAGTAAAGTTGCTGCTATTCCAGTGAATGCCATACACATTACTTCTTTTTTCATTCCTTTTATAATGTTATATACTGTTTTATAAACAAACGTTTTTCCTGTTCCTCCGGGACCATCTAAAAACATAAGTTTTTGATCTGTTTCGTTGTTAAACATTTTTAATATCTCTAAAACAGCATTTTTTTGGTCTGAATTGCAACTATCAAGCATTTTTTCGCCTTCAATTTTGAATTTTTCGTTATTTTCAATTTGCATTTCCATCTCTAAAGCATTTTCATAAGTTTGCAGCTGTTCATCAGAATATTGAATGGCAGAATCCATCTCAAAATCTGTAAAAGTTTTTCCGTTTCGAATCAATATTTTTTCAATAAAATTGTACGCGATTTTATAGCCGTCATCTCCAAATTTTCTAACACAATCTTCTGAAAGTTCATTTTTGAATAACTCATACAATTCTTTTGGTTTAGTTGGAGAACAATGTATGAATAGCATTGCAAACAAAAATCTGAGTTGCCGTGGCATTTTGGAAAAAGCTGCTTCTTTCATAGCGTTGATATACTCTTCATCATCCTTTATAAAACCTCTAGCTAAACATGCTTTTTTATACGTTGAATGTAAAATTCCATTAACTGTTTTTAATTCTTCGAATGATTTTGGACCTCTAATTCGTAGAAGAAGTAATCTCAAATGAAAAACTTCAGAATGTTTGGGACTAATATTGTAAATTCTGCCAATTGTATTGTAATGCGCTTTTCTATTTGTCCATTTCATGTCTTTTCTGTTCCAAGTATATTTTTGTGGTAGTTCATGATAAAGCAAATTCGTATTTTCTTTTTGATTTAATTCAAAAAATGCCATCAGTTTCGATTTTTTATCTTGTTTTAGTTCTTGAATTCTTTGTAAACTGTCCCCCTTTTTGAAAAAGATTGGTTGTTTGCCTTCATCATGGATTTCAAGTCTTTCTACAGTATGACTTTTTACTATAATTTCATTGCCTAATAATCGCCAAACAGCTTCTGGTGCACTCAGGTACCTACATTCTATAAATCTCTTGATTTCGTCATAATTCAGTTCTTTTCCGCCATTTGAAACTCGTTCCACCAAAGCTTGGTCTACACCCTTGAAAACGTATTTGTGCAAGTATTTTACTACTTCGATGTCTGCTACATGTTCAACATTAATGTGACAGTTAAATTTTTTTGATAAATGTGGGGAATATGATACGATGTGCCTATTATCTAAGATTTGTCCGTCTGGTGCTTCGAATGTAACTCCATTGTTTCTACGCCTGTAATTAGCATATCCGCCTGTTTTTAACTCTGTATTTTCATTGAATGCTTTCGGGAAATGTTTTGAGCATGTTTCGCTATTTTCAATGCATGGGAATTTTTTCCATATTTGGCCTGTTTCTTTGTTGATTTTTTAACACTGATGCATATTATTTTTAGTTATAATTCGGTGTAAATCTGGTTCAGTGTCTTTGTTTGGGATTTCTGCGGATATTAATTGATTTATTTGATCAGGGTCTGTTAATTTTGAACTTTGATTTAATGTTAGCAATAGATGTAAATGTGGAAGACCTCTTTTTTGAAACTCAATTGATCCAGTGTATGCTACTACTTTCCCAAAAAGCTCACTTTTATTTACATAATTTATCATTTCTCTGAATTTTATTTTTAAAAACTCGCGCAACTAAGTCTGGTCTGTCCGATGAGGTTTGGCCTGGCTTTAGATTTTCTTTTATTTCAGGCCATTCGGGATTGCATGTCATTGTGATAAATAAATCAGGCTTACCATAAATTCTAGTCAGAGCCATAGCATCATCATAAGCATTACTCATATATCTTGGGGAACCTAAGTAACTGGATGGCAACACAAACTTTTTACCGATTTGGATCCCTGTTTCCTCTGATTTTTGGGCCAAATATTCTTCAATATATTCGTACGATTCTGCAATTTGTTCACTGATGTTATTTTTAATGTAATCTAACCTTTCCCTGTCGATGTTTATATATTGAGTTACTACCCATTCTTGAAAAGCTTTACCTCCATACAATATAGGGGAAAATGGAACATCTTCTTCATCACGGTCGTATAATTTGTATTTTACATATTCTGCATTTGTTATTTTTTCGTTATTACATGTATAATTTGGGTGCCAACCAAGTTGTCCTGTTGGGTAAAATAATGAAAAAAGTAGGGGTTCTGTCGATTGATCAGTCGATTTTAATGTTACTAATCGTTTTCCGTGCTCATTGACGCATACTTCGTATCTTGGTACTTCACCGTCAAGACCCTGTTCATAAAGAACTGCTACTTCATTAACTCTAGGTGGATTGAATCGTCTTTTATCTAAATGATCTTTAAAGCAAAAAAGTAATTTGAATTCTGTGTCTTTATTTTGCTCTTGGGCTTTCTCTTCTTCTTCTTTTAGCATCATATATGACTTTGCAAATGGGTTTACTTCTCTCATCATAGTGTCTAATTCTAATAATAAATCATTATTTAAATGCTTCATAATGTTATAGCGTATACCACATGCTTCATCAGATTCTACCATGAATAATTGCCCAAAACTTGGAAGTTCGTCTGGATTTGGATGAGCAGAAGCGTTAAATTTACGTTGGAATTCACCTACTTGACGATACGTATATGGCCCTCCTCCGTTGAATTTTATTTCTTTAGTTATAATACTTGCCATTGATAAGGCTTTCATATATCCCCTAATGTTTGATTTGAATTCATTTGACTTTTCATGTTGGTTTTTGAATAATTTTTGTAAAAAAGGTGGAAAATTGTCGATCGGTGATGCACTTACTCTACCTTTTTCACAACATGCACTAAATTTCATGTTTTTATCATGTGTTTCGGCTAAAAAGTGCTTCCCTTTACAACTAATACATTTTATGTTCATTGGTCCAATATAATGAGTTGTTACCTTTGTTAAATCGGTCATTTTGTTAATTTTTCTTATATTTCTTTGTGTTTCTTCAAGTCTCCGTCTTTCTAAGCGTGTAATCCGTTCTTCTTCAGTTTCTTGTTGTCGTGATTCTCTTTGCTGTCGATTAACGTTCTCAATCCTTGCATTGTATTCTTCAACAGTTTCTTGTTTTATAATTTCAGGATTTGTATTTAGTGCTATACTATCAAATGCACTGCTAATACTTTCTTTAGTCAAACGTTGTGCTTTTTTGATATTTTTGTCTTTTTCTAATCTATCTTGACGGTGGGACATTGATGAAGGTCCAGGTTCTCCTATTTCTCGTTCTTGTTGTCTACGTTGGCGTTGAAGTTCAGTTCTTCGCTTCTTTCGTTCTGCAGCTAGCTCTCGTTCTTCCGATGAAGTTCTTTCACCTTTTCTTATCCGCCTTCTTTCCATAATAATAACAAAATTGTATTTTAGGAAATATAAAATTCTTATCAAGTCCTTATATCAAGTCTTTTTATTCAATTCCTTTACTTTAAGTTCCTTTCTTTTCAGTTCCTTTACTTTTAGTTTCTTGACTATTAGTTTCTTTACTTTTAGGTTCTTTACTTTTAGGTTCTTTACTTTTAGGTTTTTTACTTTTAGGTTCTTTACTTTTAGTTCTGTTCCTTATTCCTTTTTCTTTAATCTTAATCTTTATTCCAAGGTTTTACCCTCAGAAGAAGCAAAAATTTAGTCGATAAACGACCGCTCACCAAAAAATAATTCGGTGAACTGACCGGTTTTTTTTCTGAAAAGTTTTGAAAATTTAAAAATTTAAAAATGTTTAATTTTAAAATGATTTTCTCAAAAATTTGCATGGCTCTCTCCATTTTTTACTGTTGCCCTTTTTTCGGCTTCAGACATGCACGGGCTCTGCATTTAGAGCCGGGGATTATGTTTAACTGTGCTTCCATTCCCACTGGTCACAGGCCGCGGAATTCCGTGTTTAATGGGCAAATCAGCTGCTGTCCGAATGATTAATCGCCCGCTCATTTCGAACACATTTCACCCAATTTTGATTCGATTTCGCTTGTCTCGAGGCAAAAGAGCCGCCACAATCATGAACAATCTGATTGTTTCAATTGTAATTCTAGTGTTCGTGGTAAGTTTTGTCTATTTTTCAAAAAAAACTGTTTACAAACACTTAAAGTTAGTTTTAACTAAGTCCTTGCCATTTCTTGCTTTATAAAGAAAGTTCTTGCCATTTCTTGCTTTGTAAAGAAAGTTCTTGCCATTTCTTGTTTTGTAAAAAAAGTTCTTGCCATTTTTTCTTTGTAAACAAAGTTCTTGCCATTTTTTCTTTGTAAACAAAGTTCTTGCCATTTCTTGCGCTGTAAGGAAAGTTTTTGTCATTTCTTGCTTTGTAAAGAAAGTTCTTGCCATTTCTTGTTTTGTAAAGAAAGTTCTTGCCATTTTTTCTTTGTAAACAAAGTTCTTGCCATTTTTTCTTTGTAAAGAAAGTTCTTGCCATTTCTTGCGCTGTAAGGAAACTTTTTGCCATTTCTTGAACTGTAAAGAAAGTTCTTGCCATTTTTTCTTTGTAAAGAAAGTTCTTGCTATTTCTTGCTTTGTAAAGAAAGTTTTTGCCATTTCTTGCTTTGTAAAGAAAGTTCTTGCCATTTCTTGCGCTGTAAAGAAATTCCTTGTCATTTCTTGTTCTGTAAAGAAAGTTTTTGCAATTGTCATACAGAAGTAGCAATTTGTAAAGAAAAATTTTGATTTTTTAGAAATTCTCAAGCTCCGAACAAGACTGCCAATTCAGTATGAGACGTATACCCGAATATAGTAGTGTTATACGGACTGATAATGCTGGCCGATCATGTCGTGGTAATATCGATTTACCGTACTGTAAAGGAGCTTGCTTGACTTCTGATGTAAGCATCAGTTTTTGATTTTTTGATTTTAGGGTATGGCTAGGATAACAATAGGAAAGGGTAGGGTAAGCTAGAGAAAAGTAGGGTAAGCTAGGGTAAGACAACACTAAAGCAGGGTACAGCTTTCATTTTCCCAATTTTCAGGAAGGAGTTCACGTCTTCCCCTACCGTCAAGCCAACAGCTCCGTATGTGCTCTAATTGGCACCGACGAAAAGAATGTCACACTGCACGATTGTGACAAAGATGCGGACGAATCTGTTCGCTACGTCACAATATCTGCTTCAACTTCATGCGGATGTCAAAAATTAACGGATGGCGGTCATAACTAACATATTTTACACAACTTTTAAAATATTCAATTTTTTGAATAATACCTAATTCTTAATGTGGCATAACAACATGTTATAATATATTTAGTTTTCTATTATATATTTACCGTTTTCTATGTTTATTGTAATTCCTATAACCAAAATAATAATAAAGTATTAAACTTGGTACAAATATACTCAAAATAAAAGGTTTTACACTAAATTTGAAGCAAAACAAGGATTTATTTGCTTTTTTATTATGTTTAGAACAATTTAAATAACAAAAACTTACTTTCCGATACTTCAAAATCATAGAAAACACATGATTATACAGCAATCAACTCATTTTCAACATTCTTCTTCACGAAGTAACTAGTTAAACGAAGTGTCACAAAGTTCGATCAATATTTGAGATTAAATTATTTCTTCCGCAAGAGACATGTGGAACAAGATTTCGTAGTTTTTACGTATATTTTATTAAACTTTATATGTTGTTCAAGTTGTAAATTGTTCAAAAGACTTTAATTTTATAATATATTTAATTTTCAGGTCGATTTCAGATTAATTTTTGGGAAAAATGGCCGAAACCAAGGAGAACGAGCCGATGGAAGTGGATACCACCCCATTTGAGCCGGTTTCTATCCTGAAATTGACCAAGGACGCTCAACAGAAGCATGGATTAAGACATGGAAACTATAAACGTTACGGGTAAGGCGTTTTTTATTTTTGTTTTGATTTTAGGTTGAAATTTACGGGCGAAGAGTGTACAATATAAGTTAAAGCTTGAAAACTAAACTTACAAGTCTTTAAATGTTCTGAGATTCTATTTAGAACTAAAATAGTGTATTAGGAAGGTTTTGATAAGAAGTATAGATGGTATTAATTAATTCTTTACAAGTTATGATGGAAAACATATAAGGGACGAGCTAAATACATCGGATGGAAAGTATCAGACAAAAAATGCGATTTCTTGTCTGATATTTTCGTCTCTCATTTTCACGCTATCTTTTTTTTCCTCTCGTTGCCGACGGCAGTTAGAGAAAAAAAAAGATCGTTGAAAAAAGTATCAGACAAGGAATTGCATTTTTTGTCTGATACTTTCCATCCGATGTATTTAGCTCGTCCCTTATATTCAGGATTAGTTTGAATGGATAACATAATTATACGTCTGTTAACTCAACTTAAAAGTGTTTGATTGTTTTGAGATATCATATAGAGTAACTGAACAATACGCTAATTAGCCTTACAAGGATTTAGAGATTGGCTTTTAGTTTGACAAATATTATGGCTCAAAGCATTTGATGTAGTAGGCCTTGATAAAGTTTTTGACAGAACTGAACAAAGAATAGTCTAAAGTGCTTGAAAGGTTGGCAAAGTTGTTAATACACGATTTTCTATCTTTTTTCACGTTTATTTTGCGTATATTTTTACTTAACTTGAGGATTTATGTTGTTCAAGAAAAACATGGTGAAGATAAGCTGAAAATGGACGCAACTTTTTCCAAATTTATGGTTATAAGCTATTTCTTTACATAATTAGCATTGAAAGTATGTTTTAAAGCTGCTGAATTTTAGTGACTACTGTGACCGTCGCATTCGTCGTCTGCGTCGTGCTTTAAAGTACACCCATACCTACAAATGTGTGCCCAACCATAAGGCCAAGTTTGTTTTGCGGCCAATTACAAGTGATGTTATTAACGATAAACGGTAACTTTTAAAAACTTTTTTACTAATAGATTCTTTTTAAACTTTGTTTTAGTAATAAACGCCATTCTTTTTGCATCAACTCGAAATTTAGGTTCCTGGAGCTGGTCGTATTTGATGTAGAACATTGTTGGGCACGTGGAATGGAGTTTAAGGTGGCAAGTGAGAACGAGAAACATGCTAGACAAATATTCCACGCCCGCCGTCGCTTAATCAAGGCTGTTCAACATGCTGAAAACTTGGACAGTGCTGTCAACACTTCTCCAAGGGTAAGTTTACTAATTTTTTAGGGCAAAAAAATTTGGGTTTTTTGATGTTTAGGTATCAACTTGAGGTAATTTCGATTTTTAGGTATAAGTTGAAATATTTTTGTATTTTAGGAATCAAATTGAGGTAATTTTGGTTTTTAGGTGACCGTTACGTTTTTTAATTCTTAGGTCTTAAAACTTTTTTTTAGTTTGATGACTTCACCAAGACCGAAGGCAAGGCTTACGTAGCTTCAATCCAAGGTGCAGCTTTCTTGGAGAAACGAAAATGGGCTGAAGCTTTGGAAAAGTATATTAATTCAAGGTAAACTCATTAAAACATTTGAAAATTGCATTTTTTTGTAAAGAAAGTTTTTGGAATTTTTTGTTTTGTAAAGGAAGTTATTGCCATTTCTTGCTCTTTAAAGAAAGTTTTTGCAATTTTATGTTTTTTTAAAGAAAGTTTTTGCCATTTTTTGTCTTGTAAAGAAAGTTTTTGCAATTCCAGGTTTATTTACGAAAAACTGGTGAAGAATGTCAAAAACGAGGAGCTGAAAGCGTTGTACGAACAAAAAGTGAAAGAACTGACGAATATCATCAAACTCTGCGAGTACCATGCTGGCAAAAAGGGCCTGGATGTCGTACCAGATGTGTCACAATTGGATCTAAACGAAACGCTCGAGGATTCGCTAAAGAACGTGGAAATCGAGCCGAAAAACGAGAAAGAACGCAAGAAACAGGAAAAGGCAGAGAACAAAAAGAAGAAGGAACAACAACCATTGCCACAACCGGTCCCGGCCAAGCCAAGTTTTTTCAATTTGGCCTTGAAACATTTTACGGTAGGGGTTTGAAATTTAAAATTTTTGAAAATTTTTTTTTTATTTTAAAAAATTGAAATATAAAAAAAATGAAATTTGAAAAAATTGAAAATATGAAATATCGGTAAGAATTTGGTTTTTAAAATTTAGCCGTATTCCGATCGGTCAAATGACGCATTTTTTAAAATTTTCATTTTAAAAATTTGAATTTGTAAATTTCAAAAAAAATTAAAATTTTTTTAGTTACCAGAAGAAATCGAAACGATCGCGAACACGAAGCCGGCTGCCAAAAAGCCCACCAAACAGGGCTCACAAGAAGAGCCTCAAGAAGCCAGCGGAATCGGCGGAATGGTCCGAAACCTGCTCTGGGGCTCAAAATAAAGCCAAAAAATGCGAAAAAATCCCATTTTTTATTATTCTTGTTGGCTAAAAATACCCGTTAGTCATGTTTTTAGTTGGCCCGGAGTTGGCTTATTTAAATAAATTATTTTTAAAATTTTTTTTGTTGATAAAGAGTGAAAAGAGGGGTTTTTAGCGTTAAATTGGCTTAAAAACTGGATTTTTAAGTGAAAAAATATGTTTAAATTGAGTTTTTAGTCGAAAAATGGTCTAAAAATAGATTTTTGAAGGAAAATAGATTTAAAATAAATTTTTAAAATTTAAAAGGGTTTAAAGATTATTCTAAATGCCTAAAGGGCTTAATTCTTGCTATTTTGATATTAAAAAATTTGAAATTATGTTTTAAAGGCTTTAAAAATAACAATTTTCTTGGAAAAAGCTTTACAATACCTACAAATTGAGTTTTTACGCGATTTTTTATTGATTTTTCAACCAGTGAAAGACCAAAAATTTAAAATTTCATACAAAATACGATTCAAATATGTTTTTAAAGGTTTATTGTACAAAGTCAGTAGAGTTGTTCGAGTTACGCGGTCGCGAACGATGTGAAACTCCAAAACCAAACCATAGAAATAAGAGTGCAGCAAAGTGATCAAAGAAACGTTGAGTAGAATATCCAAAAGGGTGCCCAAAAATGTAGACCAAAATAATGAAATGAGCAGTTGGGATCTGAAAAACAATAATTAATAAAGAACATAAAAAAGGAATGACCAAGGACGTTAAAGTGGCTACTGTAAGACTACAGCAGGGTTGGGTACTGTAGGGCTGTGGTAGGTTAGGGTTTATAGGGCTATGTTAAGGTAGTGTTACTGTAGGACTGATAGGATAGGGTTAGTAAACATGGACAATAACTATACCCCGCTCTTGATATATCCCTACCTTTACCACTGCTTTAGCCCCTTTGGGCTACAGCAGCTTCTACTCTGAACGTAGCTTCACCCTAGCCCCACCTATTCTACCCCCAGCCTTGAAGTACTCTCCCCTACCTTTACCCACCTGTTCTCCCCCAGCTTTGAAAAACCTTCCCCAACCTTTACCCATCTATTCTACCCCCAACTTTGAAATACCCTCCCCAACCCACCTCATTCAGAAATTGGATTCGGTCGTGTCCTTGTAGTAGGCCGCGTGCATCGCCAACAAATGACTCAACTGCCCCACCGTAACATGTTGATTGGTCGTGGCCTGTTCCAAAATCATAAAATGTTCACGGTATTCGTCTTCGGTTACGAAGCCCTGCTTCACCAACACTTTCACCGATTCCACCGCCAAATCCCGGGACATTGGCACGTCGCCGATTGCCACATTCAAGTGAAACGCCGCGTCGTGGCGTTCGTCCTGAAGGTTGGCGCGGTTTTCGGCTAGCCACTCGAAGGAGCGCTGAAAATTTGTCATGATAAAAATATAAAAAAATAGACTTTTCAAATAATTCTGTGCCCCTTAGTCTAAAAATTTGCTTTGTGAGGGGCTCATAATTAATTGAACGAACCAAAAAAAAATATTTAATTGAACGACCCAAAAAATTTTCCACTGCTCTGGTTTTCTTTTAAAGTTCTTACCCGTCTCTGAACGTCGATGCCATTCCTCAACATGATCGTACCGATCCGTAGCACCTCGCTAATATTCACCCCCAGGCTTTCGCGATTTGGATAAGCGGCCTCGTTTTGGCCATTTTGGTCCTCTTCTTGCAGTTTCAAAGACGTTTCCTTTGATTTCACTTCCATCGCTTGTATATGCTTCTTTTCTTGTTTTGTTTCTTTCTGTCCCACTTTCCTTTCTTTCTGTGACTCTTTTCTTTCCCTCGTTTCTTCTTTTACCACTTCTGGTTCTTCTTTTATTCGTTCCGGCTCTTCTTTCACTTCTACTTTTGGAGAATGGCGTTTCTGAAAAACATTTTTTTAAAGATTAAGGTAAGGTAGGGCAGGAAAATGCGAAACAGGCCGCACGTCAAAATAAAAGAAAAATAGAAAATAAGGTGGTCGTGGCAGAGCAAAGCAAGGCAAGACAGGGCAAGGCAAGGCAAAGCCAAGGCAGGGCAAGGCAAGGCCAATGCAGAGCAGGGCAAGGCAAAGCAGGGCAAGGCAAAGCAGGACAGGGCAAGAACGACAAGGCAGAAAAAAAAGGCAAAGCCAAGGCAAGACAACAAAAGACAAGGCAGAGCAGGACAGGGTAAGGTGAGGCAAGGTAGGGCGAATTTTAAATCCATTTTAAGCTTACTTTTTTAGATGCTTCTTTCGGCCTTGTTCCCTTCAATTCTTCTGTCCTTTCATTCATTGGTCTTTTCTTGGCTGACTTTGGCGACTAAAGATTTAAAAACAAAGTCATTAGAACTCATATAATGCGTACGTACGATAAAAAAATTGTTTTTGACAATTAAAGGTAGAATAAAAGTGTGATGAAAAGGGGTATAATAACAGGTAGATAAGAAAAAACTGTAACTAAAAAAGGTATTCAAATAAAATAGTTTCAAACTTACTTTTTTGTACGAATTGCTTGGCGGTTCTTCAATGGCTTTTAAAGGTGGTGAGTCTTGAGGTGTCATTTCCATTTTGGGTTGTTTTTTCTTTTCACTTTCTACTGGTGGTTTCTGAAAAATAGAATTAAATAAGAAAGGCCTAGAACAAACTGGGCACCCTGAACAAATGGAAATAATGATGAGAAACCGGCCTTGAGCCAAAATGAAAAAATCGGACTTATAAAAGTAGGGGTAAGGCTCTGGGCTCGAGGCTAGGGTTAGGACTAAAGCTAGGACTATGGCTAGGGCCAGAAAAAACTACGATAAGAAGTTTCAAAAATTCAAATCTTAAACTTACATCGTGTGAAGCAATTGGTGTCTTTGGTTTGGCTTCAACCGCTTCCTTGGGTTTTTCTTTCTTTTCTGGTGTTGGAGTTCGGCACTTCTAAAAGGTTTGATTTAAAAAAACCATAATGTACATAAGTTAGCTAAAAAAGTTTTCTTTCAAATTTACGGCTCAAATGGTTCCTAGTTCTTCAAAAATTTTTCCATAATTTCATGTAAAAAATAAAAAAAAAATTATGTAATAATTGCCAATTTAATGTATTTAAACTTACCAGCTTCTTTTTGTGATGCTTCTCTTTCTTGTCTTTCCCATCATTAGATCTATCCTTCTTCTTATGATGCTTCTTCTTTTTGGTTTTCTTCCCACCGTCCAATCCGAAGAACGTCATTCCACAACCGCTCACTCGAAACCGGTAACTCGAACAACCTTTAAAAAATGAAAATTTGCAATTTTTCAAAAAATGACTTTTTTAAAGAAAATTTTTTAATATTAGTTTTGTACATCTTGATAAATTTTATGTTTACATTGCTGGAAGAGCGGTTTTATTTTGATAAGGGGTAATCAAAAAACTTTTATTCTGTTATTTCTACGCTTAACCATGTTAGTGAATTACTCTACCTTACAATATATTATATAAGCTAAACCCAACCTTTTTTTCTGTTTTTTTTTGTCTTAAAGTCAGAGTAGAGTATAGAAAGCTAGGGTAAGGTACCATAATATACGGTATGGTTATCGTAAAGGTAAGGTAAGGCGGGATAGGTTAAAGTACGGTAGGGTAAAGTAGGATACGGTAAAGTAGGGAAGGGTGGTGCAGAGCAGGGTAAGGTAGGGTAGAGTAGGGTTGACATTTTTTGTGATGCTTATTTTTCTTGTCTTTTCAGTTAATAGTGACAACGTTTTTGATAGTAATAACTTTTATTAACAATAGAAATGTAAAATCATCATTTGAAACCGAGATTACTTATATACTCAATAGGGTTATATACAAGATTGACCAGGCTAGAACAAAATAAACGTACACAATGTAAACTGATTAAAACAAATGCAAAGGAAAGAAGACTATACAATTTTAACTATATATCTTTTAGATACCTTAGGGCTTCTTCAACGCTTTTGAACAGTTTTACTTTTTCTCTTTTGAAGTCTTCTGGTTTATACGCCAAGAAGTGGGCTAGGACTGGATCTTCGTTGGACTGGTCCTTAAATCTTGTTCCCGAGCACGTTCTGTCATCGTCTGGGCTTGAACTGGTTCCGTCTTTTACTTTTCTTGAGCACGTTGGGACTTGTTCTGCGCTTGAGAACGACGGCCTAACATTTTCTTTATTATCAAATTCAATGCCTTCTATTGTAGGCACGCTGGGATCCTGAGCCTGGCTGGCTTTACAAGTGGCTATGGGCTCGTGTGCTTTAGCCGGGCTAGCAAGCTTGGCCACCTTTGGTTTACGGCCCCTGCGCTTCATTGGCCCATGCTTGTCCAGCTTGTGCTTCTTTTTGTATGCTTTTAGCAATTCTGAGCACGCCTAAAATAAGAAAAATTATAAAATAAATTTGAAATTCTTAGGCCAGTTTATTTGAATCCGGCTTAAATCATGGCCCTAGGAGCTCAAACTAGATCCTGCAACTTAAACTTGAAAAGGACCGGGCCCGCACAAGTGGGTCGGAAAGCTAAGACCAAAAACAAGGCTCGGTTCATTGGCTAAGCTAAAAAAATTTCCCGGTCCGGCCCCTTTACATGTCTCAATTGTAGGCCTCTGTCTCGACAGGCTGTCCCTCTCTCAACTAAATATTTAAGACTAGAATAAAACTAACTTACTTTCAAGCTTGACTCGCCTTCCCAAGTGGCTTCGGAGTCACTGTAGTCCTTCCAGAGGACTTTGTATCGGAGTTGGCCGTTCTCCACTTTGTGGTCCAGCAGCTTCTTCACCTCGTACATGACTTCGCCATTAACGTGGTAGGTGACCATTTTCACGTTTTTAGTCGAAGCGTTGCAAAAGTAAACGAAAAGCCAGCGATGGACGCATTTCTTGTTTTAGAACTAGGCTTTAGTCTTGACGCAACTTTTTCGCGTTGTTCTGGTACGACCTTTTTTCTGCGCTGCTTTATTGGTCATTACGCAATTACATTTTTTGATAGTAACGTTGATTAAAGTTGAATTTCGTAAAATTTTTTGACTTTTTGGTCGATTTCTTAAAGAATCCTAGATTTTTTATTTTAAAAAATCAGAAAACAAGCCAAAAACTAACAACAATTTATTGAAATCAACAAGAACATCAACAATAAAAGGGGTATAACAACAAAAAACTCTTGAAAATATTCAAAAAGTAGGCTTATTTAGTGTGTGGGTTAACTTTTTTCGATTTTTTGTTGCGGTTTGGGCCGCCTCTGCCTTTGGATTTGCCGCCTTTTCGTTTTTCGGCCGCTTTCACTGATCTCAAGTCCTTTTTGAGGCGGGAGTCGACCACCTTGTATGGGCCGTTGGTGGGTTTGTTCATGCGTCCGCGGCGTCCTTTGGTCATGCGGACGTAGGTGACGTCCTTCTTCTCCGGTCGCATCGCCTTTTTGTACAATCTGAAGGTGAGGGTAATGTGAAAAATGTCATAATTTTAATTTTTTTTCAAAATTTAAATTTTTAAGCCAAATTTCATCTTAAAAAATAAAAAAAAATTAGAAATTGTGCCATTCTTTTTGCATCAACAATATAAAAATTAAAAGTTGTGCCATTCTTTTTGCACCTAGTTTTAAACCCCTTACCTTCTGACTTCTCGGACCTTCTCGTTGTGCTCCATGCCTTCATTGCCCAAGATTCCTTCGGCCGTTTTCTTTGCCCTCTCCATTCTCCTCAGTTGCCTCTTCTTTTTGCGCATCTTGGCCTCGACCACCGCCTTGATTGGTCGTACGTTTAGGTCCTTGTTCTTTTCACGGTAAAACTTGATTCTTTCCTAAAACGACTTTGTAAACAAAGTTTTCACTCTTTTTCTGTTTGTAAAGAAAGTTTTCGCCATTTTTCGTTTTGTAAAGAAATTTCTTGCCATTTTTTGTTTTGTAAGGAAAGTCCTTGCAATTTGCAAAAACAATGAAAAAAAATTACCCCTCCCCCACCAATTAAAAAGAAAAACACTCTTGACCATGTCTATCCCTATCTTACCCATCAAAACACCCCTCCGCATCCCTTATTACCTTCCCCAAAAAACCACCCCTACCCCGCCTTATAATTTTCCCTACCAAGAAACCCCTTCCACCCTTTATATCTTTCCCATAAAAAAAATCCCTCCCATCTATTATATCTTCCCATCCTTTATCACCTCCCCCTACCTGATTGACTGGTGGATCCTTTCGGCAATGTTTCTTCTCGTCGTCTATGAACCAATCCGGTAGGCCTTCATCGTTGAAGGTGTACCTGTTCACGGCCCAATCTTCGACGTCTTTTCGGCTCCGGGACGAGTGGATCAGACGTTCACCCATAGCCAATTGGGCGGGGGTGAGGCGTCGTTTCTTGATCATCTGGCCATCACCATCTCTTTTCGTTACGCGTTCGTCTGTTTCGTCGATTTCTTCGTCACTACGGTAGACGTCCGTGACTTCGCCGTTCTCGAACGCTGACTTGGCTTCTCGTTTCTTGGCTTCTGAATCTTTTTTGGTTTTTGAATCCGCCGTTTTTGAATCAGAACCGAATCCGCTTTCCTCGTCTGAATCCGATCCAGAAGCATCGGATTCTGTCTCCGAATCATCAGCAGTCTGACCATTCATTTCTACTTTTTCATCATCATCTTGTTCATCTTCATCCACTTCTATTTCATCGTCTTCTTCCACATCATTTAGCTTTTGAATTGTTTCGTCTTCGGATTCTTCATCCATTTCCTCGTCTTCTAGTTCTTCTTCATCCATTTCTTCTTCATCATCAACTTCTTGAATTTCGTCTTCTGATTCATCATCGGATTCTAAGCCTTCTAATCTAAAATAAGGTCAAAAATTAGGTGATTCTTGATAGTTTAGGTATGAAAAGTCAGATTTCTTAAAATATCAACAACTTTTTTTTTCAATTTCAAATCTTCGTACCGTTCGTTAGCTTTGTCTGCAAAGCGCTTGATCATTTCCTTCATCTTCTCCGACAGTCCTTCGTATTGGTTTTCCAGCAAATCCGTCTTGAAATGGCCTTCGGCGTCGTTTTCACTGAAAAACATTCAATATTACTATCTAAAACTCAATAAATTGTATCAAAATAAACTATAATTTAACTCCATGACACTTTCATGTATCACGAACATCAAATCTAAACCATGATCAGTAGTTCTCGACTTGGAAAACGAAGTTTTCGACATAAAACCCCAGTTTTTAGATAATACTCCTCAAAAACGTAATTTTTCAATAACAATACCAGTCTAAAAGTTCTAAGAAAAATATCAAGAATCCATTCAAAATAAAAAGGCGATCTAACTGTTATCAAATCCAATTGAAATCAAGCCATTTTTAGCCTGAAAACACCAATTTTTTTTTGAATTATCAAATATTTCGCTTTTTCAAGATCAACCGGCCAATAACTTCGTGGAAAAGCATCTTTCACCGACTAAACCAATTCAACTCAGTACCATATTCCTCCCCCAAGCTATCCATCCCTCTTTGATACCTAAAAACCCAACAAAACTTAAAAAAACCTACTCTTCCGAATCTAACTCAATATCCGAGGCATCTTGCTCTAGAATAGCGTCATTTTTGTCGTCAGACTTCAAATCCCGATTTCTGATTCTTTCGTAGGCTTCATCGTTGATCTGTTTACGTTTCAATGACTTTTTGATTTGGGTTAGGTTGAACAGGTCCAGGTCGTCGGCTTCATCGATGGCATCACCTTCATGATGCATACCCAGTTGTTTTCGGTCACGAAGACGACGTTTCTCTTTTAACAGCAACTTTTTCTTCCTGAAAATATGCTGTAAAGAATGTTGTTGCCATTTTTGTTTTGTAAAGAAAGTTATTGCCATTTTTAGTATTGTAAAAAAAGTTTGTGTCGTTTTTTGCTTTGTAAAGAAAGTTTTTGCCATTTCTTATTCTGTAAAGAAAGTTCTTGTCATTTTTTGCTTTGTAAAGAAAGTTTTTATCATTTCCTACATAAAAACTTACTTTTTGAGCTTGGCAGCTTCAGCGGCTGATGCATTTCGAATCAACTCATCAATTTCTTCCAGCTCTCGTTGTTCTTCGGCTTCTGGGTCAGGTTCTTGGTTCTTTTCGGCTTCTTTTCTAAAAACAACAGAAACTAAACACATTTTTAACTTTAAAAATTGACTTAAAACCTGAAACTTCAATTTTTAGGCCTAAAAATCAAAATTAGACCTAAAACAATACTTTTAAGCCTAAACTTCATTTATAAGCCTAAAATTCATTTTTTAACCTAAACTTTCATTTTTAGCCTAAAGTTAATTTTTAAGCCTAAAAAAGTAAAATTCTCACTCAGCAGCCCGTCGTTCCTTTTCCCACTCATTCAGAATCTTCTTTCTCCACTGTATTATCTTTCTCAACTCAGCTCCTCCACAAACTCGAATATCCTTGATATTATTCTTGATTTCATCTGTTGTCAGTGGATTCTTTTCTATTTTTTCATCATCAATCTCGATTGTACTTGCTTTTTCCAACAACTTCATGTGGTCGCCTGTGGTAAAGAATTCTGATGCCTTGATGACATTGAACATGGTAATGTTGTCATCTTCGTATCCTGTCGCTTTGACCTTCTTCAGCTTGTCACCGGATAAGAGGCGTTGACTGAAAATGATAAAAAATTTTGTTTTTTAAGAATTTGAACTTGTAAAGAAAGTTATTGCCATTTTTAGTTTGTAAAGAAAGTTCTTGCCATTTATTGGTTTGTAAAGAAAGTTTTCAGCATTTTTTGTCTTGTAAAGACAGTTCTTGTCATTTAATGTTTTTTAAAAAAACTTACACATTCAAATGTTGAGTATTGTCCACGGAAGTTTGAATAAAAACCTTCTTAATATCCAAAAGATCCGGATCAACCTTATCCGGCTTCAAATACTTTTCACAAACCACGAAGATCTCAGCCGACTCCATACGAGAAGCACTCGGTTTCCAAACATGAACATATTTGAACAACTTTTCAAAAGTTTGAATCAAAGAAGCATAATCGGCTGATCGGAAAATCTTTGTCACAAAATATCCATTTTTGCGCAAAACTTGTGTCGCCAGTTTAAGTGCCATCAGTACGAGACAATTCTGCTCAAACGCATCTTTTGTCCAATTTTGACCAACGTTCGGAGCACCATCGTTTAGCACTGTGTCAACTTCACGTCCGGGAGGCAAATTCACTTTGATCTGTTGTCGAGTCTTCTCATGTGTAATATCGCCTTGAAGGGTGATACATTTGGGAATTGCCTTGATTGGACATAAATCCACACCTAAAAAACGTATTGTTTAACTTATAAAAAATAACTAATATATGAATCGGATAATTTTCATAAAAACTTTAGTTTTACAAAAAAAATTTTTAAAAAGTAAAGTATATAATAAAACTACAGTAACTTTTTAATTAGAACAAATTACAAAACTCTTTTTATCATCTTATTTGACACACTATAAGCTAACTTTGCTAAAAATTTCAAATGTCTACCTACGTAGTGAACAAATTTATAATAAAAACTGTTTGGTCCATCTCCCTAAAATCAAAATCCAAAAACCAAAGTCTTACCAATTCGTGTAGAATCCAAAGGCATGTTCTCGGCTGCGACTTGAAGCCATCCTCCTGGAGCAGCACACAAATCGACCAAGACTTGGGACTTTTCCAAGAACTGGAACCTTCTGTTCAACTGAATCAACTTGAAAGCAGCACGAGATCGAAATCCTAAAGTGAACTAGTTTTAAACGTTCAAAGGATTATGTAAGTCCTTGTTTTATCAACTTTTGTCCAAAAAGTCCTATAAGTTAATAAAATTTGATCGAACACCAAAAGAAAGTTTATGTAAAAAATATCTTAAAAATTAAAAAAACTATTTTTAAACCAAATATATTACTTTAGAAACCCAAACGAACAACGTATTTTAACACCAAACAAATTTAGGTAAGAATCCAATCTTCTCTATCCTTTTACTTCTCAAAATATTCGACTTACCAGCTTCCTTGGCCAAGTGATAATACTTATCACGACGCTGTTTTCCAACTTTGACCTTTTTGCCCATTTTTCAACTTATATTAACTGTAAAACTATGAATAAAATAGTAAAAACGGCCAAAAAAACGTTAAAAATAATATTTTTACCCTTTCTTTTACAGCGCGGTCGCAGTTCGCTAAAAAAGAAAAAGTAAAATTGCAGACTGCGAGATCATTTTATACGCAAAGAATGAAGTCAAGTTATACGAACAATAAAGTTTTGCGCGAAATATTTTTCAAATGCGCCCAATTAAAAATTTTTGGTAAAGAATATCAATTTTTGAATTTTTATAACAATATTTTTCTTTATTTTTTGCTATTTGTTAACTCGAACTATTGAAAAATTTGTTAAAGGCGATTAGATCAACTAAAACATTATAATTTCAGAGTTCGCTCCTTACCTGGCCACTTTTAAGTTTATGAATAAAGAATGTCGATTCAATTTGATTCTGTAAATAAGTTTTTTCTGGACAGACATATTAATTTGAAACCGGAATGGCTTCATTCCTGTTTGAAGTTTCTTCAAAAGCATAATGTAAGTTGCTTTTACTTATATCTTTGTCAATTTTAGTTCAATCCTTATCGAATTGCTTTTAGAAGAAGGTTGAACATTTAAATAACTATGCATATGATCAATGGCTACACACGGACATAAAGGAATCTACAAAACCGTCGTTTCAACCGCCAGTTGGGAGATTATTTTCAAGTTATGCTGTTCTTCAGGTACATTTTTAGTTTTTTTGTTGGTTTTTAGGTACTTTTGATCAATCAACGGCTTTTATTAGTGATATCAAAGTCTTGCGCATTTTTTATGCTATAAATCGATGTTTTATAGGTTGAAGCCGTTCTAAACATAAGCAAATCATATTACACACAGATGCGTGAGATCGAACACAACGAAAATCACGATTTGGACGTGGGAGCTGAACCGGATGATAAAAATAACAGTGCTTATTGGGAACAGAAGGTAATTTCTTTAATTTAAGTTATTTTTGGATCATTTGTTTGTTTTTATTTAAAAAAGTTAAAGTTAACATAAATTACGTTTAGCAACAACGTCGAATGCTCAAATTTGTGTTTTCTGATGGTGTGAAAACAGTGAAGGCGATTGAACACCTTTCAAACCCATTGATATCTTCTAGTTTACAGCCTGGAGCAAAGGTATTTGTTCTGAAAGGTTTTACGAAGTTTTTTTCTTGGTTTAGGTAGATAGGTGTTACGGATAATATAAATTGAAAAAATAGGTGTTATCTCAAATAAATGGGTATTGGATAGCTATATTATTGTTTTGCAATATTTTCTTTATCAATTAAGACCAAAAAGAGGTGTTTTAAGTTGTTTACTAGCTTGAATATTGAGTTAGAAGTTAGTGGACATTAAGTTTTTCTTGTTTTCAAGGCTTATTCATGAACTTTTAGGGATTTTAAGCAAAAATAAATTATTTTTTCTAGTTTCGTAGAGAAAAAAGTTTTTATTTTAGGTGATAGTAACGAGATGTCAATACCGAGACCCGATTATGTTGTTAACGCCCAGAAACTGTCAGTTTCTTGGTGGATATGTGCCGAAATTGGTGGAGAAGAACTGTGCAAAGGCTTTGATTAATCAAATGCCATTCATGCAGAATCGTAGTACTAATATTACAGTGCCACAGACTAAGCCTTTACCTCTCACGGCGTTGGATCGGAAACGGAAGTTGGATAGTGGTACTAATGGGACTACTACGTATAATGGTACCAATAATGTAAATGGTACTACTATTGGTATTAATCATCTAAACAACGCTCCAAGTACGAGTGGATTGGGAAATAGGCCGGCTTTTGGTGCTAATGGTACTAGTACTACTACGAATGGTACTACAAATTCGATGAGTACTAGAAGTAATACTAGTACGATGAATAATAGTACTAATGTGGCTGTAAATAGACCTACAACAAGGCCAGGACCTGTGGTTACTATCAACAAGCCAAGTACAAGTAGTACGGTTAATAATCTGAATGCTACAAATGGTCCAGTTTGCTTGTCAGCTCAATTAAATGCCAAAAATAATGCGAATCAGCCCAGTACTAGTGGTTTCAAGCCACCGGAGACGCAGGTAAGATAGTCTTGTCAGGTTTTAAACTGTAAAGAAAGTTTTTGCTATTTTGAGTTTTGGAAAGAAAGTTCTTGCCATTTTTTGTTCTGTAAAGAAAGTTCTTCGTATTTTATGTTTTGTAAAGAAAGTTTTTGCTACAATTTCGTAAATATATTGTTTTAGAAGCGGCCACAAATCTCAGTTACAATTAATCGACGTCCTTCGTCTGTAAATCGACCAACAACGTCTACTGCGCCGGCTCCGCAGGCTGCGGCCGAACCAGTGTGCATTTCAATGCAATTAAATAATAAAACAAGGAAATGTGCTACGACAGTACCACCAGCGATTACTGTAAGATTTTCGTTTTTTTGGACCTGGAAAGAAAGTTTTTGCTGTTTTAATTTTTGTTTGACTTTGGAAAGAAAGTTTTTGCATGTTTAAAAAAATGGCATTTTATAAAGGCATGTGAGACAAAAAACGGCATTTTCAGTATCTGGAAAGAAAGTTTTGCAGTTTTTTACTTTGGAAAGAAAGTTTTTGCATATTTTAAAAAATGCCATTTTAAAGGCATGTAAGACTAAAAATGGCATTTTTATTATCCGTAAAGAAAGCTTTTGCAATATAAATTATGTAACTGCTTGGAAAGAAAGTTCTTGCATAAAAAATGAAATTTCAGCCAAATCCCCCATCTACAACAATATCCGTGCCCTTGAACAATACGAGACGAATAAATGCCCTGAATCGACAGTCAGATGTCCGGCCAGATCCAAAAGACATGCTAAAGACTCCACATGGTACCAACTTGAGCATGGACAACTTTGCCGTACCGAAAAGTGAGGTTAAGAAGCCTGCCATTACTATCACACCGCAAAAGCCATATGAGCCTAAAGGCATTTTGAAGGTAATTTTAGGCTTATATGTTGCCCTACGTACTTCTACTTGTGTCTCTACCCTTACCACTACCTTTATCCACTTAATTTTAACTTTTTTCAAATTTTAGACCACCCCTTTATCGATAAATTCCAAAGCCAACACCCCAACCTCAGCCAACTCCACCAGAAGCTCATTAATGGCCGACAGCAAGGAATTTGCCTATTCGTGTGAACACTGTAACATCAGCTTCAAGGATCGTGTACTGTATCAAATGCACTCGGGTTACCACGGCTTTAAAGAACCATTAACGTGCAATCGATGCGGCTTCGAAGCCGCCACTTCGGTCGACTTCTACTCACATTTGTACGGACATTGAGGTTGCTTTGGCTTTTTTAAAGTTACTTTTGGGTGATTTTATATATACATACATATAATGGCATTTTAGGCTTAACTTGGCTAATTATTAGGTGCCGACATAAAGAACCCGCCATTTTTTACAGGAAATTACAGGAAAAGGATGGCGGGTTCTATATGTCGGTTCTAATAGTTTTGTTTTTTGTCACTTTTGCGGTTTCATTTTTGGGCTTAAGTTTAAATATACTTGCTTTACGGGTTGATTTTGATGTCTTTTGGTCGTTTTTTTAAACATTTTATAACGCAAAATAGCCATTTTGATTGTAAAAATGACATTTTTAATTGATTTTAACACATTTATAAGCTGTGTTCGCCTTAAAATTTAAATTGTTAATTTTAAAAATTGTTGAATTTGAAAATAAGTTTTAATGTTGTATAAGATCTCAAATGTATTTTGTTTGGTAAAGTAAATTGTTTTGCTTTAAAATGTCTTATTTTTTAATAGAATCCATCGCTTTTTATTTAACCACAGAATAGGCCGCTTTAGCTCTACCCAGTGCCTGGCGGGGACTTTTTGTCTGGGGGCGGGGGTTGGAAAAAATCGGCATAGGTAGTGTGCCGGTTTTTTCCGAAAAATTTTTCTAAAAATCTACATGGGGGACTACGTTCAACTTTTTTCGAGAAATTTTTTTCTGGGGTGGGGGGTTCAACCTCAAGATTCGTCCATGCATTAGTTAAGGCTTACTAAAACAAGTTATATGGTTACTTTGCTATACAACGTAAAATTTTTAAAATTTGTTAATTCGGCCGTACACAAGTTTTAAATTAAAAACAAGCAAAAAAAATAATGTGGTTATATAATCAAAATGAAATACTAAAATAACAATTGTACTAAGTTGTACCAAGGTGTAGTATTGGACCGTACAAAGTTAAAATTAAGGAGAAATACTTTTAAAAGCGATATAGTATAAAATTTTATAATTCGCTGGTACATAAATTGGAAATTTTATGAAACAATAAATTTTATAAGTATAGCTATGTAACATACAAGTGGAAAATTCGCTCGTACACAAGTTGAAAAATCATGTAAAAGCAAATAATCAAACCATATGCATACATAGACATGTATAACATAGAACAAGGCAATTCGCTCGTACACCAGTTGAAAAATCAAGTAAAAGAGAAAATCAAACTATATGTATATAGTCATATATATATCATGTAATTCGACTATTCGCTCGTACATAAGTTGAAAAATCAAATAAAAGCAAAAATCCAAATTATATGTATACATAGACATATACCATATAATTCGACAATTCGCTCGTACATAAGTTGAAAAACCATGAAAAAGCAAAAAATCAAACCATATGTATATAATCATGTATATATCATATAATTCGCCAATTCGCTCGTACATAAGTTCAAAAACTAAGCAAAAGAAACAATTTATATATGTTATAAAAAGTCGTATATCTCAACGACCGTACACCCCGACAATCAACCACACATTACAATTGTATGGATTCAACAACAAGTCAGTAATTAAATCAACTTGCAAGGTCAAATACTGGGGTAAAGGCTGCAAGTACGGTGGAACGTACAGGCATAAACGTACAATCCGAAACCGGATACGTTGAGTACTTCAAGTAGTACTTAAAGCTGTCATAGTTACAATTCGTACTGGATAGTACTAAAAGTTGTCATAGTTACAATTCGTACTGGATAGTACTAAAAGTTGTCATAGTTACAATTCGTACTGGATAGTATTAAAGGCTGTCATAGTTATAGAGCACTCTCATAGTACTCGAACGGGTGGTCAGTCCGTATAATGGTACACAAACAGTACTAACGTAATGTCATATAGACAAATTACTCTCACAATACGATATTCAAAATATACGTTATAGTACTCCCACAGTACTTACGATTGCCCAAGCCGTATATTTATATATATTGTACTCTCACAGCACGCTACTAAAGTACTAAAGCCATGCACTACAATTACTCCGTGTATAGGTTGGACAAGCTTTACACGTAGACAGTACTTACGGTTACCCAAGCCGTATTTGTACAACAAACTCTCACAGTATGTCATAGTACTCTCACAGCACTCGTACGGTTGCCCAAGCCGTATACATATATAGTACTCTCACAGTACTAAAACAATGTCATACTGAAATAATACTCTAACAGTATTCATACGGTTGCCCAAGCCGTATATATACAACAAACTCTCACAGTACGATACTAATCATATAGTATCAAAGCACTCCAACAGTGCGAAATGCATCAGCACTAAAAAAAGTACTCCGATATATAAAAGCGCTCATAACCGTCGTAATCAACACATTACAAATGGCAAAACCTCGTAAATGAACGCACAAACACCGCATTTGCATTCGACAAACTATCGTTTATATTGGCGAGACATGGCTCGAGTATATAACAGCGCGGTCAGCACTATGTAAACGCAATCGCGTATCGACACAACGGTCGAAATCGACGCTCAACCTAGTATAATTCGGTTTTCGCGTCTTCTTCTTTCACAAAATGCGTAAAATTAGGATTCCGCAGTAAAGATCTAAAACATAATATATTTCTAAGTCTTTACTTTAGTCACCTCCCGCCAGATTGCGCAATGCCAAAATTAATTTGAAATTTTCGTGCGGAAAAAAGGAAGCGGTGATAGTGGGAAAGCATGCCACTTAATAGTTTTGGTGGTTAAGAGGTGGCGGTTTTTATTTTTATGAGATATACGGCTTGGGCAACCGTTATATACTCAACGTACTATATAGTACGATAGAGCGAAAATCGAAATATATGTAAGAAATACTCTCAAATAGACATTTATAATGAGATATACGGCTTGAGCAACCGTTATATTCTCAACGTGCTATATATTAAGATAGAACGAAAGTCAAATCATGTCAGAAATACTCTCAAAATGACATTTATATTGAGATATACGGCTTGAGCAACCGTTATATTCTCAACGTACTATATGGTACAAAAGGGTATTGACAGTATAAAGTGGTGTTAGCATTACGAATACAGAACGAAAGTCGAAACATATGTCAGTTAAAATGAGATATATTTCTTGGGAAACTGTTACATTCTCAATGTACTATATAGTACGGTTGGTAGTGACAGTATACAATGGCCTTAACAGTACGAATACAGAATGAAGTTCAGAATATATGTCAGAAATACCCTCAAAATGACATTTTAAACGAAATACACGGCTTGAGCAACCGTTATACTTTCAACGTACTAAATAGTACGATAGGACGAAAGTCGAAATATATGTCAGAAATACTCTCAAAATGACGTTTTAAAAGAGATATACGGCCTGGCAAACCGTTATATTCTTAACGTGCTATATAGTACAGAAAGGTAGTGACAGTATAAAAGCTGTTAACAGTACGAATACAGTACGAAAGTCGAAATATATGTTAGAAATACTCGCACAATGACATTTTAAACGAGATATACGGCTTGGGAAACCGTTATACTCTCAACGTGTTATATAGTACGAAAAGGTAGTGACAGTACATTTTAAAAAACTTGATATACGGCTTGGGAAACCGTAATATATTCAACGTACTATATAGTACCATAGAACGAAAGTCAAGGCACTATGCAGTAAAAACTGTATTACGATAACAGTAAGAATACAGAATAAAGTTTATCTTATTTGAACGAGGTATACGGCTTCGGCAACTGTACTCACAGTACTATACGGTACGATAGAACGAAAGTTAAAATATATGTCAAGAATACTCTCAAAATGACATTTATTATGAGATATACGGCTTGAGCAACCGTTCTATTCTTAACGTGCTATATAGTACAGAAAGGTAGTGACAGTATAAAAGCTGTTAACAGTACGAATACAGTACGAAAGTCGAAATATATGTTAGAAATACTCGCACAATGACATTTTAAACGAGATATACGGCTTGGGAAACCGTTATACTCTCAACGTGTTATATAGTACGAAAAGGTAGTGACAGTACATTTTAAAAAACTTGATATACGGCTTGGGAAACCGTAATATATTCAACGTACTATATAGTACCATAGAACGAAAGTCAAGGCACTATGCAGTAAAAACTGTATTACGATAACAGTAAGAATACAGAATAAAGTTTATCTTATTTGAACGAGGTATACGGCTTCGGCAACTGTACTCACAGTACTATACGGTACGATAGAACGAAAGTTAAAATATATGTCAAGAATACTCTCAAAATGACATTTATTATGAGATATACGGCTTGAGCAACCGTTATATTCTTAACGTGCTATATAGTACAGAAAGGTAGTGACAGTATAAAAGCTGTTAACAGTACGAATACAGTACGAAAGTCGAAATATATGTTAGAAATACTCGCACAATGACATTTTAAACGAGATATACGGCTTGGGAAACCGTTATACTCTCAACGTGTTATATAGTACGAAAAGGTAGTGACAGTACATTTTAAAAAACTTGATATACGGCTTGGGAAACCGTAATATATTCAACGTACTATATAGTACCATAGAACGAAAGTCAGAATATATGTAAGAAATACTCTCAAAATGACATTTTCAATGAGATATACGGCTTGGCGAATCGTTATATCCTCAACGTGCTATATAATACGAAAAGGTAATGGCAGTACGAGTACAGAACGAAAGTCGAAATATATATCAGAAATACTCTCAAAATGACATTTTAAAAGAGATATACGGCTTGAGCAACCGTTATATTTTCAACGTACTATACAGTACGATTTTAGGTGACAGTACGATAGAAGGAAAGTCTAAATATATGTCAGAAATACTTTCAAATAGACATTTATAATGAGATATACGGCTTGAGCAATCTTTATATACTTAACGTACTATACAGTACGATTGATAGTGGTAGTACGAATACAGAACAAAAGTCGAATTATATGTCAGAAATACTTTCAAAATGACATTTTTTATGAGATATACGGCTTTAGCATCCGTTATATACTCAAAGTTATATATAGTACGATAGTACAATTACAGGTCTGAATATAAGATAATATATTACCTTATAATAACCCATTTCCTGAAAATAAGGGTCTTAAAATTTAACCTTTCTTCAATATTGTATGTTGTTATTGTTATTTAACCCACCAAATTGATATAAATCTCCGTGGTGAAATATTTTGACTTTGTATGTGCTTCCGTAATATCGGTAAGTCAAAGGCATTACTGTGCCGCTTTGTAGCCGCAGATATTTGGTTTTTCTGTCACTGCAATAAGCTTTACTTACGTTATAGTATTCTTTACTCTGTAAAATACTAGTTCAATTTTACTATATAATGACAGTTGGTAACGAGCCTACTGTTCCAATTGCCAAATCAGCAAAAAGATTAGACTTACAAGGACTACGATGTATAGCTATATTAGCTGTACTTTTGTTTCATATATGGCCTGGTCTGTTTCCAAATGGCTATTTGGGTGTGGATATGTAAGTTTTTTGAGGGTACTGTAGATTAGGGTAGGTAAGGTATGGTAGAGCAGAGCAGGGTAGGGTATGATAGGTATAGTAGAGCAAAAAAAAGCTAAGGTAGGACAGGGCAGAACACGATAGGGTATGGTAGAGCATATTAATTTAGAGAAAGGTAGGGTAGATTAGAATCGATAGGGCAGGGTATGGCATATCGTGGTAGAGTATTGCTGTTTAAGGTACCGTAGGATTTGAGGGCAGGGTGTGTAGAGTAGGGTATGGTAAAGTAAGGTAAGGTAGAGTAGGGTTAGGTAGGGTGGTTCAGAGTAGGGTAAGGTAGGGCAGGTAGAGTATTGTAGAGTAGATTAATTTTGTTTCAAACATTAAATTTTAGGTTTTTTGTCCTGTCCGGCTACTTAATGTACACGATATTGTCATCTAAACCTATAGAAAAGGCATCTATTCTTGACTTTTACTATCGTCGTATCAAGCGAATCATACCAACATATCTGTTTGTCATCATTACCTCTCTAACTCTCGGTTTTATGGTGTTTATGTCAAGAGAGTACAACTATTTGGTCAAGGAATCTTTAAGTGCTGCTACTTTAACATCAAACATATTCAATTTACCTAAACATGGCTACTTTATGATCAACAATGAGTTCACCTTGTTCTTACATACATGGTCGTTGTCGGTCGAGTTTCAGTTCTACCTGATCTGTCCTATGTTGTTTGGTGTTTTGACTTGGTTAAAAGGGCAAAATAAGTTGAATGGAATGATGTTTTGGTTGATAACTACTGTGATATCGTTTTCGTTTCAGTGGTATACTAGTTATGGTAGGTTATTTTATAATATTATACATGTTGACTTCAAGGAGCTAGTGTACGAAAGTTTTATATAGTAAGCTCTACCCTACCCTACCCTACCCTACCCTACCCTACCCTACCCTACCCTACCCTACCCTACCCTACCCTACCCTACCCTACCCTACCCTACCCTACCCTACCCTACCCTACCCTACCCTACCCTACCCTACCCTACCCTACCTTACCCTACCTTACCGTACCTTACCCTATCTTACTTTATTTTACCCTACCTTACCGTATCCTGCCTTACCCTACCGTTTAAGTTACAATAGCTTTGTTTTCTTCTATTCTAGCTATACCTATATGTTGCTTACTTTAGCGCCAAACATTTCTCACATGAGTCTGCCTGCTCGAATCTGGCAATTTTTCTTTGGTTTCGCCGTGGGCATGGTTAGGTCGATGCAAAATGACAATTTTTATGTTTCACTAGATGGAAAACAAGCTTTGTCAGCTAGACCAACAGCTTTGGCACCTTGCAGTACCTACTATATTAAATCTGCTATAACCCTGCTTATCCTACTGCCAATACTGCTTATGCCATTTGCTATAAACGCAGTCTTAATTCGACTTTTGGCTACGTTTGTAACAGCTGTGGTAATATACGATAGTGGAGATAGTTTATTCTCTAATTGGTATTGTGTATGGATTGGTGATATATCATATTCGGTTTACTTGATTCATTGGCCTATTATCAAGTTTGTTCAGTATAATACCGAAGATAAGGGGGCTGGAATGTCATTTTTGGGTGAGTTGAGATACAAAATTTATATTACACTGTGTAGTGTTGGCTGGGGATTTAAAAGTTGCTTGTTATACAGAGGTTATGTGACAGAAAAGGTTGTTACACAGTAGTTTTACTGTAGTAGTAAAAAGAAATTTACTATTATAGCTTTGTTGCAGCCTTATTCCAGCCGTGCCTTAAGCTTAAACTAGTCTTGTTGTAGCCTTACCTTGGCCTTGCTTTATTTTCAGAAGGAACTTTGATAATTATCGCCTCAATCCAGCTTGGAAACTCTGTAGAAACCTTTTTCACTAAAGTCGGTAAAAGCATCACATCATGGATGAGACTACTTTTACTCCTTATGTTACTATATTCAACACTATTCTTAACTCAAATTTACATTTCTCAAAAAATACCAATGCCCGAAGTAGATACGGCTAAAGTAGTGGATTGGAGAGACCCATCGTATCTTAACTTTATCGAAAAGATGTACAATAAACGTGCTCAGGACTTGGATTTGTCTATGGAAGAGTTGTTGTCGTTCAACGATGGCATGGTACATTATGTACAAACGTATTTTAGAAAGTGTCGAAATGAAAGTGCCAAGAGGTATCCAGAACAAAGGTTCTACGATGAGTACTTCTATTCCTGTAGTATTGATGTGAGTACAGATATAAGTTTCGTTACACTCTACCGTTCTTACAGGGCATGGGCGACAAAGAAGTAGTTGTAATAGGCAACAGCATGGCCAGAGATGTGTTTAGTGGTTTTCAGCAGCTCTGGAAGAACACTTACAAACGATTGACAATGGTCGCAGAGCCAACTGACGTTCCGTACACAGTCGAAGACCCAAAAGTGGGTAACAAATTTGTAAATTTGCTCACAGAATGGGACCGACCTATTGATATTCTGATAGTACAGTTTGCGTACTTTGAAATACCGGTAGAGAATAGGAATGACAAGATGAGAGACGAAATTCACGTGTTTTTCAACCAACTTCAGAGATTAGTCAAAGAGGTTGTAATGGTTGGAGCGCCTGAGGTGTGGCAGGAAACCACCAAACAAAAAATGTTGAAAATCATCGAAAATAAGGAAGATTATGACAAAGTCAACATTGAGTGGGCTGTGAGTTCTTGAAATTTCCAAACGCAATAACTTTTGTGACGTTTCCCAAGTTTTTCAAAAATCAATAATTTTTGTGACACTTCGCAACTATTTGCAAAAATCAATAATTTTTGACATTTTGCAACATTTTTAAAAAAATCAAAGACTTGTTTATAATTTTACAAATTCTTTGGAAAATCAATAATTTTTGTGACATTTTGTCCTGCCATATCTCATAAAGAGATTTTAGCCCCACATAGCCACTAATGCCAAAATGCGTAAAATGGTCGAAAATTTGCCATGTGACAAATGCGTTACGGTCGATTTTGTACGATCAATTTGTTCACGAATAACTGGAAAGTGTTATGGCATTCTCCCGAACGGTATTATGGTATTCAGGGATCTTATTCATACGACATTAGTTATCAACCTAATGTATGCTCAGGAATTCATTGAAGTTTATAATAATAAATTTATTGGTTGATTAATAGAAGTTTACCAAAAAATGTTTTAAAAAGCAAAAACTTTGCTAGTGTTGTATCAATATAATAAGGTCGCGCAAACCTAAGGTAGGGCAGGACAGTTCAGGAATTAGTTTGAAATATCTTTGGTCAAAGAAACGCTTTGGGGTGATGATGTTAAGAGTGAATGTGTTGAATGGTGTTTTAAATTGGGAGAAAGTCCTGAAAACGTTTGTAGAAAGTATTATGGCCGCGTATCATCCTCGTAACCCTCGTATACCTTGTGAACAACTTTTATTTCTCACTGGGTTATTGAGTTCCGTACTCGTCACCATTTTGGATCAAAGTAAGTACAACTAGCAGAATAACTATTTCTTTTAGCTTTGTTGCCATTTCAGGAAGTACGTGCTAGAATTTCGTATGCTATTGCGGACCTCCGCGAGCTGAATGAAGAGAAGTACCACCCCTACGAACTTAAATAAGTACAAGAACTCTTGTCAAGGCACAACATACAGCGTGTTATGTAGTCAAATTTTATGTTTGAGCACCTACATCGAGAAGAAAAGTTTTAGCAAGAGCTAGTCTTCAGCGATAATTTTTTTTTTCATGTTCATGGCCGTCTAAATCATTAAAACTGCAGGTGGTGGGCTAAAGAGAATCCTCATTGGTGTGTATTAGAGCCCTGCATTCCCGCAACACAAATGATTGGGCGGGCATAGGGTGGAAAGGGATTTTAGGACCGTATTTCGCACATCGTTACTTGTTGAAATTTTTGAGACACCCTGTAGAGTAATGTTCAACTTTAAAAAAACTTTTCCTAATTTTTGAAACGGTTATAACTAATACAACATTGATTTTCATGATTGTGAAAGCACAAAGCGATTGAAAAGTAATCCTTTTCGTCACATCTCTTTGCTTACCATCCTTTTATGACTATTTTGACACTTTTTGTATTTTTTGATTTTAAAAATTACTCAGTAATCTAAATTTATGTACAGAAATCACAGATACGTTTATCTTGTTGTCGTATCTATATTATTCTTTTTGTATTCTTTCAATTATTTTGATTATTATGGTGGTGATCAGCAGCTCAATAGATGTATGTGTGGAGATGAAAATGTAAGAACTTTCTTTACAAAACGTAACTAGGCAAGAACTTTCTTCACAGAACATAAAATGGCAAGAACTTTCTTTACAAAACAAAAATGGCAAGAAATTTCTTTAAAAACAAGAAATGGCAAGAACTTTGTTTACAAACCAAAAAATAGCAATAACTTTCTTTACAAAACGAAAAAAGGCAAGAACTTGCTTTACAAAACAAAAAATGGCAAGAACTTTCTTTACTCTACCCCAGAATATAAATGTTCTTTAGTTTTGCTACCCCGGCTTAGACGATTATGGCCGTCGTCGCTATGGTAAACCTTTCAACTGTTCTCTACTGCCCTACATAAAACAGTACCATTTGACCGAACGTGAATCTCAAGCAACGCCAAATGACTATGAAACTTTGAATGACACTTGGATCCCAGTGTTTGCCACTTCTGTATCTGACAATCATTTTGGTGAATTGAGAAAAATGGCAAAAAATATTTTGAAAATTTTTGGAAATTTCAAATTGATCGTTTATGACTTGGGATTGAATAGCACTAATGTAAGTATATATTATGTACTTTTGTATTGAAACTTCTGTACGGGATACGGTATCATACCATAATTTTAAAAGCTAATCAAAATAAAACTATAATAAAAGAAAAACTTTTAGGTGAAAGAGCTGTCATCCTGGTGCCAAGTAGAGTATCGTAAATTCAACTTTTCCAAATACCCTCCCCATGTTACCAATCTATTCAACTATGCTTTCAAAATGACAATAATCGAGACTCTTCAAGATACCAAAACTTTCTTCTACCTAGACTCAAGTGGTCGATTCGACCGCAAATCCCACATTCAAATTCTACATCATGTAAAGAATGGCACAATACCCCCATTAGCTATATTCACAAGAACTTGGCATTCTGTATATTCAACTACTCATCCGGGTATGTTCGAGTACCTACCATTACCTAGACACTACGCCGAACTTGTCGAATACCAAGCCGTACTATTCGTATCAGACTCGCCTTACACTAGAAAGGCCTTAAAATGGTACACTTTGTGCGCTTTGACCCAAAATTGCATCCAACCGGTTGGCAGCAAGCAACAATGTCAATATCCATATAGGAAGATGAATGTCTCGATTGATGACGAAAATGCGGTCGAAACTATCATGCAATCAAGATATATTGTCACAGACTATCTAAAATGTCACAGATATGACCAAAGCTTCTGGAATATCTTCTGGATTACCATGTTATTCGACCCGGAGGAACGGTGGGCGGCCAAGCTATTCAAATTGAAGGAATGGCCAGAAATATTGACCAGAAAGTTCGTCATAGACATTGGAAGACGACGACAGTTAATGTGGAGAACTTACGAATGGTATTTCTTAACATGGTGGCAAGATAGCCGAAATACGACACTTGATTTACCTTGTTATAACAATGTTACGAACGAAAATAGCCAGAATAAAATCGTTTTTTAATCGTAAAACAATTATTTGTTATTTTAAATACCTGAAAATTTGTGAGAAGATGTTTCAGGTAATGGAGAACATTTTTGTAGTTGACTACTTTTTGGTCAGACTACTGTAACATACTTTATTTGAAAAAGTGTAATATCTCTACGCTCTTGGTTGTAAAAAATTTATCGTCATTGAAAACGTCTGAAATTTTAAAACAATAAAAATTTTTGTTATTACAATGTTTACTGTAACTTACTGTATTTGAAAAAAACAAGCTTGTTATCCAACAAAGAAGAAAAAAGACCGTATTTTACACCTTATAAAATTTTAGTATCACTTATTTTGCTAAATTAGAAAAAATAACAATTAAAACAATTTTAAAAATCATTTTTTTCAAGCCAATTATTCGAAAAAACCTCAATGTTAATATAAAAAAGCAACACTTGACCTAAATTAGCGTTTTTGTGTCAAGTTTTCTCTTTTTGTCCTATATATTTTTTCGGCGTAATTTCTTCGCTTTCTCCGGTTTTAGTTGATTCTTTGGCCTAAAAATCGTTAACTTTCGACAATGACCAAGGCCAAAAAAGCTGTAAGTTTGTTTTCTATGCTATCCTTTATGTTTTAGGCACAAATTGGATCAAAAAGATTGAATATAGAGTAAAATACGGGGTTTAAATTTTTGTTCTTTAATTTTCCCTAATTTACCCTTACATTTAGGGAACATCCGGAGCCGCCACAGCCTTTGTGAGCCGTAACAGAGCCTTGAGAAAGCTTCAGCTATCGTTGAAGGACTTTAGAAGATTATGCATTATCAAGGGGATCTACCCAAGAGAACCATTGCACAGAAAGAAGGCTCAAGGTGGATCAAGCGAAAACCGAGTATTATACTCGTTGAAGGACATCAAGTTTTTGCAAAATGAGCCGTTGATCAACAAGTTTAGAGAGGATAAGGTAAGAAGCTTGATTTTTATTGGAATTTTTTAAATTTAGGCAATTATGATATGGATATATGTCGGTCATGGGTAATGTCGAATTTCTCGAAATTTTGGAAGCGTTTTGAAGGTTTTAGTGTTGTATAAGCTAAAGAAACTTTTTAAGATGTTTTTTCTGAAATCTTAAGGTATTGACAGCTAAAAATGCGATGAAGCGATGTGTTTTTGATCAACATATATATGGGCACGGTTAACTTACGATTGTTTAAATTTTAAGCAATTTTTTTGGAGTTTTGTTGTTAAATCTATTTAGTCTTTGATACAGCAATGCTCTTTCTAAATTTTTATAAGCTTATAGCTTTATTAAACGTCATAACTTTCAGATTTTCATGCGAAAGATCAAAACAGCGAGAGTAAAGCGCGAGAACGGAAAAATCGACCGTTTGATTAAAAACCGACCAGAATTTGAGCTTGATCACATTGTCAGGGAAAGATACCCGACTTTCACGTCCGCCATTCGAGATATGGACGATTGTTTATGTCTTATTGCTGCATTTTCTGTGTTACCACAAACCCGAGTTATCAGAAGACAGTTAATTGATGATTGCCGTCGATTCTTGGCCGAGTTTTATCATTACATCATTGAAGCTCATGCTTTGACCAAGGTTTTTGTTAGTATTAAAGGTAAGAAGGTATTGTTTTAGGTTGATTCGGTATATTATTTTAGGTTTTTTGTGATTTTTTTATCTATTAGACTTTTATACCTTGTTCTATTAGACTGATATAGGTATGTATATTAACTATTAATATTTTTTTTGTTCATTTTTTGCGGTTACTCACCTTTTATATTATATTGTTTTAGGCGTCTACTATCAAGCCTCGATCTTTGGCGAGAAAGTCACGTGGCTGGTTGGTCATGAACAAAGAGCTGTTGGCAAAATCAAGGATCAGAAGGTGGATATTCCAGTCATGACTACTTTTGTTCAATTCTACACAACTATGCTGAAGTTTGTCAACTTTAGACTCTACAAAGGCATTGGGCTATATTATCCACCAAAGATGGCGGTTGAAGAGGAAAATCATTGTAAGTCGGTATTCACGATATTGTTCTTGGATTTTTAGGTGTAAGCGTGGATAATATGGCCTGTTGTGATTAGAAATCTACAAAATGGCAGAAAATCCTTGAACTATCAATTTTTATTATTGTTATAGATAATTTTGCTACTATTTGACTCAAAAAACGATTTTAGACGAAGAGGACGAGCTGGTAACAGACAAAATCTATTCGATTGCCAAGCCACTGGTAAAGAAATCAGATGGCAAAGAGGATCAAGTTGAGATTGACACTTTTGACACGGAAGAAAGCTCCGAACAGCTAGCTCAACGTATGAAGGAAGCCGAAACTCTGAGGTCATTGTTTGCCAAGAACTACTTTTGGTTGGGCAGAGAAGTCCCAAAGGAAGCTCTGACTTTGGTCATTAGGAACTCTGGTGGTCATGTTTGTTGGGATGATTGTCCTGCTAAGCTATACGATGAAAAGTCTCCAGTCATTACTCATGTCATCGTGGACAGACCTAACACTACGGTTAATGCTAGCAGGTGAGGAAATGAAGTTATATAGTGGTATATGGTTAAACTGGCATAAAATGTGGTTAAGGCGTTGAGAATTGAAAGAACTTTGTTTACACGGCAAAATTGACAAGAACTTTCTTTACAAAACAGAAAATGGCAAAAACTTTCTTTACAAAACAGAAAATAGCAAGAACTTTCTTTACAAAACAAAAAATGGAAAGAACTTTCTTTATAGAACACAAAACGGCTCAAATTTAAATAAAAATTTTATTTTTTAGAAAATTCGTTCAACCCCAATGGGTATTTGACAGTTTCAACGCCAGAAGACTTTTGCCAGAGCAGAAATACGCTCCAGGAGCCAAGCTGCCACCTCACTTGAGTCCATTCGTCGAGGAGAAGGTCGGAGATTATGTTCCAATCGAAAGAATCGAACAACTCAAGGCTGATGGAAAAGGTAACGGTTTTTGTATTGTTTTTGGTATTTAGGTCTTGAAGAGGACGAATATTGTGATACTTTGGGTTCTATCTTGGGTATCACAAGGTTATAGGTATTTTATGGCCTGTAGAGAAAGTTTTTGCTATTTTTTGTTTTATAAACAAAGTTCTTGTCTTCAAAATCTAATTTTTTGAATTTCCAGATGTTACCTATCTTCTGGAAGACCTCGAGACCACCGTGAACCCAGTCCAACTCAAAAAGAAGCCTGTCGTTCAGCCTAAAGTCCACGCCGTCAACATGGAAACGGGTGTGGCTGTGAAGAAGGGCCGTGTTCACAAAGATAACCCTCAAAACAAGATCAATCAGGACGGGCAGGAGCTGAAGATGCGCGAAATGATGATTCCGAAACGCTTCAAACGTGCCTACAAGAAGATCAAGCACGGTCAGCAGGAGAAGAAGAAGGAGGTGCGAAAAATGCACGCCAAGAGATTGGCTGCGAATTGAGGTTTTTGGCTTGGAAATGCCAATTGAAGTTTGAAAAGATGGGTTTTAGGTAACATTTTTTGGAGAAAATGCATTTTTGGGCTGTTTTTGATTAGTAGATTTTGAAAAAGTGTCGTTTTGGGCCTTAAAATGACTTTTTAATTTTAAAAAAGGTTATTTTAAAGTTTAAAAAGGGCATTTAGAGTTTGAACAAAGTCCAAAAAGATTACTTTTAGCCCAAAAAAGGTCATTTTAAAGTTTACAAAGGTGATTTTAAGGTCTAAAAAGGTAATTTTTAACCCGAAAATTGTCCTTTTATAACAAGGCTTAAAAATTTAATTTTTGGTTTATAAACAACTATTTTAAATTTAAAAAGGTCATATTAAGCCTAAAAAACGTCATTTTTTACCTTAAAAACACACTTTAAACCTAACACAACTTTTTTTTCAAGCTTCAGGACGCTGTTTCGTATTACCAAGTTTATTGTTATTTGTTACACTTTCTCTTAATATCATACTCGTTTGTTGTTACGTTGTTTCCATCGATAATAAAGTTCAAACACAGACCCAACGTTAAGTACTAACACACCCCACAACTGCTCGGACAATGCTGCTGCATACACATACCATAACAAGGGCTATTGCAGTAGGCCAGGAACTGTTGGCAATTCAACGCATTGTCATTACAAGTCGAAGGCGTGGATGGAGGGCCTGGAATTGAGGGGGGATTGTTGATTTTTTTTAAAATTGGGGAGGGGGGGGTGGAGGGGTAGGGGAGTGAATCATTTTTTTGGGCGGGAGCATGGGGAGGGGTGGTGACTTTCGGATGGCAGCAGGAAGGGGGGGGGGTGGCTTAAAAAACTTGTTTTCTGTTTACTCACCCCCCTCCTTCTTTTAGGTATCCTGCTTTCTAAAAATCGAAATAAGGACATTACGTTAGCCTTGATTAAAAAATGACAGTTTCATAATAGTATAAAACTTACAACAAGTATCGCTGATGCATACATACTGCCCTCCAGCATCTTCTTGATCTGGACATTCACCGCCAATACAAGCTAAAGAAATATATTCATGAGAACAGCAATCTACCTTACCTTATCTTTCTCTATCTTATCCTGCCTTATCCTACCCTACACTATTATACCTTATCCTACTGTACCTTGTCCTACCTAACTGTACCCTACCTTATTCTACCCTGCTTAACCCCACCCTACTCTACCTTATTTTCTGGTACTTTGTCCTTTCTTGCACAACTTTGCCCGACCTTACCCTAATTTGTCTTATCCTACGTTACCCTACTCTACAGTATCCTACCCTGCCCTACTCAACTTTACCTTATTCTAATTTAATATCTTTTACTCTACCCTACCTATACCCATCAAATCTACCCACCCATACTCTGCCTACCCCAATTAACCAAAACAACATAAAAAAAAACTCACGTCCAAGAGCATTAGCACATTGTCCATCTACTTGATTGATAAGAGAGGTGATAACAAAAAAGGTGACCAGGAAATTGTACAGACACATGTGGACTACCGGGTTAATATCTTGGATAGTCAAATGAACATACGACGATTTGAGGTCATGATAGACGTCGGTTTCAGTGTTCAAACACGGATACAACAAAGAATGACATATTGTTTGTTTTACGAACAGCAGTTTGTAATCAATTCGAATTTATTTTTAACTCAAATGGGATAACTACAATGTTCTTATGGGAAATGAAAAGCAGATAATAAGAGTATAAGAGTACCGAAACGGCTATTAGTAGGTATCACTAGTACTAAAAAAGGATCTATGGGACGTAGGGTAGGGTAGGGTAGGGTAGGGTAGGGTAGGGTAGGGTGGGATAGGGTAGGGTAAGATAGAGATGTTTACATTTGAAAGGGTTTAGGCTTATCATGGTATAGAAAGTAATGTACAATTGTCTTTTTTGAAAGAACATCAGGTGCATTAAGTTGACATCAGAAGGAACTCAATTAGGCTAGGGAGAGTAGGATTTACTGACAAATACCACACGATCGTCGACAGTGCTGATTCATACACACTTGATACATTGGAGTGAAACCTAAAAGTGCAAATAAAATTTAGAAAAGCTGAAGTTGGTCTAATAATATCAGGCTTACGTGGTCTAGTAATAGCAGGCCTATGTAAAGTAATTATACTCAAAGATTATACAGACATAGATCGTAAGAAACTTACATTCTTGTGTAAACATTTGGCAGTTTATGGCTCCATCTTGGCAGTTACTTGATGATGGTGGACCTAAAAAGTAACACTTATAAATTAAACTTGTATTATGTTTTACTACAGAAGTGACGGTACATATATACATATACACACTGACAGTTATGTAGTATACATAAATGTAATCTCAAATTTGGGTTTACAACGTGTAATATATTGTCTGAGAGGGTTACACAAACAACTTACAACAGGTATCCTGTATGCAAACATAGTTTTGGCCGGCATCTTGCATGTTTGGACATTCATTGGCAATACACGCTGAAAAATAGTTTTAAAAATTTTAGCCTCAAAATTTTAGGTTTAAAGGAAAATTTTAGGCTTAAAGTAAGGTTTTAGGCTTAACAGTTAAATTTTGGGCTTAAAATGAGATTTAAAGTCTAAAAGCTAAATGTTAGGCTTGAACTAAGATTTTAGGCTTGGAATTAAAATTTTATCAAAAAATTACATTAAAAATGAGATGGGACAACATAGTAAATACATAATTTATTATTATTATCAAACTACAATAATATTATTTGTATTAAAAGTACAATAAACTAATCAGGTATTGGTATATGTTTTAGATATGTCGGTAGTGATACTCATTTTCTTGTTGATAATAGTCTTCTTAACTTATGCTTAACAATAAGCACACGAATTCGAACAGTGATCAATCATACAACGAATATACGGCTGCTTTCTACAGTACACCAAGAACATTTGACAGTTGATGGCAGTGTCATAACACATACTTCCAGTTACTCCGCCAGCCTCAGGACCTAATTTTAAAAAAAGATAAAAAATGAAAAATTGAGCAAAGAAGAAGGAGATAGATTACTGTAGTTTTCTGTAGCTTACTGTATTTTTTTTGCTTACTGTAAGTGTTTTTTCTTACGGCAGATAAAGTTACTGTACGTTGTTTTAATGTAGTAAATGATGTTAAAAATAGCAAGAACTTTCTTTACAGAACAAAAAATAGCAAGAATTTTCTTTACAAATCAAAAAATGGCAAGAACTTTGTTTACAATACAAAAAATTACAAGAACTTTCTTTACAATACAAAAAATAGCATTTCTATATCCATCGTATGACTTGTCACCCCCAGCTTGCAGATTGCCAAAAAGTCCAAAAATAACATTAGAAATGCAAGAATTTTCTTTACAAAACGAAAATTTTTGTTTTTTTTCAAAATTTTATTGACAAAAATCTACCCCTAATTCAAAAAAAAATTACTCCTCCCAATGTTTTCGTTTTCGATTTGCCTTTATAAACCAACGAAGAGATTGTCTTTTTGAGCTGGTATCAATAGGAACTACACTAAAACTATTTTTATCATAAAAACTACAGTAAAACTATAAATTTTATACAAAACTACAGTAATCCCTTCACAAAAACAAAGTTTACAATAAAAACTTACAACAATAGTCATCAATGCACGAGTATAAAGCGCCAGCTTCTGTTTCCGTTGGGCATTGGGAACCGACACATGCTGAAATAGAACACAAAGTAAAAGTGTAAGCAAAGATGAACATAGAGATAGAAAAAGATTATACTTTTTGACATAAACAAGTCCGGGTTGGACTAAAATTTTTTATTTTTTATAATTTAAGCCTAAACTTAAGCTTAAATTTCTACTTGTAGGTAGAGAGAGGGAGAGATGACAGAGAAGAAGGGGTAAGATGAACGGCGGGGGAGAGGAAACAGCAAAAGCTTAGGTAAAGTTGGAGATCCCCCTGTCAATGAAATAAAATTTTTTTACCTAGCTCTACCTTGTCCTGCTTTGCTTTTCAACTCCTCCTGCCATACCCCGACCCTCTCTTTTGGCTTGTCCTGCATCTCCCGTTGCCCCGTTAGAGTCCCCATTGGCCCAATTTTGACTATGACAATTCAAGTCATTAAATTGTTCAACTAATTCTGTGCCTATCCTTAAAACAATTTTTTGGATTTAAGAGCACAGAATTATTTGAACAAACTAATATTTTTTTTTAATTTGAAATTAAAAAAAAACATTTTTGAAATAGAAATAATTTTTAGAATGCACTTACGTCCTAAAGCGTTAGCACATTGAGCATCACTTAATCGTACATAATAAGAGGCAGTTAGGACAACAATTAAAAATGAATTTTTGTACATTCTAAAAGTAGCCGCTTTAGAAAAATATGGATTTTTAGGTAACAAAATAGTAATTTTAAAGGTTTAGCGATGTTAATGATAGTTTAGAGGCCTTAAAGCGATGTTAAGGGTGGGCTAAAGGCCTAAAATCAATATAAAATATAGTTTTAAGGTCTTAAAAATAGTTTAATAAAGCTTTGCTAAGCTAATAGTGTTAAGAATGATAAAATACAGTTTTAAGAGTAATTTAGGTATATTATAGTAGGTTAGTCTAGCCTTTATTTCGCCTAAAAATAGCGTTTTTTCTAGCTAAATCTATGTCAAAGAAAAAAGTTATAGATAGTACAATATATGACAGTATATTTCACGTTAAAGGCTAGCTTATTGATAGTAAAAAGCCAAGTAAATGAGCTAAGTATACTATTATAACCAAGTAAATTAGCTAGATATACCAATATAACAAAGCAACTTAGCTAGATTAGATAAAAAGCAATCCAACCAATACAGCCTCACCAAAGCAGTGTAACCAAACTGAATGCAAAACAAATATAAAAACTAAAAATCAGCTCGCGAAACCTTGCCAACGGCCCAAAAACAATCATATAGACATATGTTGGGGGATGTTGTGTACACACTTGTACACAACAAAGAGAGTTGTTGTTCAACCATCTTGTTATGTATACTTTCAGCTCACAGTATAACACGAAATGTTTAGATTTTTAAAAAAGAATCGAATTTTGTTAGTTACTATATGTACAACAAAGATATTAACCATAGCCTTGTTTGTAGATCAATAAGATCAATTCGATGTTATTTTTTAACAAAAAGTAACAGCTCTGATCAAATAGTAACGTCTTTCACCAATAGTAACGTTCACGACCCGAAACAAACCTTGAGGGAAGAGGTGAGAGTGATCCGAAAAAATTTTTTTTTCAATCCCCTTCTCTAGCCTATATGTAGGTCCTTACTATAGCCTCAGCTCTAGCCTCAGCCCTTCCTAGCCTCAACTATAGCATTATCCTTAGCTTTTTTCCTACCATACTGTAGACCCGTTTCAATCTTCTTCTATACCGACTATAGAGAGCTACTATTCAGTCCCCTACTCTTACAAGGGTACTGAATAGTAGATTGTTAATTCTAGCCCTTATCCTAGCTACTACCCTACCGTCTCAATTCCAGTTCCTGGAGTAGAGGCGTTTATATGCTTCAGCCTTCACTTCAGCTTAAATGCTAGCCCTACATTACCCTTACATAAGCCAACGATAGCGTTTAACATTTGGGTGTAGTAGAAGAAAAAACCTACAAAAGCTTGGGTATAGTAAAAAGAAAAAGCTTCAGTATAGTAGAAAGAAACAGAGAAAGTATGACCAAAAGTTCGCTAAAAGGCAAGGCTAACGGTTGGCTTGGTTAAATGTTATTGTAAGCTCATGTAGAAGTAATGCCAAGTTTAGTATAGAAGCAGAGGTAACGGCTAAAGCAAAACGTTATGACTAAAATTTTTAAACACCCAAAAGAATTAAAAAATGATAAACAAAAAATGCAACAATGACTATCAAAAATTATTTTTGAAATTAAAAATAGTTTTTTTTGTTCGAAAAATTAGAAACCGTATTGTACAAACAGAACCCCCCCCCCTTTGACATGGTTAATGAAACATGAGGTCAGAGCATCAGTCTTTACTTTTTTCGCATGGCAGGTGCAAAAACTAGACATGATAATTTTTGTTTGTCGAAGAGTCAAAAACATGACGTTATTTTGGGACATGAGGACATAAACATAACGATAGGCTATATTATAGTCGGGATAGGGGTGGGGTAAAATAAAGCTAAACAAGGACTAGGATAGACAGAAGATAAGGCTAGGGCTGGAGTAAAAAGACGATGGGGCTAGGGTTGGACAGAAGTAAAGCTAGGGTAGAGATAGACTAAAAGTAAGGTTAAGCTAAGCTAGGGCTAATGTAGGGGAAGGTAATCAAGACTTGGGCTAGGATAGAGCAGGCTACACGTAAGATAAGATCAGGTTACGATAAGACAGAGTAAAACTTGAGTTGATCTACAGGGTGCGCAAATAATTCTGTTACACGGTTTTTTAATCAAATATTTGTAACACAACTTTTTGCACACGCTGTATACAGTAAGGCTAGCAGGGAAAGATTAGGTTACGGTAAACTAAAATAAGTTACAGTAGAGGTAGTAATGTTATGTAAAGGTAATCTACGGTAAGATAAAGGTGGAGGCATGGAGTAACGCAAGAACAGAGGTAAAAGTAGGGATATCATTAGAGGTACGGGTAAAGTTAAGGCTAGAGGTAAAGGTCGAATTAAGAGTAGGAGTAGGGTTAGGGTTAAAATTAGGAGTAAGGGTAGCTTTAGAAGTATAAGTGGAGGTTAGAGTAAGGGCAAGACAAGGTAGAATAAAGTAGAGGTAAGAATAGAGGTAGAGGTAAAGGGTAGGGGGTAGGAATTAGGGGGGTAGGGAGCGGGGGGGGAAGGGTAGGGGGTAGAGTACGTATACAACCCCATTTCAGGATATGTAAATTTATTAAAAAAACAAAAATATCACTGTAAAAATTATAAACCCAAATAAATATTATCAATAATACTAATCAAATCAGACTATTTTAGTGTCCCAATCGTTGGTAATAAGCACATCGGTGACAGTATTGCTACAATCCCAATTGGCATCGAAACCGCGCCCATCGCTGGTCTTGTCTGAATCCGTATTAAATTCGATTTTAAAGCTTTGAACTTCGGTTTGGGCTGGACCGGTCGATATTCGTTTCGTGGCTTCTTCGTCCTGAAAAGTTTGATTTTTTTAGCTAGGGCAAAGCCAAGGCAAGGCAAAGCCAAGGCAAGGCCAAGGCAAGGCAAGGCAAAGCAAAGCCAAGGCAAGGCCAAGGCAAGGCAAGGCCAAGGCAAGGCCAAGGCAAGGCCAAGGCAAGGCCAAGGCAAGGCCAAGGCAAGGCCAAGGCAAGGCCAAGGCAAGGCCAAGGCAAGGCCAAGGCAAGGCCAAGGCAAGGCCAAGGCAAGGCCAAGGCAAGGCCAAGGCAAGGCCAAGGCAAGGCCAAGGCAAGGCCAAGGCAAGGCCAAGGCAAGGCCAAGGCAAGGCCAAGGCAAGGCCAAGGCAAGGCCAAGGCAAGGCCAAGGCAAGGCAAAGCTAAGGAAAAGCTAAGGCCAGAGCAACTGTAGTCTAACGCAGATAACCTTACCGAACACTCAATGTTGGTCCATTGTTCCCCATCGTTCGTGACCATGCCCACTTTGAGCACGTCTCCATCATTACATTCCTTCATGACTTTGTTCAGGTACCGTTTGATGTCCAGGTAACATGTCATTCCACGTGGCGGGATAATTACAGCTCTAAAAAAAGTTGTTTGAGGTATAAAGGACGCTTTTTTAGGCTCAAAAGCAGTAAACAAGCCTAATCTAAACCCTTTCAAAGCATAAAACCCCACCCCCCCCCCTCAAAAAATACCGTAACCCACCGATAAGTCGTGTTAACATCATATCCAGGGTACCCAACGTTCTTAATCACCCCACTCTTTTCATAGATTGGTGCATACTCCAACAGTGTTTGGTACTCTTGATGGTACGTTTTGATCAGATAGTAGTACGCGTCGTATCCACCGTGATTTGAATTCGCATCGGTCGTAAAATTCAGAATCAACCGGTTTTGGGCCGATAATATCGGTGATGGTGCTGTGAAGCCGCACAAGAGCTTCGTAGTGTTTGTAGTCATATTGTAGTGTACCCGAAGCGCATCGTACTTGCAATTGTCGTTCCAGATCGGAACGGCGAGGGGAGTGTAGCGACGGTAGCGGCGGTAATGAAGAGAGACGGGCTTAGGAGGTTCTAGATGTGATTCATCGTGTGGAAGATACTGAAGGTTGTAGGGTGGATTCTGATGATCGTACGGTGAATTCTGATCATTGTGGGGCAATTCTTGATCGTATGATGGCTTCTGATTACTAGTCTCGAGATTCTGATCATTATAACGTAGATTCTCATCGTACAGAGGCTTCTGATAGCCGTACGATGCCTTATGAACCTTATGTGAGACCTTCTGTTTATCGTACTTAAGATTATGATCAAGAGCTTCATCGTACGATGCCTTCTGAGCCTTGTACAATTCCTTCTGCTTGTTGTATTGAAGATTCTCAGTATCTTCATCGTAAACCAACTTCTGACCAACATCTTCACCATAAAGACTCTTCTGACCACCATCACCTTCAAAACCAACCTCCACCTGCCTCATACCAATACCTACACCACCAGTATCCCTAACAGCCCTCCTCCGACCAAACGATCCCAAACCATCAACCGCACCAAGACTACCAGGACGAGGTATAGGTACCCGGTTGTGGTATCGTCTCCAGAATGGCGTCCTCCTCAACGCATATTGACCACGTTCGATTAGGAATGTCTTAAATACGATCAAGATACGATATTCTTCTGGGACTTCGATTGTGGTGACACATGATGAGTTGGCGTCGTATTGGTAGGGGAAGTTGGGGCTGTGGACTCGACCGGAGGCGAAACGACTGTTTGGTTCGTCAACGGTTATTGTGCGGTTACAAGCTGAAAAGATCAATAAATTTAGGCTTAAAAATGAAAATCTAAAATTAAAAATAATTTTTAAGCCTAAAATAAACTCAAAACTTACAGTCAAGCAATGTGTATGTCAAGTTGAATTGACTGACGTACTGGCTTTGTAGCACCACTGATGTTACTATCTAAAAAGAAAAATGTAAAGAACTTTCTTTACAGGACGAAAAACGGCAAAAACTTTCTTTACAGAACAAGTAATAGCAAGAACTTTCTTTACAAATGAAAAAATAGCAAAAACTTTCTTTACAAAACACAAATGGCAAGAACTTTCTTTCCAAAACAAAAAACACATACCTGTACCAAAGAAGTCTTTGAAACAAATCTCCAGAAGATGTTGCTACCACAAGTACGATAAATATTCGTAGCCTCCTTCTGATCCGTAGCACATGCTGGATGTTGACATTCGGCTACCGTGCCGACGTCACTGACCTCAAAGAACTCTTCTTCACATTTGTCGCTTTTGGCCGGGAAACTGAAGCGATTCATCGTTAGCTCGATGGGTTCATTCTCGTCACCACGAATGAAGAAACGGCAACGTTTGTAGCGTTGGTGGGTGCGGGTTAGGGCTGAAAAAAATTACAAGATTTAGTACTAAAAGACAATAAAGCCTACCCTACCCTCCCTACCCTAACCTACCCTGCCTTACCCTACCCTATCCTACCTTACCATACCCTACTTTACCCTACCCTTTTGACCCACCATTCTCTACCCAACCCTTGCACCAGCCTTGGCTAATCTTTGCCTAAGCCTTACCCTAGCCTTGCTAAAGCCTGCCCCATCCTTGCTCTACCATTCCCTGTAGTACTAAAACAAAAAGTATATTTCATATATAAAAGTACCCACAATAAGAAAAACTGAAAAAAAAATTCATACTGTACTTAAATTTTTACAGTATGAAAAACAACTTACTTCGTTGACTGTCGTATACCAATGGGCTTTCGATTCCAGTTCTGGCTGTGAATACACCTCCACAATCAGCTGAAAATAGACAGAATGTTATTACCATATATCGAACTATTACTCCGCTTAACCACCTGCCCCCCCCCCTCTCCCCCAAAAACCAGACAAAAAACACAAGTAAATTACCCCGCCCCCAATCGAAAACTTTTTAAAATGTGTAAAACCCACGCTCAATAGCCCTAAACTGCAGAGTAAACCCAGCAAAGGCGTCGGAAGAGTCGGTTTCGAAGTAAACTTCAGCCTTCTTGTACGATGAATAGTAATGTAAATGTTCCTCATCAAAGTCCCTGGATTGACAAGCTGGCTTCATTAACCATGGTGATACACCTTGAGGTCCGTCGTATATCTAAAAACAAAAAAATTAAATTTTTTACTTTTTAAAAAATCTACCCCCACTTTTCAAAAAACATTTACCCCGCACAAAAATTTTTTAATCCCTTTAAAAAATACAAAAATAAGCCCCGCCATGTCAGCAAAATCGTAAAATACCTTCGTTTTTTAAAATATCCACCCCTAATTTTTTAAAAAAATTTTACCACGCCCAAAATTTATTCGACCCGCTTTTCAAAAATGTAAAAACATGTCCTACCATATCATTCAAAACAGTGAAAAAATAGTTTTTCAAAATATCCACCCCTGATCAAAAAATATTTTTTACCCCGCCCAAATTTTTTTTTCAAAAACTGAAAAATATCCGTCCTGCCATTACTTTTTCAACCCACCCACCCCTCTAAACAAACATACAGCCAAGAAATCGTAGCAGCTTCCATTCCCCATCACCTTTCTCTGTTCCAAGTCAACATCGCTTAACTTGAACTCGATCACCTTGCCCTGATCCGCCGTCAACTTCCACCAACATCTCAGGTTGTTCATGTAGGTATCGAGCACATTTCCATGCCCATCCACCTGTTTTTCCATGGGCGGGGTAATAGTTTTCCACTCATTTTCAGCCTTGATCTCTCCGCCACAGCCCTTTTCGGGGCCGACGGTTGCTGTTAGGACTAGACTAAAGCCGCCTCGACTGGTCGTCTCGTCCGAATGAAATTGGATCAACATGTTACTGGTTTTGCTCATCTTTGTGCCAAATGGCGGGGATTGGCCGCATAAACGGCCCCATGTTGTGGCGTTTGATTGCTCGATACCATCCCATAGCTCGACGTAGTCAAAGTAGCACATTTCCGAGGCTTCTAGGTCGAGTTGACGGAATCTGAAAATAAAATTGTTAAAGAATAAACAGTATGAAATACTGTACTTTTATATTACCAAAAATCAAAAAAAAAATATTAAAAAATTGAGTTATAAAAAAGCCTTCACATATTATCCATGAGAGCTTTGACCCTGATTTGAAAAAATTGAAGTAGCTTTTTTTTCTAGTAAGTAAATTATAATGAAATTATATAATAAACAGTAACAAATACAGTGCTTTCACAATGATAAAGCTCAAAACATTATTGCAAACACAATTTGAAATAAACACAAAATCCCGGTATTATCCATAAGCTATCAACCCTTGTTTTAAAAAAAATTGTTGTAACGTTTTTCCGAATGATTCATATAACTTGACATGTTGGTACTGGCAGTGCTAAATAGTACTTTTTAAGTATGAAAAATATCTCAACGATTGTTCAAAAAGTTTTTGAGATAAAATTAAAAATCTGATAGTAACCATGTTACACATGACTTGTTTCAGAAAATTAGCTATATCTAATAAACCAGTGCCTCACTTTACCTGTTCTTTAGCCACCAAACGTGCTACATACCATACAATCATAATTCAAGGCATCAAGACTTAAGACCTTTTACTTTTTGAGAAAGAATTTAAAATATGATGTTACTAACACTTACTTGGCCGCAACGATATATCCATCCGGAGCAGTGACATTCCACACACAATTCAACTGATGATGATACGGTAATGGGAAGGCTGGTGATGTGATAGTGCCAGTCATGTGTGACATTTCATCGTCCAGCTGAATGTCTCCACCACAATCCGATAAGGCGTAAGTTAGGTGAAAGCCTCGAAGCGCTTTTCGCTGTTTCGAGTGGAAGAAGGTGGCATTGCTGACGAAGCGAACGGCTACTGGGCCTTTGATGGAAATTGGATTGAATCCATTGTTTTCGGATTTATGACCACAAGCAGTAAAGGCTACGCGATTCGCGGCTACATCGATAATTTGGATGTAGTCACTGCCACAGGGCTTTCGTTTACCGTCGGCTGGAATAGGAGGTTTAGCATCAGAAAAACTTGATTTTAGAAAACTAAGGCTAAATCTCAAGCTAGGCTTGGGCGAGAGCTTAGCCCAGAGCTTAGGCTAAATCTTAAGCTAAAGCATAGGCTAGAACTTAGGCTATTGCTTAGGCCAGAGCTTAGCCCAGGGCTTAAGCTAGGTCTTAGGCTATGGATTAAGCTAGGGCTAAGGCTAGAGCTTAGACTAAAGCTTAGGTTAAAGCGTAGGCTGGGGTTTAGAGCAGGACTCAAACTAGGACTTAGACTAGAACTTAGACTAGGACTTAGACTAGGACTTAGACTAGGACTTAGGCTAAGGCTTAGGCTAAAACTTAATCTAAGGCTAGGATTTAGGCTAAGATTTAGGCTAAAGCTTAGGCCAGAGCTTAGGCTAGAGCTTAGACTAAAGCTTAGGCTAGTGGTTAGGCTAGAGCTTGCGTTAAAGCTTAGACTAATAGTTAGGCTAGAGCTAGGACTTAGGCAAAAGATTAGGCTACTACTTAAGCCAGCACTTAAACTAGAACTTAAGTTAAGGCTTGGACTAAAACTTATTCTAGGACTTATACTAGAGCTTGGACTAGCCATTAAATGAAAACATTAGCTAAATCTTAAGCTTGAACTTAAACCTATAGCCTTACAAAATAGTTAGCCTAGGACTTACTAGTTAGACTAAAGCTTAAGCTAAGATTTAAGCCAGGACTTACACTAGAAATAAAGCTAGAACTTAGTCTAGAGGATAAGCTAAAGTTTAAACTAGAGCTTAGATTACGCCTCAAGCTACGGCTTAGGCAAGAATTAAAACGAAGGATTAGACAAGGCCTTAATCCAGGCTTCATGCTTAATATTAAGCCTTCAAAACCAATTTTAAGCCCAAAACCGAACCCAACCCTTACACAGCGTATCATCAAGTTCAAGATCATCCAGTCTGATGGTAACAATCTGTGTGTACTTGGTCGGTGGATTAATGTGATAAACACATTCCATATCTTCATTGGGGTAGTAATCCGGGTAGAATGGTGACATTACTTCACCATGATTCAGCTCGAACGTAGTACCACATTTGGCTTCCCATGTTAGCCTGAATCCACGTCCGGTGACGGCATTATTTGAAGTGAAATTAAGCCTAACTCGACGACTTTCGGTTTCAATTGGGGCTACTGCATCGATTCCACAGATTGACTAAAATTTTTAAATTTAAAAAAGAATGTCACAACAACATAGTAAATCATGTCAAAATGCCAAAGTAAAGTAAGAAATGTAAGTCTAAGCTACTTTACTGTAAGTCATGTCAAAATGACAAAGTAAATACCGATTTTTTAGTATGGGCATGGGTATGAATATGGGTAGGGGTGTAAATATGTGTATGGGTGAGGATATAGCTATAAATATAGCTTAGTAGGCTTAAGCTTAGTAGGCTTAAACTCAGCAGGCTTAGGCTTATTAGGCGTTGGCCTATAAGGCTTGGGCTTAGTAGGTTCAAATTACTCCCCCTACCCTGCGGGCCCATAACTCTACCCCCCCCCCTCCCCAACTGCCCTTACCCCTACCACTACACCTACCCATACCGCTACGTACCCCTACCTATAGCCCTACCCTTAACCCTAAAAGCCCCCTTCAGACCAAACTCACTCTACCCCCTTCCCACACTCCTTAATCATGCCTCAAACCTATACTTACCGCAACTTGTTCATCATGATCAAAGTAGAAAAAGTAGTTTCTCATCGGATCCTTGCCTCGACTCTGATGCTCCTGATAAATAGTTAAAGCATCCTTTTTGCAGTCGGCCGATACAGGAATGTCAACACGATCAAAGTTGAGTTGTACATGATACCCGGTGGGTACGGTAATTTCCCACAAACAATTCGCGTTGTTGGGGTAGTTTTGGGATGGGTAGCCGGGTGAGAAGAGTTCACCTTGCATGGCATGGGTGTGGAATCCACAAGCTGAAATTTTAAAATTAAAAAATTTTTTTTTGATTTGTAAAGAAATTTTTTGCAAATTTTTGTCATTTTTTAACCTGTAAAGAAAGTTTTTGCAATTTTTTCGTTTGTAAAGAAAGTTCTTGCCATTTCTTATTATGTAAAGAAAGTTTTTGCTATTTCTTGTTTAGTAAAGAAAGTTGTTGCCAAAGTAATCAAAATATGGTGTTGTGCAGCCTGCGGGTGACAAGTTATACGACGAATAAGACTTTTTTGTTTTGTAAAGAAAGTTTTTGAAATTTTGGATTTTTTAAAGAAAGTTCTTGCAAATTTTATCAAAAAAAAATTTTTTAACAAATTTTTCATTTACAAAAACTAAAAAAATGAAAATTTTGTATTTTTTCCAACATCACCACTTTTTGCGTAAATCCCCCTTCCGACCGGTCGAATCATGTCTTCGCCTAAGATGTTTGTACGTTTCGTTTCGTTAATTTAACTTTGTTATACTTTTACCCCGCTCTTTAAAAATTTTCATTTGCCTTAAAAAAGGCGTGTAAAATTTTTTTATCTACCTCTATTGAAAATTTTTTACCACACCCAAAAAAAATTTTTTAAAATTAAAAAAAAAACGTTTTTGTGCTATTTTAAAACATTTTTTTTTAAATTTTTTCAAAAAAAATTTTTTGATCCACCCCAAAAAAATCTACCTCGCTTACTGAAAAATTGATTTTTCTGCCCGAAACAACCCTTCTTGTAGCGCCTTATTTAAAAAAATTATTTTTATTCCCTCACTGTCAAAAAAAATTTTACCCCGCCCTTCAAAAAATTGGTTTTTAGAACCCTAAAGAACATTTTTTTAACACGCCAAATAAAAAAAATTCTTAAAAAATTTACCCCGCCATTTAATCCACCTTTAAAAAATTTTTAAAGTTTACCCCGCCCAATACCAATTGTAAAGTTTCGTCATTTTCCAGATATGCCGCCATTTTTTGGGCGGAGAAACAACGTTCGAGACCCTTCTGACCATGATCTTTCACATTCAAATGGGGTTGGCTGTCATCTTCACCATACTTTACGTGACCTACAGACGAATCACGTTGTACTATCGGAACCTGCTCAAGTCCCTGCCCACGCTGACAATGTTAGAGTATATGAGGTTGAAGAAGAGGCTGCCGTTTGAGCGTCAGGTCAACCCGGAGCTCGCGAAGACCACCATCACTCAGGACAGGACTCGAGAAGGTGCTGGATATAGTTGTGATGAAGGTAGTGGTCAGAAGTTAAAGTCCTTTTTCTTGGTTTTTCAAATTTTTTGAGGATTTTGGTTTGGAAAGAAAGTTTTTGCCGTTTTTGTCTTAGAAAGAAAGTTCTTGTCATTTTGTGTTTTGTAAAGAAAGTTCTTGCCATTTTTTGTTTTGTAAAGAAAGTTCTTGCCACTTTTTCTTTTGTAAAGAAAGTTCTTCCCACTTTTTTGTTTTGTAAAGAAAGTTCTTGTCATTTTGTGTTTTGTAAAGAAAGTTCTTGCCATTTTTTGTTTTGTAAAGAAAGTTCTTGCGTTTTTATTGCTATTTTTGCCTTCCTGGACATCTGCATACTGCGGGTGACAAGTTATACGATGAATGTAAAAATCAGGCCATTTTTCGTTTTGTAAAGAAAGTTCTTGCCATTTTTATTACCAAAAACAAATTTTAAATTTTTTTGGGTTCCGCAGCCTGCAGGGGACAATTTATACGATGAATAACTGTATTTTGATTTGTAAAGAAAGTTCTTGCAATTTTATATTTTGTAAAGAAAGTCCTTACCATGTTTTGACTTGTAAAGAAAGTTATTGCCATTATTTACTAAAACTTCATTTTTTAAAATGTTTTTAATGAAAATTTTTCATTTTGCAGATAATTTTAAATAATTTTTAGAATCAGAAGAAGGTACCTCAGCACCAAGTCCAACAAACCAGATAACCCCTGAAGATCAGTCAAGCACTCCTGTTCAAGGTAAGCACAATATTAACATTACTATTGATTTTGAAGTTTGTAAAGAAAGTTTTTGCCATTTTATGATTTGTAAAGAAAGTTCTTGCCATTTTATAATCTGTAAAGAAAGTTTTTTCATGTTTTTCGTTTTGTAAAGAAGTTCTTGTCATTCTTTGTTCTGTAAGGAAAGTTCTTGCCATTTTTGGTTTTGTAAAGAAAGTTCTTGCCATTTTTTGTTTTGTAAAGAAAGTTCTTGCTATTTTTCGTTTCTTAAAGAAAGTTCTTGCCATTTATGTAAAGAAAGTTTTTGCTATTTTCAACACATAATGACTATCCTTTAGATGAAGCCGAAGACTACGGAAATAATTTGAAGCGAACATCTGGAGGCGCTTCTTTAGATACTACTTACAGCACGTGGACTGATACCTCATTTATTCAGAATCATATGTTATAGAATATACTTTATTTCTTTGTACAAATAAATTTTGATTATCTTATTTTTATCGATTTTGTATTTTAAATTGAAAAAAAAACGTAAAAAATAATTGGACGAAATGTAAATTTTTCAGTAATTATTTTTTCGAAAAAAAAATTTCCATAATTCTTGCCCTATCTACCCTACTCTATTCTAACGTATTACGTTACGCTGCAGCGCTGGTGAAGTTTTTTTTAAATTTTGTAAAAAAATCAATAGTGACATTTCTCCACATTTTTTAAAATTAATAATCAAATTTTAAAAAATTTGGCAAAACAGTGCCAAATATAAACAAAAAACCACAGCTTTGAAATTTTTGCATTAACTTATGTTTTGTCAAGAAATGCCACTTCAATCCATAGTGACACTTCGTCAACATTTCATTTTTCATTAAAAATATTTTAAAAAACGTCAAAATAAAGTCAAATTTCAATCAAAACATAATTTAAGATTTTTAAAGCTGTTTTAATTAACAAAACCATTTTTAAACCTATCACTTACATGTATTACTGTCAGGCAACACAAACTCCCACTCGATTTCGAAGCCTTTGCCAGTAATTTCCTCGTCCGAATGGAATTGAATGGTCAAGTAGCGATCTTTGGATAATATTTGTTTGAATCTGTCATCCAACTCATATTCTTCAATGCCTTCCGTATTACAATACCTGTGTAAGGCGTTGGTTACGTCACGACCTTCGCCTACTACCACACTGTCTTTGTTACAGTAGACGTCGTATTCTATATCCATCTTGGTTACTGTCAACTGGAAAATAAGTTTTTATTGCAAAAATACTTTTAAATAACATTCTTAGCTATTCTATTTACTTTTGACTTCATTTTTAAACTTTAAAAAAGTTTCAATCAAAATGTAACGAAATGTCACAAAAAATCAATAATAATTTTTTTGACATTTCGTTACAAAATCAACTAAAATTAATAAAATAAGTTCAAAAACATGCTTTCATGACATTTCTTATCATTTACAACTCATGTAACGAAATGCCACAAAAAATCAATAACCCATAAATTTTTTGACATTCCGCAAAATAATTCTCTGCACCGTAAAACCAAACTTACCTTAACAATTTGCCCTTCCGGAGCCATGAAATGCCACAAACAATCAGCATTATTGGTATAATTGTCTCCATTTTGTGTACCTGGTGCTCTAATCGTACCAAAGTTACCGTATTCGTCTTCAGTCACGTCTCCACCACATGCTGGAAATGTCAAAAAATAATTTATTTCGTAATACTAAGAATCATTTTTCAGGTTTTTACTTTGTAAAGAAAATTTTTGCAATTTTTTATAAGTGGAAGTTGAGTGGAAGATTTTCAGTGCAAATTACATTACAAATTTCCACTGAACTTACACTTACAAAAAACTCGTTTTTGGTTCAAAAATCCATTTTTGTGCCCTGTAAAGTAATTTTCTTCCCTTTTAAAAACAAAAACTCACAATTATACTTTACGCTCAAGTTAAACTGTACAGTATGATCAATACTCGACGCTAGAGTATAAGGATTGTTCATGACATAGATGTCAATATACCTAGAGTTATACACCGCTTCGATGGTATTATTCCTGACGATTCCAGAGCAAAACACCTCCTTTAATGGCCACTCATTCAAAGTTTCCGATTGAATTTGAACTTGATTTGTAATTCGACCACAAGCTCGAATGTTCTCTCGACCAGCATAGAAGTTGGTAAAGTTCAGGGCTACTGTTGAATCCTTGCGCTTATTGTCGATTCGAATGTGGCAGAATGCTGAAGTTGATAACAATTTGAAATATAAACCTACCCTATACTACCCCACCCTACGCTCCCTGCCCTGCCCAACCCTACCGTATCGTATCCTATCCTGCCTTACCGTACTCTTTTATACCACACCCTAGCATAGTCATCCCCATCATGTCCTACCAAATAAGTACCAGACCATCGTACATTTCTTGTACTACCTACCGTGATCTAACCGACCACATAATACCCTTATCGTGCCATAGTCACTACATTACCGTACTCACCTTCACATTAGCCTTACCTTATCCCAGCCTCCTCCCTAAACTTTACCAAGGTATTGAAGCTCAAGCATGCTGTAAAACCTTAACCTGCTCCTACTGTATACCCCAACGATTACTCATTCTTACTGTAGCCTACAGTAACTTATTTTAATCTAATTTTTCCTACTACAATTTACCTTATTCTGCTTTGAACTTAACATACGAAAACCCCACTCTGTACATGCCCATTTGTTTCCTTACCTTACCCTATCTTACGACAGCCTTATCTTACCTTAATTAACCGTACCTTATCCTACCCAAGTTCTATATACCGTACCTTACCTTACCTTACTTTACCTTACCTAACCTTACCATACCTTACATTACCTTACCTGACCTTACCTTACCCTACCCTCAACTCACATTTAATGCCAGTGTTAGTAAACTGACTGAAGCTAAACAATGAATTGGCAGCCATATTATCCACAGTAATATTCTGGTCATCGTTAATATGCCACATACAGCCATTCTCATCAATATCTTCATCAACTCTAGTATACAGTAACTTAAATGGTTTGTAGAATAAACTTTTGTCGAAGTCATGAATAGTACCATCGGCGTAGGTTTTAGTACGATCTTCGTATGTTACAGTCATTAAGTCAGCTGAAGATACGAAGGCCGTACGATTGGCACAGAAACGTTGATATACTGAGTATAAGGTTGATCTGGATTCGGGCAGACCATTCCAGACTTCGAGATCTGGAAAGCAGTTCATCTTGCTGTTGATTACAAATCTCATTTGGTCGTAGAAGCCCTGAAAGATTTGTTTAAAGTAGGTAGAAAGTAGGGCGGGGAAAAAAAGGAAAAGAGAAAGCAAGGTAAAGTAGGGTAGGGTACGACACGAAAGATAAAATAAAGTCGAAAAAAGAGAGGTAAAGTAGAGTAAGACATGGTAGAGTAAAGTAAAGGGAAGTAAGTAAGATAGGATAGAATAGGATAAGAGTAAGGTTGGGCAAAATAGAACAAGGTACGGTAGAGTACAGTAAAATAGTAAATGATAAGGTAGACTAGTGTTACGTAGACAAGAAATGGCAGGTTAAAATGAAGTAGAGTAGAACCAAGTAAGGTAGAATAGGATAAGTCAGGATAAGGTAGGATAAGTAAGGTAGAGTACGTAGGGTACGGTAGAGTAGTGTAAGATACGGTAGGAAAGGGTAACGTAAAATAGAATAGAGTAGAGAAAGGTAAGACAAAATGGGTTAGGGTGAAGCCAAGTAAAATCGGGTATGGTAGAGCAAGGTCACGGCACGTTAAAGTCCAGTATATCAAGGCTACTCTCGCCTACCCTTCTCTACCCCACGGTGCTCTAACTACCCTACCTTACTTACCCTATCCTACTGTACTTTAACTACCCTACCATACCGTACTCTTAATAACACATTAAGTCAAGTCTTTTATCTTACCGTGCCGTAACTTACCTTATCTCCCTCTACCCCGCAGTTTCATATAGTAAAGTAAAATCGAAAACTTTTTTAAATACAAGTATTATATTAACATCTTACATCCTCCTGCAAAAACTTCAGCTCCACCTTATACCTGTAGCCAATACCAGCTTTGAAGTTCCAAACACATTCGATTCCAGGTAGTACATGGTCAGGATATCCAGGTACAACTACTTGACCCTCATCATCCTCAATATCTCCACCACACTCGTACTTGCTAGCCCGTAGTTCGATCTCAAAACCGCATTTCCGATTTAAACAGAACATTCGAGCACCGCCTCGAGAGAAGCTGGAATTGGCGACGAACTTCACCACAGCCGTGTTGTGATGAGAATGGAAAGTACGATCGATTACTGCACGCATCGAACATGATGGTCCTAGTAGTACCGTGCGGTTCGTTGATGATAGTAATGTTGTTGCTGGTAGAGTTGAATTGGATTCTGAATTAGATTCTGATGCTTCTGAAGACTGAATCACGATAGGAGAACGACCATCGTACACGGCCACCGACTCTTGTTTACAGTCTTCAGATATGGACAACCAGAGATGTTTTAGGCTGAAAAGTAGCACATTTTTAGTAAAACATGACATGATAAGGTAATACCGATATAACTAAGAAAGGGTAAACCCAATGTGCGGTAGCAATATGAGTAAAGTAGGTAAGACAAGACGTGGTAGCGCAGGGAAGAGCAGGACAGAACAGGGCAGGACATGGCAGTACCAGGCAGGGCAACGCAATGAAGTTTTATTTTAAATTTTGTATGGTTGTATAACAAAATCTCAAAAAAAAAATAGTTATTGATTTTTCGTGACATTTCGTCACACGACTTAAAAATGCAAAATATTATGTTGTCAAGAAAAGAATGTCGGATTTTGATGCTGGCGACGGAAAGAGAGCAAAAATGGAACGAAATGTTGCTATTGTGTTTTATATTCTTCAAAAGCCAAGGTTTTGGGCTATCGTTTGATATGTTTGTCGTGTTTTTTATTGTGTACAGGGGCGTCGCTACGGATTTTTTCTGGGAGGGGTGAAGACCCAAAAAAAAATTTTCGTCCACAGGTAGCAGCTACCTGTAGACCGATTTTTCTAAATTTTTTTTTCGATTTTTTACGTACAGGTACTACTTTTTTTACTTTGAAGTTTTAAAAGTTGTTCAGAAAGATCGAGTTACGCGCCATTTTTTATACAATGTCAAACTTGGCCACAATGCAAACGCGGCAACGCGGAAGATTATCATGACATTTTGCACTGGTACAGCTATAGAACGCTCTGTACGACGCTAATTCCAGCGATTAAAAATTGGCGACTTTCACTCGAGAATCTGGAACTTGACGGTGGGATTAAAAGAAAAAAAAATTAAAAACGACGCGAGAGTATGTCAAAGACCTTGGAGTTTGCCACACTACTGTGCAGAATCATCTGAATCAGTAAAATAAAAAAAAACAAGGATCCACGTCTGGTAAAATCCGTCATTCTTTTCTTTGCAACCTAATAAAAAACGTTTACGGAAAATAGGGTAGGGTAGAGTAAGACAGGGCAGTGCAAGGCAAGGTAGGTCAAGGAAGGGCGATGCAGCGCAAAGCAGAGCAGGTAATTGCAGATAAAAGAAAAAAAAATCTTCAAAAAACGCTTACGTTCCCTCCACAAAATGTCCCTTCGGAGCTTTGATGAGCCATTCACAGTCCTCTTGAGCTGGATAAACTTCAGGGAAATTGGGGCTGGTGATGGAAGCGTTCACGTTTGGTAATAGAACCACCGTTCCTCCACAACTTGCTGAAAAATTTCGAATTTTTTTAAAACTATTAGGTTGAACCAAAAGTTGTGGGGCACTTTTCATCGTATAACCTTGCCCCATTTTAAAAAAAAACCAAACAGCTTAAAAAAGCTAAAATAAGCCTAATCTTCACCCTTTTAAGCCCAAAACCACAATATTATCACGTTATTACCCAATTCATAAGTAGCCTTCCAGCCTTCAGAAGGCGAATAGAAATCAGTAACGAATCGAACAAACAAATGCGAATCGGTCGATAAAATCGACGACGGTGCATCTTCCCTACAGTATCTTCCAATCAATGGTGCTGCTTCACTCGGTCCGTCTCTGATCTCCATATAATCATCTTCACATTGGTCTGCCACATTCTCCAACATGAATTGCTCTGGGTCGACGGTGAATTTGATTCTATGCCCTGGAGGCGCGGAAATTGTCCATTGACAGTCCAGAGAGTTGGGTGCGTCTGAAAAATAATGAGCTATACGGTAAAACTAGTAAAGTGAGGCAAATTTACAATAAGCTTAGATAATCTACAGTAGAAATATTAGCGTTAAATAAAAAAAAACTACGGCAGGATAATTAACAGTAAGACAGGGTAGGGGTATGTACTTACTGTTCGGATATCCAGGTGAAGTGATCTCTCCCTTCTTATTGATTTCATCGATGGAAAGGGAATCACTACAAGTATGAGTGATCTCTTCGACCAGTAGCTGAAATCCTTGTCGTGGTACAGCTGGTGCTGGTACTGGTGCCTTGCCTTCGAATGTTATAAATACTCTGCCATTCTTGGCTATGAACTCGAATAAGTTATTGCCACAATGACGTTCGGTAGTGAGTTCTAGAGAGTTTGAGGATGGTACAGAACTCTGAAATTAAAATAGAAAGAACTTTCTTTACAAAACGAAAAATGGTAAGAACTTTCTTTACAAAACAAAAAATAGCAAGAACTTTCTTTACAAAACAAAAAATGGCAAGAACTTTCTTTACAAAACGAAAATGGCATACACTTTCATTACAAACAAAACTGCACAATCAAGAAATCCATCGTATAACTTGTCCCCCGCAGGCTGCAGCCCCTAAAACCTTAAAAAAACAACAAAAAATTAAACTTACAACTTGTAAATAATCATTATTACACTCATTTTCACCTCCCGGCGGACTCAAATCCATTGACAGAGCCTTGACCTTGATATCTCTATTCGTCTCCAACATGATTCCCCACGTACAACTAAAGTTATGACTGCCAGTTTGAGGAAACAGTGGGCTGTTCAATGTGTATGCCAATTTCGCTTGCTCCACACTAACATATTCAAAGGTTTTGCAGGCTGAAAGTGGCACAAAATTAGATTTTTCGATTAAGAAAGATTAAAAAGTGGCACAAAAGTCCAAATTTAAGCAACTTTTTTCAAAATTTTCAAATTTTGATAAGAAATTAAACAAAAATTTAAAATTTCAATTAAAACATTAAAATCCTTGTCATTTTTACTATCCTTTCACAAATTTTCAAAAAATTTGAAGAACGTACCAAGTTGATATTGAATGGTAAAGCCGGTAAACCCTCTTGATCTGTCCGATACAAAGTAGATAAAGGCTTCTTTTTCGTAATTTATCAACACGTCGTAGCCATTTTGCTCTTTTTTACACAGACGGTGCATGAATGTTGCTTCTCTAAACAATTTTTTATTAAAAATTTGGCGGAGACACGTTATACGATGGAATGTGTGCGGACATGTTTGAGAGTATAACATTTCTTCAGAAAATGTTATTTGGCCAAAATATATATAACCAGACTGAGTAAACTAATCATATGGTACACATAGTCCAGCAATTTTTATATTTTTGATTATAAGACATGTTATACGACCAAACAAGTCCAGACATGTTTCATCGTATAACATGTCTTTATAAGCTATTGTAAAGTAAAAATAGTAAAAAACACTTAAGAATGGCACAATTTTTACTTCTAAAGCAGTTTTATTGCATTTTGTACACTAAGGATCATTTTTGAACAAAGATGTCTTGACACGTTTCATCGTATAACATGTCCCCAAAATTTAAAAATGTAAAAAAAAATCACAACTCTAAAACTAGCCAATATCCACACTAAATAAGCCCAAAAAAGCTTACTCCAACTGCCGTGTCGTTGTGAACTCCTTAACACCGATGGTCAAGTAGTCATAGGCACAGTTAACATGCTCTTCCAGGTCGATCAACATTACTTTGAAAGCAATTCCATGTAACAATGGCCTCGGGATTCTCCAACGGCATTTTAGTTCATTCGTGTACTTCTTACCTAAATTTTTATTCATTTATCGACCAAACAATTAAAAATTTTAAAATTTGTTACCTAAAAATCCAATTTAACCCCAATTTCCCCCTTTTACCACAGTAAAACCTCAACTTACGAACAGTAGGCAATGTCAAATTGTGAGGTATGAATGAAGCGTCCAAATCTCCACCACAAGTGAATTCGTCTTCTGAATCCGTGGCTTCTGAAGTCGAATCTGTGCCATTCTTTTTGGCTGGGATCGCTCTCCAAGTCAGATCAAAGTGAGAGATATCGGATCGACTGGTCGATTTAATCAAAACTTCGTTTGTTTCGTAGACTCGTGGTCCTTCATCGTCTTGTAGGGATTCGATTATCTTGTCTCCTACCTAAAAAAAAATTTTGGGAAAAATAACGGACATGTTATACGATGAAAGATGTCCGGGTATGTTTGTTCGTATAATTTGTCCTTACAAAAAATATTGAAAAAAGCATAAAATATGTATTTTAAAACATTTTTTAAATTATAAAAAAAATTTAATAAAAATTTCAAAAAAAGTGATAAGTTATACGATGAAATGTGTCCGCACAAATTTTTAAAAGTTTCAAATTTAAAAAAAATTAAATTTTTTAAATTTCAAATTCCCTAAGGCAATATGAGAAAAATTGTTTGTAAAGACTTGTGAAGCTCTCACAATCTATCAAACACCTTTTTTCACCATTTTGAACCAAATTACAGCCAAATCCTATGCTAAATGACCCTATAGTCTCAACTTTAAAAATTCGTACCTACCGCAGGCCCCGCTAATATGACCCAAAATTACTGTCATTAGAACCGCAATAGCATGTAGTTATATCACCTATCTTCAAAAGTCCATCACATGTAAGATTTTTTGAGAAATTTTAAATTTTGCAAAACTTTCAGAATTTTTTCGCAAGTTTTAATTTTTTTCAATTCCTTCCGGGCACAATAAAAAAAGTTGTCAACAGATAAAATAAAAGACTTATAGTAACAAACATATTAAAAAAGGTTCCATTCCATTCTGCCAATTAGTGCAAGAGTTACAAAGAAAGTTTAAATTCTACCGTAATCCTACCGTAACCCGAATTTAAAAAAAGTTTTTATATTTTTGGATTTCTATGCTTAAATAATACCTCTTGTTAAAAAATGAACAATTTTAAAATAGTTTGAAATTTGTGAACGCCCCCGTCCGACAGGGTACGTACCCTACCTACCCCGCTCAGAAGCAGCTAAAAATTTTTATATGAATTCATTGTACCACCAATAGTACCTATAAAAAGGTTTAGCTCACGCTTTTAAATTTGAATTATTTGGTTTCCCGCCAATTTGGCAAATTTGGCATTCTGTTTCAAGTACTTTTTTTCGACTTTCAAGACAAGCTACACTTACAAATTTAAAAATGTAGGTTCACTTAAAAGTATTCTACTAGTATATCAATGAAAAATGCTTAAAGTTAAAAAAATAGCGAAGTTATAAGCTTGCAACACAATGCCAATTTGGCGGGAAATTCAAAACGTAATTTTTTGATATCCATTTTCTCGCGATTTCCTGGAAAGCGAGGCTTAGTACTTTGCTGAAGATCTTATATTTACTTTTTCTTTCTGTATAAAAAGTTTGAAGTCAATCAGAGAGGGCCAGGTCAGGTACCTTCGTCGTCGTCAAAAATTACCCCTTCAACCAAATTTTTCCCCTTACCTGCAGCTTAAAAGCCACCAATGAGTTCAAATTGACTTCGATATGCTGCTCCGTGCTATTGGCTCTCAAAATCCATGTAATCTCCTTATCAGCTTGTACGATTTTGGTTGATCCGATCGGTAGAACCAAATGATTCCCCTTCACCACGCCTCCCAGCTTCTTTTCGAAGCGGAATTTAAGCCATTGCTCCGGACTAGCCTGGGTTGGTACCAACATTTCTGTATCGTCATCGTCTTCAAATCGTTTGCGCAGTACTCGAATGTAGAGTTGTTCGGCTTCGTATGTTCTTGGCAGGATTGTGCCACATAGCCTGGCCAAGAGGTTTCTTTTGTCACCGCTTCGTATTTCAACGTAGCTTTGTGCGCAACCAACGGATTCTGGGATGTAGGAATCTCTGAAAATTAATAAATTTCAAGTTTTTAGCCATCGTTTTATATCAGAGACAAGCTATACGATAAAAAGTGTCCGGGCATGTTTCATCGTATAACACGTCACAAAATAAAAAAAATCAAAAAATCATTAAAATTTAATTAAAAATGCCAAATTTAAGATAAAAATCAGTATTTTTCCTTTTTTTATAATTTTAGTGACATGTCATACAACAAAAAATGCCCAAAGCGATATGTTATACGATAAAAAGTGTCCAGACATGTTTCATCGTATAAACTTGTCCTCTGAATATCAAAACAGCACAAAATACAAAAAAATCAAACTTACTCCAAATAAAACTTCACAGTGTTACCAGGACTGTTTTTGATAACATAATCACAGTCCATATCACCACTAATTTCGTAGTTTCCTTTTACAGCATCACCAATGTCTCCGCACACTGAAAATGGAAATTTAGTCTTCAAAATGAAACCTCAGGCTTAAAAACTACTACCCTGCTGGTAATCCGTACCCCCACCCCTACTTTCTAGAGCCTACCAACTACTCCCTACATTCTACGTTCTACCCCCTACCATTTACCCCCTATGTTATATCTCTTACTTTCTACCGTTTACTTTCTACCCCCTACGTTTTACCCCCTACCTTCTACCCCTTACCTTCTACTACCTACATTTTACCCCTTACCTTCTACCTCATACCTTCTGCCCCCTACATTCTACCCCCTACCAACTACTCCCTACATTCTACCCTCTATTTTCTACCCCCTACCTTTTATGCCCTAGCTTCCACACCCTATCTACTACCACCTTCCCCAGTCCCTTCTTTATCCCTTTATTTTTACCCCCTAACTTCTATCTCTTATATTCTACTCCTTACATTCTATCCCCTACTTCAAGCAATATCCTACGTTTACCTCTACCCCTACCATTACGTCTACTTTTACCCCTACCTTCTACCCCCTAACTCCCACCCCCACATTCAACCCGTGCCTTCTACCCCCTACTGTCTACCCTGTACCTTCTACCCCCTCAATTCAATGCCTATCTTCTATAACCTTTCTTCTACCCCTTACTTCCAGACCTAATCCTACACCATACCCAGTACCCCTAAAAAACATTTTAAACCCTGCAAAAAACTTACTGTAGCTAACAGTACTGTAATGCAACACAAACGTGGCATCTTTTGGTATTTCACTGACTTCCACTACCACATCCAAATCACATTTCACTACATTGATATGACGGTTTTTAGTCGAAGCGTAGTTTCTAAAACGTCATTTTTTCAAAAAATGCTTTTCAGTTATCAAAAATTGAATGTAAAATACGTCCATGTGTAGTAAAAACTTTTCTAAATTATGATAAGAAGCTTACGGTTCAACATCGTTACCACAGGTAACGTTCAAGAAGACTTCTTGATCATCGTCGAAAGCGTTCAAGTCCACCAACTCGAATCCCGTTACAATTTGCTTTGAATAAGCAGCTGGAACATATGTAATTTAAAAATTTTTCATATTTCAGTAAAATGGCACATTTAAGACATGTTATACGATAAAACATGTTCGGACATGTTTCATCGTATCACATGTGTCTTAAAAAATTTTTATTGAAAGTATTGCTTCAAACAGACCAATATTAAAAAATCTAAGCTGCAGATTTAAGATATTCACTTATTTCTGTATCTGGTGACATGTTATACGAAAAAACATGTTTGGACAGTTCAGACATGTTTCATGGTATAACATGTCCTCAATATAATTTTATTAGCCACAATGTTTTAAATAGCTCAATACTGTCATTTCTAAGCTGTAATTATAGTATTTTATCTATTTTTGTAATTGGTGACATGTTATACGATGAAACATGCTAGATGTTTGGACATGTTTCATGGTATAACATGTCCTCAATATAATTTTATTAGCTACAGTGTTTCAAATAGCGACATACTGTCATTTCTAAGCAGTAATTATAGTATTTTTATTTAATTTTGTAATTGGTGACAAGTTATACGATAAAACATGTTCGGACATGTTTCATCGTATAACCTGTCTTTAAATAAAAAAAGTCAGCAGATAACAAAGTAATATATAAAATACTTTAAAAAATTAGTTTAAATTTTTTTTTAAATAGTAAACGATTCAAAAACATACTCGAATCCTCTCTGACAATCCTGAACTTGCACCCTCCATTGTCATGTAGCATATTCTGATGTAAACTCAATGTTTTCTTATCATCACCCGCCTCCAATGTGCCACCACAAACAGCAAAAGCTTCCATGACAAAACCAATTTGATCTCTTTGAGCCGAATCGCCTGAGGGAATATTGGCTTCGAATGGGGCTCCGTGAAAGGTTACTGTAGACACATTGTTCACTATATTGAAAATGACCGGACTTGTAATATCGTTACAGATTCTTGACACAGCCCCCTTCGATTCACGATATGTTCCGAAAAGACTGTTGGTTGGACTGTATTCACCTGAGTAGACGGCTAGACCACCCTCGATGTACATCATGGCTGAACTGCATCTGAAATGAAAAAAGTGCAGGTTTTTATAAATTTAAAGCTTTATCATTAGCTAGCTCTACCCTACCCTACCGTACCCTACCCTATCCTACCGTACCGTACCGTACCGTACCGTACCCTACCCTACCCTACCCTACCCTACCCTACCCTACCCTACCCTACCCTACCCTACCCTACCCTACCCTACCCTACCCTACCCTACTCTACCCTACTCTACCCTAACCTACCCTACAATTTCCTATTCTTTCCTTCATCTACCTTATACTAGTGACAAATCCAATTGGCGGGTGACGTCTCCTAGTCGGTGTAATGAAATGTGACAGATTATAGGCCAATGAGAAGCCTTTGATCGTTTCAAACTGCCATAAGCATTCAATCGCCTTAGGGTATTGTTTGGGGAAGTTTGGCGAGGTTATTGTGCGGTTGTGGCCAGGGAGTACTGTAATTTCGTGTTTTTTTTAAATTTTTAAAAAATTTTCAAAATTATTTTTAAAATTAAAACGTATTATATTGAAGTGCCGTATTTTACCTTGAACAACCCCACCACAAGCCCTAGTACCATCCATTTTGACAAATGTGACATTGGCATTGAAAATGGTGCCATTCTTCGTGGTATACTTAGCGTCCATTCCCAACCGAATTGCCAATTCATTCGTATGAGAAGTGTAGGATTTGTTTTTGTAGGCTTCGATTCGTCCACAATAACTCCATTGAGGGTATTCTGTGACATTCGCTCCGGAGAAGAACTGAAAAACGCAATATTAGACGAAATGCCACAAAAGTTATTGGAAAAGCTGCCGAAGTGTCAAAAGTGTAGTAAAAAATATTATAATGAATATTGTTAAAATACAACGTTTTCTATTAAAAAAAACCAAATTTTGAAAAATTTTAGGTTGAACAAAATGTCACAAAAAGTATTGGAAAAGCTGACAAGGTGTCAAAAAGTATATTGGAAAATGTAACATATAATTAATAATTTACAAAAACCTAATTATTAGTTTTAAAAAAACATGTCTTCATATAAAATTTAATTAGACAAAATGTGACAAAATAAAAAATCAATAAAAAATGTCAAAAACCTCAAAAAATACAAAAAAACTTACCATAATTCCGTTAAGTTGCTTCATATCGTCAGGACAAAGCCCTTCAGGTATTTGTTCCACCATGTACATTTCAGCAATATCAACTTTGACCACATAACCAACCGGTGCTTTTATTATCCAGTCACATTCTCTTCGCGCTGATAATGACACATTTACAAAGTCGTCGACTGATGCTTCTAATTTTGAATTGTTTCGTAGAATTACTCCGCCACAGCCTGGAAATAAAATTATGATTTAACTACCATACCCTGCTCTACCCTACCCTACACTACCCTACCCTACCCTACCCTACCCTACCCTACCCTACCCTACCCTACCCTACCCTACCCTACCCTACCCTACCCTGCCCTACCCTACCTTACCCTACCTACCCTACTCTGCCCTATCCTATTTTACCCTTCCCTACCATACTATACTTTAAGATACCGTACCCTACCCTATCCTATCGTACCCAAACATACCCAGCACCGCCAGCCTTGTCCCGCCTGCAATGCTTTGTCCTACCCTACCTTACCGTACAAGATTTGCCCAGCCAGGCCTTGTCCCACAGTACCCTATCTTGCTTTGCAAGCCCTGTCCAGAGTTTCTATGTCCTACCCTACCCCACTTTTCCCTGCAGCCCGTTCAGCCTTGCCTTGCCCTGCCCAACCCATCCCAATCCCGATTTTTCCTTCCCTACCCTACTACTATCGTACTAAGCCATACCAGCTCCTGTTCCCATTCTTTTTTCTGCTAGCTTTATCCAAGCCCACTCCATGTACCTTACACCACCCCCCTCCCACCCCAATCTCTCTGAGCCATTCCACATTACCTTACCTACCCCTGTTCGACCATCAACATTACTCACCCTTGTCCTACCACAACCCTCAACCCAACCTTACCAATAGTGCTCCAAGACAGCCAGAAATGATTCTCAGAAGACTGTTTAGTGACAGTAAAGTTCAAGTCCAACTGATTACTGTTCGAGTAAATCTCCGCTGGCACAGCGAATGGATTACAGAACTTTGTCGCCTTCATGTCTTCAGTAGTCGTACCATCTTCACTACCCACCGTATGGTTCACTTGGGACTTTTTGACAGCCAGATAGTTCGTAAAGCATTCGTTCAGGCCTCTGCTTCTTATCAATACAGCATTATCTAGTCTGAATTTGTGGAAGACTAGCTTGATTCTGGAGCCGGCATAGGTTTTGATCGACCAACTGCAAGCTCGAGCTTCACCGACCGGATACGGATAGCCAGGTGATTGAATCGAACCGTGGGAACCGGTCAAGACTATGTTGTTGCATACTGAAAACGAAAGGTTTAGTAAATCAATTACTGAAAGCAGTGGGTTAAGTAAAAATCATTAAAATCTCAGCTGACATTGAAACCAAGCCTTTAAAATTTTCCAATAATTTTTGTGGCACTTCGTCACAAATGCAAAAAAACGGCTTTTAAAATTATTAAAAATTTTTGAAAATTATAAAGATAATCGTTTTGTTGCCTTTTTAAAAAATTTTAAAAAAAATATTTTTCCAATATATTTTGACACTTCGTCATCATTTCCAATATTTTTCGTGACATTTCGTTCACCCCACTATAAAAATGCAAAATCCGTTTAGAAATAAATTATTATTTTCCGTTTTTAATAAAAATAATAAAAAATACTTTTCCAATAATTTTGTGACATTGCGTCGTAATTTCCGATAACTTTTGTGACATTTCGTTCGATATTTCAAAATTACTCTAACCCCAAAATATAACAAACAAGGCACCTTACCAGTGATAAATCGTCCCAAAAACCCAAACAATCCCCCATTAATGCTTCCACCAACTTGATTGTACTTGACCACCAAGTTATTGCCATTTGTGATCAATGGCTCTGGTGCAACCTCTCGTTTACAATACCTTCTCAAAACGTTTAGATCTCGTTTCGTGCCTTCCGACAGGTCGATAAAGTTCCTGGCAAATGGTTGACAAACTCCAGTGTAATCAGCTGATGCCAAGTCGTCCATTTGATCAATTTGAAAGCGAATTCGATTACCTTCGGCCACAGCGATCGTCCACTCACATTGAAGATGATGCGAATCGGCTTTGGGGTATTGTGGTGATGCGATTTCTCCAGTGTAGCCTCGGACGTAGCCTCCGCAACCTGAAATGTCATTTTTTCTTTTAAATTTTTAATCGATAATTTGTGTGACACTTCGTCTATTTTTCCAATATATTTTTGACATTTCGTCAATTTTCCAAAAAAAGTTTTGAGAAGACGTCAAAATATAGTAATTTTCAATCATTTAGGCTTAAAAGTCTATATAAAATTTCCAATACTTTTTTGACATTTCGTCCACTTTTCTAATAACTTTTTTTGACATTTCGTCTACTTTTCAGTACCCTTACTATACAGTACTCAAAGCAAAAAAAATTTACTTTGTTCGATCATTTTGTATTCCAATTTAAAAGCCGTGTTTCGTCCACTTTTTAGATTTATATGAATGTAGGCTTGATTTCCTTGTGTTATCATACTTGGCACTTCCTTATCACCACAGAACGATGAATCTGGCCAAAGCTGAGGGAATCCTGGAGCGTCTGAGTGCCCGCCATTCCTGGCAAAACGTATTTTACAACAAAAAATTTCAAATATTTAATAAAAATGCTTAAAAATGACGCTTTTAAGGTCTGCAGGCTGCCGGGACCATGTTATACGATAAAACACGTTTAAAAAATTTTTAAGCAAAAATGTAAAAAGACTATAAAAACAATTTCAAAACACTTATAAAACTCTTACTTAATCACAACTTTGCCATCTTCACAAGGTATGTCGTAATCGGTGACATTCAAATGAATCCTCGCCATAGCTGGGAGGACAATTCTGTAGTTACATTCCTGGATGTTGCCATAATTTGATCTGTTAAAGTCGATTGATCCTGACAATTCTGTCAAGACCACATCACAATAATTGTGTAGATTTACAGTGTCAAAATGAGCCGAAAATCCATTTCCATTGACGGAACGATCGCTGGTGAATACTACTACAAGTTTGCCTGTGGCTGATACAATTGGAGGCGGATTTGCTACTCCACAGTATCTAAAAAACAACAAAAAAATAATTTTTTATCATTGATTTTCAGAAAAGTTTATCTTCAGTATCAAAAAACAGTTTCTGATAATTTTTTGACACTTCGTCTAAATTTTCGATAACTTTGTGACACTTCGTCCAAAGCCTAAAGTTCCTTGCTTTCGAGCGTCCGACTACCTCTTGATCTCCAACATAAATTCAGAAGCCATAAAACCATAAAAACTCACCGTCCCAACAATTTTCCTTTGCTCGTCTCACTATCATATTCATCATAGACTTCGACCGCATCAAAACCACAATCCAGCCGGCTGGCAACATTCTCCACATCGAAATCGTCGAAAGTAAGTCTAACTGCTTCATTTGACTCTGCTTGGATCTGGTATATACAGTACATATGGTTTGGATACTTGTTTGGATAGTTTGGTGAGGTTAAGGTACCTAAAACAATATTGAAGTTATTGGTAGGGAAAGTAATATTTTTGGATTGAAATTGTTACATAGAGTGTAATATAGATTATGCTGCATCTTTTGATACTAAATTTAACCAGTAAGATTAAGAAAAAAAACGGCTACATCGAATCAAAGCACGCAGACATCAAGTTGTCTAGTGTAATATGTTTTAGACAAAAATTATGTGGGTAAATGGATGTAAAACCAGCTAAATTCCATTGCAAAATATTCTACAGCTTTTTATGAATCTTTTAATATATAATTTATATAATAAAACCTAAAAACCCTTCAGCTACATCACAATCAAGCCGATCACCCATCGAAATGTCAAGAACAACATCGAAACTTACCTTTGTCCGAATTGAAGTATCCACCACATCCCTTCTCTTCAACAGTATAGGAAAATGAGAATCCTTTGTTGTCAGCTGCTCCTGATGTGCTGTAGGTTATGCTGATACCAGATGTTCCACTGACAACCATCTCGCCGCTTGGAGATACGAATGGATACCTCGAGCAATGATAACGTCGGTTTAACGCTGTGTCGAGTGAATGGCCACCTTTTAGCTATAAGAAAGAAGTTATTGTAAGTTATTAAATATTTTTTGGGTTTAGATAAAGGTTTCTTGCTGTTTTCCAGCGAAATATTATGTTATCCATGAGGTTTTTAGGTATAAAGTCTGGAAAACTCAAATTTTAAGCAAATTTTGTAGGGTTTTATCTTAAAATCAAAAGCAAAGATAACAAAAGACAAAATCTTACCTCAATATAATCGTTGAAGCCTTCGGCTTCAGTGTCGTTTGACTTTTGAAGCTCCAAACATCCGGAAGAGAAGGTTTTCAGCCCGATAAAGTCAAATTTTAACTTGACAATGGCCGACCTAGCCGCGTGAATACCGTAGGTGCATGTAAAAGGTTCAGGATGAGGTACACCAACGTTGGGAGATCTTACAATTCCAGTTGGGGCTTCGAAAAGATGGAAACATGAAGCTTTGTATGCCATTTTGAATCCGCGGCCTGAATAGCGGGAGTCGGATTTGAACTCGATCTAAAAATGGTTTTTTATGGTTTGTATTGCAGTAGTGATGAGATATGGCATTTCATAGAATAGTAGAAAGATTTTTTTTCATTTTGTAGATATTAACCTACCTTGAACTCTTCAAAAAAGTGGACATTTTGTCATTTTGTGGATATTAACCTACCTTGAACTCATCGAAAAAGTGAAAATTGAGAGAAGGCCTGAATCCGTTACAAAACTTGGCACCAACATCAAATTTCATGTAATCTCCCGAACATAAAGCATCGTCAACCTTTGAGTCTTCTGGTATCTCTTCTACTGTGCCTCTGATATCAAAGTCGATAATGTCTAAGGAGTAGGTGTTGTAATCAGTATCTGATAAGGTTTGATTTGACTGGTCTTTCAATTTGAACTCCCAAACACAAGAAAGGTCCGGAGGGTAGGCATGACCGTAATTTGGAGTTTGGATAAAGCCTTCTGGATTTACACTGGCTTCTATTACTCCTCCACAGTCTTCTTCTTCTGAAGAGTTCTTTTTGAATACTTTTGGATAAAGCTAGGGTTAATCTAAGTTTTTGATATGAATAGTACGATAGTGTAACTAGTACTGTAGGGTAATATATAGCTATTTAGATAACAAAGCTTACTAGGAACTCCTTTGAAAGTGATCAAAAAGTACATAGCACACATTGGGTCATCTTCAGTGTTATTTTTAGATTTTGTAGCTAATTTACAGTCCTCTAAAAGGGCACTTTTTTGTCGACTGTCAAATACAAGCTGAAGACTGGCATGATTGGTAGAAAACCTTTTAACAAAAGGCTGGTCAATATCAGCACAGATCTCATCCAACTGAACATTTGGGTCTAGTAGGCCACTGTCGTATAACTAAAGGAGAATTTTTTATATCAGGGCTTTAACATCAATTTAGTAATTAAACTTAAAATTAATACCAAAACAACCAACCTTAAGTGAATTAACGTCACAATTAACCTCACTACCAGACAAGGTAATCATCTTCTCTACAGTAACCTCAATCAACTGGTCGTTCGGCGCGTCCAAGAACCATTGGCACTCTTCCCAAGCTTTAGTCGTCCTAAAACTGTAAGGACTTTCGCCCACCTCAAATCGACCACCACAAATCGGATCGACCGCTTCCCATACCACGGTCGTATACAAGGTGTCATTGATAGTCGGAGTATAGAAAATCAAATGCAATTGGCTAGACTTGGTATAATAAGGATATTGCACTGACGGGGGGTGTTGACCCCAAGCCGTGGTTGCTTCCTTGACTTTTATTTCCACTGCCAAGATGTCACTTTCGCTGGGATTGGCCGTGAATGAGGTATAGTCAGCTATCCATACCTTCAGAATCTTTCGAGAGTCTTCCGGTCGAATAGTCAGTGTACATACACGGCTATTGTACTGAGGTAGATTCATGGTTATGTTGCCGGAATTTTGAGTGACTTCGTAGCCACATGTGTCCATGTTTACCATTTCTGTTGAAAAAATGTGTGTTCTAAGTTTGATAAAAGCCTACTGTACTATCCGAGACCGACTACTACTCTTACCCCTACCAAGGTCAAACCTACCTTTCTTTTTCTCCTCCGGCCCCAGACAATACGATATAATCCCCACAGGGCACACACAATAAGCGTCATTTTCTCTATTATGGCACTGTCCAACTCCACCACACATATCTGGATTACTGTAACACTTGTCCTCGTATTGACATGTGTCACCGTAATATCCGGGTAGGCAAAAGCAGTTAACGTGAGTTCCATTCAAACGTCGGCACGATGCACCATTCAGACATTGGTCACATTCACTGTAGTAGGAATAATGACAGTCGGTCCCTTTTAAGCCTGTTCCACTATGTCCTCGAGGACATTTACAACCTGGATTGGGGAAACCGATACATTCGGCTTGTTCGTTACAAGGATTTGGGTCACAAAATGACAGTTTGGTGCAGGTAAAGCCATCACCTTCGTAGCCTAGCGGGCAGGAGCCGCATTTAAATGAGCCGGGGGTGTTTATGCACTCAACTCTGGGGTCAGTCGAACATGGGTCGGAATAGCATTCGTTGATGTCTTCACAGTGGATGCCGTTGCCTTAAAGTTTAAAGATATTAAGCTTTGGATATATTATATTAGATTGTCAGAATATGGAAGAGCCATTTAAAACGCCCAAATTTGAACATAGTGGCTCATCCATATTCGGACAACCGGGTATAACTATAGATCTTTAGCACTTTTCTAGGCCTAAGCAATCAAAATTTAACAAAAACTAATTCAAAAGTTTCAAAAAAGCCTCAGCTCTCATAATCTTAATCATGCTAACCCACAAACGGCCCGAACCTTTCGCCAAACCAAGGTCCAGCTACTTTGTTAGCCTCTCGTGGCCGTGATTCAGCGTGAAAGTTGTCTTCATCGGCAGCCAAACCCGAACCAAAGGGCTTTCGTGCGCAAAGAAAACGCTTTAGCCACTCGACTATTTGCTCAAAGCGTTTGGTAAGCGAATAAACGAAAGGGTATCGAGAGTAATAGAAAGAGAGGGGGTTAGTGAGTACGCAAGTGGGGGAAACGAGGGTTTATTAGGAGTTTTGTATGTTTTTACATTGTAAACGGCCTTAAATGACAAAAAATAAAAATATCTATTAAATAAATCCATAAATAACAGATTTTTCTTAATATTGCTACAACAACCATCGTATTTTACAAAATATGTAATCTTCAATCTAATTTTCAAATCTTTTTTCATTAAAAAACTCACCAAAGTACCCTTTTGGACAACTCCCACACTTAAAACTTCCAGGCAAATTGATACACTCTGCTCCATAATTATTCACTCCCGCTCCTTTGTAGCACGGCGAGTGTTCGGCCGCACATTCATCGATATCAACACACAACGGCGTCATAATATCACTGTTAGACTGATAACCAAAATCACATACGCATTTATATGGAGCTGCTCCAGAATACTGTGGTACGATGGTTATACAATGACCGTTCTCACCACACAAGTCAGTACTTGTAGCTGAACATACGCCTTCAGTTTTTTGACAATGTGAACCGTATTTCCCTGGTGGGCATTTACACATTGTGCCTGGACCGTGGACGTTGTTGATACAAGTTCCGCCGTTTTGACAGTCGGCATGAGTGTTCTTGATCATGGCACATTCGTCAATGCGTTTTTCACAGTGCGTACCCTAATGAAAAATAGGGCTTTAAAGATTGATTTTTTAAGTCCAATTGTTACAGTAAGTCAAAGAGTAGGGTAGGGTAAGTAGTGCGATTTGGGGCAAGCTAGGGTAGGGCAGGTTAAGGTAGGGAAAGGTAAAGTAGAGTAGGCAAAAGCGGGATAAGGCAGGCAAAGGTAGGGTACGGTAAGGTAACCGAGGGTAGGGTAGAGTAAAACTAGTCAATTTATATTTCCCGTATTTTAAAACCACCTTACCTCCATATGACTAGTGCAAATACAATGGTAGGAAGCAAATAAGTCCAAGCAAGTACCACCATTTAAGCACGGTCCTTCATCACACTCATTCGTTTTCATTAACTTGTACAGTTTTTCCACTTGTTTGTTCAATGTGTACATTAGTTGTCGTATCCGACGTTGTTGAGAGCCTTTAGGTCGTGTCGCGTTCAAACCTTTGAATTGTTTTTCCAATAAAAGCTGTTTCGATTTCATAATGAAGATCTGGGCTTTGAAATACTTGATTTGATTTTCCATGGCCACTTTTTGAGCCTTGGCAGCGATGGAACCTAAACCGTTCGCACGGATTTGGCTACGGAGAAACGTTATGTCTTCCTGAAAAAAAAAATTTATTGCCCTTTTTGATTTTGTAATGGAAGTTCTTGTCATTTTGACTTTTGTAAAGAAAGTCATTGCCATGTGGACTATTGTAAAGAAAGTTCCTGCCCTTTTTGTTTTGTAAAGAAAGTTCTTGCCATTTTGACTTTCGTTAAGAAAGTTCTTGCTATTTGGACTATTGTAAAGAAAGTTCCTGCCATTTTTTGTTTTGTAAAGTAAGTTCTTGCCATTTTTTGTATTGTAAAGAAAGTTCTTGCCATTTTTTGTTTTGTAAAGGAAGTTCATGCTATTTTTTTGTAAAGACAGTTCTTCCCATTTGTAAATAATCTAAACTTGGTGCTCCGCAGCCTGCAGGTCACAAGTTATACGATATGTTCTTGCCATTTTTAGTTTTTCAATTATTTAGGGTTTTTTGTTTTGTAAATAAAGTTTTTTGCAAGTTTTGCAAGCGTTTTTGTATTGATTTTAAACTAATTTTTTAATTTTTCAAAATGAATTTTTATCAAGAACAATATTTTCACTTATGCAAATTTTATATTTTCGACAACTATTTTTATTTGTAAAAATGTCAAAAATTTCAATTTTTTTAATTTCGGATTATTCAAAACCATCAATCCACGTCAGGAATATGCAAAAATTCACGTATTTCCTCAAACACCATCCCCAATCTCGTCATTCGTTCCCATTCATTTCTCGGCGCTCACTGCAACCGGCGGTTTCATTATGGCCATTCCTGAAGGCGACTACGAAAAGGGAAAGAAGGTGTTCAAGCAGCGTTGTGCTCAATGTCACGAGATCAGCTCGCTGGGTACCAAGACCGGCCCCACCTTGAATGGGGTTATGGGCCGCAAGAGTGGAATGGTCGCTGGATTCGAGTACTCGGCTGCCAACAAAAACAAGGTATGTTTGGGTATTGTTATTCATGTGGGTTTATGTATGGTTTTTGAGTAATATGGGCTTATTTATGGTTTTTGGGGTCTTTTTAGGCTTAGTTTGCGCTTTGGATTTCTTTTAGGCTTGTTATAGGTTTTTGAGATTTGCTAGTGTTTTGACTTGTTGTTAGGCTTATTTTGCGCTTCAGACATTCATTAGGCTTGTTCTTGGTTTTTAGGCTTGTTTTTATTTTGTGGGCTTTTTTAGGTTTAATTTAGCGTCTTGGGCGATTTTGAGGTTTATTTTAAAGTTTTGAGCTTTTTTAGGCTTATTACAAGGTCTTGAGCGATTTTTAGGCTTATTTTACAATTTTAAGATTTTTTAGGCTTATTTGAATGTCTGGATCGATTTTTACGCTTATTGTCATGTTTTGAGCTTTTTTAGGCTTATTTTAGAGTCTTTAGTCCTTTTTAGGCTTTTACAGTTTTTAAGATATTTTAGGCTTATTTGTGTTCTTTGTTGTTACAAACCGTATGTCAGGGCATTGGGGCTTTTTTAAGCACATTTTTAAATTCTGGCGTTTTTTAGGCTTATCGTAAGGCAATTCTTAAGCTTACGTTTGGTTTTTGGCTTTAAAGATTTGCGACATTTTTAGGCTTATTTTTTGGCAGCTTTTATCATTATTTACATTTTCACTTTTTTCAATTTAAAATTTGCGGAAAGGTAATAAAGTCGTATTTTACACTACTTTACTGTCCATTTTATCATTATATATACCCAGAAACAAATGTTTGTTGGTAGAAGTTTGTTTTTCGCATTTATTCATGTCCCCAAAGTCCTCAATTAGCGCGCGGTTTTCCCGCAAAAGGCAATTCCCAGGGCCATGGGAACGCGCCCTTGTAGCTCAGTGGTTTCAGAGCGTCGGTCTTGTAAACCGAAGGCCCAAGGTTCGAATCCTTGCTGGGGCAATGCGCTTTTTTGACCATTTCGGGGTTAGTTAAGTTTAGTACTGATTATTTTTGGTATCCTAGGTCATTGTAAGGTTTTTTTTATATTAATTTTACAAATTGAAGGCTAATGTTGTGGTAATTTGGAATTTTTTGAAAGAAATTTTGTCAAATCTGTTGTTTTTTGGTAAAATACGTGTTTTATTACTTTGTTAATTAATTTTTTAGATTTCAGGGAGTAGTCTGGAGCCGTGAGACCCTGTTCGAGTACCTGGCCGACCCCAAGAAGTACATTCCCGGCACCAAGATGGTCTTTGCCGGCCTGAAGAAGGAGAAGGAACGTGCCGATCTGATCAAGTACATTGAAGTCGAAGGCTCGAAACCCCCGTCATAAATCTACAAACTAGTCTACTGTTTTTTTTTGATATATACTGTCGCTTAGTAAATCTTACCCTACATGTTTGTTGGATTTTGTGTTTTATTTGAGGTTTTGTGGTGATTTTTTGGGAATTTTTGCTGAATTTTGGCAAATTTTTAGAAAAAGCGAGATTCTGGGATGATTACGATCAGAAACTGGGATGTTTTGATTTTGTTTATATCCTTCTGACATTGTTACGTAAAACGAAAATATTTTTTTTTATTTTTTAAAAGACAAAAAAGTAAGAAAAAATTAACCCAAAGGAGTGAAAAATTAACCCGGTTGCCGTTTTTAATACAACCTACAAATTAAATTTAAAAAAAACAAACGAATGCACTTTTAAATGTTACATTCATAAACCACGAATAGTAACTTCTGTCACTAGCTGTTTAATAACCCCTAAAAAATGGTGTTGCCCCAGCAAGGATTCGAACCTTGGACCTTCGGTTTACAAGACCGACGCTCTGAAACCACTGAGCTACGAGGGCTTGCTAATTAGGCCGCTTGGATGAGTTTTTGAATAAAAAACTAAATTTAATTTCAAAAAAGTTTCAGTACCAATCATTCGCATATTTTATCAAAACAAAACGGCTGTTTTGAATAAATACGAGAACTTTCTTTACAGTACAGTACGCGTTTCAAAAAAAGTTTTTAAATTAAAAAATTTTAAAATAAAAAATTAAATTCATTTTGAAAAGCCGTTTCAAAAGCAAAAAAAAATATAAAATTTCGAAAACTGACCTTGCTGGGAATGTCCATAATATTCAAATCTCTGAAGAAGATTCCGCCCGTCTCACTGACATCAAACGTAATGTTACGGCGATTTCCAGCACGAAAGTGCATATTTCCATTCAACATTACCATCCGTGAGCTAAAAACGTTAAACGAGGTTATCAAAAAGTTTTAAAATGGCAAAAACTTTCTTTACAAAGCAAACAATGGCAAAAACTTTCTTTACAAAACAAAGATTTCAAAACCTTTCTTTACAAAACAAAAAATGGCAAAAACTTTCTTTACAAAACAAAAAATGGCAAAAACTTTATTTACATAACATAAAATGGCAAGAACTTTCTTTACAAAGTCGTCAACTAGTAAAATACTACTTACCGTGTTTCTAAATCACTTGAAATTGCAAAATCGCTGTCTTTGTCGCCATGTTTGGCATTTTTTCCTCCTCTATCGGATTCAAATCCTCGGCCATCATCGCCATCAGCTGCACAGACGGTATTTGCGACGAGAAACAGTAGCAGTATTAGTAGTTTTAGACGCCCCATGGCGTTACAATTTGCTACGGTAGCTTGTTACAATATTTTTGGTTTTGGATGGGATATTGCGCTGCAAAAATAACGCTTTTAAAGCTTAAAACTACAAAAAAAGTATAGCCTAGTCTTAAAAAATTAGCGAAATTTAAAAGTATAAAATAAAAAAGCTGAAAAATGACAAAAATATGCAAAAAATAAATTTAAATTTAGTCATAAAAAATAAAAGGCAGTGAATAAATACGCCGAAAATCGTTTGAAACGGCCGTATCAACTAAACCAGACCCACCACTGATTTGTTTATATTCCGGTGACAAATCCTATCCAGTTGATTGTCGTTACGCATTTCGTATAAACTTTCAATCACAATAACAAAAGGCACAAAAATGCAAAAGTGACCTTTGTTTTTTAACTTGCAAGCTTCAACAAGAAGGTTTTTTGTTTACAAGCTAAATTTTTTAAAAAACTTACGCATTGGTAGCATAATCTCTGTTCTTCTTGCCATATTTGGTCCGTTTTTTGTCTGAAAGCCCGACCTGCCCCGCAATCTGGAGAAAATCGAGATTAAAAGTGACATTTTGAATTTCCCGCCAAGTTGGCATTGTGTTTCAAGCTAATAACTGCCTTTTTTTGAATTTTAAGAAATTTTCTTTGACATACTAGTAGAAAAGCTTTAAATGAACCTACATTTTTTAATTTGTAAACGTATCTTGTCTGGAAAGCCGAAAAAAGTGCTTGAAACAGAATGCCAAATTTGCCAAATTGGCGGAAAACTCAAATATTTAAAATCTAAAACTCAAAAGCGCGAACTAAAATTTTTTATGGGTACTATTGGTAGTACAAGGAAATTATATAAAAATTTTGAGCTGCTTCTGAGCGGCGCAGGTAGGGTACTTTCCTTGTGAATGCAGTGAAGCCTCTGGATAACAAATTGCTCGGTAAATTAAAATTTGTTCGTTATGAAGAAATTGTGTTATAGAGAGGTTTAAAATGCACTGAGTAAGGATAGCCGAGGATTCAAAAGCTGTTCGTTATACAGGGGTTTTGTTATGTAAAGGTTCCTTATACGGAGGTTTCACTCTACGATTTAAATCTAAGACTGTCCTTACCATTGGTCGTAGTAGCATAGCTTTTATCTTTTTAGTTAGTAATCGCACAGGCTTTATCCTATTTAGGATAAGCTTTATGCTATTGATAGTACTCTACATAAAATACTATGTTTCCTCATTTACCTTCATAATCTCCATTCATAACTCAGTTACATAATTTTACTTTTTTCCACTGTTGACATTTGTTTACATTTCGCTGAAAAACCGTTCCAAAACCCGATTGTGGATGTGTTTTTGGGTTTGCTACTCTATTTGACAGAAGTAATGAATATTAGGTTTGTAAGAAATGACCTTCAAAACCAGTGAAGGTCCGAGAATTCCGGTTTTCTGGGCCGTATAAAAACAGTGAGCGGCCGAAATTGTGCATCATTTGATCAAGCCGGAAAAGACTTTCTTTCCGAGCATGAACCGCTACGGCGTTGTATTGGCCGTTGTGGCTGTGATGGCCGTCGATGGATTCTTGTTTCCTCCACCAGCTCCAGCTGCTTGTTGGTGAGTTTTAACGTAAAATTTTTTTTAAATTTAAAATTTAAAAAAGGCTAGCTAAAATTTTTGCTAGTCCAAAATTACAGTATAAACATTTTTTTTAACTTTGGCTTTAACTTTTCCGTTTCAGCCAAGCCCCACCACCACCATGTCCACCACCCCCACCACCATGCTGCGAGGGTGGCGGTGGCGGCGGTGCTTACCAACAACCCGTATACCAACAATCGTATGCCCCACAATACGCAGCTCCAGTCCAACAATCTTATGCTGCTCCAGTTCAACAATACGCTGCTCCAGCACCGGTTCAACAATACGTTGCTCCAGCCCCAGTGCAGCAATACTCCGCTCCAGTCCAGTCGAACTATGTTCAAGCCCCAGTCCAACAGTCTTATGAAGCACCAATTCAGGCCGGCGGCGGCGGTGGAGGTTATGCTACTGGACCACCATACGGAAAGAAGTAAAATGTAATTAAATTGTAAAATTTATATTTTAAATCTTTTTTTAATGTAAAGTTGCATTTGGTATTACACAATTTTTCGGCCTATTGATCTGATAAGTATAAAGTAGACTTTCGTTATGACTAGATATTGTTGTAGGTTAATTAAATAAACTTTCTGAGGTTTTAATTACTGTTTTTACAAAAAAAAGCTTCAATTTTTGCAATTTTAAAAACTAAACAAAACTTTTTTTTGAAATTTAAATTTAAAATTAAAAAAATGTTGCCCTTTGTCGTAACTTACAATAAGAAAATTAAGTTAGTAGTGTGTTTCGTGTCAACTGCAGCCTAATACAACCACACTGATTTATGTTTTTACAAAGTTTTCAAAATGACCGGAAGGTGTTTGACGTATTACATAAAAAAAGACGGCGCCACACCTATTATTGGTTAGAAACCGGTTAGTTTGAAGTTATTACTTGCAAAACCGTAAGCAATCTGTCTTACTCTGAACTTTCGTAACATTTTTTATGTAATGATAAAAAAGGGAAGATGTACTGTAGGGTGCTTTTGTCTACTGCGGGATTTTAAAAAAATGTAGTTTTACTTATGAAGTGGTATGGTTAATTTCAGCTCTAGCCTTAGCCTTAGCCTTAGTCTTAGCCTTAGCCTTAGCCTTAGCCTTAGCCTTAGCCTTAGTCTTAGCCTTCGCTTTTAGTTTTACCTTAGCCTTAGCTTTTAGCCTTAGCCTTAGCTTTTAGCCTTAGCCTTAGCCTTAGCTTTTAGCCTTAGCCTTAGCCTTAGCTTTTAGCCTTAGCCTTAGCTTTTAGCCTTAGCCTTAGCCTTAGCCTTAGCTTTAGCCTTAGCCTTAGCCTTAGCCTTAGCTTTTAGCCTTAGCCTTAGCCTTAGCCTTAGCCTTAGCCTTAGCCTTAGCCTTAGCCTTAGCCTTAGACTTAGCTTTTAGCTCTAGCTTTAGTCTTAGTTCTAGTTTTACTCTAACGATAGACCGAACTCAAGTCTCAGCTCTAGCCTTGGCTCTGGCTTTAGCACTAGCATTAACACTATCTATAGCTTATATCTCTAGACCATAACACTAGCTCTAGTGCTATTCCTAGTCACACCCTAGCTCAAACCCAAGTTTTAGCTCAAGTCTTAGTCGAATCTCTAGCTCTGGCCTTAGCCCTAGCTCTAGGCTTCCCCTAACTCTAACTTGACTCAAATGTTAGCCCAACTGTTGGCCCGGTCTTTACCATTTCTTCAGTTTTTCATAGTAATATATCAAGTAAAATTTACTTTTAATAAAAATCAAACAAACTAGAAGTTACACTTTTTCAAAAACATGTGTAGGCGTTTGATTACAACAGTTTTCATACAATTTCGAGATCATTTCCGATAATTTGTTCTTGCGGCACGATAAAAACGGGCTGTTCTTCGATTTCCGGAACGCTGATAATCGCCTGTTCTTCAGTCAATTTCCTTTTCGCCATCTTCCAACTCTTTAGTTTGTCTTCGGTATAACAGAAACATAATAGAATTGACAGAATTATGAGGCCGGATATAATGATGACAACCGTACTGTCATCCATAAGTGAATCGGAGGCATCGTTGCGGTTCCAGGCTAACGATGCTTTGTACACACTGTAATTTGGCATTTAGAGTCGACTTTTAAGTAGATATATAGCTTATTAGAAGGTAATTTTAAACGTATAAGAATAGTGTCACATACAGAATAGAAAGTCTTATTTGACGTATTATACTAGTGATAGTTTAGGTATATATAAGTTTTAGATTAGTACTCAAATTAAAAATAGACGTTGTTTATAAAAACAGGAATCGAGTGAATGTAAGGCTAATAACCGGACGTAATTTTGCTTTGTTTCATTAAAAAAAGTCTGGTTCAACTTTTCAAAATGTCATACATAAAAAAGTAATAGTAAACCATTAGTTTTTTATGAGACAAAAATTATAATTGAGCGTGGTTAGCGTTACCCTAGGTTGACTAGGGTTAAACTAAATAAAGGCTAGGTTTTTACTAGATTACGACTAGGGTTGGACTAGGTTAAGACTAGAGTTTAACTAGGTTAAGACTAGGATTTGACTATTTTTAGACTAGGGTTATACTATAGAGTAGGAGTTAAGAAGTAGTTAGGGTCAGACCAGGTTAAGACTAGGGTTAGCCTAGGTTAATGTCTTAGGTTGAACTATGTTACTAGTTTAAGACTTGAATTGGACTATGTGAAGATGAGGGCTGGAATTGGTTAAGACTATAATTGGACTATGGTACAAGTAGAGCTGACAGTAGGACATGGTTAGGCCTGGGCTAAGTCAAATATAGGGTTAGACTAGGTTAATCCTGGTGGTGGACTAGGTTAACACAAAAGTTTTGTTTGATTAAGTCTAGGGTTGTACTAAATTAAGACTAGGTGTGGACTAACTGAAAAATACAGTTATACTATATTAATGGAAGGGCTAGGGCTAAATTATGGCTAGGGTTAGAATAGACTAAGACTAGGGTTTAACTAAGTCACGACTAGGGTTAGATTAAGCTAAGACTAGGATTGGACTTGGCTAAAGTTTGAGGTGTACTAAGTTGAGTCTAGGGTTAGACTGCGTAATGGGTAGATTGACATGAAGAACGGGCTGGGCCTCAATGTTAGGCCCGGCTCGACCAAAATTTTTCTCAGACCCACCCGATCTAAATTTGGGTCAGGCCTAGCTAGAAATAAGAAACGGGCCGGCCTTGAGCAAAATTTTGATTGGGCCGGGCCTAACGCTCAGGCCCGGTCCGACACTTTTCTCACGTCTAACGTGTAGAGCTGGGACTAGAGTATAGTTAGCCGTAGGGAAAAATAAAAAGGTAACTTGATATCAAACAAAAAATCGCAGACAGAACCGGAAGTACAACTAAAAACTTGGCATTTTAAAGCAATTTATCTTCTTATCATTAAGCAATGATAAGACTGTAAAACTAAAAAAAATAAAAAATTTAAAAATGAAATTTCAACAATGTCAATATAAACTTTTAAACTCAAAAACTTACTTAAATTTACTGGAAGCCATTTCCACGTGACAAAGATTACTGTATCCACATCTCTAAACTACGAGATTACTGATAAACAATCGTAAAAGTGAGTTTGAACCCTTTGACAGTCTCGAAAAGCGACGGAAGTAGGGATTCAAAATGATTTGAACAGATTGTGATTTTCATAATGAAGAGGGCATGTGTCGTGACCCCGGGGTTTTAAGCTCGTGAGCTTTTCAATTTTTTTTGTTCGTTCAAAGATTGTTTGGCCTGAGGGGTAAAGTTGATTGGAGATGAAAGAGGAACACTGGAATTTGGAAAAGGAACATTGGTTTGGAACGTGTGTTCCAATTGCAAGTAAATTGATTGAAAATTATGTTGTGTTAGTTGTGGAGTTAGCACTAAATTGATTGGTTTGTCTTTTTGCTGTTAGTGTACGAACGTTTATATAGTCTTTGCACTTTGTGAGGCGATGTATAATAGCATTTTTAACAAAAAAAAAACAATTACAGACTGTTAGACCATATTAGGTATCAAATTACAGTACTCTCTCTATATAAGCAACCCGAAGGGACCAACACTTTGTGTTTACTATAAAAGGTGTTGTCTTTACAGGGAGCCGTTTATTGTACAAGAAAAATACCCAACTTGCCACGCTCAAAATCAGCTAAAAATTTTTATATGAATTCTTTGTATTAGTAATAGTACCCATAAAAAATATTAGCTTACGTTTTTGAGTTTTAAATTTCAAATATTTAAATTTTCGGCCAAGTTGAAAAATTTGGCATTGTGTTTCATGCACATATAAGCTTGAAACACAATGCCAATTTCGCGGGAAATTCAAAAAGCATTTTTTATCTCAATTTTTTCGTGATTTGCTGGAAAGCGCAAGTTAGTACTTTGTTAAAGATCTTATATTTACATAATCTTTCTATATAAAAAGTTTGAAGTCAATCAGAGCGGGGCAGCTTTGGCATTTTCCTTGTAAATAAGTTTTATCTGACAGTTCTCAACGAATGTTAGAGTTAGTCGGAGCATATTAGGGCTAGGAGTAACAAAGAAATTACCCTCCCAGTCCCGCTCTGATTGACTTCAACTTTTTATACAGAAAGATCATGTAAGTATAAGACCTTCAGCAAAGTACTAAAGCACGCTTTCCAGGAAATCTCGAAAAAGTCGAGATCAATAATTACGTTTTGAATTTTTCGCCAAATTGGCATTATCGTTGCACGCTTATGAATTTGTAATTTTTTGCCTTTTAAACATTTTTCGTTGATATACTAGTAGAAAACCTTTAAAAAAATAAATTTTTAAGTTTGTAAGCGTAGCTTGGAAAGTCGAAAAAAGTGCTTGAAACACAATGCCAAATTTATTAAATGGCGGGAATTTCAAATATTTAAAATTTAAAACCCGAAAGTGCGAGCTAAAATTTTTTATGGATACTATTGGTAGTACAAGGAAATTATATAAAAATTTTGAGTTGATTCTGAATGGGGTACGTTGGATATTTTATTTTCCCTGTATGATCACGGCTATCAAATTTAAAGCGCAAAAGCCGGGTGTTGGGGGGGGAGGGGGGAGAAGGGGGAGAACGGAGGGATCCCCCCCCCCTCCCCCCCAAAAAAATTCGAAAAAAAGTTGAACGTCGTCTCCCTGTAGATTTTTTAAAAAAAACCGATTTTTTCGACTTCCGTCCCCCGACCAAAAGACCCCGCCCGGCCCTGCAAATAGACCTAACAATAAGCAAATAATTATTATCGACTGTCAAACATTAATTTACTTTATAACAAGAACAAATAATTAACAAATGTTTTTAAAAATCCTGAGATTGAAAGAGGCTTTGGCCAGAGAAATTTGCACGATTACCACGAGATTACTTCTTTCCAGCGAACAAAGCGGCCAATGGGTTGACTGGAGCGGCGGCGGCACCGCCACAGCATGGTGGTGGTGGTGGTGGCTGACAGCATGGTGGTGGTGGTGGTGGGCATGGTGGTGGTGGTGGGGGTTGACTAAATTTAAAAAATGAAATTTCAAAATTTTTTTAAATTTTTTAGAAAATTTAAAATTAAAAAAAATTTAATACCTAAAATTGTAAACATTAAAAAAATATAAAAAAATTAATTAAAAATCAGTATTATACCAAAAAACTCACCAACACGCAGCCGGGGCTGGTGGAGGGAACAAGAAGCCGCTGGCCTGAGCGATCAAAGCCAAAACAACGATGACAAAGCTGAAGAATTGCATGTTGTACCCGGTTGTCTGCAATGCGAGACTGAATCAACGATGTTCATTCCCCGACGGCCTTATATACTGCTTCAATGACGTAGTTTGTAGTTTTTACAAAACTGACAAAACCATAAAAAGCTGACCATTTCTGGGGGTTTAAGGCTACTTTTTGTCGCTAAACCTGTTTTTGCTTTGCGTCAAGAATGGCCTTGGTTGGGGCGACAGTTTAACATCGTCAATTATGCTACAAACGGTGCAAAACCGTAACAAATGGACGTTCTGATTTCGTCGGACAAAGTGTAAGAGATACGGAAGTTGATTTGTAAAGGGGGTCGGGACAAGTTCAATTTTTTGGGCTTTGTTTGTGCTTTGGCTTCGAATCTACATGTGCCGGCCCAGCCCGTTCTTTTTCAAATTTGCTTTGGCTTGGCTCAACCCGAACAAGACTTACTAGAAATCTAAACTAAACTTTTTAAGTCTTAGTGTGGGTCACAGCTAGATTTAAAAAAAACGCCAAAGAAAATTTTAAAAGAGTCAAGCCGATGCATGTGGGCACGGAAACCGAAGCCTAAAATAAATCCTAAATTCTTTATAGAATCAGTCCGGATCTTAGGCAGTCATGTCAGCCCGACGCTTTTACAGGTCTTGCTCCGGCTTTCAAAGCACACTTTTTTGCCGTTCTAGGCTATATTTGCTTGAGCCGGCTTAAGTACAAGGTGCGCAAAAAGTTCTGTTACAAAACTTTACCGGTTGTTTTTTTCTACATATGTTGCAGTTAAATTATTTAAAAATTTTTATTTTAGCTTATTCTTTCTGTTTTTTAATTGTATAATCATAAAAGTTAAGTATTCATTGTCTACCGTATTTGATTAAAACATGTAACAGAACTTTTGGCGCATCCTGTATAAAAAAATAAAAAAAATTTTCAAGCTAAAAATTCTAAGGTAAGCTAAAGGGCGGATTAATCATTCAGTACGTTCAGATTTTCTTGTTTTAAAACAAATTATACTGTTAGACTGAAATTGCTTGCTTAAATTTAGATTTTGAATTTTAAATTTTATTTTTATGATATAATTGTTTCATAGTGACAACTACATATTTTCATAAACGACCTGCTACTCGTTTTTTAATTTCAACATTTAAAAAATTCGGAATAAAGATCTTGATAGATTTTGCACGATGACCTTCAAAGAATTGTCGGCGTGAAAAAACTGGTTGAAACGAAAATCTTTGCGTAACATCCAAGTGTTTAACGTTTCAAATTGGTTCGGTTACAAAATACAGCACATTATTAATGTGAAGCTTGAATTCAGTCTTTGATAAGGCTTTAATTTAGTATTTTATAATTTATTGTAGGTGCGGAAACTTTAGTATTTACTACTTTACTGTAGATGTCTTACTTTAGTATTTACTAAGTTACTGTAGGCGCTTTAATTCAGTATTTAATAGTTTATTGTAAGTGCGGTAAAAAATTTTTAAAAACTAGACAAATCTTTGGTTTTGGAAGTGAGAACAGTGCAATGAGGTATTTGGTGCTACAGTAAAACCGTCAGTTTTACTGGGTTGGTGCTTGTACACAAATTGTGTACTGTCAGTGGTAGTGTGGGGGTAGGGTAGAATACTGTCAGTAGTAGAGGTGGGTTAGGATAAAATACTATCATTGGTAGGTGAGGTAGGGTAGGATTGGAAGAAACATGAGGTAGTGAGCTAATAGTAAGCATAAGTCAATGAGCTTATAGTAAACATGAAGTAGTGAACTGATAGTAAGTCAATATGTAGTGACACAATATGATGTACCTTTTTGAAAAAGCATATACAATGTCAATGTCAAAAGCCCAAGTCATGACATTCTCAGCCAACACTCATCTTAATATCCCTGAGTCTCAGGCTCGGCTCTAGCTGGCTCAGGCGCTTCGTCATACTTGGCTGGAGCGGCTGAGGCTTCCTCATAAGCTGGTGGAGCGGCTGCGTAGCTGCTTGGTTGAGCGTATGGGGCGATTGGTGCAGCTGGTGGTGGGAACAGCTCCTCAAACTTTGGTGGGGGTGGTGGTGGAGGGAAGGTAAATGGAGCCAAGGTTGGGATTGGCTGTGGTGGTGGGAGAGTTGGGAGAGGCTGTGGTGGTGGTAGGGGTGGGAAGGTTGGGAGTGGAGCGGCTGGTGGTAAAGCGTAGGCTGGGGCTTGTGGCCATTCGAAGTGAATTGGGGCTGGTGGTGGGGGTGGGGGTGGGAGGCTAAAAAAGTTGGGTTAAATTTTTGGGGGTAGATTATCAAAAATAAAAAAAAATTTTATTAAAATTACAAATTAAAATAACCGTACCAAGCTACAGCCATAAGAGGAGGCAAAGTTGATGCAGCAACAGTGGTGGTTTCTGGAACAGGTTCAGGCGCATCATATCCGCTTGGCTCGGCCTTATAAGCCGACACGGGTGGCTGTTGTTGAACAATGGGCGCGGGGAACAAGAAGGCGCTAGCCAAACTGGCCGAAGCCAAAAACAACACCGTTGATCTCATACTACCAAGTAGACGATATGATTTCAAATACAAAATGACATGTATTTATACTCCTTTCAGGTCGCGTGGTGAAGGCCATCGACACGTTGATTAGGAGATTCCGGCGGATTTACAAACCGGAATCTGGTGCCGTTGTTACCTGCCCGTCGGCGGCCTTGACGTCAGCCTTTTTTCGGTTTTGCGGTGATTTAGTTCACGTTTCACGTAATCTGCGTGTTATCGGATAATATCAGATAACGTGATTGTTGATAAAGAATGTTTTTACGGTTATGTTTTGATTAGCGTGGTTAGCAGGTTTTGGTAAGGTATTTCTTACAGTATGGGCTTTAATAAGATAAGAGTAAACATAGCATAAGAAGAAGTAAAGCCGAGTCTGATAGGAAAAAATAGGATAGAGCAAGATAAAGTAAGTTATGGTAGGGTAAAATAGAGCAGAGTAACGCAAGTTAAGGTAGGGTAGAATAAGGTAGAATAAAGTAGGATAGAATAAGATACAGCAAGGTAGACTAGTAGAGTACAGTACAGTAGGGTAGGGTAGGATATTTTAGGGTAGGGTAGGGTAAGTTAGGGTAGGGTAGGGTAGGAAAAAAAAATCTTCAATTTTTATATTGCTTTTATTGGCGTTCGTATTTTACAATTGTCATACATGAAACTTCTTTCTGTATTTTTTTCTTTTAAATTTAAAATTAAAAAAAAACCGATTTGAAGAGTAGATTACGCAGAATTAAAACAATCATAAAGGCTCTTCCTTTTTTCGCGCAAAATTGTTTTAAACCCGTTTCCAACGTCTTTGAAACAATCCACCTGCGCAATGATAAGATCGAGTTTGGGACTTGTGCACTTGAAGCTTTTTTTGTTGGGAAGATCGACTTAGAACTAAACTTTTTAAAGCGATTTATGCTACAAATTGAAAGGCACGTTAAGACAGTGAAATTTGACTAAAAACAAAGAACAAAACATTTAATGAATAAGCATCCAACAGAAAATTACAGTAAGACTCCTGTATAACAAAATCCTCTATACCAAAATTTTCGAAGGGCGAGCAACTTCTAAACCTTCAACCAACACCACAGTACATTAAAAATTTTTGCGTAACGGATACTGTACATAACAAACAAATTTAAAACGACCGAGAAATTAGTTTTACAAGAGTTAGCGTGTAATTGTACAAATTAAGTTTTTTCAAAATTTATAAAGCAAGCCATAATAGAAAGAAAGGCTAAGACGACTTTTACAGACCATTGTATGTAGGTACGACATTGCCCTGTATTCCTCTTATTGAAGCCCTTTCATTATCGGTTACTGATAAAGCTTTGCTAAAAATAAAATAGACAAATTTCATTTTAGAAATACAGTGAAACTCTTTTATTGGTTGTCAAGAAAAGAATGGCGGATTTTAGTAGCTTATGGTTCTTGTTCATTTAGATTTTGATGATACAGATGATTCTGCAGTATGGCTAAATACATGATCTTTGGCATGTTCTCATGTAATTTTTTAATTTTTTCTTTTACCGTTGACTTCAGAATCCCATCGTCAAGTTTCCGATTCTCGAGGGTAAAATCGCTAGTTTTGGATAGCTGGAATTAACGTTGTACAATGCATTTCTTAGCCGTACCAGTTTCAAATGTCATGGTAATGTTCCGGGTTGCCGCGATTGCTTAATGGCCAAGTTTGACGTCTTGTAAAAAATGGCGCAAACTTGACCTTTCTTGACGACATTTCCTCAAAGTAAAAAAAGTACAAAATAAAAAAAAATGCTAAGCAGATCTAACGATAGCTCAAAACCTTGGCTTTCGAATGATATAAAACGCAATGGCAACATTTTGTTCCTTTTTTGCTCCAGGCGTCTTTCCGTCACCAGCATCAAAATCCGACATTCATTTCGTGACAACCTAATATAACAAACTTGCGTATAATGAACCCTCTATAACCAACTCTTGTATAATGAACTCCTCTATAAGAAACAAGTTTTGAATTTCAAATTAAAACTACATAGTAAATCTAAAATCTCTTCATAATGAAACTGCTTTAAAACGAACAACTTTAATAAGTGTCATCTTTACAGAATCATTTTTATTGCAAATTGATTTGGCGTAGCCAAACTTCTTATTTACTATGAAGAGAGTTGTTTATATATAGACGGTTCACTATTTAAAGAGACTACAGTACATAACGGACCTTGTACGCTATTTAAATTTTTATTTTATCCTCAAACCGTATAGTATAAAAAGCCCGATTTGAAGGCATTTTACAAGGATTCCGATTGTTTTTATGTTTTGATTGGCTTGCGCGCATTATTTGAAACATTAAAGATGAGCGACGCTCGGAAGCAATATTGAGTTGGTTTTTTGGATAAATGCTTATTGATTAATCACGTTCGCCAGCCTTCATTCCTCAACATAGTTTATTGTTTTTGATGAGAGTAACGTTTATTCTTTTTGCAGAGAGTAACATAGCTTACTATAGTAAAAAAGTCTTATCAAAAAATACTATTGGTTTTTGAGAAGGCGTAGCATATTTGTTTGCAAACGATAGCATAGTCTTTTAAGAGACAATAACAATATATCATGGTTGTTAATGAGAGCGACATTGTGTCGCCATATCATGACGTATGTCGTAAATTTTAAACTTGAGTTTGTAGCGACAAACTCACTCCCACATTGTCGCATCAGCCTCAGGCTAAGCGGAAGTAAAATACAGCCTAACCTCTTGATCTCGCCTGCTATCTAGTGATCGCTTCTTGATCTTTGCTACTATCTAACGATCAGAAAACAACTTCCACCTCCTCGGCAGGGTTAACTCTAATACCAATCTTAATAGTCTCTCGCTAAGCTACAGCGTAAATGTTGTCTAACCTCATGACATAACGCAACTCCTCAACCCACATCTTTTTGCAACTCAAAGCCTAACCCTCAAGCCTCATCAATCCTAATGTCAACGTTACGCCTTCTGAAGCAACTTTAAACGCAACGCCTACAGATCGGCCTAAGCCAGCTGTGGTGAGTATATATAGCGAGATCTTTGATTGAAACAATGTGTTAGCGACTTAGTCCTACAACTCCTCTTATCATCATGAAGACCTTCTTCGTCTGCTTGGCTCTCTTCGGCTCTGCCACCGCTTTCTTGTTCCCAGCTGCCCCAGCTGCCGGAGGCGGTTGCTGGTAAGTCAAACCTTATTTCTATCTCAACTTTTTTTTACCTTTTACTATTATAAAATAATTAAAAAATTTAAATTTTTTTAAAATTTGAAACGTTTTAGCCCACCACCAGCCCCATCATGCGGATGCGGAGCCCCACCACCACCAGCCCCATGCGGAGGAGGCTGTGCCCCCACCACCACCACCATGCGGAGGTGGCTGCGGAGCCCCACTCCCACCACCACCCCCACCATGCGGCGGTGGCTGCGGAGGTGGCCCAATCGGAGGCGGATGCGGAGGTGGTGCTCCAATTGGAGGAGGATGCGGAGGTGGCCCAGCTGTCGGAGGAGGATACGGAGCCGGCCCAGCCGTCGGAGGCCCAATCGGAGGTGGATACGCCACCGGACCAGCCGTCGGCGGAGGCTACGGAGCTGGCCCAGCTGTTGGAGGAGGATACGGAGCCGGCCCAGCCGTCGGTGGCCCAATCGGAGGTGGATACGCCGCCGGCCCACAAGTCGCTCCAGCCGGAGGAAACGCCTACGCCGGAAAGAAATAAGCAGTTTGACCTGTTGCGAATAGTTTAATTGTCTGTACATTTTTGGCCACTACTAACAAAAGACTGAACACAACTCGTGTGTCCAAGCTTAACCTTGTTAGCTATTCCTCTTTTTCTTCGTATGCTACTTTTTATCAGAATCTCAAATTGAATGCAATAAAAAGATTTGACACTCATTATTTTATTTGTTTGGTTTGGAAGGACAACATAACTCTTGAAAGTTTTAAAAACAAGTAGAAACTACTATTATACAGAACATAGAAAAAATAGTAAAAACTATAAAACGAAATAAATTTAAAAAAAATGAATTTTCAGTTCCAAAATTTAGAGATGTTTAGAAAAACTACAGCTTGTGTCGAAAATAGTCGTTCATTGTAGCTGTTCCAAATTGGGCCCCATATAGGTGATCTTGCTTTTCTAGCTACCGGATCGTGATGAGGTGCTCCACAAAACTTCAAGCCGTAGTTGAAAGCCTGTGTAGGCCAAGCAACCGTTTCCTCGTGCAATTAGCACTCTTCAAGGTCGGCTTATTAACACAGTTATCAAAAAAACCGCTTCCGAATGCATAAAAATAATATTTAACCAAAATATCGTTTGGCTAGCCAAACAGTCTTATCATAATGGCAGAACGTCAAAGTAGAATCGACAGATTTGAAGCTACCGCTTTTTGGACGTCAGACTAATTCGGTAAACTTTTGATCTAGACCTCTAAATAGCTTAGGCTTAAGTTTTCGGTCTGGCTTTTTCAAAATTAGCTTCGGCTTAGCCTGACCAAAGCCTAATGGGCCCTCTTTCAGGTCTAACTCGGCCATATTGTACTGACGTTTTAAAGTTTAAAAATTATTTATTTTAGCCAAAGCAACTAACAAGGGTTGAGTAAGGAATCATGTACAAATTCTTCGGCCGGTAATATTTCGCTAGCCAAGGCTAGTGTGTAGTTTTTAAAAATACTTTTCTTCGTAATTTTTTATGGTCTTTACCCTACACTACTTCTGGGTTTATTGTTAGAAAAGTATTATTTTAGAAAGCTATAAAAATACCCTTTTTTTCAAGAACGAAAGGCTTCAGCCTTAAACATTATTAATTTATTACTGTCTGGTCTTAACCTTAAAAAATTTACCTTCTAAAAGCATGTTCGTTTATCTTCCTGGAAAACCCATAACGCATTTTAGTAACTACTAAATGTAAAGTTTGATTGTTCACCTTTCAACTTCAAACAAAGGCCTGTAAACGGAAAACGATTTGAGGATTTGAAACACTGTGAAAGATCGCCGTCACGGCCATCGCGTAGAACAACTGCAACACGGAGGGGAACAGCGAGCAAGTCGTCTTAATTAATGGCACGCTAAAAAAGAAGCGCAAACCCCCTCTTCCGCCATCGTTTTTTTTGGTCGCGAAACAAAACTTGACGCTGTTTCTTTATCGTTAGCCGTCTGGCGCGCCTTGTCTTTATCGGTTTTGCAATGCGTCGAAAAAGTTTTTTTTGGGAACCAAAAACTTTTCCCTCAGAATTCGAAATCCACCCACTCTTGCGCAATGGGCCTGCGGCGTATAAATAGATGGATCGGTGGATGGAACGACGTGTTAGCGACTTAGTCCTACAACTCCTCTTATCATCATGAAGACCTTCTTCGTCTGCTTGGCTCTCTTCGGCTCTGCCACCGCTTTCTTGTTCCCAGCTGCCCCAGCTGCCGGAGGCGGTTGCTGGTAAGTCAAACTTTAGTTTTTTCATAATTTTATTTTGTATTATAGCATTGTTTTAATAGTATTTTTTTTAAGTATTACAGAAATTTAAAACTTTTTACACTTTTTTCATAGTTGAAAATTTTTAGCCCACCACCAGCCCCATCATGCGGATGCGGAGCCCCACCACCACCACCAGCCCCATGCGGAGGAGGTTGTGCTCCACCACCACCACCACCATGCGGAGGTGGCTGCGGAGCCCCACCTCCACCACCACCACCAGCCCCATGCGGCGGTGGCTGCGGAGGTGGCCCAATTGGAGGCGGATGCGGAGGTGGTGCCCCAATCGGAGGAGGATGCGGTGGTGGAGTTGCCCCAGCCGGCCCAATCGGAGGAGGATACGCTACCGGCCCAGCTGTCGGCGGACCAATCGGAGGTGGATACGCCGCTGGACCAGTTGCCTCAGGCCCAATCGGAGGAGGATACGCCGCCGGACCAGTCGCTTCAGGCCCAATCGGAGGTGGATACGCCGCTGGCCCACAAGTCGCTCCAGCCGGAGGAAACGCCTACGCCGGAAAGAAATAAGCAGTTTGCTTGGATTCGGTTTGAAACTAGGTTTCTTGTTTGTACATTGGTGTTCAAGTGGATTTATATGCAATAAATTTCATTTTATTAAACTGTGTATCTTTTGCGCTTGCTACATCGTAAAATGAAAGTTGAAAATAGATAACATGTCTAAACGTTGAAGAAAGGAACGTTTTGCCTTTTTATGTTGAAAAATAGAGAGTTAAAAACCTTTTTCTGACGTTGTTTTAGATGATTTTTGAAAAGCAAATCGTAACATTAAAAAATACAGCCTATCCTTATTTTTGATGTTTGGATTCTGTAACATTTTCTTTCGAATATTGTCTACACTATTATAAAAAGAGTGTTTGAACAACGACGCTTTTTAGGCTCTTTGAATCTTCAAAAAGCGGGAGAGTTTGACGTTCTAGACTTGTAACAGATACAGATAACGCATTGTCTTTTTTGTGCTTTCACTATTTACACATTCGTATTAGTTAAACCCTTCAAAATCTTAAGATAGGTAATAGATATTTAAAAATTGCGTTATGTTGCTATTAAAATGAATTGTATAATACCTACTGTGTTGGTACCTATACCAATTTTTTTGACTGCCGCCCCTAAACCGAAAGTCCCTGCTCGGCCCTGACTACAATAAGGGCTACGGTATAATAGATGAGGTGTTAGAGCTAAATGTGGTAAAGCTGGTGTTAATCTAGGTCAAGGTTGAGTAAACTTTTGCAAGAACTAAGCCAAATGTAAGATAGGAGAGTTGGTACGGCGGGCTAAGACTTGCTATGGCTTCGAGCTAGCGTTCCGGGCTAGGGTTTTGGGCTATGGCTCTGGGCTAGGGTTTTGGGCTAGGGCTCGGGTTCTGGGCTAGGACTCTAAGGTGAGGGTTCACGGCTATGGGGATCTGGGCCGTTTATAAGTAGACTTTTATTAGTACATGACTTCCTATATCGTATCTCCTTTTTCAACGTGATGTACTTGTAGCCTTCTTAATTAAAAATTTCAGACTTGTCTTTTTATCGTATGTACTCATACTATGTAGTATGACGTCAAATTCGTTTTATATTGCCAGCTGTAAAAAATAAAAGTCCAACGTTTAAATTTTGTATTATAATTAGAGTTTTAGTAAATTAACAAACACAGCTGTGATTTGCTCACCGTATTTGGGTTTGTAATTAATACGGGCCCGTGCTTCTATCTAAAGCTCTCTTTACCTGCTGGTGTTGAAAAGCCGTTTCTTTGTTTGCGCAATGTCCTTTCGGGTCCAACTAAACTGATGTTGAGGGCATACGAAATGGCGGTTTATAGTTCATGTTGATATTATACATGGTCTTTAAACTATCATTATCTGTGACTTATAAAAGAAAAGTTTTGAAGTGATTAGGAAGTCGGAGTTGCGTCTAATAGGTAGGGTAAGATTAGGGTAAGGTTAGGGTAGGGCTAGGATAGAGTTAGAGTAGAACTAGAGCAGGGTAAGAAAGGAAAACGGTAGGATTGACAATTGTATGGTTTTTGACACAGAATTCCAACGTTTTTTTTTCAAAAGGTTTTGTCATTTTTCAAACCTTATCAGAATACTACTTTTCTTGTATTGTCTTAGAAATGAATCATTTTAAAAATTGTTTATACGTGTGTCGCATACGTGAACTTGTGTGTACAGTAGACCTTCTGTATAACGAATATCTCGAGGATTCAAAATTTGTTTTTCATATCAAGTTTCACTATACAGGAGTCTTAAACCGTTATTATTCAAAGGTTGCTTGTTGTTCAAAGTTTATATAAAGTGTTTTATACAAGCGTTTCACTCTATGTTTTTAGTATGTCATCTTGTGATGACAGCTCATCAACGAGACACAATAATGCAAGTTCGCCTGAAAATTCACCTAAAATTGTGTTAGTAAGGCCAAAACGGCTAAAACGAAAGTTGTTTTGTGAAGTTTGTAATGGAGAGACGTTGTCGAGACATCTTGATGCGCAGGTATAGAATATTTTTAATCAAAAAATAAAAAGTGATAGGGATACGTGGTACGTAAAATAGGATTAAAGAGGTAGGGTAAGGTAGAGATATGTTAGTTGTAAGATAGGGTAAGTATGATAGGGTATGGTACAAATTTTTAATTTTTTAGGTCTGCCGTGCCTGTGCTGCATTTTACAAACGTTCTGTGATAGAGAAGTTGATCTTTCAATGTGCAAACAATAGCAGCTGTAAAATGGAGTTTGGTAAGTTACAAAATTTAGTTTTAACCTTTAATTTTAGGTAATTTAAGGCACTGTTGTCGAGCTTGTCGATTTGAGAAATGCAAGACTGTTGGTGCTTATTATTCATGTAAGTATTATGATATGTTAGGAAAAGGTATATGCAAAGCCAAGTGGAATTTTTTAAAATTTTGAGTTTAATGCAAAAGACTAAGCAGGTTAAAAATTGTAATAAAAATTCGGGGGTAGAACACTTAAAAATTTTTTATAAATAAAAATTTTAAAATTGTTGATATTGCAGTAAACGCGCAACCAAAAACTAAAATAGAGGTAGCAGCAAAGCTGGGAATAGAATCAACAGTACTGCCCAACAGGTTGTTGAAATTAGCCGAAGGATACGAATACTTCTTGGCAAATCAACATAAACTATTGGTAGAAGAACGTGGTGATGTGAGTAGTTTTTGCTTGTAGAATACAAACCTTTTAAGCTTTTTAATGATAGGGTAGGGTAAAATTTGCAATTTTTTGGCCGGGTAGAATAACGCAGGACAAAATAGTGGAGGGTAGAGTAGGGTAGGTTTAGATACATTTCACAGTCTACAGTATGAGGCAAATAGAACAAAATAACTTACAAGCGGACGGGGGGAGGGACAACAGTAAGTTGGGTCGAGCCAGAAAATTTGGCCATAAGCAATATACAGCAAAAGATGACAGGTTTAAAAGGTTGCATAGTGTACTTCAAGGCAGTTAGACAAGTTATAAGAGGGGTAGGGTAGTGGTGTAGGGTAGGGTAGGGTAGGGTAGGGTAGGGTAGGGTAGGGTAGGGTAGGGTAGGGTAGGGTAGGGTAGGGTAGGGTAGGGTAGGGTAGGGTACGGTAAAATTTGCAATTTTTTTATTTTTAGTGCAGCCCAACCAAAATCCGAGTCCAGCGTAAAAAGGCACAGGATCTGGAAATCAAAAGTCTACCCTTTATGATAAGGATGATCAACGACTTCTTCGGCCCAGTCAACGCTCTACCATGCAAATCTAAAGTATTTTGTGTCATTTTGAATTGATTTTTATGTTTAGATCAAGTTGTTAAATGCGGCTCACTCCGACTTGATGCTTCTACGTCAATATGCATTAACATTAGACCAGTTCCCGGAATGTGGAGATACTAGGTGCATGTTAACGACCGGTTACTACGCGGATTCTATTGATCTTGATTATGAATGGTTTTTGGATGGATTTTTTAAAAAGGACAATTTAAAAATGTATCTGGAGGTTAGCCTTCCGTATCTGCACAAGACCATGGATATTATGAATGAGTTTCGGAGGCACAAAACTAATCGAACTGATTTTGTGGTTTTAATGTTGTTGGCTCTTTATAAACATGGTAAAGCAAAGCTTATACAAGGGCCCAAGATTACTAAATCTTCTTGTGTCATTTACTTACTTACTTTCTTTCATCTTGATCTAGCTTTATCTTGGCTTTAACTACTATACCCGAGCTTTACATTAACTTTATCCTTGCCTGATCTTAGCTCTACCTTACGATCCTCGAGCGTTGCTCTGCTTTGTCTTTATCTGGCTTTGCCGCTACTCCACTGTATCAGAGCTTCACTCTAATCTTAACCTATGTAACTTTTATCTTACCCTAAGAATCTTAAAGTAAGATACAGATAGAGTTCTGCCGTGGCTAAGAGTTCTGTCTTTCTCTATTGCCATACCTTGTTCTTTTAGCTTTCGTTTGTCGCATTCTAGGCTTCTCTACCTCTACCTTTTATTTTTGTTTCTGGCTTTGCCTTCTTCTACTTTTAATTGTACTTTTTATATACATAAAAATGAATGACATTTTCAGCGGACGCTTTAAACTTATCGACGGAAGAAATGAGGATATACAAAGACGAGGTCCTAAACGAGTGGTCTTACAGTTATTTTGAAAAACATGGCCAAACAAAAATGACTAATCATTTGGTTCAAATCATGAAACTTTATGTCGAAGTTGATGTAAGCTTTTTTTTAAATTAAGTTTTTAAAATTTTTAAGATTTTTAAAATTTTGAAGTTTAAACTTTTCTTAAAATTGTAGGGTTGGCTTTTTACTGTTCATTTTTTTTCAGGAATACGTGATAAAAATAAAAAACGCAGCGTGTGCTATGAGAGCAATGGACATAGCGACAGAACAAACAAAAGAGTTAGATGTTCAAGGGTACATTAACAAATTACACAAATCAAACGTGCGAAACGAGTTTAAAATTAAAAATTGAAAATACAAATCTTGTTTTTATAGCGTGTTTAGACGATACAAGTTTATGGCTACTGTAAATAAATTATTGAATAGTAATTGGAGTTGCCTGTCAAGTACAATTATGTAAGGGCAAGGTAGAATAAGGCAAGATCAAAGCCGGACGGACCCCTTTGTTCTCGGTGCGGGGGCTCAAAAAATCGGTAAAAGTAGCTGTAAAATAAGAAGGTATAGACTAGTGTAGGGTAGTGTAAAGCTGGGTAGAATAGAACAGAACAGGTTACATCAAAGTAACGCAAGATAGAACATGGTAGGGTAGGGTAGGGTAGGGTAGAGTAGGGTAGGGTAGGGTAGGGTAGGGTAGGGTAGGGTAGGGTAGGGTAGGGTAGGGTAGGGTAGGGTAGGGTAGGGTAGGGTAGGGTAGGGTAGGGTAGGGTAGGGTAGGGTAGGGTAGGGTAGGGTAGGGTAGGATAGGGTAGGGTAGGATTGGGTGCTGTAAAATTTTGGAAGATAAGATATTTAAACCTTTCTAAAAATGTCTTCTTATTTATTTAAGTTCATAAATATTTTGACAATGTTATGTTTTGAAAGACTACATATTTTTGGTTCTTTCCTAGAACAAACTCATATTGTATGCCTTCGTCTCTTAGTTACACACCACATCCACATTGCACGTACTCATAGAGAACAAACAGTCATATACTTCAATGCATTTTCTATTGTCTATTACTTTTAGTATTATTTTATCGATAGTGTTATAGTGTTATGAACATATATTAATTAAGCTTTGTTTAAGGTAAACCTAAACTGTGGTTAGACTTAATTTGTTTTTTTTTGTAAAATACGTTCTGTGAAAATGAATTAATCGATGACAAAACAGTTAGTCGGTTTAATAAGTGTTTTTCAAGAACAACTCGTCTTTTTAATAATGTTTTCAATTTGCTGAAGAAAGGAAACTAATTTAGTAGAGCAAAAACAACTTTTCAACATTCTTTTTGATTGTAGGTTCGCAGTTACTTTTGTATGTTTTTAGAGTACCTAGTGGTGAATTAGCTTCACATGTATTATACAATCTGGATTGTAGGGTGCTCTGTGGGTCTTTTTCAAATTATTTGACAAGGGGGGGGGAGGGGGGAAAAGGATTTTTTAGCCAAAAATTACATTTTATGCCTTATTTTTTGATTTTAAGCCTAAAATTAATTTTTAAATTTAAAATTTATTTTAAAGCCTAAATTTTTATTTTGAAACATAATGTTTTATTTTTAAGCCTGAAATTTCATTATAAGCCTAAAATTCGTTTTTTAATCTTAAAATTTGTCTTAAAGCCAAAACATTCATTCTTAAGCCTAAAATTTATCTTTAATTTAAGAATTTATGTTTAAGCCAAAATTTTCATTCTTAAACATAATATTTTGTTATTAAGCCTAAAATTTCATTTTGGGCCTAGATTTCGCTTTTTAAATTTTAAAATTTGCTTTAAAGCCTGAAAATTCATTTATAAGCCTAACTTTCATTTTTAAGTTTATAGTTCATTTTTAAGCCTAGATTTCAAATTTAGGCCTAAAATGCAATTGTTAAGCCTAAAATCTATTTTTAAGCCTACAATTTTATTTTTATGCCTAAAATTCATTTTTAAGTAAAAAAATTCAGTGTTAAGACTAAATTCCATTTCTAAGCTTAAAGTTCATTTTTAAGGTTGAAATTTAGGAAGAGTAGGGTAATTCAATGTAAGGCAGGGTATTTTCTATGTATCAAACTTAACAACAAGTGTTTAATAATAAGTGACAAGTGCACTCTTTCTATTGCCCATATGATTAAGTTTTATCTTTTGCAACAGCTCACTCTATTAAAACACACACCCTCTCTACCTGCGTTTTCATCGTTTTTTGTTTAGTTTTGTCTCTTTTTCTGTCGCCGAAAAAGAGAGCCGTAAGCGCTCGGAACGGCGAGAGTTCACGCTCGAGACCGCAGCGATTTGTATGAGAAAAAGAAAAAGTTTCAGGTGGAAAAAGTTTTATTACGTTTTTTGGTTGGTAAGCAACTTGTATTTCACGTTACATCACGGTTTTTAGATTTTACGCTTGAAAGCCGCGGTTTTTGTGATTCATTGGGTATGAAGGGTATATCTGGTTTGTAACAACATGTTTAGGCAGGAATGTTGCATGTCAGGCGCTTGCAACATTCCTGATAATTTGTTTTTTGAATGGTTTTTGGAGGTAAAAAGAATATTTTAGTGTTTAGTGATAAAAAAAATAAAAAAAAAATTTTTTGAAGTACAGTGAAACCCTTACAGTTTACAGTTTGTTTAACTTTTTCTCTATCAATGTAAAATACAACTTATGAATTGATCAAAAACTATTGTATTCACTAGTATTGATGTAGGTGCTCATCCCGGATAGCGTGAAACTCTTGTGTAACAAAATCTCTCCATACCGAGCAAATTTTAGACTTCCAGATAACAGGGCAAAGTAGGATAAAATACCGAAAGGTAGGACAAGTTAGAGTAGAGTATTTTAGGATAAGTTAGGGCATGAAAAGGTTAAGCAGGGTAAGGTAGGGTATGACAAAGAGTAGTTTTAAAACTCCTGTATAAAGAAACGTCTTTATAACGGAACAACTTTTAAATCCCCCAAGCAATTTGTTACACAGGAGTGCTACTACATCGATAGTGAAGGTTAAGAGATGGGTAGGGTTACCCACGGCATGGCAAAACAGACTAAGCTTGAAAAAGATTCAGATATTGCCAAGCTGACCTTAAATGTTTTAGTTTTTGGGCCGGGCTGTAAAATTGAATCAGTCTGATTGTCATGTCTAGGTGGGTATGGTATTCGCTTTCCAATTATTTTTTTAATAATAAGAGTAGAGCTTTAAATAAACGTAGTTAATAATTTTAAAAATTGAAGCTTTATCTTGCTTTGCTTTGTGTTCTATCCTGCGTCTATTAGGTTGTATAAATAATTCTGAGCCCCCGAATCTCGAAAATTTGGTTTGAGAAAGAACGCAGAACTATTTAAACAACAATACTTCACACTCACGCTGTTGAACTACAGTAATTATTATGTTTTACTAATATTTTAGTTTTCTTATATAAAAAATTACATTTTTAATTATATTTTTTGTAAAATACGTCTATTGAAAAAAAATTGATATTATGTATACGTTTTGCTAAGTCTTATTCTTTTTTAAAAAGTTTAATCATTTTTTTCAGGACTTTTTTGCCATGCCGGCGATAAAAAGCCGCTCAATGTCGCTGGACACAAAGGGCAAAGTGATTGGGTGTCAAGTTTGTAGCAAACATACGAAAAGTAATCATCTTGGAGTTGATGTAGGTAATAAAAATGGCAAAAACTTTCTTTACAAAACCTTAAACAACAAGAACTTTCTTTAGAAAACAAAAATGGCAAAAACTTTCTTTACAAAGCGAAAAATGGCAAGAACTTTCTTTACAAATCAAAAAATGGCAAAAACTTTCTTTACAAAGCGAAAAATGGCAAAAACTTTCTTTACAAAGCGAAAAATGGCAAAAACTTTCTTTACAAAGCGAAAAATGGCAAAAACTTTCTTTACAAAACCTTAAACAACAAGAACTTTCTCTGAAAACAAAAATGGCAAAAACTTTCTTTACAAAGCGAAAAATGGCAAGAACTTTCTTTACAAAACACAAAATAGCAAAAACTTTTTTACGTAACATAAAGTGGCAACAACTTATTTATAAACATGTTCCACAGCCGTATTTTACATAAATTTTAGGTTTGCCGAGCATGCGCATCGTTCTTCAAACGGTCTATGATCGAGAACAAACGATACCAATGTAAAGATGGAAAACAGGAGTGTAGCTTGTTGAATCGTAAGTCTAAACTTCATATTAAACCCAAAATTCATTTTTAAGCCTAAAATTTATTTTTAAGCTTAAATTTCATTTTTAAGCCTAAAACTCATTTTTCAGACCAAAAAGTCATTTCTTAAGCCTAAAATTAATTTTTAAGCCCCTAACTAATCTTTAAAGGTTAAAATTTATTTTTAAGCCTGAAATTAAGTTTTAAGCTTATATTTCATTTTTAAGCCTAAAATCTATTTTTTAGCTTAAAATTAATGTTTGAGTCTAAAATTCGTTACATTTTGAAGTCTGAAATTCATTTTTAAGCCTATAATAATATCATTGCTTTCAGTTGATGGCAAAAGAATCCTTTGTAAGCTCTGCCGTTTCTACAGATGCCAAGAGCTGATCATACCTATAAACTGTAAGTTAAAAATTTTATTTTTTAAATTGTAAATTTTAGTGAGCGACACAATGTACACAAAGGACGGTCTCTACAGTTCCAACGGCTTCAAAATTGATTACTCAAACATACCATTGCTACGGTATATGGTACAAGGCTATGACAAATGGTGCGATCAACAACTGGAAATTGTTAAGAAAATGCATCCGAACATCGAGTTCACTACAGGCACGGTAGGTTTCTGAAAATTTTAGAGTCGGAACAACAAGGATAGGATAGAATAAAGAAGGGTAGGATAAGGAAAGGAAGGTTTGAGTAAGGGAGGGCAGACAAGACGGGAACTTTTGTTCTGGGGTGGGCTTGAAAAAATCCACAGGGTAGACCACGGTCAACTCTTTTCGGAAATTTTTGTTGTCTTATCTCCCCGCGCCCGGCCCTGAGGGCAGAGTAAAGCAAGGAAATGTAAAAAAAGGTTGTGTAAGAAAGGGCAGGGTTAAATAAGTAAAAGCAGCGTAAAGAAGGAGAGAGTAAGAAGGGAATAATTGAGTAAGGAAGGAAAGTGTAAAAGAGGCAACGTTACGAAAAGTAGGGTAAAGAAAAGACAAGGTAAGGAAAGGCAGGGTAAGTAAGGGAAGGGTTCAGTAAGGAAAGACAGCATAAAGAAGGGCAGGGCAAACAACAGCAGGGTAAAGAGAAGCAATTTAAGGAAAAAAAGAAAGGTAATAGTTAAGTAAGTAAGGACAAGGTAAAAGAGGCAACGTTACAAAGAGTAGGGTAAAGAAAGACAAGATAAGGAAAGGCATGGTATAGCAAAGGAAGATTTCTGTTCTACGCTATAGAGTAGCTTAAGTGAAGGTAGTTAAGCTACAAACAGGGCCGGGCGCTTGGGAACCCCTCCCCATCTTGGAAAAAACTTTTTATAAAAGGTTGAACGTGGTCTCCCTTGTGGATTATTGGAAAAAACGATTTTTTGGACCCCCGCTTTCCAGACCAAAGTCCCCGCCCGGCCCTAGCTACAACAAATTACTTTATAAACTTTTTTATTCTTTAATTAACGATTTTATATTTATCGTATTTTACCCAAAATATTTTAGTTCATAACCCCTCCAAAGTCCTTTATATTTGAATTGGAATGCCGCGGCTTCAAAGGTCTAATGCAGATCATAAACCAACATTTTGGACCATTCAATACTCTACCTCAAGCTCAACAAGTAAGAATAAACTATACATTAACAATCTTTATTTAATTTACAGTATAATTACAGCCAGTTTAAAAAAAAATTTTGCTTAATTCTACCCCCCCCTCTTCTTCCCTAATTTACCTTATTTTTCATTATCAGATAAGAATAATGAGCCAAGCCTACGTCGAAATTCGTTATTGGCACGAATGCTGTCTGACCAGCCAAATCTGTCCTCATCCAAGTGACACAAAATTCGTATTCTCACCGGTTTATTGGGGCGACCCAACTAATATCAACTACAAATGGTGGTTTTGTGGCTATGTTGGCAAAAGTGACCTCGACAAATACATAAAGTATGGTTTAAGAAATTTTGCGATTTTTAAATTTTTTTTAAAATTTTTTGAATTTTAAAGAATTAAAAAAAATTTTTTCTTTTTTTTAATTTTAAAAATTAAAATAATTTTTTAAAAATTTTTTTTTTATTTTTTTAAATTTTAAAAATTTAAAAAATATTTTTTTTATTTTTTTTTAATTTTAAAACTTTTTTAAAAATAAATTTTTTTCTAAATTTTATATAATGCTGAACTCTTTAAGGACTCTAATGCCAGTACTGGCAGTTTATGGCCAATTTGTCGGAAAATTTAAGAAGTTGAAAATGCAGAAAATTGACGGTGTTGTACTCATGTTTCTAACGTTGTGGCGGTACAGTAAGTAAAATGAAACCTTTTTTTAATTTACATTACTCTGATCACAGTCTAAGATGTGCGTATTAAATCATAGCCTGTTTTAGTTCTATTCTATCTCTACCCTAATTTCTACTTTTGCCTTTACAGCTTCTAAACTGAGGTTAATATTGCATTACTCTGGTCGACCCCTAGCTTCTACTCTTGCATTTATCTTAGACCTATTTAGATCGAACGCTGCGTCTTAACTTAGTTTTAATGTTATTAGCATGGCCGAGCGGATTCTTTGCGAAAATGTAGTTACATATAAAAATACACAGGGGGGGGGGTCAAGTTTAACTTTTTTAAGTTTAGTTTTACTGTGGGGTTACATTAGCTTAATCCAAGCCCTACACTAGCCCTATATTAGCCCTACATTAATCTTACTCTAACCCTAAGCCCTACTCTATTAGCCTTACTCTAACCCTAAGCCCTAGTCTAGCTTTTCCTTGGCCTTTGCCTAGCCCCAGCTTAGTTTTGCTTTATCTCTACGCTTTGGTTATCTTTGTCTTACTCTGGCTTTACTTTTCTTCTACATTATCTTCCATAGTTCATTGTAAAAATGCATTTTTTAGTTGAATACAACAACAGTTTGACGATTGAAATGGAGAAGTTCAAAGACAGAATTATGACCGAATATGCCGTAAGCTTACGACAGAGATTTGGCCAAGGAGCTACAATACAGCTGACTAATATTATGCTGTTCTACAAGGAAGTTGACGTAAGTAATACAATCAACACTATCAGTAAAAGCTTTGTAAAGGGACTTTTTGAGATTTTTTGTAAAGAAACTTCTTGCTGTTTTGACATTGGTAAAGAAAGTTTTTGTCATTTTTTGTATTGTAAAGAAAGTTCTTGCTGTTTTGACTTTTGTAAAGGAAGTTCTTGCTATTCTGACTTTTGTGAAGAAAGTTCTTGCCATTTTTTGTTTTGTAAAGAAAATACTTGCCGTTTTAAATAAAAAACTTAAACTTCAGCAAATGAACACAGACTTAGAGCACATGCGTACTCAACTGAACGTGCTTCGAATGAGTAAAAGCGATGAAGGTTATGAATGTCTGTTGAGTGAAGAGATGATGAATCTAAAGTGTTCAGAATAACCACAGATCATTTTGTAATCATTATGTAGCGTTTTTTGTTTAAACCGATGTCATTTTATAATTTAGAATATTGTCTTTTACTAAAGATTCTTATTTTTATTTTTTTTGACTACAGTATATTTTGTACAGTATTATTTATTTATGCTATGTTTTTATAATTTGTCACTTATTTTTGATCTTTAACGCATTGAATTGATCTTTATATAATATTTGCAACATCCTCTACATGTTGATAGACTTGCCAATACTAGGTCATACTTTATATTTTGTACTATTCAGTATTTCACACTACAATAGTCATACTCTTCAGTATGTCATACAACGTTTGTTTTACTACACAGTGTGTCATATAATATCGGTTGTACTACATAGTATTTCGTATAATATTTGTTGTACTACATAGTACGTAAAATTATATATGTCATACTAAACAGTACTTTATCTTATAGCTGGCGTGCTACACAATACGTCATATTAAAGATGCCGTACTAAATTGTATGTCTTTTTATCGCTGTCGTAATAATCAGTATGGCTTATTACAGCCGTCGTACTAAAAAGTATGTCATACGGAAGAATAAACTTGTATAAATCCTGACGGAAGTTAATTGCAATAACAAGGTTAAATGACCTTTTATATTGCTCTATTTGTTTGTACTACTAGTTATAAGACTTGTACAGGTAGGTTGCGTCTACTTGTAGTACTATGTCAGATATACGTAGTGTTATAGGTACTGTATACCTAACATAGTCTTATCTTAACCATACTCTAAGTTTTTACTGTTATGTACGGTATATGTACTGTAAAACGTACCGTATATGTACTGTTATAGCATAAATGACAGTACGTTAAGCAGAGCCTGGCTCGTGTTTTACAAAATCTTTATCATATGTTAAGATATAGTACTAAAAACATTTTTTTTTTTGAATTTCGATTTGATTTTGTCATTTTTTAAGTAACATAGTTCATTTTCAGATTGAACACCAAAAATGTCAGTTGCACCCCCAAAACCATCGACCAGCACCGTAATCACTCGTAGAACGCCCAGTGTGACCAGAAAGAGAAAGTCCCCAATGTGCTGTAAAGTTTGTAACGACGAGATTTTAAACTTAAATTTTGGAGCTCAGGTAAGTTTATATTATCTAATTTTAAGGTAAAATACGTCGAAAAAACCTTTGTAGTAAAAAAAAATTATTTAATTTAATGGCATTTTGTGGTACATACTTACTTATGTACTATTACAGGTCTGCCGAGCATGTGCCTCGTTTTACAAAAGGACTTACTTGGAAAACAAAAAATACCGCTGTATTACTGGGTTTCATAACTGCAATATTGATCATGGTAAAGCTTTTTTAAATTATTTGACGTGCCCAGACCCCTAGCACAGTGTCACAGCCCAGAGCCTTAGCCTAGAGCCCTAGCCCAGAGTCTTAACCCAGAACCCTAGCGAAGAGCCCTACATCAGAGCCGTAGCCCAAAGCCTAAGACCACAGCTTTAGTTCAAAGCCCTAGTTCTAGCACTAGCTCTACTCTAGAAGTGCCCAAGCTTTGTGTTAGCCTTTCTTACCCAACCTTGCTGTATGGTTTATCATTTCACTATACTAGCCCTTGTATAGTTTTGCCTTTTTCCAGCCATAACTAGGTCTTTCTATAGCTTATAAACTTGAAAAATTTCAATTTGAATGTTATAGAAGGAAGCAAAGCCGGAAAGTGTAAAGCATGTAGGTACGAGAAGTGTCAGCAAACCAATATTCAAATCAAAGGTAGCTTTTTTAAAAATTTTGTAATTTAAAATTTTTTTTTATATTTAGAAATGACGTTAGTACTTAATTTTTTTCATTTTCGCTGTTAAAATTATGGTATGTTTAAAAAATCTTACTTTAGAAAACTTCAAATCCCCAACTCGACCCCAACCAGTCACTAAGCTAAACGAAGGAAAGCTTATTGGACAAATGATAAAAGGGCATGCCAAGTACCTGCAAACTCAATTTGACAAATTAAAAATTCTACATCCGGATGTCATTTTCTCGGATGATGTGGTAAGTTATATCTAACATGCTTTGCCTGGACTGTCCAAGCGATTTTTTCTCAAGTTCGTTCCGGCCCTTTTTGAGAACCAGGCTAGAAGTTTTTTTTCTCGGACGGTCCAAGAATTTTGATTTGAGGGAGTTAAAAATGAAAAATTTTTTCAGTTTATAACCCCGATTAAACTCGAAGTACTACGATTGAACTGTACGACGGTGAAGGATATGTTAGAGATGTTTATCGATCATTTTGGACCGTTTAACAAATTGGAGCGGAATGATCAAGTAAGTACTCAAACATAGACGACAATCGTTTTATAAAAGCCCTATTCTACGCCCTACCGCTAGACATGAAAAACGGGCCGGGTCTGAATATTAGTTCCGGCCCGATCAAAAGTTGGCGCAAAACCGGCCCGTTTCTCATTTCTACCTACCGCAGCTTATTGTAGCCCTACGTAGCTCTTCAGTACCATTATTTTTAGTTTCTGAGCCATAACGTAGTCGTAAGACTAAGGCTTTCTTCAGCTCTACTCTAGCCTTACAGTTGCTTGTATTCTAACCCTTACCTAGCCTCATCATTGCCTTTATTCTAGCGACATTCTACATTAACCTCGCTCAGTCCTACTCTATATTAGCTTCACCCTAACCAGTCTAATAAAAACTTTAAAACTTAAAATTTTAGATAAAAGCTGTCCGAAAATCCTTCACAGAAATGAGAGTACTGAACGAATGTTATCTGTCCGCCAAATATTGTCCTAGTATCGAAGATACAAGACTAGTACCAGCTCCCGGATACTTCTATGATCCAGGAAACATTGATCCAGCTTGGTATCTTCAAGGCGTTATGGAGGGCAAAGATTTGCTTTTGTATGAAAAGTAAGGCAATATATTGCAATATGAGTTTTTAGGTCTAGTTTATGGTTTTTTATGTAGATTATGACTAAAGTTCAATTTTAAGCCTAAAATTTGTTTTTAAGCCTAAAAATTCATTTTTAAGCCTAAAATTTGTTTTTAAGCCTAAAATAAGTTTTTAAACATAAGGAATTTTTTTTTAAATTTAAAATTTTTTTAACTTCTTTTTACCCTACCCCTACTTCGTGACTTAAAAATTTACCTTTCAGACTGATGAAGCCTTTAAATGAAAAACTACAAATGGTGGCTCGAAAGGCTAAATTGGCAGACATAACTCAAGTCGACACTGTTGTTATAGCTATGATTATATTGTGGAAGAACAGTAAGTAATCAAGTCAAAAACGTTTTTAAAATTTTAAAGTTCTAAACCTTAAAATTTGCTTTGAAAGGGGACCCAGGGTTATGTGAACAACCTAATAAATTTGACATAAAATATACATACAGTTAACGTACTTTACAGTTGAAAACAATGGATTGATGACCTCTGAACTCAATGATTTCAAAAATAAAGTTATGATCGAATGGACCGAAGACATAAATCGCCGTTATCAGGGCAATTCGGCCGAAATATTGCAAGGAAAAATGTTGTTTTATGGGGAAGTTGATGTAAGTAGCCCTACTCTACCCTACTCTTCCCTACCTTACCTTACCCTACGCTACTCTACCCAACCCTACCCTACCCTACCCTGCCCTACCCTACTTTACTTTACCCTACCCTACTTCATCTTACACTACCCTAATTAAAAAATTTTTATTTTCAGAACATAGCTATTGAAATGTGTCACAATTTGCTACAACTAAAGCTACTACGAAAAGCAATACCAAAACCAAGTGACTGCTGTATCGAGAAGGCTTTGCTAACTTGAAAGTTGATGATTAATTTGTAAAAATCTTTGTAAAAGCACAAAAAAATTTTAAATTTCAGTTTTCTCTGACAAAAACTTTGATTTAGTGACAAAATTTTTAAAAGTAGAAAAATGACAATTCCAACCACTTTATATTAAATTATATTCTGTGTACAATGCTATATTAATATTGAAAACAACTCTCTAAATTTAAAATGCTAATCAATTACACTTTGTTTCCCAACTCTTCACAAGTTCATCAACAAAATGCAAATCCTCTTTGACTTATATCATAACTAACTCAAGTTATCTGTTTTTAAACTATTTTTAAAAGGCCTTCTTATATTATACTACAGTGAAACTCTTGTATAACGAATCGCTCAACGGTTTGAAAGTTGTTCGTTATACAATATTTTCGTTATACAGAAGTTTTACTGTAATTTTAAAAAAGCTTCATAAGGGGAAGCTTCACCTTATACTATGTTTATTATCTTTATAAAATAAAGAGAAGCTTCTTAGCTCATATTGTTTATTATATTACCCTTTTTTGTATGTCTACCTTACTATATATGAATCTTTACCATGTAAACCCTCAAAAAACAAATGTAAAAAATACTTTTTAATATTAATAAACAGCTTACTTTTAATTATATTGTATTTTATAAGCTTTTAAACTACAAACTGAATTTTACAAGAGCTTCTAAAACAAAATCTAAAAAAATCAGGTTTGATACCTGTGCTGTGCCAAAAACATTCATAACTTTTGTCGCTATAACAAAATCTTGTCAAAATTAGCCTCAAAACATTCCTCATAATCTTTCCTATCTTTTAATACCAAATTCAAGCAAACTACAAACCTTTCAAATAAAGAAAACATCAATATTAACTTACATGTCCAACTGGAAGGTTGTTACTTGTCCGATTTGTTTCGTTCATTTGACTATCTTCACATTTCCTGTAGAATAAATGTAGCCCTGAATACTTCTGAGACTCTAGGAGGCATTACAGTTGATATTCATCCGATTGGCCATGAACAAAGTCGACTTTTCCCGGGAACAACGACGAGAAAGACGAAAAATTCTATTTTTTCGATTTTGAACGAGAATTTTGGCGCCAAAATTTTGGTCGGCCTAATTTATAGCTTTAGAATTAGAAATGATTTTTAAACTTAATATAAAAATTTTTCTGTCAAAAAATCGATATTTATTAATTAAAAAATATTAAATTAATTGCACTTAAACATATTAAAATGCGTATGAGTTGCGTACGATACGATCACTTAACTTAACGGCCACCATTCTTCTTTCCCTTGCCCTTCTTCTTGCCTTTTCCATTTTTGTGGTGTTTTTTACCCTTTCCTTTGCCCTTCTTACCGTGCTTTTTGCCACCGTGAGCAGCACGTTTCACTACGTTGTGCTGTCGTGCATCAGCAAGGTCGTTTGATGTGACTTCGGCATTTGTGTAGGCTACGGCTAGGACTAAAAGTATTATACATAGAGTAAAAACTACAGTAGGTCTTGGTTGCATTAGGATAGGGTAGGGTAGGGTAGGGTAATGTGAAGTAGGATAGACATAAAGGACTTGCTCGAGTCATAATAGCTTCAATTTAGAAACCAAGGTTTTAACCTATACACCCAAACCCCTAGTCCAAACACACAAGGTTCGAGTCCAGACTCAAAGCACTAGTCCAACCATACAAAGATCGAGTCCAGACTGTTGAATTCGACAAAACATTAATGTTGACGGCTTGACATCAAAAGTCCAACCCCAAAAAAAAATAAAAAAAATGACTTACCGAGTACAAAAATGAGTAAGATCCAATAAACAGTACGCATTGAAAAAAACTACCAATTCCTAAGTTAACCTTAAAAACAGTATTCTTTACTAAATTTTACAAAGGTTTAGCTCAAAATGTTCAAAAAATTCAGCTAAAATACACGTAAAATGGAAAATAAAACTGGCACTCAACACTGTAGGGGAAAGCTAATCAAAAAATATTTTTTTGTCCTGTAGAGGCTAGAAATGATTCTGAACTAGTCCACAAATACCTGTTGTTTTATTGGAATTTGGCTCTGTCGAGGAGAAGAGGGGGGGGAGGTAATTTACCCTTATCTTCCCTAGCTTCGTCCCTCACTATAATTACAATTAAACTCCTGTATAACCAACTTTTTCAAAACATTTTACCCGCGGGTTTGAAACTTGCTCACTATAGCGAATTTTCGTTGTTGAGCTGACCGTTATACATACAGGGGTTTACTATATTCATTTTTCTATTAGGTGCCGACATAAAGAACCCGCCATACCTTTCCTGTAATTTCCTGTAAAAAATGGCGGGTTCTTTATGTCGGCGCCTAATATTTATTCTAACAAAATCACTATAAATAACTGCGGCTCATATAAAGTACTATAAAATACCAAAGGTTTTATACTTTTTTTTATTCGAAATTCCAAACGAGGTTTCGTTTAAAAATTCAATACCGAGTTGATTCTACAGGGCTTTTTAACATAACAAAGAAGATATTATAAAGAATGCAATAATCAACAAGTCATAAAGTTGAGACACATTGCCAATAATATGTGGGAAGATGCAAAAATGTTCATTTTGCAGACGTTCTACTAAAAGCCAAAACAAAAAAAAAAATTTCTAGTTTTAGGCTTAAATTTAACAAGTCAAAAATTTGTTTTTAAGCCTAAAATTTTTAAACATAAAATTTTATTTTTAATCTTATAATTTGTTTTTTTATACTAAAAATTTTTTTAAGCTTAAAACCCATTTTTAAGCCTAAAATATCACTTTAAAGCTTAATATTCAGTTTTATGTCTAGAATTTAATGTTTAAACTTAAAATTTGTTTTTAAGCCTAAAATTTGTTTTTAAGCCTAAAACTCATTTTTAAGCCTAGAATTTCATTTTTAAACTTAAAATTTGTTTTTCAGCCGAAAATTCATTTTTAAGCCTCAAATACCTCTTTTAAGCCTAAAACCCATTTTTAAGCCTAGAATTTCATTTTTAAACTTAAAAATAGTTTTTAAGCCTAAAATCCATTTTTAAGTTTAAAATATAACTTTGAGCATAATAATAATTTTTAAACATAAAATTTTATTTTTAATCTTATAATTTGTTTTTATGCCTAAAATCTATCTTTAAGCCTAAAATTTATTTTTAAGCCTACACTTCATGTTTAAGCCAAAAATGTATTTTTAAAACGCCAACTAACTTCCCCAACCCTAATAACCCATCTTTTTCGAAACAGTATAAAACAGCGAAAAAGAGTAAGCGACTGGTCATTATTTGAGTTTCCAAACGTTTTGTGTACAAACGCAATAATAACATACATAAAAACACTATGAAGCGGACCGTTCCGTTTTTTAATTCAAACATTGTCGGTGGAACAAAGGAAGGAGAAAGTAATCTCTTAATTCATTCCGATCTTCTCATGCAATAATTAATGTAAATGAGCGCTAGAAATGGCATTGTTATTGCGGCCGCATCGTTTTGCAATTTGTATAGTAAACAGATCTTTTATAGAGGGTCGGGCCTAATTATTTGGCCCAGCCGACGAGACAAGCTTTGAGTTGGGCCTAGATTTTTGGGCTTAAACCACGAGTTAGGCTTTGATTTGGACCTAGCTTCTTGAGCCCAACCCACCAGTTAAGCTTGGATTTGGGCCAAGCTTCTTGGGTTCATATTAGAATACTTTTGATTTATTTTTCAAGTAAATGCTGCCCCGCTACTTTTGGTTCAAACTAATATGAACCCAAGAACCTACTTGCCAGCCCGGGCAGCCCTTTAGCGTCAGCCCGAAGCGGACCGGTTTCGGCTTGTCTAGTGAACCCGTTTAATGTCTATGAACTAATTTTTTTGGCCTGACCCACAATTAGTCCCTTGGTTTAAGCCCGGCCCTTAAACCAAATGTGTCCGTCCCAGCCTTTTTTTTGAATTAAAAATAAATTTTAGGTTTGAAAATTAAAATTTTTGCTTTAAAAATAAATTTTAAGCTTAGAAATTAAATTTTTGCCTTAAAGACAAATTTAAGGCTTAAAAATGAATTTTAGGCTTAAAAATAGATTTTTCGCTCACCATAAACGCTACAACTAGAATTAAAACAAAACCTCTACGGCCAAAACAAGAAATCTCCAAATCTGCCGAAATCTTATTTATCAAACGTCAAAAACTATACACATCTCTTATGAATATAATAATATATTCGGAAACCGCTCCGTATATGCAAAAACACCCGCTCCCTTCTCGTATCCTTCTGCTTGACCGCTGACCATACGACGAGAAAGCGGAGCAAACGCCTTTTGTGTGACATTATTGCTTATACGATGCGCAATTTGGATGAATATGCGCATAAATATTATATACGACAACACGGAGTTTCAGTCAGGATGACAGTTATAACCTTGCCGTTATAACCTTGGTCCTTACAATGGAGCTTCTGTATAACGAACTCTAATGATGCATCCTCTGTATTCGATCCATTATTGATCAAAACGAATAGATGGAAGCGTCAATACGTAGTTGAGTCAGACCTGAAAAGGGGGCTATTAGGCCGCAGTAAAGAAAATTTGAAAAGGACCGAGCCGAATAATTTAGCCATGCCTTTTTACAGGCTTAGCTCGAGTGATTATTACATAAATTGTTAAAGCGTGCAGCAAAAAAAAGCTGGAATCAGTTTATTTTTTCCTGACGACAAAACTTTTTGGCTAGCCAAAAATATTGCGGATTTATTCTGCTTAATTCGTTTCGATTGTCTTTCTGAATTCACCAGAACGTCTGATTCATGGGCTGTAAATTTGTATTTTATCAAGGCTTTACTGTCACTGGGGCCATGGTTTGACCCTAGCGCTCGGGCCTACATTTGCTGGCCCGGCCCGACCGTCAGGGCCGGGCGGGAACTTTTGTTCTGGAGGCAGGCGAGCTATCTGTGGCGATTTTTTGGGAAAATTTTTTTTTCAAGTATCCACAGGATGGAACACGTTGAACTTTTTTTCGAAATTTTTTGTTTCATCCCCTCCTGGTCCAGATGGGGTCATTCCTTCGCTCCAAACCGGCCGCGAGAGCTCTATTTCAAGCATAGCCTAACGAAGTCAAATTCATAACCTTGCTCGACCATCTTCTTTTCATTCCAATCATTATCTTCTACGTGTAGTTTTACTTCTTTTCTATGGCTATCAGGCTAGAATTTTTTATTCTAGTCTTACTTCTGTTATTAGCACTTGTTCTCTTTTTTAGCTCCATATGGCCACCATTTTACTCTTCTTGTGATTGTGTTAGTTGTAAAGATTATGAGGTATACGAGATGAGATATAAATTTAAAGTTTTCTACATGGTATTTATATCAAAAAACTATGGAGAATAAGACAATCTTTAAAAAATTATATAAATTGAGTACAAGATAAAGAAATCGACCGGTAAAGTTAGTCCAGGGACTTTTGGCGCACCTTGTATTTAAAACCAGTATGAACATCATTACAAATCAAACACCTATACGCTACATAAGTTTTAAAGTATCATGTGTTCAATCACTTAATCTTGGTGATAGTTTAACTCACGTCATTGAAACATCACATTATTTAACATGTTTTACGTGAACTTCGATGAACTAAAAGAAATTACACTAAAACAGTAAGAATAACCGTTAAAACTAAAAAAAACATAACCATTATTCAAATTAAAAATTTCAAAACTATTTTTAAATTTTCAACCGGAAACAGTATATTATGCACTATTATACTATTAAGGCTTTGATTAAATTAAACAACCTTTAGGTCTGATCCGAATTTATACATACTTTTCATGCTCTTCACCTCACAAAAGAGTCAAGTGATTGTACAAACTTGAATTTTAATTTATTCAAATAAACACTGTATGTGTATATATAAACCAGACTAGATCACGTTTTGATATAGTTGGTTTTACGGAAACAGGATTAAGAGTTTATAATCATAATAGAAGTTATCAGCGTTGTAGTCTAGTTTAGGGGTGTTAAGGTTGTTTTTGTTTTTTTTATAAACTTTGGATTAAAGAAGGGATGAAGTAGAGCTAGGATAGTACTAGAGAAAGGCTAGAGTAGGGCTAGGATAGTACTAGAGAAAGGCTAGAGTAGGGCTAGGATAGTACTAGAGTAAGGCTAGGGTAGAGCTAGGATACTACTAGTGTAGGGTTAGGGTAAAACTAGAATAGGGCTGAGGTAAAAATAAAGTAGTATCAGGTTATGGCTAATATAAGAAGTATGGTAGAGGTAAAAATCTAGGGTAAGCCAGAATAAAGCTTAGGGTAAAGCTAGGATAGGGCTTAATATTTAAAACTATAGTATAGTTTAGAAAGAGTTAGGGTAAGAGCTGATGTAAGGCTAGAGCAAGACTAGGGTACGGCTAGAATAAAGTCTAGGGAGAAACTAGGGTATGGCTAGAGTAGGAACTATGGTTGAGGTAAAAAAAAGTTAGGATTAGACTTGGGAAAGACTAACTAGGGAATTGCACCAAATATCCCTCGGCTTTTTGAACGAGACCTATATAGGATGAAAGAGCATAAAAATTTACCGGGAGAACTGTTTTCAAAAACTGCTAAATAGATTCGGCTAGCGAGATATTAGCGATTAAACGATTTACATAGGGTTTGCTATTTGACTCTTGTCATTCGTCTTGAGCAAAACGAATGGATTGAAGCTTCAATCCAGTGTGGTCGAGTGGTTAACAAGTTAGTCTGGGGTGCAAAAGGGGGGAAGTACGGATCCCGTCAGTTTCATTTTGGCGCCCAGCCATGCTGACAAGAAGTTTTGGCTAGCCAAACAATATTTTGGTTAAAAAAAGTTTTTTTTAAGACGTATTTTTAGCCTTTAGACACTTTTAGAAAAAAATAATTATCAAAAAATATCATTTTTTGAACTTTAAAGCTATACCCTTTAAACATATAAGGATATAGAGCATACTGTAACTCGCTAGCCAAGGCCATTTAGCAGTTTTTGAAAACAGTTTTCCCGTTAACTTTTTATGCTTTTTCATCCTATATAGGTCTCATTCAAAAAGCCGAGGGATATTTGGTGCAATTCCCTAGTAAAATAAGGGCACGTGTATGGCTGCAGTAGGGTAGAGAGTAAGACTTGTATAAAAAAATAGTTTTGAAACAATATTTTTACTACTGTAAGCTTTAACATTTTTGATGATGTGTTTGAATTACGTCTACTTACTACTCACGGCTTGCTGTGACGTATTTTACTATATCTAATATGTTTTTTATTTCTTTATTTTAAAGTCTTGTTAACATAGTTTCAACTTTAGACAAAAAAAGATGAAACAAATGACCTCCTCCATGAGATCATCAAAGTCATTTTCTCGACTTTTGAGAAGAAGTAGCGCCAATACTTCCCCTGGATCTTCTGAACCATCCTCTCCAATCAGCTTCGCCGCCGGCTTTTCACATTTGAGCTCAGTGACATCTTCGCCAAACTTGCTAGCTCTACCTAAAGACACCAAGAATGGCACTATGGTTAAATCGATCAGCAGTCAATCTCTATTGGGAGGAAAACTAGAAAACTTGGTCCGACGACGTAATTCATCTGTGAGTGCTAATAGTCAACCTGGCTCGCCTGGCGAAGGTAGTGAAAGTCTTAGTCGATCTGGTTCATTACGTAGTGTTAATACGCAAAGAATTAGTTGTTTACCAACTAGTACAAGAAGACCAAGTGCACCGAATACTAGTCTACCTGGCACACCAATCAGCTCTAACCCACCCAAATTGACTGTCACTAAACTATCTGGCAAGAACTTTTGGTCCAAAATCTACAAGTCATTCAAGACACTCTTATGTAATCTCTTTGGCAATACAGTATGTCAATGGTTCAAGTCACAGAAAAAGCAACAAGCATATGCTATCGCTAAATCATATGCTATTGCTTATGAAACAGAAGTTATTCTTGCGCCTACAACAAAGAGATTGTCTGATGGTGATAAGCCGGCCAATGTACCACACTGGATGACAGTAGCTAACGAGAAGAATAGCATGTTGAAGATGACGTTGCTGAGGACGGCACAAGGCGCAAAAGCTAAAACTAAGAAAATTGTGCACGCTTCAAGGCGAATGAGTCTGTTTTAGTGGGGACGTTAGAGGCGGTGAAAGGTAATTTTGTGTTTTAGCTTGACCTAGATGTATATATTAATAATGTTTTTACCGCATTACCTTTTTTGGTTATCTACAAACGACGTATACAAAATTTATTGTATGTCTTATAAAGTGTTCAAAAAACTGTAAAGTCTATACTTTCTTTATCAAAACTTGTAAATAATATAATATGAACCTAACTGTCTATAATATACTAACTGTTTATTGTTAGTAAAATATGAATAAATTAAAGCAGTTGGTATTTTTGTTTTGATTGAATTTAAAAACAAAGTTCAAATTAGTAAACTTACATGCAAAGGACAATATCATAATTTTGTCTGCTTATACTTGCTAGACGGAAGGACCTTGGTTCGACCTCCGCCTCCGCTCAACCCAGGCGCATTGAGAAATGGGTAGTGCTGGGAGCAGGGGGCTAGGCCCATCATCACTTGGCCGACACAGGTTTATGATAGACAAGCCATAAGTCCTATGGAGCACCTCACACGAACCAGTGATGCGGTGAACAGTGAAAACTGGGGGGAGGCCCAATTATGGGAAAAATCATAAACCAAGGATAGCTTCGGTGGACAACAAGGAGAACTAGAACAATCCAGGAACATACACGCAGTTCCTCAATACAATCGTCGGCATCAACATCATATAATCTAACTACATCTACATTCCACCGACCATAAATTGTAATTGTATAGCGTAGAAAACATGTTAATAAACCTTTAAACCTTTAAAAAATTGGCATCGGTCTACCTACAAAAATTGGGACGTAGACTTGTGCCAATTTTTTGGACCCCGTCCCCAAACCAAAAGTCTTTGCCCGGCCCTGGCCGAGACCATCTTGCCGTTTTTGCAAACAGTTATTTAAATTTAACATTATATGTTTTATCATCTTATGTAGAGCTCGCTCTAAAATCCTAAAGCTTTTAGTGCAGCTCCTTTTTAAGAAAACACATAACACGGATCATCGTTGTTATAATAAAATAAATTTGTTTTACTCAAAGTTCTACTACCATAAGCCACGGTCATAAAATTTTTTTTGAAAAACAAAGTTCAACTGTTTAACAATTTTTTAAACTACTAACAGCCTCATAAAATCATAGCATACTGTAAGGTCAAAAAATACGCAGAGTTTTATTGCATTGTGCAAAACTCATGATCAACAAAAAGCTAATATTTTTATGACTTTGACACCAAATTGTCCTCATTAAGTTTTCACGCGTTCCACACGCGTCTTATCTTCAAGGAAATGTAAGCTTTTGTCAACAAAACACATTCTTTGTTTTATGACCATGACTTACCGTAAGTTGTGAAAAGTTGATTATTAAACAAGTTGACAAATAAAGAAGCATGATGTAGGCTTTTTATCATTTATAAGTAACTGTAACTGTTTAGGCTACAAAAAGCTTAAAACTCAAAACATAATTCAAAATTTGTAGTACCAGATGTGGTATGATATCAGTACTTTAATCGAATGTGGTAGCTTATTAGTATAATTAACAAAAACAAGATCACGTTTCATATGATTATCATAACATTTGCTTTAGTTACAGTAAGTTTACGGTATAAAAATAAAAATTAGCAAAATCATGTTTTATATAGCAAGGTAAGGGAAGGTATGGTAAAACAAGTTAAGTCAAGAACGGGTTGAGCAGGTTTGGCTTGTCTAGCTAGACTAATGTAAGATAGTCTAGACTAATAGGGTACGATAGGGTAGGGTTATATAATAAACAAGCTCTAAACTTGCTCTAGCAAGTTTTAAAGTTTGTTATCAGCCAAGTTGTAAAACGCTTAAGAATGTCACTTGATTGATAGACAATTGTTGTTTCGAAACAAGTACCAAGATGGTATTTTAATGGTTAAAATCGTACGATCACATGGTTAAAGCGGTTTGTGTAATAAGATTATGATTGTAAGCTTGCAATCGCTTATAAACAGATTTTCTAAAAGTACGATGTTGTTTATGTTATTAGGGGGGGGTTGATAAGGGTTGGTTATATGTTATTGTATTAAGACCAAAAAACATTTTTTTAGTATCTGTGTGGTATAGTATCTGTAACTAAAAAGTTTTACTCTTAGTACCTGTGTATAATTGTAAGACGTTAGTGTAACAGAGGGTAGGGTAAATATGGCTACACTAGGGTAACATAAAGAAATGGTGGTAGGAAGCAAGTTAGGGGTGGTATAGATAGGGGAGCTCTAGGAAAAATTTTTTTTTGTTTTGAATGTTTATTGCAAACAGTAGTCTTAGTACACATAAGGTACACATTAGGGTAGGGTTGGGTATTATATACCAAAACCAAAAATTATGTTCTTTTGCTAGCATTTGTCTAACATTCGTATTTTACACTAAAAAATACAATTATTGATCAAAAATGATTTTTTATAATATAAGTAATCAAAATTTCAAAAATTTTCTAGAACAGATTGCCAAAACACAAACAACATTCTTTCCATCAAATATGAGAACAAGTAAGCATGACGTAAACAACCTTACTGATTATGCCTCTTCAGAGCGTTTTTGATAATTAACAAGTTGTAATTCGATTGTTTTTACAAAAGCTTTTAAAATTTCTGATTTATTTCTATAGCTCTGGAATCTGCCCCGAGAATTTTTAGTACTATAAACAGAGCCGGGCAAGGACTTTTGGTCTGGGGGCAAATGTCGAAAAAAATTTTTCCAAAAATTAACAGGGGAACTAAGTTCAAGTTCTTTTGATTTTTTTTCTGGAGAGCGGTGGGGGGGAGTTACTCTGCTCTTCGAACGATACCTATATAGGATGAGAGAGCATAAAAAGTTACCGGAAAAACTGTTTTCAAAAACTGCTAAATGGCCTTGGCTAGCAAGTTACAGTATGCTCTATATCCTTATGTTTTGATCGGTAATATCTCGCTAGCCGAATCTGTTTAGCAGTTTTTGAAAACAGTTTTCCCGGCCGCATTTTATGCTCTCTCATCCTATATAGGTTTCGTTCAAAAAGCCGAGGGATATTTGTTGCAATTCCCTAATAAGTCCGCCTTTGCTTTTTAAAAAACTATGATTTGGGCTTTAGCTCCAGCTCCGCAGCCAAAACAGCTCCGAAGCTGGAGTTGTCCTAGAGTTGATTTAAAGCCCTCGGTCAGCTCTAGGGCAAAAACTCTGGTTTTTATCATTATTTTAAATTTTTGGTGCATTTGCTCTAAACCCATAAGATCTGAACGCAATTTGCAAACCACGCCACGCATTATCAGCCGCGTAAGGTTTTATGGCAGAAGCAACGTGAATTTGAGTTTTTATTGAAATTTTAACGACTTTCACTGAATTTGGGGGTTTTTCCGTTGAGTTTCGATCAGTTCGTTTTTGAGTCTTATCAACGACAAACGAGCAGCTATTTAAAGCATACGGGTGTGTATTTAACGGATTGGGAGTGTAAAGATAGAAAGGGGTTAGAGGGTGGTTAGTAGGGATGTAGTGTGAAGATTGATACCTGTGTTGTAGTAGGAGTACTGTAATACACTTTCTTACTTTTTTTTGTTTTTGGTTGTACTATGTAATGAATATAAGTGTGGGTGAAAGGCTTGTAGAGTGAGGAAGTAGACTAGGGTAGGGAAAGGTAAGCTATAGCTGTGGTAAGGTCAGTGTAGAATAAGGTAGGATACGATAGAGTAGGGCAAGATAAAACTGTATAGGTTAGAGCTAAGGTAAAGCTAAAGTAGAACAATAGTAAGGCTATAACACGGTAGAGCAAGGTAGAACACGGTAGGTACTGTAAATTAAAGCTAAGGTAAGGTTAGAGTAAAGGAAAATAGGGTACGGAAAGGCGAGTAAGGTAAGGTAGGGTAGGGTAGAGAAACGGGACTGTTTTTGAACGTTTTTGAAAAGGGGGGGGGGAGGGTGAGAGAATTCGATTTTTTTTGCTGTGCTGCTTTTTAAATTTTTTAGCTTTACTAAATTGCTTCCATTACAGTACCACCATGAGATCCCCACCAACTGTAATCCTACTGCTTCTCCCTCTAATAGCATCATCTCCTCTCAATGTGATTCTACCCCAAAAGATTGAGTTAAAATCTCTCGAAAAGGCAACAGAACTCAACTCTACAGTATTGTACTCCCCTTACAGTGATGAATTCGCCCGGCATAAAATGTTTCCATTAGCAGCGGCTGCTTACAGTGACAACCCTCAACAATGCCTGGATAATAACTTTAACAAAGCCAAGGTAAGGTTGCTTTAGTTAAGTAGGGCGGGGTAAAGAAAAGTACGGTTTGTTTAGTTAAGTAAAGTAGGGTAGGACAAGGTAGGGTTAATCACACTCGTTTATCAATAAAGAACGAGGGCACTGTGCGGTCGTCGTGAACAATGAAAAGCAGAAACGTCTCGAAAGCTTCTGATAATGCTTTTTTCATGTGTTACACACTACACTACAGTAATCGTGTGGTGCTTGTGGGTTTCACGTGACTTAGTAATGAGAAATCTTGGCATTTTGAGTTATTGTAACTAGACTTTTGGCATCTATAGCTATTGTAAGCAGGCCAGAAAGAGGCCACGCCAGACCTATAGCCGTTAATGCGATTGTAAGGCTGATTGTAAGCTTAAAAACTTTTAGGCTTAAAAATGAATTTTAGGCTTAAAAATGAATTTTAGGCTTAAAAAATACATCTTAAGCTTAAAAAATAAATTTTAAGGTTAAAAATCAATTTTAGATTTAAAAATGAAAGTTAACCTTAAAAAAATGAATTTCAGTCTTAAAAATGAATTTAAGCTTTAAAAATGCATTTTAGGCTAAAAAAATAAAGGTTAACCTTAAAAAGTGAATTTTAGGTTTAAAAATAAACTTTAGGCTTAAAAAAAAGCTTTAATATATGCATATTAAAAAAAACTTTTTGTAATTTCAAAATTTTAGGTCCTAGGCATGGTCTACGCCAAATGTGAAGAAGACGAAAAAGTATCTTTGTGTGTTGGTTACGTAGCTGTGTCTCCCATTGACAAGGCTATCATTGTCAGCTTCCGAGGTACCAACTCGTTTCTACAGCTTGTAGTCGAAGTTAACCATGTTGTGTTGAAGCGAAAACATGAAGCAGCTATTGATGGGTTAGTCGGAGCTTACTTCTACAACGTGTTTGATCAGTTATGGAGTAATGGATTGAAGAACATTGTCAGCAAGGCTGTAAAGCAGTACCCTGGTTATGAGCTTTGGGTAAGTGGGGTTATAAACTCTGCCCTTCTTTATCTTACTTTTCGTTACCTTTCTCTACCGTTAAGTATCCTACACAACCGTTCAATTTTTTTTCAAATTTCAGAAATTTTCAAAATTTCAAAATTTTTAAAAAAATTTTAATTTTTTAGGTAACAGGACATTCTCTTGGCGGAGCTGTGGCTTCTATTGCTGCTACCGAAATCATGATTGAGTACCAGATCCCTCAAGAAAAGGTTAAATTGATCACCTTTGGCCAACCAAGGACGGGTGACATCAAGTATGCCAACTTTTATCCAAACTCGGTAAAATTTTTAAAACAATTTTTGAATTGAACAAAAATGGCGTTTTAGGCTTAGAAATAAATCGTAGGCTTAAAAATAAAATTCCAGGCTAAAAAATGAGTTTTAGGCTTAAAAATAGTTTTCAGGCTTAAAAATAAATTTTGATCATTAAAAATAAATTTTAGGCTTAAAGCAAACTTTTAGGCTTAAACACATAAATTTAGTCATTAAAAAAGGATTTTAGGCGTAGAAAATGAATTTCAGGCCTAACAAATAAAGTTTAAGCTTAAATCTGAATCTTAGGCCTAAAAATGTATTATAGTTTAGGCTTAAAAATACTCTTTTTCTAATGTTTTTAAAAAATTTAAAAATTTGCATTAAAATTGTCACAGAAAAGACATTTTTCAAATTGCCTCAACTTTCAGATCCCAGAAGCCTACCGAGTAAACCACAACCGTGACTTAGTCGCGCACGTTCCACCAGAGAAGTTCGAAGACTATTATCATCACGGTTCTGAGGTCTGGTACCCAAACAATATGCAAGATGGAGACTCAGCCTTTAGTGTGTGTAATGAAGGGGAAAGTAACAAATGTAGTAACAAAAACTTCTTCTTAATGTCTATCAACGACCACGTTCATTACTTTAATGAATATGTGTCTACATTTGGAGTTAATGGTTGTATATGGAGCAGTAAAAAATAGAGATTGATAGATTTTCAAAGATTTTTTAAAGATGAAAAGATAAGACTCCTATCGTAGATGTATTACACTCAAACTTGGGAAATATTCTTTTTTATATAAATAGTTATCCTGCCTAACTTAAACGTGTTTTTATTGTTATTTTACGTACAGTAGAACTCTTGTATAACAAAAATCCTGTAAAACGAACAAAATTTTAAATCTTTAAGAAATTTGTTATACACTAGCTCTACTGTAATCTGTAGTTTTTTTAAACATTCCAGTTGTTCAGACTATGATATTCACTATGCCGGTTTCTAAAAATCATATATAAAAACGACACAATAACTATATTGATATACATATATATATATATCTATTGCATTTTCTATACATATCAAAACTGTAAAATAAACGGTTACTATTGTTAGTCATACCATACTTTTAATTATTGTGTTTATAGTAGTTTAAGCAAGAGTATTTTTAAGTAAAGTCAATTAGGCACTTACTTTACATATTCAAGCGTCTACAATTACAACACGGAACATATATGTAAAAAATGTAGATAAAGTAGCACAGCTGTCAAAGAAATTGCTTGATTTGACCTGCTCTGATTGGGTTCAAGCTTTTTATATAAAAAAGTCATGTAAATGTAAGATCTTCAGCAGAGTACTAAATCAGGAATTCCACTCAACTTCGAGAAAACCAAGATCAAAAAATTAAGTTTTGAATTTCCCGCCAAATAAGCATTGTGTTTCAGGTTCATCTTCGCTATTTTTTTACAAAGTTATTACGTTCTTTTGTAGGTTATATTGATAAAATGAATAAATAAACTAAAATAAAATAGAAAATATCAAAAATAGTATTTACTGCAACAATTTCACAAATCAGTATTTCTGCCTTGAGAAGAGTCGAAATATTTGTCGATAAATTCCAAGTCACATCGCCTTTTGGCACTGTACCAGTCGGAAAAGCTTTGTTCTCCCAGTACTGATCGACTACGCGTTGGCTCGTGTATATAATCGCATACAGTGCACAGTGAGTAATGTAAAGGTTGAGTGATTTTCTTGTAAGTTTTTGACCATTCAAAATATTCCATGTATTTTGTATCATCTAGCATTAAGCTGTCTAGGTACGAGGCTAGAGATGGCATGTCTCTATAAGATAACATCATTAAAAGCTCTTTAGGTTTAGAGCTAGAGCTAAAGCTAGGGCTAGTGCAGCAAAATATCTTACTCAAAATCATCCAAAGCAATGAAGCTATGATTAGCCCCAACCTCGTCGTAGTCTTTTCGACGCAGTACTACTGGTACAATTTTGTTGTCGATTCGGAAGAACTTTTCTGTCACATAGTCATCACATACGTTACTCTCAAAAGCAATGTAAAATCGATACTTTTTCAAGTTTTGTTTGAAACATTTGCTATCACACGACATATTACCGCACTTTGAATATAGGTCTACGTTGATGTATCTGCAAATTCATTTTTAAGCCTAAAACTCGTTTTTAAGCTTAACATTAATTTTTAAGCCTAAAAGTTCGTTTTTAAGTCTAAGGCTTATTTTTAAGACTAAAATTTATTTTTAATTTTAAAATTTCATTTTTAAGCCTAAAATTTATTTTTAGCCTAAATTTCATTTTAAGCCTAAAACTTATTTTTGAGCTTAACATTTATTTATAAGCTTAAAAGTTCATTTTTGAACCTGAAATTTCATTTTAAACCTAAAATGACTTTTTAAGCCTAAAAAAATCTAAAATTCATCTGTACACACAAGATCTCAAAATTTAAAAAATTTTCCATAAACCAACTTTTTAAATTCCTCCACAATTCTGTCCTTCACAGTGCTGCTATTACAATTAGCAGTATAAGCAAATATTCCTTCAGTTTTTCTATTAATAATGTCCAGTAGATCATCTTTAAAATCAGCATCGTGCTTGTACGGCGGTAACCGTTTCACTAATTTACCGTACGGTAAAATAATATCTGCGTCTGAGACGTAGGATGCTATCCAGTTGAAAGTGCCGTCGGGGACGCTGAAAAGGTTTTTTTTTTAATATTTGAATTTAAGGTCTCTAAGCCTAGTTAGGCTTGATTTCGCTGTTATTTAGGCGTATTTTGGCTCGGTTTTGCTAATGAAGATAACATCAGGTAACTCACGTGTTTGAAGCCTTTTGAATAACATCCTTGGACGGGGGTTCTTTCTCAAACAAAATCAATTTTTGAGTCGAAAAGCTTTTGTTTGGATAAACATTGTTCACATCTAAAATTATGTTTTTATTAACTGCAACTAGCCCGAGCCTCAGCTGCAGCCCCAAGTTCAGCTTCAGCCTCAGCCTCAGCCACAGCCTCAGTCTCAACCGCAGCCTCAGCCTTAGAACGAAGATAAGAAGAAGGACTGTTCCTGTCCCTGTCCCTGTCCCTGTTTCTTTCCTTGTCCCTGTCCCTGTCCCTGTCCCTGTTTCTTTCCTTGTCACTGTCCCTGTCCCTGTGCTTGTCTCTGTCTTTCTGTTTTAGTCCTAGCACTATATAGCCTTGCTTAAAGAAGTGATTTAGGATAGTCTTACTTTCGATTGTTCTAGGAAACACAATAACAGCATCACTAGAGTTTTGTATGGCCCAATCTGATACAAAAATGCACTTTTTGCCACACGTTTCATATAACAAGTCGGCAAACTCTGTACCATTATCATAGCCAATTTGACCACACGTTTTACAAGGCTCGTTCCACAGCAAAATGGTTTTGATTGACACCCTACAGCAATATATAAAATAAACTTTAATATTGTAGATAGAGAAGGGTAAGGTAAAATAGCGTATAGTAGAGTATGGTAATCTAAAAAACAATAAAAACCCACTTTCTTTGCGACCAAGCAGCCAAATCCTTACTAAAATGCCCGATCAAAACCGTAAACAATATAAACGTTAATAGTAGGCCAATCATAGCGCAAAGCCAGATAATTTTTTGCCATTTGGTGTAAGTCTTCACAGAGTCGACTGGATCGGTTTGTTCTGCTTCGTCTGGCATTGCTTTCCAATCACTTCACGCAAAGTTGAAAGCCCATCGTTTTAGTTTACTTTAGATCATAATCAGCCGTCGGCAAGGTGTTTTCACACAAATTTGATCTTTGAAAAAAATATCTTTGACGTAGCAAGTTCAATAGAATCTTTTTTTGGTATTTATAGCATCTAAAACTGTACACCAACCGGGTCAAACCCAATTTTTCAATCTAATCTACGGCCGAAAAAAATAGCTTTTTAGCTTACATCTGCTGTCCCTCAAACGCTTCGGTTCGATCTTAATGACTAAAATAACAGAGACAACTTGTATTGTATTAGGAAATCTTTCGTTGTAAGACCTAAACTGGGCCCACAATGTCTCTGTTTAAATCTCTGGTCCATGTGTCCCAGACCAGGCCGAGAATAGCCGGCTTTTCTTTCAGTCTAAGCAAGCTTAAAATTCGGTTTATTTATTTTTTTTCACTACTCGGCGCGCTAGGAGAACCGTTTTTGACAGAGGACTGACGGCGAAGTTTGGTGTGGCTATGACACTGTTACTTCAGCTATTAGAGACTTTTAGATCAAGTCTATGCGTTTATATCAGTAAAACTACAAAGTAAATTTAAACGTTTTATTTGTTTCTTAAAAAGCGAGACAAGACATACAATAATATATTTTTTTACATTTTTTAAACAATCAATAAAGCTTGTCTAAAAAGCTTTCACCAGAGTAATTAACGTGCATGATCAGTGTTTTCTACGTAATTGTTATTATTGATTCAGCGGTTTTTTTTAAATAAAAAAGGCTTTATACTTACAATATAATGAGTACACTATCTACTTTTTTGTTCATACTGTTTGTCATGTTTACCATAGGCTTGTTGGGTTAGTAATATTAAAGTGTTTAACGGTTTAGATTATACATATTAATGTATGTACTTGAAATAACATAAAATTTTTTAGATTTTCTAGTATTAAATCGTAATACAAAATTGTATTTTCAGTAGCAACGGCAGATTTCTTAAAAGTCGTGATGTACATGGTAAATAAACACATATTACAGCGTTTAGCAAAGTCTCACAAGTGTAACGTATAAGGCATTTAAGATATAAATAAAAATTTTTAAAATAGGTCATTTTCAATTATATATTAGTTAAGGCTTGTTTATAATAATCAACTGTGAAAACAAAGACTTTTTGTAACTGACAATCTACAATATTAACACAAAATATCTTTCAAATTAAAAAAATTTTTTTTCTCAAACTAAGCTATTGAAAAATGAAATTTAATGTGATTTTATCATTCTTAATAGCCTTTTTTCATGTTTTTAACAACGATAAAACTTTGTATAATGCATCGCTCGACAATTTTAAATTTCTTTGTTACAAAACATATTTACTATACAAAGGTTACACTAGCACTACGATACAATGAAGCCCCTTTTGATGTTCTTATTCATAAAAACACTTACTGCATATTGTTCAAGAGTTACTAACTTCAACGCATGTGCACACGTGTGTGACCGAGAATGTACTGCACGTGGCTACATTTGTGGTACTGTCAAGTATATCGACAAATGCAAATTTGAATGCGATTATACTAATCAAATTTAAAAACTTATTAGTAAATTCAAAAAGCTTTGTATGTTAGAACATAGGTTTATTTTATTTTATTTACTTTACATTCTTCAAGCGTCTACAATTACAACTCAGGAGATATATATTAAATTACATTTTTGATGCCGTAGATTGTAACGTACAGTGCTGATGTGCAAGAATGTTCAAAGTTCAAATGAAGGCTAACGGAGCTATCTTTGAGTCTGATGTTTCCCATGATTGGGCCTCTCCGCTGGTATTTCACTGTTCCTCGCGTCATTGAGTTGTGGGTGAAGTGCTCCATAAGACTTCTGCCGTTCGATCATATACCTGTGTAGGCCATGTATAGATGTGCCTAGTCCTCGTGCACTCAGCACTACCATTCTTCAAGGCGCTTGGGTTAGGCGGTGCGCGGGGTCGAACTAAGCTCCTTCCGAATAGCGAGCGGTGCCACAGCCACTGCGCTAGCAACGCACAAAAAATTCAAAAAATTGGTGGCTCCTGGACAGAGATCAAGGGTATTTGAGGTTACAGTCTTTATTATACAGAAGAAGATAGTCTAGGTCAAAAAATGCTTATATTACACTTGGAACGCTTGTCGAATGACTGACAACAGAATTTTCAGGCATTGAAAAGACTCGTTTTAAAGTTTTGTGAAACGGTTTCATGATGCACAAGGTCGCCAACGGACTTAAGCACGGCAACCAAGCCAGCAACAGCAACACAATCTGCACAAACTGATGTAGCTCAACCTGAAAGATGGCTTCAATTGCAACCGCAAACACAGGTCCAATGGAGACGAGCACGGGCAGGACGGCTTGCATAAACAGCACTTTTGTCATTTGTTGTTGTAGTTGTTTGGTGCGAGTGCTGAATGTGGCACTGTTTCGTCTTAAAAGTCGTACGGTTTTTATAGCCAAAATCACGCAGATAATGTATGAACCGCCAAGCGCAAGCAACGTGTAGCCCAGATGGTAGATAGTGTAGATGTGGCGCTGAAACATGGTTTTTTAATACGTTCTTATGAGAGACACATCGAAACCGATTGACTATGTTATAACCAGTACTATATGTTACTAATGTCAATGTAACAGAACTTTTGGCGCACTTTGTATAAAAAAAGAGCTCACCAAGCATGGCGCGAACCCTTTACTAGTCCAGCCTTAACATAATCTTGCTTACCGTGTCCATAATGACAATCGTTGGTAAAGTTTTCACATCAAACCATAAACTAGCGTAATTAAACCCGGGTCTTGCTTCTCCGCTGTACAAATAGCCAAGTACACCCAATAGACCAACAGGGATTGGTACAATTAAGTATGAACATATCATCAATATTTTCATTAATTTTGGCGGCGAAACAAAACTACAATACAGCAAAATATAGCAATTTCACTTAGGTGTAGGCCGAGCTCTAACTCTGGTTCTAGCTCTAGCTCTAGCTTGTAGGTAAGAAAAAAAAGACTTACTTTTTTTAAAAAGTAATATCGATAAAGGTAATTGAAGGGTTGCAGTGTTACAGACGCTGCTACAGTGTATGAGTAAACAGAAACCATTATGGCTTGCCCGTTATAGTCAAGAATGTTTGCTTTTCCTTGCAGTGATACTAATAATACACCGTCTTTTACTGTTGCTAGCTGAAAATTGGATTGTAGGATGTTGGACAGAGTAGGGTGGGACAAGGTAGAGTTTGATAGGGCAACCTCCGATATGGTTTTGTATGATACGGTAGAATAAAACAAGATGGAGAAAAATAGAGTAAAATGAAACAGGGCAAAGGCAAAGGCAAATGCAAAGGCAAAGGCAAAGGCAAAGGCAAAGACAAAGGCAAAGCTTTTTATTTAATAAATTTGTAAACTTACAAGCTGCGTAAAATATTCCGCTAGCCACACGTTAATATCACAAATTGAGCCGACCAGTAACATAGTTTTGTAATTTTGCAACAATCGGTTTTTTGTCATTAGGATACAGTACAATAATATAGTGTTGAAAATGGCACCACAAGTTGTCACAAAGGTGGAGTTGATGCTATGTAATGTGAACAAAAGTTGGCTATCGTTCAGCTCGGAGAAAGTGTCGTTTGTTTCTAACCACGCATACGGATTGACATGTTTCATCGTAGGTTTGGTAGAAATTTTAGCTAGTCTTATAATAAAACACTAAAGTTTTAAACGAAACAATAATAACAATACAGAACAAGTGTCTAGAAATGTTTGTACAGTTAATAGACTGTCTCATAAAGCTATTAACAAAAAACAAGTGTTTTTTACCCAAAACGAAAATTTTTTTTGTAGTCAAAACTAATATGGCTATTGTCATCACAAATTGTATTCCCTCTCACCTCCTTCTATTATGAAGTTTAATGTATCATTCGTTTTCGCGACAGACATCTATTACAATTTTGTAGCCGGAACACTTGTTTTTCTTTTCAGTCGCATGTCTCATTACAAGGACACTTTGTTTATTGTCAGTACGAACTCTTTTACGAAAGCTATTTGATTTTTGGTTTAAATACAGTGATACCTCTTTAGTATGACGCGCGATAAACTTTATTTATAATGCCAGCTTTCTGAATTCCATTGTAATAGCACTTTAGTACTTTTTAATACTCAAAGCGTATATATAGCAGGGTATTATTACTTATCTCGCTAATGTGACACCATGCTTATAATGGCACTTTCTACTGGTTCGTTGGGTGTCATAATGAAGTTGTTTGACTGTACTAACAAAGAAGGTACACAACCTTCAACGCTCAGATTTTGTTCAATTTTTTTATTGATAGGTCATGTAACTGTAAGATCTTATGCAAAATTCTAAATTGCGGTTTGCGGCCAATCTTGAGAAAATCGACGTCAAAAGATTTCGTTTTGAATTCTCGCCAAATTGACATAGTGTTTCAAGCTTTTAACTTGTCATTTTTGACTTTTAACTATTTTTCTATAAAATAATGATAGAAAAGCTTCAAATGAAACTGCAATATTAAATTTGTAAGCCTATCTTATTTGAAACATCACAAAAAAAGTGTTTGCAACACAATGCCAAATTTGCCAAATTGGGGGAAAATTTAAATATATTAATTTTAAACTTTAAACCACAATCTACGATTGTTTATATGTGCTGCTGGTACTCTGTGATAGTATAAAGTCTCAACGGTCCGTGTTAATTAAAATTTCAATTTATTTATATCAAAGATCTATAAATTACATTATTATTAGGCATAATTTTTACAATATAACTTTTGATCAATAATCAAGAAGTCTAACACTTCCACTCTTATCCATAGTAACCTCGACCATAGCCATAACCACCGTAGCCTCGACCATAGCCACCGTAACCATAACCGCGACCATACATACCATAGCCACCATAACCTCGACCGTAACCGCCATATCCATAACCGCGACCATAGCCTCCGTACCCTCCGTATCCATACGGCCTATAACCGTAGCCACCGTACATACCGTAACCATATTGAGCTTCTGAAAGGGTCGCGGCCAGCAGCACGACGAAAAGAGTCAGAAGAAGTTTTGAAGCCATTTCAGGGTAGATTTTCTAAAAAAAACTTTATGTTAGGTAAAGTACAGTAATCTGAACTTTTATAACGGTGTTCATAATAAAAAAAGGCTCGACAAACAAAAAACAGAAGAGTAAAGCATGGTAAGTTAGGGAAGACTATAGCATGGGTATAGCAAGAATAAAAAGGCATAGCGTGGGTGTGGCAAGGGTTTGGTAAAAGCATGGCAAGGGTATGACAAGAGAATAGTTAGGGTATGGCAAGGGTATGGCAAGAGTATAGCAAAGGTACGGCAAAAGAGTATGGAAAGAGTATGGAAAGACTATAGCAAGAATATGGTTAGGGTATGGTAAGAGTAAGATAAAACAAAAAAGCAAGGCAAAGTTAGAACAAAGGCAAGGCGAAGGCAGGACAAAGGCAGGGCAAAGGCAGGGAAAAGGCAGGGCAAAAGCAGGGCATTGGCAGGGCATTGGCAGGGCATTGGCAGGGCATTGGCAGGGCATTGGCAGGGCATTGGCAGGGCATTGGCAGGGCATTGGCAGGGCATTGGCAGGGCATTGGCAGGGCATTGGCAGGGCCAAGGCACGACACGACATTGGCAGGGAATTGGCAAAGCAGGGCCAACTAATATATTGAGAAACTAACCATGAAGCCTATAAAACCTTATATTACTAATAGATAAGCCTACAAATCGCATTGTTTTTTCTTATTTTAAAAGCTACAGTATCCGTTACAGTTATACTATAACCATTCTAGTACCTATAACACTCTAAAACCCCAAACTTTCTTTACTAATTCAAATGCCAAAGACCTATCTAACTTAAAATTAGCACTTACTTTTATACCCCCAAACAAACCGCCCATGGCACGATTTGGCGCAGTGTTCGCGCACTTCGAATTCGACGAACGAGCCGGCGACACCACGGAATGTCATTTTTTGTTTTTTCTATCCAACCTTAACCATGTTTAGTGGGTTGTGGAAGTGGGTTCGGAAGAAACGTTGTGATTCAAACAAAATACAAACTCCGAATGGCTTCAGGCGTTTAGCGAAAAGATTAAAAAGCCATTTTTAGGTATCAAAAATAGAAAATTGGGAAATAGTGGGCACTGTAACATTGAAGAATTGTTAGTTTTGCCATTCTGAATCTTGTAAATAAAGTTCTTGCCATTTTTTGTCTTGTAAAGAAAGTGCTTGCTATCTTTTTGTTTCGTAAACAAAGTTCTTGCCATTTTTTGTTCTGTAAAGAAAGTTTTTGCCATTGTTTTCTTTGTAAACAAAGTTCTTGTCATTTCTTGCTTTGTAAAGAAAGTCCTTGCGATTTCACGTTTTTGGAAAGAAAGTTATTGCTTGCCATTTTTTGTTTTGTAAAGAGAGTTCTGGCTACTTTTGTTTGCTAAACTAAAAAAAAAGTTTTAAGAATAAATACCGTAGCCAATTCCTAATTAATAGTTTTTGAGTTGAACGCATGACCTTATCACACATATTTTGAACAACAAAATACAAAACACACTGTTTAGCAAATTCAAGTTTTTTGACTTCTTTAACTGGGTGACACACCTATTTAGATGTTGAAAAGGCAAAAAAGTAAGAAAGAAGAGCCTTGACCTTCTCGGCTCAGAATCGTTTCGGAGTTTTTAAGTACAGTAGAAGTGTTATATAACAAACTTCTGGATAATCAAAATCTCATATAACGAACATTTTTTGATTTTCTAGATAACAGGAGTGTATTTAAAACCTCTGTATTTTTTTTAAAAAACTATATCCTTTCTCCAAGAAACATACTTCTTCAAGAAATATGTTAGGACTGGTTAGGGTTTTTATTGAAGACCCCCAGGACAATTGATTGTAGCTGTTACCAATTGGAACTTATCCAGGGAGTCTTGCTTCTCAAACTACCGAGTTATAATAAAGTGTTTCTCAAGAACCATGCCGTAGTTAAAAGTTTGTGTAGATCAAGAAACCGATTTGCCATAGGCTTCGTGAAACAAACGATTTCCATGCTTTTGTAAATTACAACTGCGTCTGGGCAGACAAAGCTGTCGGTCGAACCTGAGTCCGATTGTGTAACGGTCGACGCCACAACCAACCCCTTTTATGACAAAATTCCTTTATAACAAACAAATTTAAAAACTCCTAGAAAATTAATATAAATGAGTTGTACTGTACATTCTTTTAATAAAAAATTGTTTTTTCCTTTTTTAATAGAATTAGTTGAAAAAAGTGGGCGAGTTCAGCCAATTCGAATATTTCAACTTTACCCGACAGTTTAACAAAATAAACCTTTTCCTTTAATGTTGAAAACTAACAAACTATAAGTCATTTTCAAGTGGTGTTAAAAAGTGTGTTTGCTAAACAAAATTGTCTCTCTCTGATTGTTGGTGGGCTTGCTGTAGTTTTTAAAAACAATGTCTTAGGATACAGTAAGCAAAGATTAAAAAAAACGTAAGAAAACTTTAGTAAGGGGTAAGGTAGAGTTAGTTTAGGTACAGTAGAATTGAATAAGGCAAGATGGGTAAGGGCAAGCTAAGCAAGGGTGTCAAGACGAAGAATAAAGAAGGTAGAGCAGGCTATGTTAGTGGCTAGACTAAGATAGGGTAGAGCAGGCTATGTTAGTGACTAGACTAAGATAGGGTAGAGCAGGCTACGCTAATAACTAGACTAAGATAGGGTAGGGTAGGATAGTATAGGGTAGGGTAGGGTAGGGTAGGGTAGGGTAGGGTAGGGTAGGGTTTGGTAAAAAGTTTTGACTATCGTACGATGATTGTCATCATTTTAAAGCTCTTTCTATATTTATCAGCTTATCAATAATGATAAAAAGATGACGAATTGATAGTTATTAATCTACAACAATGCTTTTACGCACGTCATAAGCGTGTTAATCAGTTAACAAGGTGAGGTAAAAGGCTAATAAAGCTAGGATCAACAGTTGCTTGTGTCCTTATCAGTATTATAGTTGTTGGATTGGCTAGTGATAAAAACAGTATAAATGGTTTGTGATTTTGACTAAAAATCATTATAAGTTACTATCACAACTACCCTAACCCTACTATCAAAACTACCGTATACTAAAATGCGTTCCAACTTGATGGTTCTTCTGTGCCTCTTTGCCGTTATGGTTACAGTAACCGCCTTAAATTGTGAATATAACTGTAAACCATGGTGTGATATGGTTTGTGACGAATTTGGAATGAAATGTGACAATTACACCTGTGCAAGCGGCGATTGCGAAGGACATTGTGCATCATCACTGAACGTAAAAATAAGGCGGGGCAAGGGCAAGTAAAGTGAAAGAATAAGGCAATAGTATAATTATAATAAAGTAATTAAGAAAAAACTAAAATATTGCTAAAGTAGAGCTAGACTAGAGCTCTGACCAAACGCACTCAGTTAGAAGCCTCCAGGCTAACGGCCTTTTGAGATGCTCTGAGCTAGCGGCAGAGGACTTGGCCTCAAAGGATGTGGCCTAATGGGCACTGGCCTTGAGGGCTCTGAGCTAGGGCCTTGAGCTAAGGCTCTGTAGCTCCGGCCTGAGATGCTCTAGCATAATAGGCTTTGGCCTTAAAGACTCTGTTCTAGAGGACACTGAAGTAGAGTGTTCTGGCCTGAAGGAGACTAGTCTAGAAAGTACTAAACTAGTAGAAGGATCTGGCCTAAAGAGCGCTAGTCTAGATGCTTTTGGGCTAAGGGCCTCTGGGCTAGGATTCTTCACTAAGGCTCTGGGTTAGGGCTCGGATAACACTATGGGCTAGGGTTCCGTGCTAGGGCACTGGCTAGTCCTCTGAGCTAAGGCTTTGCGTTAGAGCTAAAATTAAAACTAGGGCTAAAGAATAGAGTTAAGGCTGACTTTAACCATATTTATAAGTTTATTATTATATAAAACGTAAAACGATTGTAATACTTAAAAAATAGTTAAAATGTTACCTAAAACTTAAAAAATTTTAATTTAAAACTACAAATTTTGAAAAATAATTAAGCTCTATTCAGTTTCGTACTGTTTTCCCTCCAAAAACCACCCGTACCACGGGCGTTCTCCCATGCATGGCAACCTCAACTGTTCCTCTCTCTCATCCAGTCGATATTCCACTCGATCTGGTGTCAGTTTCCTTAACATTGAGCTGCGACTGCTATCAACGCGTTGTACAAGACTTGGGGTAATTTCACTCCACCGTGGTGCCATATCATATCTGACGGCCGCTTTTTGTTCGCCGAACAAATGAGCGATTTCGTAGAGATTCCAGAAGGATTCGGCCGAATGATGACAATGAACGTTCTTTGACGGATTGTCAGTGAGCTGGGTACAGTCAGCTGTGGCATTGTGAGGGGCTAGGCATTCGGGAGTGGTTGAACAGAGGTACCACCTGGAATTTTGTTTTGTAAAGAAAGTTCTTGCTATTTCTTGTTTTGTAAAAAAAGTTCTTGCCATTTAATATTTTGTAAAAAAAGTTCTTGCCATTTTTTGTTTTATAAAGAAAGTTCTTGCCATTTTCTATTTTGTAAAGAAAGTTTTTTCCATTTTCTATTTTGTAAAGAAAGTTTTTACCACTTCATGAGTTCCCTTGTGTATTTTGACTCTACAAAGAAGATTGACTTTCCAGACATTGCAGTCATCTGGGTCGCTTGGTATGGTACTGGCAAGTACTCGTACATACCTAAAAACATAAAAAGGAAAAATAGGTTTACCCTACCCTACCCTACTCTACCCTACCCTACCCTACCTTTATGAGTAATAGAAGCCACAGTCTGACTAGTCATAGTCATCAACGTAGTTGGTGGAGCAAATGAAAACTTGATCTTGAACAAGTAATCGATTAATGAAACTGACACTCCAGCATTGTCAAACTTGAATCTAGTGGTAGGATCAGCATATATAACAGCATCAAAACGTGACATAGCGTCTAGTACAATAAATTGATATGCTCGTTCTCCTAGACTTAGCAAAGTCTCTGGCCAGTCCGTCATGACGAATTCTGATCGGCCTGAATTGCACCACCATTTTATTTCTGTTTTCTAAAAAAAGAGAAAATTGAAAGTGAATTTTTTAAAAATATTGTTTTAGGCTTAAAAATGAATTTAAGTATAAAAATGAAATTTTAGGCTTAAAAATGAATTTTAGGTTTAAAAATTAATTTTAGGTTTAGAAATGAAATTTTAAGCTTAAAAACAAATTTTAGGCTTGAAAAATGAATTTTAGGCTTATACGTTTTCCTTTAGGCTTAAAAATGAACTTTAGGCTTAAAAACGAATTTTAGGTTTAAAAAATGTGTTTTAAACTTAAAAGAGACTCTTTGGTAAAACAATTTTAAAATCTCCAAGCAACTCGTTATACAAGAGTCTCCCTATAGCTTAAAATCAAATGAAAAAAAAAATAAATGTAAAGCTTAGGCTTATACTAACCTGCTCTTCAGTAAGGCCAAAGTCGTAAATCACAATCTTAGCAGATGGATAATATTTGGCCATATTTCCGGCCAAATTCCTTAATAATTTAAAAACTTTGTCGGAGCCATAAGTAACAATAGTAGGCTGCCAACCATGCCCAATCAAATGTTGATATTCCTCTGTCGAGTCAATATCTGATTGAAGTAAGTTCAACTTTTTCATATTTTTCAGGTTTTGCTCTGTGCATGGAAACTTACGGCCAAATACAATGTGACCGTCATCGTCGACGCCTTTGAAACAGAACTAAAAAAAACGTTTAAAAAATTTGACATATAAACAAAAAAATTTTTTTTGATTATTGAAAGTTTTTGGTTTTTTAAATTTTATTAAAATTATGAATATTTAAAGCTTAAATAATAAATTTTATGCTAAAAATAAAGTCTTAAGCTTAAAAATGTGTTTTAGGCTTAAAACTGAAGTTTTAGGCTTAAAAATGTTTTTAGGCTTAAAATTGAAGTTTTAGGCTTAAAAAAGTGTTTTAGGCTTAAAATTGAAGTTTTAGGCTTAAAATTGAAGTTTTAGGCTTAAAAATGTGTTTTAGGCTTAAAAATGTGTTCTAGGCTTAAATACAAAATCAAAAGCTTAAAAGCAAGCCTTAGGTTTAAAAACAATGTTTTAAGCATAAAATGAAATTTTAGGATTAAAAATGAAAATATGGACTTAAATATAAAATTCAAGGCTTACAAGAATGTTTTAGGCCTAAAAATACAATTTTAAGTTCAGAAATAAAAGTTTAAACTTAAAAATCAAAATGTAGGCTTAAATATTATATCTGATATTTAAATATAAATAAAAAAATTAAATTTAAGCTTAAAAATAAAGTTTTAAGCTTAAAAATGCAATTTTAGACTTAAAAGTTAATTATAGGCTAAAAAATTACTTTTAATATAAATTTTTTTTCACTTTAAAAATTTTCAGAAACCTACATTCTCTCCTCCACACAAACATTCTTCAGGTGCTTGAGCGAGTGGCCACAGATTGTCGATTAAAAACTGTCGAGCATAAAATAATGTAAAGAAGACGGCAAACGCTGTCAGTCTAACTGCCCATCGGAGCTGACAGCGCGTTGCTGACATCTGGAAATTGAAAAAAAATGTTAAAAAGCTGTATTGTTACCTAAAAATCAAGTTTTTGACACTAAACTTCAAAGTTTTTCAAAAAGTTAGGCTAGGCTAAAGCTAAGGCCGGAACAAGAAACAAAATTTAAAAAAAAGTTTAATTTAAAAAAAGTTTAATTTTAAAAAAAGTTTAAATTTGAAAAAAAATTAAAATCTTGCTTTACTGCCACAATAAATGATAAAAAAATTACTTTTTTGTTTTTTAACCCACCTTCCCCTCCCGATTCCTCAATAATTTCAATAAAGAAACACAAAAAATCAGACTAAATTAGTCGCATTGGCTTAACTGATTTAAGATCCGGGAATGTTTCTGCGACTCTTTTTTTAAACTTTTTAAATTTTGAAGTTATTGAAAGCGCTGGAAGTAAAATTTTAAAAAAAATGGAAATTGGTTGTTTATCCTAAATTAAACCTGTAATAAGCTGAGCTAGGCAAAACTTTTTGGTTTTTTTTTAATTAAAATAATAACTGGAAAAACTGTATGCTACTGTTTGTGTGCCCTAAATAGACAATAATATATTAAAATTTAATTTCATGACAGCTAAAAAATTATTTTTTAATGAAACAATCTTAACATCAGATTTGTTTTACACTTTTTGCAAGTCAATCTCTCTTTACAAGGCCGAAGCCGGGCGTCACAAAATCATTCATAGCCCAGAGCCCTAGCCCAGAGCCCTAGTCCAGAGCCCTAGCCCAGAGCCCTAGCCCAGAGCCCTAGCCCAGAGCCCTAGCCCAGAGCCCTAGCCCAGAGCCCTAGCCCAGAGCCCTAGCCCAGAGCCCTAGCCCAGAGCCCTAGCCCAGAGCCCTAGCCCAGAGCCCTAGCCCAGAGCCCTAGCCCAGAGCCCTAGCCCAGAGCCCTAGCCCAGAGCCCTAGCCCAGAGCCCTAGCCCAGAGCCCTAGCCCAGAGCCCTAGCCCAGAGCCCTAGCCCAGAGCCCTAGCCCAGAGCCCTAGCCCAGAGCCCTAGCCCAGAGCCCTAGCCCAGAGCCCTAGCCCAGAGCCCTAGCCCAGAGCCCTAGCCCAGAGCCCTAGCCCAGAGCCCTAGCCCAGAGCCCTAACCCAGAGCCTTTGTCAGCGCCTCCATTTAAGCCCAGCTCTTGAGCCTGCACAATCAGACCCGGCCCCATTTTAAATTTTTTTTACTTTTAGGCCTAGTCAGACCTTTTTAAAGTCTACATATGTATGATTCAAATGTAAATTTATTGCAAAAATTTGTTTATTATGAGATATTTAGACAATTCTTCTCGGTATATTATTGTAGACAGCTTTGATTCAAAAAATGTTTTCAAACAGCAATTTGCGAATCAAAGAAATAGAAATCTCGGTATAGAAAGAGTTCGTTGTACAAGAATAACACTGTAAATTCCAAGAAACAACATAAAACCAAAATATTCAAGCAGACAACTACACAATATCAGTTTTGACTTCAGAAGACCACTGTTTCTTCGTAGTAGTAAAATTAGCTGAGCTGTCAGTGGAAACCGCTCCAAACTTGACACAAAATATTTTAATGACATATCTTCGATACGCCTTAATCAAATATATAGTCAAAATGGCATTGGCAGAAGGTAGCCAACTTAGAGGTGACATTACTGCAGTACCAATCATTTTACCATCTAATCGCCATTGCATAGCTATACATACTAGGCCGATTGGGAAGATGGCAAATATTCCCGCGTTTATTGTCTGGAAAGTAATGAAGAATAGGATTTTAGGCTTAAAAGTGGATTTTTTGCTTGAAAATAAATATTGAAGTTAAAATTGAAATTCTAAGCTTTAAAATAAAATGCCATGCTCAAAAATGAACTTTAGGCTTGAAAATGAAATTTTAGGGTTAAAAAAGAAACTTTAAGCATAAACATGAATTTTAGGCTTAAAAATGAATATTAGGCTTAAATATGAACTTTAGGCTTAAAAATAAGCTTTAGGCTTAAAAATAAACTCAAGGTTTAAAAATTAACTTAAGGCTTAAAAATGAAGTTTTAGGGTTAAAAAAGAAACTTAAGGCATAAAAATGATTTTTAAGCTTAAAGATTAATTTTAGGCTTGAACATGAATTTTTAGGCTTAAAAATAACGTTTTAGGCTTAAAAATAAAGTTTTTGGCTTTAAACTAACATTTTTGGATTAACATTAAATTTTAGAATTAAAAATTCATTTTAGGCTTAAAAATAGAGTTTTAGGCTTTGACTATAAAAATGAAGTTCATTCATACCTGTGCAATCAAGCTCCTAGTGAATTGCCTTTGCAATTCCTTGGTTCTTTCACTCGATTGTTGAATATTGACTGTTCTCCAAGCTTTTATAGTGTAATATCCAGCCAAATAGACTACAATGCCAGTGAAAACAAATCCAAGGTAGAAATAGGCCATCGTTCCCCAGTCTCTCTGAAATTTTTCATTTTTACTTCAAAAATGTTAAAACTTTAAAATTTTGAAAAGTTTAAGTTTTTTTTAAAAAATCAAAAAGTTTTTGAAATTTTTAAAATTAAAAAAAAATTTAAAATCATTTTACATTTTGACACTAGAAGAAGCCGGCTGGCTCTTTTTCCGAAAATGACCGGTCATAAATCCGAAAAATTGTATTTTCCTTGTAATCCCTTCGATGCAAGATGTTCGTATAGGCTTAGGTATGTCATTTTTAAACTTTTTTTATTTTTTGGTGATAACTTTTTTTTACAAAATCAAAAAATGGCAAAAACTTTCTTTAAAAAACATAAAATAACAAAAATTTTCTTTACAAAACAAAAAATGGCGAAATTTCTTTACAAAACAAAAAACAGCAAGAACTTTATTTACAAACCAATTTCAAGCCTAATTCTATTCATTTTCAGTGCTAATCAATCAACTTTGGACAATTTGTTCACGATCGCCTTTTACGTTATCCTGGTGATAACCGTCATTTTTCTGATGTTCTGTATTTGGCTGATCGTCGCTCTAATAAGAACAAAGAAAAGCTTTCGAGATCACATTTGCCAGGTTACACCACTTGTAGATATTCAGCCGCTCCAAGTGCATACACCCAGTTTATCACACTCATGGGATAACGAGTAAGCACTTGATAATTATTAGCCTTAGCCTTAGCCTTAGTCTTAGCCTTAGCATTAGCCTTAGCCTTAGTCTTAGCCTTAGTCTTAGCCTTAGCCTTAGCCTTAGCCTTAGCTTTTAGCCTTAGCTTTTAGCCTTAGCCTTAGCCTTTACCTTGCCTCTTACTCTAATTTACCGTGTCTTACCCTACTGGCTTTTACCTTATCCTGCTCTACCTCACTCTGTCAAATGGTTCTAGCCGTACATCTTTCAAACTTTTCGTACTTTAGTTTTACTACGCTCTGCTTTTACCATATAACCCTACACATTTTACTCAATTTTTTGTGGTTTCAGACCCATAATTAACCTTAATTTAAACTCAAAATTTGATTTTTGAACTATTTAATTTTATTAGGGGTTTCTGTCGGGTTTTATTACCTTTGCAGCTAACAAATGGGTCCAAACCTTAACCTAATTATCGTTGGCATAGAAATTTAATATCCAAACTATTTTTATCTGCAACCGAAAAATGTAAAAACTACTTCTGGCTTGCCGTGGAAACGAAAAGATCTTTCTTTAGAAAACAAAAATGGCAAGAACTTTATTTACAAAACGAAAATTGACAATAACTTTCTTTACAAAACAAAAAAAATTTTATTTTTTTTAACTTTTAATGCTTTTAATAATGATTTTTCAGAGAACTGCTCGAATACAAGCGCCAAATGAGAGCGAAACAAGCCAAAACCAAGTCTCCGATTCGGCCCAAAATCGACAGTAACAGCACCGACAGCTAATAAGTACAAGCTAATCCTATTTGTACTTGCAATAAACTATATTATTTTTTGGCTTAATTTTGATAATTTTGTGCTCTAGCCTTACCCTTAGCCGTAGCCTTACAATTGTTAGCCAAAGGCGCTTGAAAAAGTCTTGTCGTCAATTTACATTGATTTGCTAGAGAAAAATGACAAGACTTTGTTTAAACGCTTATAGAAGTTATTACTGTTCAAGGTTATGACATAATTTATAAAATGTCATAAAACTTCATAGTTTTTTAAAAAATGGCATGAAATATAAAATCAACTCACCATATCACAAGCATATCGATAAGGAGTAGTACCATCAGCATCGATCCATTCATGAGTGACAAATTGAAAGTAATGATCGTATGGCCGAGAGCTGGCTTGATAAACACCGTAACCTAAGCAAATGCCAAGGAATGAGCCGGCTAAGAAAGAGATAAACACATTTCTCAATATTATCCATGGGGATACCGTATTTCCACTAAAAAGAGCAAATTTAGTATAGATAATTGTTAAGTAGTACTGCATAGCACTGTCATAAAAAGTGGTGCTTTATAGTACCAAAAGCAGCCATTCCAGAGCTAAGGCAAACCCATAGGCTTAATTTTGTATGATACAGTACTACTTTATTTCTTAATGCCGAGGCAGTGGTACTATATAGTACTATAAAAAAGTAGTACTATATAGCACAATATTTCAAAAATTAGTATTGTTTAGCATAGCTGAATTTAATACAATACCAAAATTTCATTTTTTGGTTTTTTCTGTACAGTACTCAATACTACAGTAACTTTTTAATGGTACAACGCTTAAAAAGTTACCGTAATTCTAAAATACCAACAAACTTACGAAGTGATTAGTAGATACCTATAGTGACACAAAGCTGGTAGAATTAAGATCCCATGAATTACTGCGAATGAATGTGGAGCCATAAAAGTAGGATAAGACCATGGTCCAAGAAATGCTTCGAAGCCATGAGGCATAACTAGGAAAATGCCATTTCTTATCAGCAGTTGCTGAAATTTTACAATTTTAAACTTTTTTAAAAACTTTTTGTTTTTTAAGTTTAAGGTTCATTTTTAAACCTAAAACTCATTTTGTAAGCCTAAACTTCTTTTTTAAGTTCCAAATTTAAACTTTAAGCCTAAAATCCATTTTCAAGCCTAAAACTCATTTTTAAGCCTAAGGTTATTACTTAAGCCTAGCACTTAAATATTCAGGCTAAAACCAAATTTTTATGCTTAGACTTCATTTTAAGCCTAAAATTTACTTTCAAACTTAAAATTCATTTTCTATGCCTAAGATTCACTTTCTAAGCCTAAAATTCGTTTTTAAATCCAAAATTCATTTGTAAGCCTAAAATACGTTTTTAAACTCAAAATTCAATTTTAAGCCTACAATCCATTTTTAAACCTGAAGTTCTTTTTTTAAGCTTAAAATTAATTTTAAGTACTCACATGTTGTGTTGAGAGCTCGATAATACTAAAAACAATGTCGAATAAAGCCGATGCAACAAACAAATAAGACGATGACCGTGTTTTATCCGTAGTCGTTTTGATGATAGCCAATAGTAAAATTAAATTTAATATTAATCCCAGACCCGAGCCAAGATTGTCTGAGATCCACAAGACAAAGAAGAAGTTATTCATGCTAAAATTGGCATTATCATGACATTACCTCAATTGGTAACACTAAAATGTTTATGAGTATTATAATAGCGTCTATGTGATACTGACCCTAACCATAAATGAAAGCCTAGAGCCCTAGCCCAGAGCCCTAGCCCAGAGTCCTAGCCCAGAGCCCTAGCCCAAAGCCCAGAGACCTAGCCTCAGAGTCCAATCCCTAGAACTCGCTTTAAATGTGTCAGTACATACTAAAAATATCCCAAGAACTACGTTTTTGCTAAGAATAAACCATATTAAGTTAATAACTCTCAAAATAATGTTAAAATGTTTCTTGCACTTAAAGTACGTACCTATTAAATTGCACGTACTAACTAACCTTATATAAAACCTACATAAAATCTTTAATGCAACAATAAAATGGCATAAAACATAAATACAGTAAAACGGAAAGCTCTTTCACATGTATTATTACATTATGTGTAATGTGTGAACTTGGCGCTATGACAAAAGTACAAAAATTTTGCACAATATAACAGTTCCACTGTAGTGTACCAAACCAGTTTTCCACCCTCTAGCTCTCAATAAACTTAAAGCTATCACCCAACCTTGTGTCAAGTCCCTTTATTAGACATGAGGAACGGACCAGGCCTAAATGTTAGGCTCGGCCTGGTCAAAATTTTGCTCAGACCCGGCCCGACCTAACTTTGGACCAAGCCCGGCCCGTTCCTCATGGATAACCTTTATAACCAAAGCAAACAATAAAAAGCATGAAAAACATAACAAGGGCCAATTTAATCAAAAATTCAAAAATAATTTCAAAAAAAGTTGAAATTGGTTCCCCCCTGTGCATTTTTCGACCCCCGTCCCCAGACCAAAAGTCCCCGCCCGGCCCTTGCCCAAACTATAACCTTTTCCGTATCCCTAACTCTCGGCCTATCTTCCAAAAAATAGCTAAAAAACTAAATCAAAACCTCTCAACCCTATATTAAACTTACAGTAGACAGCCTCTTAAATGACCATGAATCCAGACGTGTTAAAGCTTCAAAGTACGGCAGGAAAGAACTTGGAACAATATGTGGCCTGTGCAAAGAAATAACTAAGTTATTAAGAAACACCGCTTATTAAGAAATACGAAAAGGTACACACAAAGCTTTGCAATTTACCACTGTTAAATTTAATGTTAATAGCGGCCAGAGATTCATTAACAGCGGCAAGAGATTTTTGTGCAACTTCAAATTAAAGTTCATTTTTTTTTAAATTTTCTCTCCCCCCCCCCCATCCCACATCTTTCCCAAACAAAAGTTACCCCTCCACTCCCGCCCTTCTTAATCCTCAATGTCAGAAAAATACGTTACTTAACGAGAACTTTATAACGACAACAAACCACCTAAAAAGCCATGCGTAATTGTCTATTTCAAAGATAACAGTTATTACCATAGCACCAACCAACAAATTGTAATGAAATGTTAATCATAAACCTTTTATACGCCTACTATTGCAAAGTTAAACCATAGTTTAATTCAACACGTCGTTCTTTTTGCGGTAGATTAACGACCACTGAGTACGCAATTAGAATATAACTTTAGTCTATCAACTAACTAACCCAGTCCTATCGTAATACTTGTATACGACCCAAGTAATACTAAGTAAGATTTTCTAGGTATAAGAAAAAATGGCTATTAGTAAGATCTTCCGTATAAGCAAAAAATATTTCTTAAGCAAAAACAATATGACCCCTTAGATGTGACCAGATTAGACACGAGGATGTTGTACATACTATAAAATACTTTCTTACTTCTTACTAAACATTTTAGAAGGCTCAGTAAGTAACTCGTTATAATACTTACGTTAGTAGCTAGAGGTGTCACATTTTTTACCTACTTTTTATACCTACGTTAACGGTCATAGGTTGCATATTAACACTTGATTTCCGCGAATTGGCAACGGCTAATATAGGATTACAGTAAGAAATAAAGTGAACATCAATAACCATCAAAGTTTGTAGTTTGGGTAGGTAGCAACTTCCTTAAGATGTAGCAACATCTCTAAGATTTATTTAAATTTATGTTATCATTTTCATTTTTAGTCCATCTTTAATATTTTTAAACAGAGTAGCTCAGCCTTTGCAATGAAGGTATTTTAAATATAGCTACTTCTTTTTAATTTGGTAAGTATTAGTCTTAAAACATATTTATAGTTTTTCAAAATTTTGCACTACACTTAACTACCGTATGCTAAGTGCTGCCTAATTATAGACAAAAAGTGTCAGTTATGTTTTCACATTACTGAGAGGTTTAAATAACAAAATGCGTCAAAACAGTGGTTTTTACGAACACTATGACAGGCTAACAATAAACTATATTAAGTTGACGGTTGATATGGTATAAGTCTGTAATTAGAAACTTTAACCTAAAATAAGTCACATCTGTGATAAGTCATTTTGTAGGTTTGAAAATATTATTTATGAACTTATTTGCAAAAGTTTATTTGTTCAAAATAAATTATTTACAATAATGTACATTGTGGTAAACAACATTTTAGTTTAAAAAACATATTGATAAATAGAAAATCGATAATTATAAAACAAAACTTGAGAGGTTTTAAGTAAGGCAGCAATGTCTCTTACTGATGAATTGCTTGAGATCACTTAGTACTGTTTAACCAAACAACATTGAACCAACTTGCGCTCCTAGCATTGATCCAATGGCAGCGCTAAAATATAACAATTTTGAGAAATTTTACCATTGTTTGTTACATTAAAAGTTTAGGTATGCGTATGCAAGCAGGTGACTGTTCATACATTAGACGAACACATTTGAGTTATGTATAAGCACTTACCCAGGGTTTCCTCCCATTCCCATGCCTCCGCCAAAACCTGGACCTCCGCCGAATCCTCGTTGACCGCCAAAACCTCGACCTCCTCCAAAACCGCGTTGACCAAAACCACCCATTCCTCCGCGGCCTCCATACATGCCGCCAAATTGTCTACCGCCGTAAGGTCCCATTCCTCCACCGTAAGGTCCCATTCCGCCACCGTAAGGACCCATTCCTCCACCATACGGCCCGCCACCGCCGTAAGGTCCTCCACCAAACGAATTACCCCATTGAGCCGCAACCACACCAATAAGCAGCGTTAATAACGTTAGGAGTTTCATTTTGACACACTTAACCGCAAACCTACGGTTTTTATAAGCAAATGGCGGAAGTTAAAACAGCAACCGTCTGTCAAACTTTTAACCAAAACAAGCCAACAGCGACTTTACTACGTTGAAATTTGTTCAATGACGTTAGATATGGGTTTATTTTTTTAGGAATTAGGTTTAACTTAGTGTAAAATATGTTAGAAAACAAGTTGTTTTAGTTAGACTTTAATTTTACAACATAAAAATGTTGTAAATGTTTTGTAAAGCTCATGTTTAATATTTTACGGAGATTACACAACGCTTTTATATCTTATTAACTGAAATTTTTAAAATGCAATTTTTATTTTTGTTTTACAAAAAAAAATAACTAGCTTTTTATTTGGTCAAGTCTTCCTTCACAATTTATTTGTTTTTTGTGGAAATTTTCATTTTACGTTTTTATTCTTCTGCTGGACGGTGTCTAATTATTTTTGTTTCATTTTGGCGCAAAATCTATAGGACGACAAAAAACCCAACGTAATGGATCAAACAAAACAGGCGTCCGAGAAGTACTTGATTTAACTTTCCAATATATATTGTGTTGTGTGTGTGGCGATCAATCTGTTGATCTTAACATTAGTATACAATCCAAAAATCATATTTTCAACTAACACGTTTTTAGACAGAGCTGCTACGCAAAATGATACGGTAAAACGTAAAATATTGAAAAAAATAGCCTAAAATTATGTTTTACGCCAAACGAAAAAAGAATTTTTAATGCCGCGCGCGTAGGTAGAAATTAGCAAAGAAACACTCTTCATTTTCATATTCTAACGCATTAAGCAGACTTACCTCACTTATAGCGCATTTATTTTTCGTCGACCGAATATTCTGTTGTTCTATTTTTAAAGAGGTTTATAAAAATGGCAAAAATTAGGAAAGAAAGTATTTCTAAACCTGTTGAGCTTGCTGAAGATGGAAAGCCTAAAAACAAAATTGCTAAAAGAAGGCCGGCTAGTTTTTCTAAATTTCACAGCGATCAAAACGAAAGTTCAAAGGTAAGCTTATAGCTTATAATTTACATTCTAACTTACAAAATTTATTTTTGTTGCTCCGCTTGACATTAACTATTTTTAAAGGCACACTTAGTTAGTAAAAGTACTAACGCAAAATCTTACGAAGCCTCTTCTACAGCATCTGCAAGTTCTTCTCCACGTGTCCCAATGTCTCTCGATGATCGTGTTAACGCATTGTTGAGTAATTTGGAAGAAATGCAAGATCAAGCGTTAAGCATCTTGAATGTGAAGGATCTTATGTACAACACGGAAAATGAAAACTACTTCTACTGCACCTACGAAAAGTCAGAGCAAGAGCCCGATAAAAATTTGAAGTCTGCCTTGGGCTATTTTGGAAAGTTTGCAAAGTATGCTAAAGAGAAATCTAAGCTTTTTAATAGTGTTAGAGAGTACATTAAGAAGTTTGAATAAAGTAATTTAAACTTTGTTTGTTGAACTTGTTAAAAGCAAAATAATTAATAATTTTGTATATTACTGCCACTTTTTATTGCAAAAACTGTAACATAAATGTTAAAAAATAGATTTACGGTTTCTTAATAGAGAAGTTCACACCATCGGTAGTTTGGAAAATCTGGCTAGACTTTGAGCAAAAGTATTCACATACTGTTCCTTTACATTCATGCGATGCACATGTTCTGGAAAAGATTTTGCAAATGTTTTCGCAGAAGGTACCGCAAGGAACTTCATCACAGGCAGCGGTGGCAACGCTGAATACGACGGCCATTACGGCGAAGGTCAGGAAAAGGTTGAAACGCATGGCTAATCTAAAATTCTTAATTGATATTACCTAAAAATAAGTGCAATGAAACACTAGTAACATAAAATGTATTTAAAAATTAAGTTTTTTATGTTTTGTCATATATGAAAATGCAAAAACGCGGATTTTAAAAATTCATAAAATCGCAAAAATTAATAATTCATAAGTAGCAAAACATTATAAATAAAAGTAACTTGTAACTTCGTTAATTAAAGGTTACAAACAATTTGATAACGTGTTATCTTTCTAAGCTTATCATGAATGCATTGTTTGTAGCATCAAACTTTAAGACAACCAAAGCTTATTTTTCTTACTGTAAAGGTAGCCAATAAAACAAATTTTAAAATTTAAATATAGTTTACCTCAAAAACTTAAAAAATTGATTTATCAGCTGTGACAATATTAAAGGACATTCGCCTCTCTAACAAAAGGTTCGCTTATTATTTAAAATTTTCTGTATTTGTCGATAAAAAAAACATTTTACTGCAACTCCATGTTTAGCATTAGCCCTGAAAAGGGAGCCTACTAGTCGCGATCCTGATCCAGGCCGTTTTGGCCTCAACCTAAGCCGAAGCAAATTTGAAAGGCTGGCAAATGTGTTCTTGGCGGCGGGTATCATACCAAGGTTTCAGAGGCCTAGGACATTACGATACAAGTTTTCCCAGTTACAATCTTAAGTAAATTATATAAAAAGCCGGATCAAAGCAAAATTCGAAAAGACCGCGTCGAGCTGGCTTACGTACGCCTAATAGCCAAGTCTCAAACCAAGAGTTAGCTTGTGGTCAGGGCCGGGCGCGAGAAGGAGTACATCTCCCTCCAGAAAAAAATTTTCGAAAAAAATTGAACCTACTTTTTGGAAAAAATTTTTCGCAAAAAATCGGCACAGGACTTGATTTTTTTGATCTTCGCCCCCAGACCAAAAGTCACTGCCCGGCCCTTTTACTGGTCTATTTACAGTAAGTATGCGACATGACTAATAATTATTTTTATGTTTTTATGACAATCATCTCACGTTATTGATCAATGATATCACCAGCAATTCAATTATCGGCCACACCCTTCCGGTAAGATAAAAAGTAATTTCAATGTAACTTTTGTTGAAGAAACAAGATATATTTGCGTATGATTAGGGCCGTCTACGCTTTTAGGATAGGCTGATGATTATGCGAGGCTAAAAATCACGTTTTCCTCAAACTTTTGTTTACTCAAAAAGATAAGATTTTGGTATATAAGACAATTAAGGTTGTGCTGAGTATTGTTACAGAAGTTGGGACTCATATTTTAAGCTTATACTTTTTGATATTTCTTGATTAGTTTTGGTTAGTACAACATAACAATAAATTTTTTATATTCAGATTAAAATAAACATGCGCTTCAACGTCTTCGCCCTCTTCTGCATCTTTGCTATCCTGGCTGTCGTAGCCCATGGAGCGTGTGAAGACAGCTTGTGCGAACAAATCTGCAACAACTTCTGCAAAGTCTTCGGTAAGAGCTGTGGTACTCACCAATGCGATGGAGACAGCTGCAGAATCACATGCGGTGACGGTGTTCAACAACACGTCTTGGCTAATGTCAATGGCCAACAATTCAACTTTGATTTGTAAAGGGTTGAGAATTTGTACAATAAATAATACTCACTGCTTGAATATAGAATTTTGTAATTTTTGGAATTTTAATGGTTGAGATGACGTTAAAAATACAGTAATAAGAAAAGATGTCTTTTTGCAAGCCAAATCTTCCGTTGCGAGACCTTAGCTGGGTCTAAAAAATTTATTTTTTAATTTTAATGCGACTTTACAAGTTTTCGTTTCTAGCCTTAAATTCATTTATTTAAAGCTTAAAAATGAAATTTTAGGCTTCAAAATAAAATTTTAGGCTTAAAAGTGAAACTTTAAATTTAAAAATGAAAATTTTAAGCTTAAAAAGGAACTGTAGGATTAAAAACAAAATTTAGGCTTAAAAAGCGGGTTCTTGCTTAAACAAATCTTTTTTTCTAAGGAAATGATAAAGCATGACTAGGTGCAATAACCTTACACTACTAATCAAATCCCCAAACTATATTTCAATTTTTTGGCAAAAGAACTCTTTGTTTAGTCAAGTATAATATATTATATTCAGAAGCGTATCAAAAGTTTTCTTTTTTCATTTTCAATGTCTAAATTCCCTTGGTGATGTTATGCATACATCAAGTTAAACATTGAATAAATCCTCTTAAAACTTTTTTATTTTACTTTTTGGGTATGGATGGATAAAATGATACGGGTGGGGTAGGGAATTCGGCAGAATAAGGGTAAGCTAGGGAAAAGTGTGGCAGGGTACGGTAAAGTAGAGTAGAGAAGAGCAGAGTAGGGTAAGGTAGATCTATTGTAAGTATTTTCAAATTTTAACACTTAAAGACATGTAAATTTGACACCTAAAAAAATGTTTGTTATTACGGAAAGTGCTACCAAGCGTTGACGTAGCCAAATCTTCTGGTAGTCACACTTTTGTTTTGACTTGGATTAGCCATCGTTACTTAATCCGACACAAATACAGTGAAACTTAAAATAGACACATGACAATGAGTGCCACAACACAAAGTATAATACGGGTATTATCTTTATGTTTGATACAAAATAAAGCTGTTGATGGTTGAGATAGATACAAAATAGTATGTAGAAACTACTGGAAGACCTTTAAAATGCACTTTATCATACTCTACTATCATATTGTAAGACGTGTTGGAATTTGCGGAGTATGTTAAGGTAAAAAAGAAGGGTAAGGTAGAATAGGGTAGGCTGTAACTAGCTAGAGTAATATTAGTTATCCTGCTATATCTTACTCTATTCTATCCTATTCTAACGTTATATTACATATATACTGTATATGTTATAGTTAGATACAAAACGTATATGTATGTATAATGGGTAATACAGTGGCTTATTGTTATAATTAAGTTAATGTACTGTCTATTACTGTGACAATACAAAAACGTTTTTCAACTTGTTACAGGTCTAAGTATACAAAACTATATTAATAAGGTGACATTTTGTGCCGGTCCAAATTACATCACAAACCGGAAAAATCAAGCTTCCTTACCTACTATAACATATAACGATAAGCAATAGTAAATATGACAATAAGAAGTCGTTTTTATATTTTGTTTCAAAAATTATGGTTTAGACTGTATATTGTTGTAAGGCATCTTGAGCTTGTATTTGTATGCAAACAGCTTATGATGAGATCTATGTGTAGGGTTTTATCGTTTTCAAGAGTAAAGTGGACTGATGAAGGCATTGTATTATTACTGGTAGTATAAACTGAATTTCTCAGCTTATTATGTATGGCTTTGGTTACAAAACTCTATTATAAATTGTGCTTGAATAGACTGCTTGGATAATATTATAATAGAAACATAAGGTTTAGAAATGTATTGTGGAGCTTATGTGACCATGGTATAACCATTCAATGTAAAACCGAAAGTTTAGGCTAAAAATATGTATATCTTATTGTAAGTAAAGTTATGGTAGGGTTCATGCCGGGCTATGCTACGGCCAGTGTAGGGCTGGGTACGTCTAAGAATAGATGTAGGGCAAATCCTAATGCTAGGGCTAGGACTAGAACATGGGCCAGAGCTAAGGTTAAAGCTAGGTTCAGAGCTAGAACTATGGTTAATGTTGGGACTAGAGCTAAAGATAGAGCTAAAGCAAAACCGATTTATGGCCATAGCACAGCTATGGTAAGACTAAGAAAGACTAAAGTAAGATATTGTGAGGCTGCCATTTGACTGTTCTTTGCCATACACTACCAAAGTTATGTCTACAAACCATTTAATAACTAAAATACAATTATACACTTGACCCCTAATTTAATTGTAGCAGAGTAATATTATTTATTATACGTTGCTAAAAAATTATTACTGATTAGGCATTGAATTACCACTAATTGCTTGTTTACACCGTAACGTGACTTTTAGTTCTTTTTCATGTTATGAGTCGGTTGTAAACGGTCAAACCGTATCATTGTAAACAACGGAAGTTGTAAATTAGAGATTTTTACTATAGATTTGGTTTTGTAACTACTTGGCTAATACTTCTTATACATCTTAAATGAGTTTATGTTATGCATTGGCAAGATAGATAAAGTAGGTGGAGTATTGCAAATTATGGAGGGACGGTGCAAACGAGATTTTACGATAGAAACTACTGTAAAGCTGAGTACTGCTGTGAAGTAGACTACGGCTTTGATAAAGCTAGAACAGAGTAGTGAAGGATAGGATAAACCGTGAGCTAAGGTTAAGGCAGTAATACACTTTTAACTGTTTTAAGTTTACAGCTTTTACTATGTGCACTAAGTTGCGATTCCAAGTAAAACTATACTCTTCATGGTTCAAAAACTCAGAACAATGTGACAATGTTTATTATTACTGACTCATGTTCGACTTTTTTCATAATTTATAGGTTTAAAATTGGCTAAAACTCCTTTTGAAATAATTTGAATGTTATTTAAGAAATTCCCCACTTTAATCTCAAATGTAGTAACGGGGCGTGGTTACACTCGGATTAACGTCTGCTTTTTGTAAGGGATTTACAATCATGGTATTTAAGCAAAAATAGATACGAAAATTGTAAAGTTTATGGCTACGGATGGTAAAAAGTATTGTAGTAATTAGCGTACAAAGGATTGTTTAGGGTAGGGTATTGTTGTTTTCGTAGTAAAAGCCACAAATGTTTAGTTTTTTGGTTAAAATTGTTTCGAACCCTTAAATTTTGGATTTTTTTCAAAAAAGTTTTAGTTTTTGTTACGCGAAGGTACTTGTTTCTTTGAAACATTTGAAAAATTGATACTTAATGGGCCTAAACAGCTTCTTGAGAGTCTAGTTTTTGGGACTAACATGAAATTTAGACTTACGAGGTAAAGCTTCGGCTTAAAAATAAAATTTTAGTTTTAGAATTTAAATTTTAGGCTTAAAAAATTAATTTTAAGTTTAAAAATTAAATTTAAGCTTAAAAAATTAATTTTAGGCTTAAAAATTTAATTTTAGGCTTAAAAAATGCATGTTAAATTTAAAAGTCAATTTTATGTTTAAAAGTGATAGTTTAGGTTTAAAAATAGATCATAGACTTAAAAATGAATTTAAGGCTAAACAGTCAAGCTTTAGGCATAAAACTGGAATGTTAGGCTAAAGATTAATTTTAGACTTAAAAAATGAATTTTAGGCTTAAAAATAAATCATAGGCTTAAAAATGAATTTTAGGCTGACGAATCAAACTTTAGGCTTAAAACTGAAATTTCAGGCTTAAAAATGAATTTTAGGCTCATAAAGAAAGTTCAGGTTAAAAAAAAGAAATTTCAGGTTAAAAAAAAGAAATTTTAGGTTTATAAATGAGGGTTTAGGCTTAAAAATGTGTTTTAGGCTCTTAAGTAAAATTTTAGGCCTAAATATTAAATTTGGGTTACAGCTTTTCCTGCTTATCTTTTTCTTGTTTTAACTCTTTTCTTTACCTAATCTTCAATCTTTCAAAATCTAACTTTCTAACCAGAGATATTACACCCAAAAGTAATTTTCTTCTTATTCTCATAACATTTATTTAAAAAAAGTCAATCTATTTTTACGTGCAATTTGCAAAAAAGTTAATTTTTCTTAAAACCAAGGTACTTTTTTAACACTGCCAGTTCTAATTAGGTGTATTCCCAGTAATGGGCGATGATTGCGTGTTACACTCGAAAGTGTAAATACGTGTAACCTCTTACATAAATGGCATATTTTAAGAAGAGGTTTATAAAAAGGGCATTACCTCTTACAATGTTAGATCTTTACTTCTTACACCTTCTCGAAGACTTAATGTCAAAAGGGTGTCTTACCGTAAGGTTATTTTGAAAGTAATGTAAGAACTAGAGTGTAATGTCTAGTTCGTTTTTATGTTAGATTTGTAGGCATAGTACATTTTTATAGGCGTTTAAACTTTATATTACAGTACAAGTTAAGAAAACCTTAAGGTACAGACGTTCTGAAAGACATGGTCATTGTTTTAGTACGAATCTGTTGAGTTTTTCGTTGTTCGTTTGGCTTTATTATTCTTTTATTGTAGTAGACTTAGATTTTTAAATTTTGTTTTTAAACCTATATTTTTGTTTTAAAGCCATTTTTAAATGTAAGTTTTCTTTTTTAAGCCTAAAATCATTTTTAAGCTTTAAATTTTAGTTTCAAGCCCGAATTTCTCTTTTAAGCCTAGAATTCATTTTTAAGCCTAAAAATCTTTTTTAAGCCTAAAATTTATTTTTAAGCCTAAAATTTTAGTTTTAAGCCTAAACTTCATTTTTAAGCCTAAAACTAGGTTTTAAACCTAAAATTTTATTTTTAAGCTTAGAATTCATTTTTAAGCTTAAAATTCATTTTTAAGCCTAAAATTTTAGTTTTAAGCCTATAATTCATTCCTAAGCCTAAAATTCATTTTTAAGCCTAAGATTTCATTTTGAACTTTAAAATTCACTATTAAGTTTAAAATGCATTTTTAAGCCTAAAACTCGTTTTCAAGCATAAAACTAATTCAAACTAAAAAAAGTTGTTATCACTTTTAAAAACCAAAACAAGATGTCTGAACTCGACCGTTTTCTCGAACATCCTGTACTCTATAACGCGTTCACGTCAACATGTCTTTTGGTCACGCACTCTACCCTCTTCCACCCGCTTTTTAAAAAATTTAAATTTTGCCTTTTATGCAAATTCAATTATAACGTTTTTTCCTGTTTTTGCTCATTTGTCTGGGTTTGTAGACGCTGTTAACAACAACTTTTTTCTTGTTGTTGAAAAAGAGGGGTATTACCAAGTTGGAGGTTCTTTTTGAGGGCTGAAGTTGGATCTGGAAGAGGGTTCAGGCGCTATTCTCGGCTCTGAGGCGGCCAAGGCCGGGCCAGACTTGGCTAAACATATGTTAAAATGGATCGAGGCGCAATATTAAGCCTGGCTTTTTTAAGGGTCTAGAGGCTAGGTGTTAATGGACCTTTTTGAAATTTTAAGCCTAATATCGATTTATTAAGCCTAAAATCCATTTTAAGCCTAAAATTCATTGTTAAAGCTGAAATTCATTTTAAATCTTAAAATTCACGGTTAAGCCTAAAATTCATTTTTAAGCATAAAGTTCGTTTTTAAACATAAATTTTATTTTTTAAGCCTAAAATTCATTTTTAAGCCTAAAATATATTTTTTAAGCCTAAAATTCATTTTTAACTTAAAATACATTTTTAAGTCCAAAATTCATTTTTAAGCCTAAAATTCATTTTTTAAGCCTAAAAGTCATTCTTTAAGCTTAAGGTTCATTTTTAAGCCTGAATTTCCTTTTTGAGCCTAAAATTTATGTTTAAACGTATAATATCGTACAATAGCCTAATTATTCTCTTATAACACCACCCCTCACCCAATGTCGAAATACCGTGATAACACTCAATTTTACTCAACTTTTCGTGTTAACATAGTAATTATTGGGTTATTTCAGTGGTGTAATTAGCAAGCGAACACTGGAGCCCGCAAACCAGCCGCGCTTACGTATGAGTGCCTATGTGTACATATTCAGAATGAGCGCCGGTGTCAAGCATATTGGAGTTAAGCCGGATCGTGAAATTCTCAGCCACACCCGCAGTGTGAATATGGATGTGCTCACCGAGCAGGTAAGGAGAGGGGTTTGTCGACTGGTCGATAAAATGAAAGGGTAGGGTAAAATAGAGCAGGGCAGAGCAGGGTAGAGCAAGGCAAGGCAAGCCGAGCTATATCTAGGCCAGCCAAGCCTAGCCCAGTCAAGACAAGCTAAGATAGCTAAGACCAGGAAAGGCAAGGTAAGGTACAGTACGATACGATGGGGCTAGAAGTATTAGGTTGTCCGGAAAGTTCTGCAATATTTGAGTAGGTAAACTTTGAAAAATCAGGAAAAATTTATTTCTTGACGGAAAGAAAAAATTCTTTTTTTTGTTTGTTTGTTTGTTACCTAAATTATTCAAAAAGGTAAGTTACATAACTTAATTTCATTTTTTTGTATTGTTTTAGGTATCAGAAAAAAACGGAGAAATCTTGCCTGCGCGTGATTATATGGAATGAATTCAAACGCGGAAATACTGCGGCAGAAATTTTCAGAATCATAAACGAAAATGAGGGTAAGAATGTTGTGAGTTATTCTACGGTGACCAGATGGTTCGCAAAGTTTCGTGTGGACGATGAGAAGCTTGAAGACAAACCACGTGCAGGAAGACCCAGCAAACTTGACAAAGATGCCCTGAGGCGCAAGATTGAAGATGACCCACATATTACAATCCGGGAGTTAGAAGAGTTACTAAACTGTGGAAAAAGTACCATTGGTGACCATTTGAAGGCAATGGGTATGGTCAAAAAGTTGGACAAATGGGTGCCTCACAATTTGACTGATCTGCAAAAAGCCAAGAGACGATGTGCTTCCGAAAAGCTTCTGCAACGCTGCAAAAACGAAGAATTCTTGGATCGAATTGTAACTATTGACGAGAAGTGGATCTCGTTTAACAATACTAGAAGATCTACAAGTTGGTGTAAGCGTGGAGAAGCTCCTAAGCACGTTTCGAAGCCAGAATTGCACGAAAAGAAGCTTATGGTGACTGTCTGGTGGTGTAGCTCTGGAGTGATCCAGTACGATTTCATGAAACCTGGCCAAAGTATTACGGCCGACACCTACTGTGCCCAGATTGACAAACTGCGACACAATCTTCCAACAATGTTTAGAAGGAGGGGTCCGATCATTCTGCTGGATAACGCACGGCCCCATGCTGCAAAGAAGACCGCGGCAAAATTCAGGGAACTGGGATACGAAGTCTTGGAGCACCCTCCTTATTCTCCAGACTTGGCTCCAACGGACTTTCACCTTTTTAAACACTTGTCTTCGTTTCTTAATGGAAGAATCTTCAAAACTCCAGACGATGCCAAGAATGCCTTCAAGAACTTCATCAACTCCAGAAACCCGGAATTCTACAATCGTGGAATAAAAAAGCTTGTAAATCGTTGGCAAGACTGTATTGATTCAGACGGTAATTACTTTGATTGATTGTAGTTGTTAATTATATTGTTATTATTGTTAGTTCAAAAGTGAATAAATATTGCAGAACTTTCCGGGCAACCTAATATATAGGTACGAGGCTAGATATGAGTATATGTTTATGTAAGTGTAGATGTAGGTATAGTAGGCGGAGAAAGGAACAGGTTGAAAGATAAGAATACTTAGTAACATGTTTACCTATTTCTAATTAAAAATGACATGTCCTGTGACTTGCTTTTGACAAATTTTAAGTTTAACTTTGTATAACAAGTATGTTAGTCCTAGCTTTAGCCGTAGCTCTAGCTTTGTCCCCAGCCAGAGCCCTACTTCTAGCTGTAGCCCTAGCTCTAGCTCAAGCCTTAGCTAGCCTTATTTTTCTTATTATAGCTCTAGCTGTTCTCTACACTAGCTTAATCTTAGTCCTATAAAGAGCTATAACTCATCACCTCTTATTTTCAGCCCCAAGACACAACCGTGTACATGATGATTTGCCTTCTCGCTGACATTCTCATCTGGACCTTGGCCGGCATCATTCTCTACCGCGCAGTAAAAGCTTGTAAACGAAGTGGTGGTGACGACAAGAAGGAACAAGAACAAGCTTACGCTCGCTTCGAAGCTCAAGATGCTTTCGAATTCGACAGTGAAGAAGAGATGGATATCGTGGAAGATGAAGACGATGTACGACGATCAGTAGAACACAAGAACAGCTTCAACTTTGTACCCAACATATATCCAGTAGCACTTCAGAAGATTGCTGAAGGCAAGGCTGTACTATTGTCGGTGGTTAAGACGAATCGTGTGGATTCTGAAGCTACGGAAGGTGGAAGTCGGCTACAGAGGTTCTTTAGCAAGTTCAGAAGAAACAGTGGAACAGTGCCGATTGTGACTGGACTGAAGGATACTTATGGTGCTGAATATGTTTGAAGTTGATGTTTTTTGAGTATGGTACTACACCTTACTTTATCCTACCTTATCCTACCTTACCCTACCCTACCTTAATCTACTCTACCCTACCCTACCTTACCCTATCTTACTGTACTACAACTACTATATTTACTGTAGTAACGCTACATTACTCTCAAATTACCGTATTATCTCAAGCTTTCAAATCTCCAAAATGACGTTTGACTAGTATACCACTCTAATCACACCGTGACTTTTACTAAAATACTAGTGTAACATGGTCTAATCTTCTTCTCTAACCAATTTACTTTACATTTGTTTACGGGTGTATGACATTGTAACAAGTCTGTTAACATATCATTGTTTGTTACCTAAAAATGTGTATTTGGTATATATTTGTGTTGTTGATGCAAAACGAATGGCGTATAATTGAGTTTTGATGAGGAGCGGTCAAAAAGTTTGTAGAAAAATTGATTTTTTTGGCTAAAAACGGCCAAAAAAAAGTAATTTCTATATACTTTTTGACCAAAAAATATTCTGTAAACTTTTTGACCGCAAACTACGAAAAATGCCATTCTTTTTACAGCAAAATGTTTTTCACACGACAATACCTACATTAATATTGTATACAATAAGTTTTACTTCCTCTACAATCTCTGTTGCATTACATTGTTATGACATTTAAAATGCGCATTTTTAATTAAAAAATTAAATAATTTTAAAGACTATGCTTGCAAGAACACCCTCTTAATTCGAAATCGGCTTACAATTAATTAAGTCAATAGAAAGCGACATTAACAAGGCTTTCAACTACTTATCGGCTTATTGTAGAAGCGTTTGTAGGAACTGAAGCTTTGGGTACAGACTAGAAGACATAGACTTGAACTTACTCAGCTTTGGTAGATATGCTTTATATCATAGCCCTACTCTGGCCCAGCCGCTTACATAGCCTTAGACAGGGTCTGAGCTTGAGTCTAAACTGAACTTGTGCTTGAGCTAGAGCTTCAATTTGATCCAAAGCCTGAGTTTGAACTTGTATTTAAGCCTAATACGAGCTTGAGCTTGAGTCTGAGCCCGAGCCTCAGTTTGAGCCTGAGCTTGAGCATGGAAATAAGCCTGAGTTTGAGCGTGAGCTCGAGTTTGAGCATGAACTTGAGTAGTGTCAGCCTTAGCCTTGCCTTAGCTTATTATTGGGCCTGAGCTTGAACCTGAGCCTGAGCTCGAGCCTGAGCCTGAGCCTGAGTCTGAACCTGAGTCTAAGCCTGAGCCGGAACATGAGCTTAAGACTGGAACTGAGCCTGAGTATGAACCTTAGTCCCAGTTTGAGCCTTAGTCCTAGCTGTAAGCCGGCGCTGTTCCACTGACCCTAATACTAGCTTTACATTAACTGTCTTCTAGAACATCTGTAATTTTTTGGCTGTTAGCCTTTTTTTAAAAATAGCCTTTCTCTATTCTTAAACTTTTTTTGTTATACTTCTTATTAAGTATTCTATTCACTAAGTCAAGTACAAACTACAAAATATATAATACATTATACTTGTAATAAAATATTATACATAACACTATAACTTATAGTGTCTACAAGCTTTCGGTATCTTATTGTTATAGGTTTTCTTAAAACCCTGTAGTGCAGCCTTAGAACAATAGAGAAGGTTTTGTTATATTGTCTATTATTCTTATTCTATAATACGTGCCACACTGTATTTCAAAACACGAGGATTAAAGTTGAGTGTTACAAAATGTACTATAATTAAACATTACAAAATTTGTAATGAATGATGTTAAGAAATAGTTAAACCCACGTCTTTTTAATCATTTGTGCAACTTTTGTTTTTCTTTTTGTAAAAGTGTTACAGTACACCTTCTTCAAGATGGTCCTTCTTCTTCGAGATGGCATCTTCTTCAAGATGGTCTTTGACAGCATGGCGCCCACTTTGTTATAATATAATGGCAGCTTTCTGATCGCTATGCCTTACTCTTATAGTAGAACTTTTAACGAAAAAAATCTGGATAGCGTGACTTACCAGTTATAATAGAATTTTGGTCCGGCCTCTTGAGTATCATACTAAAGAGGTTAGACTGTACAATACAATACTATATTTTATTTTTTTTTGCAGCTTTCTTCAAAATGATCATTGATTTAAAAAAAAGATTGTTTGAAGCTAAAAACACTACGATATTTCCGTTCAATTCATAATGTTTTCATAGTAATCTACAACTTTTTTAATTCCAGGGCCAATTAGCTTCATTATTCTTGTTTCAATAGCTACTTTGCAAAATTTTAGGTCATTATTGTTCATTTTGCAATTATTCTTTACTTCTGTAGTGTTTTTCATAAAAGTATGTCATAGCCTCTTTTGTGATACGTTATCCGTGCAAATCTATAGCATGTAACCTGCAATAGACTATAGTAATATTTGTTTACAATTTGATTTCTATTGAAATACGAAAATATTACCTGACATTTTAAAAACTATTCAAAAATTCCAAAAAGTATTTTTTTTATTTATCTTTACGCACATTCATTAAAGGCTTATTATATTACACATAAATATAGTACGTTGTGATATGCACGTTAGCAAAAGAAAGACATATACGATGAAATGATATAGTATTTGTCATCAGACAACACATACATATTTAAGGGTTACACATGTTATTTAAAAATGACATAGATAGTATTAAGTTGTTCAGATAATTATGTGCCTCCCTTTCCCCCTTCAAAGCAAACATGAAAAGTTAGAAGGCACAGAATTATCTGAACAACTTAATATAATATGTTGTAGTACGTATGTCAAGAAGTAGGCATACATGTTACTAGGCAAGGATAATTAAAGCGTAGACTAACATATTGGATGCTCATAACTACATATATGTACAGGTAGGCTAACAGTACTACAGGTACAGAAATTCTTCAAAAATGAACATTCCGAGTCATATAGTACCTAGACGTGTTGTCGGAGTAGTAACTAGAAGGTGATGTTCCTAATGTTGGTCGATACGCAGTAAATTGCATCCCTGATTGACTGCGTAGTAAGCCACGGCGGCGTAGTTTCGCCGCAGCTGAGTCTCGTCTTCGTATCATGCCCATACATACAATGGTTACTCCGAAGATCAACTAAAACAAGAGATGTAGTTACTTTTATCTATTCTACTCGACCCTACCCTACCATACCTTACCCTACCCTATCCTACCCTATTTGCAGCATATGAACCTAGTATAACATCATAATATCTACTATAACATCACTCTTTACCCATTAGCTTATTAATTAATATTTTTCATTGTAATAAACTTAAAATTCAATTAAAATTTACAACAAATTTTTCAAATTCTTCAGAATTAATTTTTCGAACACATCATCGTACCAGATATCGAATTAATGAAACATTTAATTACTACAGTATTAGTTAGTACACATGAGATTAAGGACGGCTTAAAACATTGCTTTATCGCACTTTAAATGACATTTTTGGATTAAAAATATTGACTTTGAGCCTCTTTGAGACCAAGAACAACTACGTCATAATGTTTAGTATAAATTCGTATGCTATGCGTCATGGTTTTTACGTCAAATCTATGTTATATTAAGCCTTAGCCTTAGTCCTAGTAATAGTTTAAGCCTAAGAATGAGTCTGAGCCTGAGCCTGAGCTTGAGCCTGAACCTGAACCTGAACCTGAACCTGAGCCTAGCCTAGCCTAGCCTAGCCTAAGCCTAGCCTAAGCCTAAGCCTAAGCCAAAGCCAAAGCCAAAGCCTAAGCCTAAGCCTATGCCTAACCTAAGCCTAAGTCTAAGCCTAAGCCTAAGCCTAAGCCTAAGCCTAAGCCTAAGCCTAAGCCTAAGCCTGAGCCTGAGCCTAAGCCTGAGCCTGAGCCTTAGCTTAAGGTTAAACCTTAGCCAAAATTTCAATGTAAATCTTCAGCCTAATCCAAACCCTCCATCTAAATACCATACTATAGCCTAGTCTGCTTCGTCGTTTATCACATTCCTACTCTGACGATCTAACTCAAGATAGCTTACTAACCGCTTTTTTTTGTTGTACCCTTGCCACCCCCCTACCCTTCGGTTTACTAAGTATCATATAAAAGTTGAAGATGTTATACATATTATAAATCAACCTACCACGCCCAGAACCAAGAAAGCAGGCCCCAAGAAGATCAAGAAGCTTCTGTGTGACTCTTCTTTCACCACCACTTCCTCTTGTAGTTCCACAGGCGCCAGTAATGACTGAGCAAACGATGTTACAGAAGTGTCTGTAAACATGCTATTCTCGTCTAATGGACTGTTGTTGAAGATTGGCACTAAGGAGCTGTTTAGAGCACAAACAGCTAGTCCATACTCTTTGTCGTGGTAGTTCAGAGGTTCAGCGATCTTGAGAATAAGGGCTGTTTTGTCAAATATTCCGGTTGAGGGCTGGAAAAAACGCAGTAATGGTATAGGTACATATGTAATGTATAACAATGTAAAAGGCTACAAGAGGTACACTAAAACCATATATATTGCAGTTCATTACGAAAAACCTACATCAATATTAATAATGCTATGCTCCTTGGCCTTTCCCTTGACAAAAATGTAGCCATTCTTCAAGCCACGGCTACTTTTTGAAGTCAATTCGCCAAACTCCAAGTACATCTTGTCATACTCCTCAGCCTTATTGTAGACCTCAGCTACAGTTTTTGAAAACATTTTCAAACTTCGCAGCTTCTTATCGTACACTACTTGAAGGTCGTTCACCTTCGGACACAACAAGCCACGTATACAAGGTAAAGATGAATCAGATGGCTCACAATTACATCTCAAGTCGTCTAGGCATCCAAATTCACATACAATCCCGGACTTTTGCTTGCAGGTCTTCTGGAAATACAGCATTTTTTCACACTAAACCGAGACGTAGTTTAGGGTGCGGCAGAATACGACAGGAAAAGATAGGGTACGGTAGGATAAGGTAGGCTAGGGTAGGGTAGGGTAGGGTAGGGTAGGATAGGGTAGGGTAGGGTAAGGCAGGGTAGGGTAGGGTAGGGTAGGGTAGGGTAGGGTAGGGCAGGGTAGGGTAGGGTAGGGTAGGGTAGGGTAGGGTAGGGTAGGGTAGGGTAGGGTAGGGTAGGGTAGGGTAGGGTAAGGCAGGGTAGGGTAGGGTAGGGTAGGGTAGGGTAGGGTAGGGTAGGGTAGGGTAAGGCAGGGTAGGGTAGGGTAGGGTAGGGTAGGGTAGGGTAGGGTAGGGTAGGGTAGGGTAGGGTAGGGTAGGGTAAAGTAGGGCACGGCACGGCACGGTTAGCTAGAATCCAAACTCACCTTTCCGGGTTTCTTGTGTAGACTAAATGTCTGTTGATGAAGCTTAACGCCGTCCGCTTTAGCCGGTTTGTCAGTTGAGGGGTTTACTGGCTGACTGATAGAAACAAACGACACCTCGCCAACAATTGGCACAGTAGTCGTTGTTTCATCAACTACAGTTGTGGTTGTAACTGTGGTTGTTGTCGGTGGATCCGTGGAGGTTATCGGGGCTTGTGTCGTCGTTGGCGAGAACCGTAACTCTGGCTGTTGGGGCTCCGATTGGTTGTCTGAAACTGGTTTTATGTTGTTTTAATGTATTTAAAGCAGGGTATTGTGTGTTAAAAACATGCTAAGCTGAAGATTGTGCTACATACTATAATATAATATCTTGTGCAAAACCTTCTTCCAAAATGAAAGTTTTAAATAGTGGCATTAGTTCACTAAATCCCAAAAATAATATTAAAACGTGCAAATCAGTGCCTCAGAGTACATATATCTCATTTTATTCCACAGTAAATCCGATGGACTTTGACTCACAGATATTGCTTAACGTATATCCTTGCGTCAAAGCCTATCTTAGTAATCTTCTATTTTTAAATGTTACATGAGATTTGGAACAGTTGATTATCAAGCGTTCCTAATCCCGGATTACATAGGTAAAAATAGTGTTTGTGATTGTGTTTGTTGTGATAGTGTTTAAAAGTAAAGCTGTCTTAATGGTTGATAATGTGGGAAGTAAATCTGTCTTTGTTCAGCAGTGCTAAGTAAACTGTGCCGACATAAAGAACCCGCCATTTTTCAGAGTAAATTACAGAGACATTATGGCGGATTCTTTAAGTCGGCAGCTAATAGCTGATAGTGCGAGAAGTAAAGCTATCTTAATGATTGGCGGAGTGAAACGTAAACCTATCTTTGTTTAACAGTGTTAAGTACATCTACTCTCACAGCTGCCAGTGTTTGAAGCAAATCTTCTATGCCTAGCTATTATACTGCCCAAAGCTCACAATCAGGTCGTGTTTGAGCCAGATCTGCCCATGTGTTAATGTTAAAAAGCAATTATGTAATGTTTGTTAACCCCCCAGATAAACTAACACATCATAAACAACAGCTATTTTTGGGTACAATAAGCTTCAGAGTTTTCGAGTTCAATTTGGACTGTTTCAACACTTGTGCTAATGAAAAGTTTGTCAATGGTTCTTCTGTGCGTTCTGTGAACCTTTGCCAGTGCTCCTACTGTGCGTACAACAATCGTTGCAAACTGTGCTGAAGTGCTACACGACAATATTAACGAGCATGTTTGGTGCGTTGAAGAACCTTCGCATCATTTTTCAAGTTATCTGTGGGAATGCTTATCAGTTGACCTGCACTGCATGTTAGTATAAGCAGTCCCTGATGTATCTCTTCATCCAACCTTTCTACCAAGGACAGTGCCCGACCTGCCCAGCTCTGATTGACTTAAAACTTTTTATACAGCAAAAACATGAAAATATAAGATTTTTCAGCAAAGTACGAAATCGCGCTTTCCAGGAATTCTTGAGAAGATCAAGATCGAAAAATTACGTTTTGAATTTCCCGCCAAATTGACATTGTGTTTCAGGTTTATAACTTTGTCGCTTTTTGACTTTTAATAATTTGCCTTTGATATACTAGTAGAAAACCTTTAAATGAACCTATATTTTTAAATTTGTAAGAGTAGTTTGTCTGGAAAGTCGAAAAAAGTGCTTGAAACACAATGCCAAATTTGTCATATTGGCGGGAAACTAAAATATTTAAAATTTAAAACTCAAAAGCGCAAGCTAAAATTTTTTATGGGTACTATTGGTGGTACAAAGAACTCATATAAAAATTTTGTGCGGATTCTGAGTGGAACAGGTTGGGTACCCTCCTTGTAAGCAGTGCTTGTTATACTCCCATTCCTTCAACCTTTCTCATAGTGAACTCCGTGTGCAAACCAAACGTGCCAATCTCTCCCAAAAACACACCTGTAACCGGCTCCACAGTAGTACTTTGTACCGTAACCGTCTTTCTTGCCGTCGACACAACCTTCGGCATCACCGTAACCCGCACACCCTGTGGCACTTCTCGCTCAAAATTTTCGTCAATCTCCGTGGTTAGTTCGGTCGTCTTCAGTGGTTCCAACGCGGTAGCATCGTTGTTAACAAACCGTCCCCGCACTTTTTCCCCAAACGCCCGACCGATTACACCGTTACCCGAACCTTCAGCCGATGTTAACGTGATGTCTTCGATACCTTCGGAACTTGATGCCACATGTTGTTGATGTTGTTGCGGTTCGCGATGTTTAATGAAGGTGGAGGAATGATGTCGGGGATGGTCTGTTGCTTGAATTGAGGAATCTAGCTAAAGTTATAAGTTTTTGTTAGTAAGAGTTTTAGAATAAGTAATGAAAGCTACGGGTAAGTAATAGCAACTTTATATTATTATTAAGGTAAGGTTAAAACTAGAGTAAATGTAAAAGTAACCTTGGCCCAGAACATAAGATAGAGTAGAACTAGGACTATGATTGAGACTAATACAAGGGCTAGAAATTTATAACTAGGATAACGCTAGACTTGTTGCTAGGATAAGGCTAAACCTAGGATAAAAGTAATAGCAACTTTATGCTAGAACTGGAGTTAGGGTAAAGTTAAGAATAAGGTAAAGGTAGGGTTATTACGTTAAACCTAAGGTAACACTAGGTTTATGGTTAAGTTAAGGCTAAAACGAGGCTAAATGTTAGGGCAACATTAGGCGAGAACTCAGACTAGGATAGCAGTAAAACTAGGTTAAGTCTAAGGCTAGAGCAAAATATAAGACTACGGTCAAATCTAGAAATGAGGCTAAGAACGGGACTAAAATAAACCGAGTGTAAAGTTAAAATAGTCTTAAAAAGCCACGATTGGATTAGAATAAGGTTTGGAAAGGACTAGGGCTAGCCAAAAAAAATCAATAGAAGGGAACGTATAGCTTTTCTGTAATTATTTAGGAACAAGATTTTAGTCCGGATTCAGTACAGCGATGATACAATTACTTGTTTTACTGATAAGCCAAGGTCAAAATAGATCAAAAATTCCACTTGAGCTAGCCAAACTCTCAGAAACTAGTAAACGGGCTAAGCCTCAAGGTTTGACCAAGCTTATTTTTCAAATTTAGACACATCCAATGTCTGGATTTTAATTTAGACACCTTGTTCGTTGATCTGGTATATATTATATATATATTTGCCGTGAAAAACAGTATATAAGCTTAATTATATAGTAACCTTGTTGTCTAATTTTTATTTTTTTTACTTTAAACTTTTACTGATACCGTCAACCTTCTTAAAGATAGTTTTTGCAGCTTGAGCTTAAAATTACTAAACCATGACTCAATCATTTTAAGCCTAATTAGTTTCACCTGCTAAACATACAACCGTATGACTAATACCAAGTTTTTTTAGCTGTCTACAAACGTTGTTAAATATAGCCAAAATTAACAATCATATTAGGCAGCGTATACTAAGTCTACCAAAGTAATTAGTCTAACAAAAGTCGGCTTACGTTTTCCCCACTTTTGTCTGCCAGATTATCCAAACTTGAGCTTATGTTAGTAGGGCTTAGACCTAAACTGGCTTGATTGCTCGATACGAACTCTTTGTTCACATTAGTGCAGTTATTACTGTCATTGCACTCTACCACCGGTACGAATGGCCTTAACGGTGCTTCTTCGATTTTCGCACAGTCAATGCAGTCCAAGGCTGAAAAGAGGGTACTGTAACAAGACTTGTTATCATATTGTACTATATAGAAAAAGGGGTACTGTAACTGGAAATATGGAGTTTAAAAATGTAAAATACGTTGGATACATCAAAGGTATTACTAAACAAGATTAATTTTTATCTAAAATCAAAGTATGTCCTTTGTCGCCACATCTACAGTAGTAAGACTACAATTATATAATCTCCTTACCATCGGAAGGACATTCAGCGCAGATAAAAGGCACAACTTGGGCAACTTCAAATGGTGGTTTATTCCTTGATTGAGAGTAAATACCACAGATTTGGATCCCATACTCAAGTCCAGGACGCGCCACCAACTCAGCATGAGTTTGATTACCAGAAATTTTAATCTCCTCGCCTTGGATGATCTTTCTGGCTATGAATGGTCGGGCTCCCTGTAATAGCAAGTATAATATAAAGTTCTATAAGATGCTGCAGTAGAGCTAGAACAAACATAAAGCTTAGGCTCAAGCTCAGGCTTAGGTTTAAGCTTAGGCTCAGGCTTAAACTAAAGTTCAAGTCATGCTCAAGCTCAAACTCAGGCTCAGACTCAGGCTCTAGTGCTAAGACTAAGGCTAAGGTCAAGACCAAAACTAAGGCTCAGACTCAATCTCAGACTCAAGCTCAGGCTCAGGTTCAGGCTCAGGCTCAGGCTCAGGCTTAACCTCAGGCTCAGGCTCAGGCTCAGGCGCAGACTCAGACTCAAACTTAAGCTAAAAATAAGACTAAGGCTGACACTAAGGCTCAAATTCACGCTCAATTCGAGCTCACGCGCAAGCTGAAGCTCAAGCTCAAACTCAAGCTCATTTACATGCTCAAGCTCAGGTTTGGTCTCATACTCTGGCTCAGCCACAGGCTCAGGTTCCATCACAGACTTAGGTTTGACCTCAAACTCAACCTCAAGCTCAAGCCCGCTGAGCTCAACCTCAACCTCAGCCTCGGGCTCAATTTCAAGCTCAGGTTCAAGAAGCTTAGACTCAGGCTAAGTCTATAGTTATATCTGAGCTAAGGACCGTAAAAGTATGACATGACAAGACTTACTCTCTGTTCAGCGGTACCATACTTCAAAATATAGTACGATGGTGTAGCTTCAGGTTTCTGCCAGACAACCATTGCTTTTCCGTCCTTTCCCCAAACGTCAATCAGACTGATACATTGAGGTGTTTGTTCTGAAAATAGATGATTTTGCAAGATGACATGGCAGGCTAAGGCTAGAGCTCTGGGCTAGGGCTCTGGACTAAGACTTTAGACTAGAACTAAAACTAGGCTTACCTTTCTGACAATACCGTAAATTAGGAAATTGTTCACAAGTAATCTCAATGCTTGCTTGTATGTCATGACTGTCGATTCTAACACATCTCGGTAACATTTTTACTTCGACAAAAATACGACATTTGTCACTCAAGACATTAATAGGCAGGTTTAAGTGCATCCTAGCCCCACCTTCAACCAGCTCAACTCGCGGTTGAGTTAGTCGGTCTTCTGGGGTTTGACAGCTTATAGGATAGGCTACTGGCTGTTCATAACCGTATACATCAGCATCATCGTAACCAAGAGGGTTCTGCCAAGTGACAAAGGCGTGAATACTCTGATTGTCTTGAGATTGGCGGGGTGGGTCTAAGTGGATCTGAAAAAATATTTTTTGATATAGATTTTCATGCTTAAAAATAAGCTCTAGGCTTAAAAATAAATTTTGGGCTTAAAAATGAACTCTGGGCTTAAAAAATGAATTTTAGTCTTAAAAAATAAATTTTAGGCTTAAAAATGAAATTCGGGCTTAAAAATTATATGTTAGGCTCAAAAATGAATTTTTAGACTTTACACTGAATTTTAGACTTAAAAAATCAATTTTAGGCTTAAAATCAATTTTAGACTTAAAAAATCAATTTTAGACTTAAAAATTAATTTAAGCTTATTTTTAAAAAATTTTTAAAATAACGCCGAAATTGACTTACAGACTCCGGTGGAACTTCAAACTTGGGCAATACGACTGGAATGGCTCTTGGTCGAAACGTGACAAATTGAAGGCTAGGATCAGTCGACCTCAACACAATCATTGTTCTGAACTGATAGTCACGACAAGCATCTGGGATGTTGAATTGAATACTTGGAGATGAGCTTGCGCCCTGAAAATTTAGTTTTTATACTCTATAGTACTTTTTTTTATATCGTACTATATAGTATCTTCATTTTTGTACTGTTATATATAGTACCTGTTTACTTTATACCGTGCTACATAATAACACGTTTTTGATAGTTTACTATATAGTATTAGGAATAATATAATCTTTAGTGTAAAATACGAGGAAAGTAAATGCACTGGCCTTTAAAAATTGCCAATGACAATATAAATTAAAAAAGTTAAATTTAGGTAACAAAACTCACAGCAAAGCTCCAGTGATCAGCATCGCCACTAATAGTCGAGTACTCAAAAATATAGATGAAAGCTCCATTATAAGGCTCCATTTTGATGTTTATAGTACGAACATCTTTGTATGAGGTCTCTACTTGTGGCACTGTGTTTATTGTGTACTCTAAAATGATTTTTGAAATTAACTTTTGATTTTAAGCTTAAAAATGAAATTTTAAGCATAAAACTGAAATTTTAGGCTTAAAAATAAAATTTTAGGCTTAAACATGAATGCTAGGCTTAAAAACGAAATTTTAAGCATAAAACTGAAATTTTAAGCTTAAAAATAAAATTTTAGGCTAAAACATGAATGCTAGGCTTAAAAATAAAATTTTAGGCTTAAACATGAATGCTAGGCTTAAAAATGAAAATTTAGACATTAAAATAAAATTTTAGGCTTAAACACAAATTTTAGGCTTAAAAATGAAATTTTAAGCTCAAAACTGAAATTTTAGGCGTCAAAATGAAATGTTGGGCTTAAACATGAAATTTAGGCTTAAAATTTAAGCTTAATCTTAAAAAAATGATAATTCAAACTTGAAACTAGATTATAGGCTTAAAAATAAATTTAGACTTAAACAATTAGTTTTAAATTAAAATGAAATTTAGGCTTAAAAACAACTTCTAAAATTAAAAAAATCTAAAATACGTTCGCCCTCTTCTTACTTTTAAGCATGTCCTCAGTAACAGCATCACAAGGTTGTGCTTCCAGCGATAACGGACAATTACAATAAACTGCTTTTGGAGTCCCAGCAGTGACACATTTGATGTAACACTCGACCGAACATTTTGCCCTTTTACTGATTTCAATACTCAAAATTGAGCAGAATGTGAGAGTTATTATGAGAAGTTGGATGTAAAGGCCATGTATTCGCATCTGGAAGTATATTTTTAGGTTTAAACTTTGCATTATAATAAAATAATACACGCAAAATTTAAAAAAAAATTATTAAAAAAATTGCGAGCTTGAAAAAAAAATTGGCTTACCATGAACATTCCGAATAAAAAACTAAAATTTGGAGTTAAAAAATCAATTTTAAGCTTAATAAGCAAAATTTTCATTTAAAAGAAACCCTTAAGTTTAAAAAGTAATATTTAGGCTTAAAAAAGACAGCTTAGGCTTAAAATAGAAAAGTTAAGCTTGAAACGTGAATTATAAACATAAGAAGTAAATTAAGCTTAAAAAACATCTTTAGGTTTTATAATGTATAGCTTAGGCTTAAAAAGAAACATTTCAATTTTAAAAGTAAGGTTTAAGATTAAAAAGTAAAATTCAAGTACGAAAGTAAGGTTTAGGATCAGAAGATAAAATTTACGCGTAAAAGTATAACTCGGGCTTAAAAATTATACTTTATTTTTAAACGTAAGCCTTAGGCTTAAAAAGTAAACTTTACGCTTAAACAACAAACGTTAGGCTTATAAATATACCACAAGCTTAAAAAATAAAGTTTCGACTTAGCAAGTGGCCTTTGGTCTTAGAAATTAAAACTTAGGCTTAAAACTCAACAATAAGCTTAAAAAATAAATTTTAGGCTTAAGAACTAGTCTCAACTCTTTAATCCTGTCATTTTTCTATTATATTTTATTATCCCTTTCCCCTACCCTGGCATACCTTTATCCGCTTTATTCCCTCTGCTTTCCCCTACGTTAAAGCCTTGCTTAAATGCCAGCAAAAGTAGTACAATGTTGAAAATGCATTTTTTAAATTACAGTTTTAAATTCGTCATGTTAAACTCAAAACCAACTTCAAATTGAACATTAAAACCCTTCCTTTCTTGTCTACTAAAACGTTTTAAGTCAACTATTTAGCTGGATTTAAATAACAGCGGGCGACAGTGCGCAACAATCTTTTTTAACGGCTAATTTTTTGTTGGTTCCGCTAGGAATGGACCGGCTAGTTTACCCATCACCTGAATTGTCAAAAGAAAGTCGCCGCGCGGTTTTAGAGATTCGGATCCGCTTAACACAGTTAAAACGTTAAGTCACGTTGTTTCAAACTTGGACTTTTAATTGGGGCTGTAACAAAAATGATTCTGAGTTCTAGCCTCAGACCAGAGCCCCAATTCAAAGACCTAGCCCAGAGCCCTAGCCCAGAGGCCTAACCCAGAGCCGTAGCCCAAAGCTCTGGGCCAGAGGCCTAGTCCAGAGTCGTGGCCTTAGTGTTCTAGTCCACAGCGCTAGCTCAGAGTCCTAGAACAAAGTGCTAGTTTTAGCCTTTCTTCAAAATATCATACTGTACCTTTCCTAATCTCACGGTATCTTCATACTATACTAAAGCTGGCATACCTTTTTTTAACTTTACACTAGTCATACCTCAGCCTCATTTACCTTTTTTTTACTTTAAATTTGCCCTACTTTAATCTAAAGTTGCCCACCTCGTCTCTACTCTTAAATCCAGCTCAAGCTCTACTCTACATCTAGCATTACCATTGACGATTAAAAAATGACATAATTTTTAAAATTTTTGTAAAAAATAAAAAAATCTATCATAAAAGTTTGAGAAATTCAGTAAAGTAACCAGACAGGCGATTTTAAAGTAAAAATAATTTGCATATAACGCGGAAACGCATTAAAACGTACGAGAAACACGTTCGTTTTGACAAGAATGCGCGCGATTTTCACGCTTCATTCCACCACTGAAATCATAACATACAAAAGCAAAAATACATTTGACCACACGGAACAATAACTGATACTTTTTTATAGGTATAAGTTATGCTTTTGATGCAATCAGATAGAAAGACGATGGGATTTGTACCAAAAATAGCATAACAATAACCTATACTACTCTACCACACACCTGACTTGCCTTGCCTTGCCTTGCCCTGCCAATGCCCTGCCAATGCCCTGCCAATGCCCTGCCAATGCCCTGCCAATGCCCTGCCAATGCCCTGCCAATGCCCTGCCAATGCCCTGCCAATGCCGTGCCAATGCCCTGCCAATGCCCTGCCAATTCCCTGCCAATGCCCTGCCAATTCCCTGCCAATGCCCTGCTAATGCCCTGCCAATGCCTTGCCAATGCCCTGCCAATGCCCTGCCAATGCCCTGCCTTTGCCCTGCCTTTGCCCTGCCTTTGCCCTCCCTTTGCCCTCCCTTTGTTTGCCTTTGCCCTGGCTTTGCCCTGTTTTTGCCTTGTCTTACCTTTCCCTATCTTTTTCTGCTTTACCCTGCCCTTATCTGCTCTGCTTTGCTTTGTACTGTTCTGCCTCATCCTCCTGCAAGTATTCTTTGTCAAACCATGTCTATCTTACTTTACCTTGCGTTGCATTATCTAACCCTATTCTACCACTTTAACCCCCCCCCCCCCGCTCTCTCTCTCTGCACACCCTCAAAAACATTTTTTTGTTTTCTCACCTTACCCGAAAAATAATTTCGATACTCCCCCATTGTCAACTTTTCAAATCTTTCCTCCCCCTACCATCCTCACCTTCTCGAATCCCCCCCCCCTCCCTAAACACATATGTATTTCACCTACCCCACCCTTTAATTTTTTTGTCCTTTTATCAAACTTAAATCACCGTTTTTTATTCTTTTGCCTAGCCTTACTGTTATTCACCTCAATACCTTTTAAAAATTACAGTCACACCCTGAAGAAAAAAGTTTCAACGAAGATCATTGGAAGAATTTTCAAAAACTTTGAGACGGCAGATCCAAAAACTTACTTTTTTTGGAACGAAATTATTTTCGCCTCCAGTGTTTTTTAATGTGTCGTCGAGAACGGCGTTATAATTAATAAGTGCGATCTTTCCTTCACAAAAAAGAAGTCTTTGACAAGGGGGTTTTCATCTTCCATTAAGATGAAGATGACCACAATATTGTAATCCAGCACTTGACGTAATAAAAAAAATATAGAATCTGGGGTTTGAAAGACGTCATGGTTTCAGATGAAGACTTATAAATAGAACTGCGGAGCGAGAAGAGAACGTTATGTAACAGTTAAAATCAAAAATAAATTTTAAATTTATAAAAAAATTTTAAAAAAATTGTTGAGAATCAATATACCCTACCCTACCCTATCCTACCCTACCCTATCCTACCCTACTCTACCCTACCCTACCCTACCCTACCCTACCCTACCCTACCCTACTCTACCCTACCCTACCCTACCCTACTCTACCCTACCCTACCCTACCCTACCCTACCCTACACTACCTTACCCTACCCTACCCTACCCTACTCTAAATATCCTACTCTACTATATATCATCCTACCTTACCACTATTATCACGCTACCACAACCTTAACCTTGCCATACTCTGTTGTACAATACCCTAACCTTGTTTTCCTTTGCCATATTCCATCGTATTTCTGTCTTTGCCCTATCCTGCTTCTCCTAGCCATATTTTTACCTACATTTTCCCTACCCTTGGATATGAACGACTCTTGTTCTTCCTTACAGTATTCCTAATTTTGCTCTATCGTCTCATTTTTGCTTTACTCTAACTTAAAACGTTGGCCTTACTCATGTACAATCATTGGCTTATCTTAGCTCAGAGACGTCGTTAGAGGAGTGGGGAGGACAGGTAAATGAGTGTAAAACTCTTTCCCTTCTTCCCTGAAAGCCCAAATCTAAAAAACTCTATTCTACAAGTAGGTTTACATAAAAAAATTAAATTCAAAAAGTTGAAAAAGTGGGTGCACAAGTACATGTAAACCAAAATTTTTTTGGCTTTTATATCTTCCTATAGAAAAAAAAACTGTTGCGACATTCCTGGTTCTATGTATGTATTTGTCTTACCTTGCCTTTATCCTTATCCTTTCGATAGTACCTTTACTCTCAGCTACTACCAAGCTAACCTCCACCCCCTTACAAAAACAATTACAAAATGGTTGGTAACAAAACCGCGTACACATTGTTACTCGTTCACCTTTTCAACTAGTCTTATTTTGAGTTATTTTTTGCGATTGTTAATTTGCATTGATTTTGTTCGAAAATTTCTTTGCGCGCCGAAAGTGGTCAGATCAATTAAACTTTGACTCGGAACAAAAACAATCGCCTCAAGGGGGGAGGGGGTGAAAAGTTGGCGGAATCGGGTCAAGCCTTATAAACGGGTCGACTGTTGCAGGTTAAACTGGTCTGGATTACCATCTAATAACACATATATTTTGACACTTGGCACGGTTATGAAGTCTGCAAAAGTTTTCACAATACTGTTTGATTTCGGTAGATTTATGGATATTGTAGTAGTGCTATGACTATAAAAATGATGTCAAATAAAAAAAACTTTTAAGAAATTGGTTCTAATTTCGTATTTTACTTTAAAGACTCTAAAAATGTTGTTCTGTTTAAAAAAACTGTATCGCTACACTATGCCAAATTGACGCAAAATTCAAAGATCAATTTTCAAAAGTGAAAATTTAAACTTGAAATTTTGAAAAAACATTAAGCATAGCAAAAGTAAATTTTAAACAAAATTTCAGATCAATCTGCTATTTACAGGCCAAGAAATTTGATCTTGAACTTACATTGTTACTTAAAAAAACCCGTTTTTATTTTTTAAATTTTTACGAAGTTTTAATGAAAAAGTCTGAATTTTACTTATTTTATATTAGTTTTTACAAATAAAGCTTATAATAATATTCTACAAATCATACTTATAAATCAGTGTACAAACGAAAGTATAACTTGACTACTAAATCTTCGCGCAGCCTGCGCTTTTTCTTTTTGCGAAAATATTTATTTATTTTACCTCCAAAGAGAAAATTAATCTTATTTGTTGCTAAAGGGCACAAAACTACAAAACATATATAATTAAAGTCTGCTTTAATTAACTTTTACTTTGTTTACGTCTTTGTTTTCAGCACGTTCGTTAGTTTTATAACAAGTAAAACATCAAAAATATCTATTTCTTGCCAAGTATAATATAACTTACCCTTTCGCTTCAAAGAAATGGTTGTTGAGTACATATTACAAGCAGTTGGTGTTTTTGGAATTGTATACGTTGGCTACAGGATTCTCAAATTGTCGTGGAACTTGTTTTATCCATATGTTTTTGGTTGCACAAGGAATTTGAAGAAACTGGCTGGAGCTAATGTGGCTGGTAAGTTAATTTCTTAAATGTCTATTAAAAATTTAGTGATAACTGGAGCTACGGATGGTATTGGCAAGGCTTTTGCCTTTGAGTTGGCTGCAAAAGGTTTTGATTTGGTGTTGGTTTCACGAACTCAAAGTAAATTGGATCAAACTGCGGCTGATATTGGGAGTGCATATGATAATATCAAAGTAGACACGATTGCTTTCGATTTTTCTGAAACTAATGTTGATGTATATCAAGAAAAATTGTTCAACGAGTTAGATAAATACCAAATTGGGGTTTTAGGTAAGGTTTTTGAAGATTTTATATTGTTTTAGATATTAACTTACTTTAAGTCGGAATTTATTTGTTTTTATTTATAACTTTTTTGAAAAGGTTAAAGACTTGAATTTTTGAGGCATTATAGATTATTCTTTGTGTCAACTAACTAAATTCAGTTAATTTTTTAATTTGTTTGTTCTGTAAAGTTATGACGACATAAATTCTTCCTATACCTATACCAAAAATTAATATTATTTTTGCTGTCTAATACCTACGAATTTCAGTGAACAATGTTGGAATGGCGCCAGAATATCCAGACATTTTGTCTGAGTTGCCATACAAAGAGATCTCAAACGTTTTGGAGATAAGCGCGTTACCTACAACAATGTTATGTGCGAATGTGCTAAAACAGATGAATAACAGGCATAAGGGTGTGGTAATCAACGTCTCATCGGCCGCTTCAAAACACACTTTAGCCTATTGGAGTGTGTATTCGGCTTCAAAGATGTACGTTAACTGGTTAAGCGCTATTTTGAGGAAGGAATATAGTGGTAGTGGCATTACTATACAGACCTTGACGCCTATGATGGTGGCAACGAAAATGGCGAAGATGGACAAGACTGGGTTGTTCGTGCCTTCTGTAAGTTGCTATTTTGTTTTTTGTTGAAATTTTAGGTTTGGAAAGAGTAGAAGTGGAGGATTTGGTTAAAAGTACCATGAATAACATCAAATATTGAAGGTCTTTTTTAGTTTTTTTTTTTGGTCTAACTTTTATTAAAGTTGCCCTAAAGACTTGAAACTGTGTCTAAAAGCAGATAATTTACCTTGTTACCTAAACGAAAAAACAAAATTTTGAAATTTTTTAAAATTTTAAAATTATAGTTAAAAAAGAATGGCACAATCAAAAAAATCTTTAAATTCTGCTATTGAAGTCAGAAAATTGAAGCTCAAAAACTTTAAAAAAACTGCCATTTTCAGCCAGCCAAGTACGCTAAAAGTGCTCTAAAGACGGTGGGACTAGCTAACGAAACCTCTGGCTATTTCTTCCATCAATGTCAAGTTGAATTTGGCTTTAAATTGGCACCAGGCTTCGTATTGGACATGCTTTCCGGCTTTGAATCAAGGAAAATAAAGAAGAGATACTTGGACAATCAACGATTATTGGCTCAAAGTCAATCATAATATCAATTTTAGTGGAATAATTTAGATTTTGCGATGTTTTTTGTTGTTTTAGTTAAGGTTTTAGTAAAGAAAAAAATTTGAAAAATTGATTTTTTTTGGGCATTTAAATTGTTTTAATTTTAAAAAGTATTATTCTAATTTAATTTTTTATTTTATTTAGAGGTTAAATGACATTAACATTATTGATAATGTAAAGTGTAAGTCGGCAGCTGCAAAAGAATGGCAGAATAAGGCAAAAGAAATGCTTTTTCTTTTTTTCTTTACAGATTATCATTGCTAGGGAAAGCCTCTTATATGTTTATACTTCCTATAAACATAAAAGTCAATGATAATATATATTTATATTGTTTTCGAAGTGTTAAAACTTGTCAACTATCAGGTTGTCCGAATATGGATGAGCCAAAATTCTTAAAGTTGGGCGCTTTGAATGGCTCATTCATTTCCAGACAACCTGATATCTACTGGTCAATATTAGGTCTTTCAAATGGTTCTGTGCCCCCTAACATCGAAAATTTTCTTTGACAATTTATAGATTTTCCTAAACTTGCGAGTGAGGGCACAGAATTATTTTCACAACTTAACAGCTTTTAGATGGACTTGGTAAGCTTTTTCGGTTATATTGTGATTGCTTGGTTTGTTATAAAGCTGTACAATCATGTTTGGCACATTTTGTATCCATATGTTATTGGAACACCCAAGGATTTGAAGAAACTGGCTGGTGCTAAATGGGCTGGTGGGTTTTGACGTCAACTTTGGAAGGGTAGGGTCGGTCAGGGTATTGTACGGCATGGTAGCACCGGTTAAGCCATAAAAAATATTTTATTTTTTTTTATAAGATGGCATTTTTAGTTATAACCGGCTCGACCGATGGGATTGGCAAGGCTTATGCGTTCGAACTGGCTTCGAAAGGCTTTGATATTGTTTTAGTGTCAAGATCAGAAGAAAAACTGGCAAAAGTGGCTGAAGAACTGAAGAAACAACATCAAGATGTTGAAGTAAAGACACTTACTTTTGATTTTTCCGAAAGCGATCCAAAAGTTTATGAAGAAAAGCTATTGAAACACTTGGATGATATCGAAATTGGTATTTTTGGTATGTTTTTGGGCTTACATTTTGTATTCTTTTTAGTTTTTGGCTTATATTAGGCTTTGAATTAGGCTGTTTGCTTATGTTAAGTATTAAATAAGACCTTAGGCTTAAATTAGGGTTCAATTTAGATCTGAGGCTGACGTTGAGCCATCTATCTAGTTTTAGGCTTATCTCGGGCTTTCAGTTTTATCTTAGGCTTATATTAGGCTTTCAATTAGGTCTTAGGCTTACATTGGGTCTTTAATTTTATTTTTGGTTTAAATTGAACTTTAGTTTGATTTTAAGCTTATATTTGTTTTTAATTGGATTTAGGCTTATAGTGGGCTTAAATTTGATTTGTGATTTAAATTGAACCTTTTATCTGATTTTAAGCTTTTTTTTGGACTTTTAATTTTGTCTTATGCTTATATTGGGCTTTGAATTTGATCTTACGCTTACATGTAGACTTTAACTTGATCTTAGGCTTATATTAGACTTTCCGTTTGATTTTAGGCTTAAATCTGAATTTCTTAATTTTAGTCAACAACGTCGGCCAAGTAATTGACTACCCCGCCCAGCTTCATGAAGTTGCCGGCGGAATTCAAAAACTCTCCGACATATTACACATAAATGCCACCTCTTTGACGATACTATCAGCATACGTCCTAAAACAAATGAATCAGAGGAGAAGTGGCATTATTGTCAACGTATCTTCGTCAGCCGGCCTATCACCCATCACTTATCTGAATGTCTATTCGGCAAGCAAAAAGTATGTTAACTGGTTGAGTGAGATCTTGAGAAGAGAATACTCTGACAGTAGTGTCACGATTCAAACACTGGTACCCTTTATGGTGGATACAAAAATGGCAGCTAATTTCAAATATGATAACATGCCTGAGGCTTTTAAGCCAGATGTAAGTTTCTTTTTTCTTACTCTGGCCTAGAAAAGGATTTAATTTTTATTATTCTAAGCTGGCTTAGTTAATGCTTTCGTTTTATAGATCTTGCTTTGGACTTAACCTCGACTCTAGATCAGCCTTAGCAATCTCTTACACTTGATTTAGCCTTAGCTTTGTCTTAGCCTTGTTTTAAACTTAACCGTGCCGTAGCCTTGCCATTGCCTTAGCCTTACAGTGGCTTTGCCGTAGCTTTGCCTTAGCCTTGCCTTAGCCTTGCCGTAGCTTTGCTTTAGCCTTGCCTTAGCCTTAGCCTTGCCTTAGCCTTGCCTTAGCCTTGCCTTAGCCTTGCCTTAGCCTTGCCTTAGCCTTGCCTTAGCCTTGCCTTAGCCTTGCCTTAGCCTTGCCTTACCGTAGCTTTGCCGTAGCCTTGCCTTAGCCTTGCCTTAAACTTAACCGTGCCGTAGCCTTGCCATTGCCTTAGCCTTACAGTGGCTTTGCCGTAGCTTTGCCTTAGCCTTGCCTTAAACTTAACCGTGCCGTAGCCTTGCCTTAGCCTTGCCTTATTCCTAGCTTTGTCTTGGTCGTGCCTTAGCCCTACATCTAGCCAAGCAATAGAAGTAGACCTAGAAAAGACACCGTATCATACTTTAAGATACTATATCCTAACTTAAGATAATACAAAAAAAAATTAAGTTTAGGTAATATTTATACTAAAATTGATTTCAGGCTGTAAAGTTTGTCAAAAGTGCGGTAAGAACGATCGGTTTGGTAGATGAGACAACTGGTTGTTTATTCCATCAAGTCCAAAAAGAAATTTTAACTGGTTTTATCCCAACTTGGGTGGTTCAAGCTGGCTCAAAAAGATTTGCTAAAGAAGTTCGGGGGAGGATGCTTAAGGAAGAATAGTGTTTCAACATTATATGCAACCCTAATTTACTTTACACTACCCTACCGTGGTTACCTTACTTAATGTTACTTTATTCTACTCTGTCCTAACCTACTGCTCACACTACCTAACCCTACCATACCTTACTTTACCCTACCCTACTCTACCCTACTACCTTACCCTACATACAGTAACCTGTCTTACAGATAGTGCCTTACCTGACCTAACAAAAAAATTTAGGTTTCACTAACCTTCTCCCTTTCCTCCTCCTTCCTTATCCGCTTTTTTTGTCCACCCCCCCCCCCCCTTCTTTGTAACGACGTTTCTGGGTCTGATTGTATGCATATTAGTCTATTTTGCTTACAAATTTTTAAATTTTTTCTAAATGTAGTAATAAACAATTTATGTTAGAATTGGCATATAGACCTTGACCACACAGTGAGATAATACTGTTTCACTTATTTTTATAAGAAGAAAACTGTAAAAAGAGTTTTGTAAATTTGTTTTTCATCAAAAGATCATCTAAAAGCTGCTTATTCGCTTTACTTTCCTTTTTAGAAAGCAAAAGTCATCAAAATCGAATCGCTGTGAACTTTCTTATCAGTCGGAAATAGCAAAATTATAAAAGAAAACCAAAATCTTTTTTAAACGAAACATGGACTTAATAACTGTAGTAGGCTATGTTATAATCGCTTGGTTTGGTATAAAGCTGTACAATCATGTTTGGCACATTTTGTACCCATATGTAATTGGAACGCCTAAGAATTTGAAGAAGCTGGCTGGTGCTAAATGGGCTGGTGTGTTTTGATGTCAAATTTTGTTGGGCAGGGTAATGTAGGATAGGGTCGCTTACGAAATTAAGGTAGGGTATAGTATAGTAGGGTAAGATATAGTGCCACAGGATAGGGCAATTTAAGTTATTGTAGGACACAGCAGGATCAGTTAGTGAATATCAGGACAAGGTCAGGTAGGGCAAGTAAGGTAAGATAGAGTCGGTTAGGGTATTGGCTGGCAAGGTAGGACTGGTTAAGGCATTTTAGGACAGGGCAACATTACTTAAAGCATTTTTAGGTAGGGTAGGGTCGGTTAGGGTATTGTAGGGCAGCGCAGGACCAGTTAGGGCATTGGTGTGTGGGTTAGGGTATGGTAGGTAGGGTAGGGTAGGGTAGGGTAGGGTAGGGTAGGGTAGGGTAGGGTAGGGTAGGGTAGGGTAGGGTAGGGTAGGGTAGGGTAGGGTAGGGTAGGGTAGGGTAGGGTAGGGTAGGGTAGGGTAGGGTAGGGTAGGGTAGGGTAGGGTAGGGTAGGGTAGGGTAGGGTAGGGTAGGGTAGGGTAGGGTAGGGTAGGGTAGGGTAGGGTAGGGTAGGGGAGGGTAGGGTAGGGTAGGGTACGGTACGGTACGATACTGTACTTTACGATGGGGCAAGCAACTAAAAGCTATAGTGAAATGGGCGTGGTAAAGAACTTGTGCCATTAATGACATTTTTAGTTATAACCGGCTCGACCGATGGGATTGGCAAGGCTTATGCGTTCGAACTGGCTTCGAAAGGCTTTGATATTGTTTTAGTGTCAAGGTCAGAAGAGAAACTGGCAAAGGTGGCTGAAGAACTGAAGAAACAACATCAAGATGTTGAAGTAAAGACACTTACTTTTGATTTTTCCGAAAGCGATCCAAAAGTTTATGGAGAAAAGTTATTGAAACACTTGGATGAGATTGAGATTGGCATTTTTGGTATGTTTTTGGGCTTGAATTTTGTTTTATTTAGATTTTTAGGCTTATATTAGGCAAAAAATTAGGCCTTAAGCTTAGATTAGGCTTTAAATGAGGTTCTAGGCATTTATTAGGCTTTACCTTAGCTTTTAGGCTTATATTGCTGCTTAAGTTAGTTTTTAGACTTATACTGGGCAATAACCTTGATTTTAAACGTATATTAGGCTTAATTTAGAACTTAGGTTTAAAATGGACATCAATTCTTATTAATGGGTTTATATTAGGTTTTAGGCTTAACTTTTTGGTTTTGGGCTTATATTAGGCTAAAATTTTAGTTTTAGGCTTAAGTGTAACTAACTCTGCATTTTAGGCTTAAATAAGGCTTAAATTTTTAGTTTTGAGCCAACTTTGAAAATAGGCTTATATTAGGCTTGAGTTTTAACTTTAGGCTTATTTATGGCAAAAAACTTAGTTTTTATATTAAAAATTGTATGTGAGTTTTAGTAAACAACGTCGGTCAAATGTTTGACTACCCAGACAAACTTCACGAAGTCCCTGGTGGAATTCCAAAGCTCTCCAGCATGTTACACATCAATGCCACATCCCTAACCATACTATCAGCCTATGTCCTAAAGCAAATGCATCAAAGAAAGGCTGGAATTTTGGTTAACGTATCTTCATCAGCTTCAGTATGGCCTTTAACGTACTGGAATGTCTATTCAGCTACGAAAAAGTACGTGGTTTGGTTGACTGAGACGTTGAGAAGAGAGTACTGTGACAGTAATATCACTATACAAACGCTGATACCGTTTATGGTCGATACGAACATGGCTGCCAACTTTAGGGATGCTAAAATGCCAAAGGTTTTTAGACCGGATGTAAGTTTTTGCCTTGGCCTTGCCCCAGCCTTGCTTTGGCATTGCCCTGGCCTTGCCTTTGCCTTGTCTTAGCCTAGCTTTAGCCCTAATCTTAGCTTTAGTCTAGCTTTACTCCTAGCTTCATCCCAGTTTAGCCCAGCCTTTTCCTTAGCCCTAAGCATAGTATTAAAGTGAGTCTTAGGTCTTGTCCCAGCCCCAGCTTTAGCTTGAATCTCAGACTTAACTCCAGCACTAATCCCAATATTAGCCCCAGCAGCTTCAATCCTATTCCTAGGTTTTGTCTTTTCTTTAGTCTTATTCATAGTATTAACCTTAAGTCTAGCAATTGTTTTAACTTTAGCTTTAACTTTAATCTTTGCGTTAGTCTAGCCTTAGCCTTGTCCAAGGTTTTTACTGTATTGTAATTTTAAATTTAAAGGACCTGTCTGGGTGTCGAAAAAACCCCGTTTGAACAAAACGCCGTAAAGTGGCGTGCTGTTTCCAATCAATAAATCGCGGCGGGACCAAATGGAAACTCTCACGTAAAATATTATTTTTTCGCAAAATATTATTTGGGTTTTCACGTTAATATTGTTGAAAGTGTTGTAAATCTATGTTTACTACAATTATTGCTTGAAATCTTAAAATTATATCTTAATATTCACTTTTATAATTAGATAGGTGAATATTTCGATGTGTTTTTGAGGTTATTGAGCTAAATTCGAGTAAAATAAGCTCGAAATTGTGTAAGTTATGATAGATAACAACCTCAGGGTTAAATTAAAGATTGATTAAAAGGTGTCTAATATTAATTTAGTTTCAGGTGGCAATTAACTTGTGTCAGTGACGTCTACATTCAGGTACAGCGCCCATATCCTTCAACAAAACACTATTTCAGGCCAATCATACATATTCCTTCGAGATGAACGTAAAAGGTACGTGTTTTGATGTTATTTTGTTAGGATTTTTAGGTATCTTCCCCATAGAAGGTTAAAGGATAGTTTGCTTTAATCTTTATTGATATACCGAGTTTTTTGATAAATTCTGGGTCAACTCGGTTCATTAAAAGTTTTGTTGTTACCTAAAACTTAAAAGGCAACATAACTTATTGAATTCAAAACTATATTGCGTTTAGCATATTAGATTTTAATATAAATAACATAATCTTCCTTCTAATTGTAAATTAATGGTCTGCACAAGTTCTAAACTTATTTTTTAGGCAATCTTACATCAAGCTCAATCAATACCTATATTATTTTTTAAACTACGCATTTTACATTGACAAGAACATGTCTTATACGTATGAATAAAGGTCTTTCAATTATAATGAGTCTTTTGCGGTGTAATGTCAGTTTCTCAAGTCTGTATCTGTCTCGAAAAAAGAATCTATTGTTTTAACTCGTAATAAGATGATCAAGTGCACAGTTTGTGAAGTTCCAATGCCACCTTTTGCAACTTTTCCAATCGATTACGCTGAACGTGAAATGTGGTGCCGAAGGTTCCAATGATAATGGCACAACCAGAAGCAGAAGAAGCGAGGGTGAAATCACGTGGCAGTGAACAACAATTTCCAGGCGAACATACCTAAACACCAGAGTAAAATAATATCAAAAACTTATGTTTTCTTTCGTCTTTTAGAAATATGGATGCGTAACTTGACAGAAGATGGCTGGAACACAAGATATTGCAATCCTGAAACTAAATTAATATTAGACACCTTTTAATCAATCTTTAATTTAACCCTGAGGTTGTTATCTATCATAACTTACACAATTTCGTGCTTATTTTACTCGAATTTAGCTCAATAACCTCAAAAACACATCGAAATATTCACCTATCTAATTATAAAAGTGAATATTAAGATATAATTTTAAGATTTCAAGCAATAATTGTAGTAAACATAGATTTACAACACTTTCAACAATATTAACGTGAAAACCCAAATAATATTTTGCGAAAAAATAATATTTTACGTGAGAGTTTCCATTTGGTCCCGCCGCGATTTATTGATTGGAAACAGCACGCCACTTTACGGCGTTTTGTTCAAACGGGGTTTTTTCGACACCCGGACAGGTCCTTTAAACAAAATTTCTTATGAAAAATCTATTTTAGGCTGTATCATTCGCCAAGAGTGCGGTAAGAACAATTGGGTTGGTGGACGAGACCACCGGTTGTTTGTTCCATCAGATTCAGAAGGAAATCGTTGCTGGTTTTTTGCCAAACTTGTTTCTCGAAGCCGGGTGTAACAAGTTTGCCATGGAAATTCGGGACAAAATGTTGAAAATACAGTAATTCTTTTTAAAAATAAAAATATACTGTAGTTTAATAATTTAAAATTTTTTGGAGTTTTAGTACATATACTGAGCGTTAGTATTATTTTTGGTACTATTTAGTACGGTACTATAAAAAAAAAAGTTTTGTTTTACTATTTTTATCAAGGTTTACCAAGTTTTAGTGCTATATAGCATGGTATTGTATTAAAATTGTATTTTTTGAATAATAGTACTCATGTTGTACTATTTAGCACTAAATTTTATATTTGTGCAGTATGACTTATTACACAGAATCTTTATTATTATAAAGTTACAGTAATCGCTGTATAAAGTTACAGTAACCAACATTCAAATCATTACACAGTACTCACGTTACAGTACTTTCTAAACAGATATTAACATAGATTATCCACCAAAGCACCCAATAGGTATCATTTGTCCAGTCTGTATAGTGGTTTCATCCGAACATACGATGGAGGATCGTATCTTGTGCTTCTCACAATGTTTTGGGAAGATGTGACTTTCCAGTAGCCATCTACCGGTCGGACAGGGGTATTTGGCTAGGACAGAGTTGATTATTTGTCTTATTGACCTTCTTCTTGGTGGTGGGGTAGGGTCAGTTGCGTTGAATTGACAGATTGTGATGGCTTCCGTGATGTAGCGTTGGATTCTGAAAACTTTTGGGTCATGGTGTTGGATTCTGGAGACTTTTGTGTTGTAGCGATAGGTTCTGATGACTTTTGTGACGTGGCATTGGATTCTGATGGCTTTTCGGTTGTAGCGATATGTTCTGAAGGCTTTGGGGGTGTAGCGTTGGATACTGCTGAACTCCATTTTAAGTTAGGGGCTTCTGAAGCTGTCTTTGAATCTAAATCTGATACTTTATTTGATGAATCCGAAGCCAGGTTTAAAGCTGAGAATTCTGAAGCATTTGCTAGGTTCTTGGATTCAGCATCTGCTTCTACATATGGTAACTCTATACTTGAACTTAACTTAAGTGATTCTGAAGCCGAATATAAAGCTGAGGCTTCTGAAGCCGCTTTTGAATTTGGCGAGTCTGAACTTGAACTTAAGTTAGGTAATTCTGAAGCTGTTTTTGGAGCTGAACCTAACTCTTTCTTTGGTGATTGTGTAGTAAATTTAGAAGTTGAAGATTCAGAATCATTTTTGTCTATTAAAGCTTCAATCTGGCTTTACCGTTGAAGATTCTGCTTTATTCCTTGATGATTCAACATTTTTCATTGATGACCTTGGTTCATTGTGTGAAAGACCTAGATTTTCTATTGGCGGTATTGGTATCAGTCCTGAGTTGTCTTCTGGTAGACTGTCTTTAGGTTCACTGTCTTTATTTTGACGGGCTTCAGGTAGATTTGTGTCTTCAGATAGATTCTTCGCATCAGGTTGACTGTTGTTAACAGCTTGACTAGTTTTTGAATCGACTGCCTCTTTTAACGGTGTAGGTGTAGCTTCTAAACCACTTTGTACACCTTGTGCTCCTGAAATTGGCAGTTGATTTTTTGAGTGGTCAATACTTGATTTATGGTCGATTTCTTTACTTGAGTTATTATCAGCATTTGTGTGGTCGTTAGGGTTGTTATCATCATCTGTCGGAGGATTGCTAGACTTTTTATTACCATCTGTGTAATCGGTAGAGTTGTTATCACTACCTTTGTAGCTGTTAGGGATGTTGCTGTTCTCTCTGTAGCTGGTTGAGTAGTTAGCATCATACTTGTAGCTTGCAGAGTCGTTATGATCGTTTGGAGAATCAGTAGAGTTTTTATTACCATCGCTGTAGTTTGTTGGGCTATTACTATTCTCTCGGTAGCCGGTAGTATAGTTATCATCATTACTATAGTTGGTTGAGTTGTTATTACCACCGTTGTAGTTGGTAGGGCTATTACCGTCATCTCTGTAGCCGGTAGGATCGTTATTACCATTTTGAGGACTAAAGGTGTTATTATCATCTCTATAGTTGGTGGGGTTGTTAAGATCATTTGGAGAATCAGTAGAGTTCTTATGATCATTTCTGTAGCCGATAGGATTGCTATATTTATCTCCGTTGCCGGTAGGGTTGCCATGATCATTAGGGGAATCAGTAGAGTTGTTCTGATCGTCTCTGTTGCCGGTAGGGTTGTCATGATCGTTTGGATAATTCATAGAATTGTTATTATTATCATTGTTACTATCCGAATCTCTATTGTTATTAAGCTTGTTATTGATATCTAAAGGGCTATTACTATCACCTTGTAAATTTAGAAGAAGATTGTTACTGTACTCGTCTTCTAACTTTCTTGGTATCTCTCTATGATTATTAAGTTTTTCTCCATTACTATTAGATTTTTCCTCATTAGTAGTAGCTTCTTCTCTATTATTATGTTCACCTAAACCTTGTAAACCAGGCAATTGAGTAGTTTGATCAACTTCATTATTAGGCACCTCTAGAACTTGATCATGAGGTACGGTAGTATCACTCGTTTTTAGGTTTTGTGGCATAGCATTATTATCACTAACTATGTTACGCTCTAAGTCGCTGTTAAGCTGTCCATCTAGAGTCTCATAATTTTTTGGGAAAGCCAGTTGTATTGGAGGGATAGAAGAAGGACTACTGGTACTATTGTCTTGATCATTGTATTGTGGAGTTTCTGGAGCTTCTTCTACATTGCTTGATGGTTCTTTTTGTGGCTTGTCTAGGGCTTCTTCAGGCTCTTTAGCTGGAGTCTCTTCTTGACTATTGACTAGGCCTTTGTCTTTTACTTCAGCTGGAGCTTCATATGTTTCATTAACAGAAGCATCTTCCTGTGGCTTGTCTAGGACTTCTTCAGGCTTTTTAGCTGGTGTTTCTTCTTGACTATTAGCCAGATCTTTGTCTTTTACTTCACTTTGAGCTTCTTCTTCTTGATTACCTTGTATTTCTCCTTGTACAGGTACTACTGGTCCTATATTAACTACATTATAACCATTACCATAGACTTTGCTTGTACTATTGTTCTCATCAGGCGCATTATTTGAAGCATCAGCCACCAGTTGACTTTGTGGATCCTCTTTGTCGAGTGGTGCTGTCGTAGCACTTATTGGTGATTCTGCTACAGTATGTTCTACTTTTCCTACAGTATTATCAGGTAGTGATTCTGAATTACCTTTTGGAGCTTCTGTAGCTTTTGCATTTCCTAAATCATCATCAACATGTTCATAATTTGGATTGATTTGCTTTAAAACCTTGTTTATCTGGCCTTTCGTATCATCCTGATCAGTTAGGGTCATATTCGTGCCTTCTTCAGTACCTTTCTCATTTAGTCTTTCATCATTTGGCTTCTCAATATTATTGTCATTACCCCGCTGATTATCAGTAGCATTATCACTAGCCAGCTGGACCTTATTTTTACCATCCACACCTAAATTTCGGTCGCTGTTATCCATGTTATTAGGATTAAAAGCCTCATTTTGTGTGTCCTGATTCTTATCAGTGATATCTTTGAAACTTCTCAGCACATTTCCATGATATTTTTTCTTATCAGGCTTGTCTTTCAGTCGGTATGAGCAATCATCATTGCCTTCTAACCAATAATGGGAAAGCTTCACTCCTGTACGAAAGGCTATACAATCGACCGGTAAATTTGCGTAGGGGGAACTGAAATATTAGAATTATTATAGAGTAGGGCAGGGTATGGTAGGGGTAAAAATCTTGAAAGGAAAGGCCGATAAAAAACTTTTTGGACGGGTAAAAAAATTTTTTTTTGGGGGGGGAGAATTTTTTTCAGAAAATTTTAAAATTAAATTTAAAATAGCCTTCTCCTTTAAAAACGTACTAAGTTCCATGAACTTTCCGTCCATCCACCCAGTATTCATATCCACCATCAATAACAACAACCAAGTTCAAACCTCTCTCCAAACAATGCCCATCCAAACCCATACATATGACTGTTCCAGGGATATAAAGTATGGTATATATGATGACGTATGTTCAATGGTATGTAGGATCCAGTAAAAATCCCATTGTTATTACATTTCGAGCCGGTTTTTGCCAATAAGGTTATGTCCCATTCATCCAACGGGTCGATCACGGAGAACTTGATTACCATACCAGGCTTTAGAGAGTCGCATACTTTTAGTACTGTCACATTTCCAGCGAAACAGCCAGTTGTCAGTAGGAATAAACATAGTTTTAGGTAATACATAGGTCAAAATGGCTTGCAAAACAATGTAAAATAGTAAATATTAGTCAGTAAATTTAATTTTTAATAATTTTAGACCTAAAAATCAAAGTTTAACATAGGTTACGACTCAAGAACCTCAAATCTTCATCAATTTTCGACCAAAAAGGCCAAATTTCAACGATTTCAAAGTTAAAACTTTAAAATCTCAATACAATTAGACTAAAAATTAATCCTCTGACTATGACAGTGTCAAAAAGAACAATTAGAATCAATTATGACTTTCATAAATCAACGAAAAGCTAATCAAATTATGCAAAATGAATATTATTCATCGTATTCTCATTATAACCAATAATTTTCTTCAAAATTTCGACAAAAGAAACGTTAAACATTGTTTCCTGACCTTTGTACTACAATATTTTATCATATTTTTATTAGAAAATAGTTTTAAAATTTCAAAAAAACCATGAATTCGGCTTTGTGAAGACAGCCGACTGCAATACATCTGGGAAAATAAAGGGCGCACGCTGCACATAATAAATAAAACATTTTTTCGGGAATTAAACGTCTTCATAATGAATGTTTTGCGTTATAAATGGACAAATCAGATCCTGAAACTGATAAAAAACGAAAAAATGAAAGTAATATCAATGTGGTCAATGGAATATGCACATTTGAGACCGTGAAACCAGGCCCAAGCACATCAAACGGTGGTAAAGAGATGGAGGTTAATGTAAGTTGATGTATTTATACTTTGAATTGGGTTTTAAACGATGAAACTTTCAGAAAATCTTTAGAAAACTTTACTTTATGTTTTTTGAAAGTTTGAGGAGTAGCGAGCTTCTAACTTTTGTTTTACAGCAAAAAGTATATCTGATGTTATGGTTACTATTGATATTGGTTAGGTCTCATAAATCTTTGTATTATAATATAAATTTTAGGCGAAAAAAGCAAGAATAGTAATTGATAGTGATGATGACGACATTGAAGTGCTGGATCATGTTATCAAAACGGATAATAACGTTAGAATTGTAAGTTACTTTATTATTGGTGTTGATGTTTAGGAAATTGTTGAGTTTTGATCAATTTGGACAGGCTTGTCTTCAAATAGGCTCGGACAAGTTAGATTAGAGTCTTTGCAAGCTTTTTGTGAGATTTTTACTAAAATCAACGTTAAAAACTTTTTGATTTTAAGGGTTTGATCAACATAACCTAAAACGATATAATTTTAGTCGATGAAGAACTTTGATCCGAAACTGATGAAAGATGTTAGTGATCCTAAATTTAAATTGAAGCCGACTACATTTGTTAATGATAGAATGTTGGAAATAAACGACTTTTCTCAAGGTAAAGAGCAATATAATGTTTCGGTTTGGAATTATGGAGGTACACGGCCATTGGATTTGAACTTTACCTACTTGTACAAGCCTGTAATTGACAAAGAAGCGCATAAAAAGCAGATGGAAAAGTTAATAAAGAAGGGCTGTAAACGGCAGAATGTAAGTTTTGACATTTTTAATAGTTTCTCTTCATTTTTAGGTTATTAACCAGCTAATAGAACCTAAAACAATATAAAAGCCTGTATCCTTCTAGGTTTTTCATCCAAGTGGCTGTAATTGTGAACCAGGCCAGTGTGGAACAGACAAATGCTCCTGCCGAAGACGTTCTATCATGAAGTTAAAAAATGGAAAGGTTCCGGACGTTGAAGCCGTTCGAATCTGCGAACCAGTTCAAGAGGTGCTAGAATGTCGAAAAGGTGTCTGTGGCTGTTCTGCTAGATGTCAAAATGTGTTGACTAAACCTGGAATGCAATTTCGAACTGAAATCCGGAATTTGGAATGGAAAGGATATGGAGTTTTTGCGTTGGAGTACATACCTAAAGGTAGGTTAATATAATTTTTTATTTTTTTGTTAGTTTTTAGGTGATTTTTTTAGGAGTTTGCAGTTGTTTTTGATGACAAATGTTGTAGGATCGTATTTTGGTGAATATTTGGGTGAAGTGGTGTATGATCAAGGAACACGAATCGAAGGAAGCTTCATGTACAAGGTCGAAGGTGTTCGTGGAGTAAGTGGCTTTAAACTTGATTCTGGGCTTAAATATTATTTTTTAAGGTTTAAAAAAGCTAAGATATCATAAAAGCTAATATATGTTATCCGAAAGAATACCTAAATTTAATATTTTAGTCTAAAAGAGCTCTTTTTCTACCTTAATATCTTCTAAAACAATATTTTCAATCAAAATATGCCAAAATTAATGTTTATATTTTAAGAAAGAGTACTTTGAGTACCTAATTGACGCCCGATACTATGGTAATCTGTCAAGCTACATGAACCACGCTTGCAATAACAATATGGCTCCGATGTACTTTGTCCGAGACGAATCATACTCAATATTATTCCCTCAGCTTGGATTCATAGCAATTGAAGACATTTTACCTGGCGAAGAGATCACTCTGAATTATGGTCGAGCTTATTTTGAGTTGTACAACAAGAAATGTTATTGTTATTATTCGAAATGTGAATTTGGAATGTTTCGATCGGCCGAAGAGGTGCAGGAGGCGATTGAAAATGAGAAGAGAACGGCCAAAGAAAGGGAGGCCAAGGCGGAGGAGTACAGGAAGATTGCAGGTAAGGGTTTTGGGTGAGGTATTTAGGGGGCGAGTAGGGTAGGGTAGTTGGTGGGGTAGGTATTGTATATAAAGATAAAGTGAAGTTGAGCGGGGTACTCAATAGATATCTTTCTTACTACTTTTGATACATAAAGGGTGCTATTAGTACTATTTTAGTATTAAAAAGCTACTATCAGTACTATTTTTTTATACTAAAGGTTTACTGATAGTACGATTTTTGGTGCTAAGCAAGTATTTTCAAGCATGTTCAGTACTATAGTAGTATCAAAAGGTACTTTTTGTGCTTTTGGTACTTAGTAGATACCTACGTACTGTTTAGTACAGTTTTTTTGTTATGACACTGTTTTTCTTCCTTTTCAGAACAAAAACGACAAGAACTTTTGACACCAGTCACAATCGACTAGCTTTTAAGTTGATTTCAATTGTTTTTGAAGGCTATGCAAGTCTTTCCTTAATGTTATCATGAGCTTAAAAAGCTGATTCATCTCAGGATCTATAAGATACAGGTATACATTGTCTTTTTCTTTATGATTTTAATATGTTATGATGACTTACGAGGTATTTTTGGTACTAAAGTTGTGTCAAAAGTTCATTTTTAAATGTATTTTTAAAAAATATTTATTATTATTAATGATTTCGTTATTAAAAATAAATTAATATTGATGCTATTGCCACGAAAAGTTATATACAATATACAAAAATGTCGTTCCAACACGAAACAATTCATAATGTACAAGATAATAACAAACACAACTAATGCCCAACAATAACAACATCATGATGGTGTGGTGGACGATCACCATGTCTATGGTCATGTATTCTATGTTTTCGTTTGTCCGCCGGAACCATTCGGTCGTAAAATACGACCCATAATAGTAAAATCGAAAAGAGGGTTACCATGTTAAACATCCAAATGTATACAGGGCCAGTGGCTTCGTATATTGAACAGAAAAGAAAAATTTTTTAAATTTTATTTTTAAGCTTAAAATTCATTTTTAAGCGTAAAATTCACTTTTAAGCCTAAACTTCACTTTATAAGTCTAAAATTTATTTTATAAGCCAAAATTTCATTTTTAAAGCCTAAAATCCATTTTTAAGCTTAAAATTTCATTTTTAAGCCTAAAATTCATTCTTAAGCTTAAAGTTCATTTTAAAAAGACAATGGAAGGTATGAAGTTGTCAACTTACGTCAATATAGTAGGCCCAATAATAGTGAAAACATCTCCACTAATCAAAAACAACCCTTGCATTTTACCCTGCCGAATATTACCCAGAATTTTGGAATAAAGCAAGTCCAAATTCAGCATCATTAATGACATTCCAATGCCAAAACACACCAACTTGGCAGTCATATACACATACACGTTTACTTGTGGTGTTGTTGCACACCATTTGTACTTTAACTCACAGCCCGGCTGGATTACAGTACCATTGTCATCTAGGACTTGGTACGGTATCGTGTTGGGGAGGAATGAATAGGGATATGTGATGAGGTAGTATAAGAGAGATAGGAAGACACTGGATACGATAGCTTGTCGGTCAGTTATGTAGCGCTGGGCTATGTTGAGGAGGTATGATATACTGAAAGGGTGATGGATTAGTAGGGTAGGGTAGGGGTAAGGTAAGGTAAGGTAAGGTAAGTTAGGATAGCGTAGGGTATGGTATGTGACTTTTCTTAAGCCACTTACGAAACAACAGCACAAAGAACGCCAACCAGTGTGTGGAACATTGAATTATATGTGATCAGCTGTTGACTTGTCCATCCAAAGGCTGTCATCATATAGGGTCCACCAATATTCACCATGAACAACATGGTAGACGACTGTGCTATCCTCGTCAAACAACATAGAAACACGGCGAATTTGTCAAAACGACCATGACGTTTTCGACGATTTTGGACTGTTCGATAATGTTCAGCTGGTACTATACCATTTTCTGAAGTTGTACCAGCAGTGCCATTAGTAAAGTATTCTACTTGAGTACTATCTACACTTTGAGTGGTTTGAGTACTACTTAGTACGCCTCGAGTACTATTTAGTGTGTCTTGAGTACCACTTAGTACGTCTTGACTACCCGCAAGTACTGTAACTTCGCTCGTCTCGACCGTTTTCATAGTACCATCCAGCCATCCCACTAATAGTACTATTGATACTATGGTAGTACCAAGTATAATATACATAGGAGCAGTATACACATTGAAGTGTAATCCAAATGCTAAGGCAATACCAGGGTACGGTATTAGTGTACAAGGCAGTACCAAAGCCGGTCCAAGTGCTATACCAGAAGAGGCGGCCAAACTCGATATCGACATGGCTTTGGGTCGGTCCTCCACGGTCGATGACATTGCCATTGTTGTTCGAGACACACTCATTAGACCCATCGAGAAACCGAAACACATTTCCATTATTATGATAGAAACCTTGTGCTGTTCGGGCACTACTTCTATGGCAAAGTAGGAGAAGATCGCTACTATCCACAAGCATTTACCGGCTATTATGCAGGGTCTGGAAAGGGAATGAATGTTAAATACAGTAGGGTAAGGTAGAGCAAGGTTGTTTAAGATAGGATAGTGCAACGTGGAGTAGGGTAGAGAAAAATAGCTTTGTGGTATGGTAGGACGTGGCTATGATAAGGGTATATTAAGGTAAGGCAAGTCTATAAGCTAAGTATAAGATAGGACTGGCGTAGAACGGGTTAAGGTACAGTAAGGCTCTGGTTGGTATGGTTGTTGGCACGGTTAGACAGAGCATAGTTTTGGCAAGACTATCGTAGAGGGTAGAACAGGGCAGGGTAGGGTAAAACAATGTAAAATAGGGTAGGGAAGAATAATATAGGGTAAGGTAACGTAGGCTTATTGTAGAGAGGGCATGCCTATGGTTAGGGTAAAAAGACAGAGCATAGTTACAGTAAGGTCGGACTAACGTAGAGTAGGAAAAGATAAGGATCTATAAAGTAGGGGCGGGGTAGGGTATGGTTGGCTAGGATAAGGTAAGTTAAGATAGTTAAGAGTGAATAGGGCAATGTAATTTAAGACAACGTAGGGTAGAGTAGCGTACGGCAGGCTAAAAGAAATAAAAAAGACGAACTCACTTTGTATCGCCAAGCCGATCACTGATAACACCAGCAATAAATGACATGACAAGGTTTGTACTGCTCGAAACCGAATTTATAAATCCGAGGAATGTGGTGTTCACGGTGGGGTCGATCTGGAAAAAACAATAATATTAGGGAACGATAATGGAGAGTAGGGAATAGGGTACGTTAAAAGGTAGGGTACTGGCTAAAGAACAGGGTAAGGTAGGGTAAAAGTAAAGTCAGTTGGGGTAGGATAGGGTGCAGTAAGGTAAGGTATTAAAAACAAACTTACTAACTTCATGTAAGCCCATAACGTAGCAGAATTGACTGCCGCAATTTTGAATAGGCCAAGAAAGGTAACAATAGTCAAAATGTAGATGGATGTCCAATCTGTCTTCATTATGAAGTGTTTTCAGAAAAAAAAATTTTAAATTATGAAACTAAAAAACCAAAAGTTAAGAAAAACATCTGTTTTTATAGGTACAATTTGAAAAATGTTTTGCAGAAAAAAGCTGGGCAAAAAAAAGATAAAATTCCACGAGTTTATCATATCAAAATGTTTTTGGTTCAAGACAAACAACAACATGATAAACAACTAGATTCTTTTTCTTCTTTTCTACCTTAGTCTTTGATCTATTTCAACTCTAGCTCTGCTCTAGCCCAACCCTACCCTACCTTATTCTACCCTACCCTACTCTACCCTACCCTATCCTACCATATCCTTTTACATTTTACCCTACCTTACTCTTCCTCCTCTGACCTATCTCATTCTTTTCTACCCTGCCCGGCTCATACTGTAGGGTTTACCTTACCTATACTTTTGATCATACCTTAATCCTTACCATACTCCTAGGTTACTGCTTTTATTCTAGCTTAGGTTTACCCTACTCCACCCGCCCCCCCCCCCCCCCCCTCTCTGACTTTACTCTACCAGACCTTACATTTAGATTTATTCTACCTCATACCGTATGAAGTAGGCTTTTGCCCGCATAGCCCATACCGTAGCCCCTACCCTAGCCCCTGCCCTAGTTTCTAAAGCAGCCTATGCCTTTGCCCAAACACTAGCTACTCGCATACCCGTAGTTTACTAAACCTTATGTTTAACACATATGAACCATGTTTACAAAAGGAAGCAATAACGGTATATTACAAAAAAGATGAGCTCAATTTGAAACACAAAGATTATCTTTATTTCGATAGGTCTAACAATAAGTATCACTAATGTAAGCAAGTTTATAGTTAAAAACCAAAAAGCAATTGGGTAACATTAGTGTATACTAAATGTCAAATAAACAACATTTCAAAAGTTTACTTGGTTCAAAATTAAAAAAAGCTTTGAAATAAGAAAAATCTTACAAAATTTATAAATGTTTTATTAAAAATAAAAAAAAATTAAAGTAAAAAACTAAATTACAGAACTATGCCCTAACTCATGAACTTCTATGAAACTATAACCCTAAACAACAGTGATTTAATTGTCCTTGCAATAAAAAACGACCCTTTTAAATAAACCTACAACCAGGAAGTTAAGCCAATATAAAAAAAGTAAAATGTCTGGGAAAGTCATAATCAATGTCATACCAAGACTAGTCATAAATGTTGATTACTTTTTGAAATTAATGTTATACTTGTTAAGGTCGAGCCAAAACAATTCCCAAACTCACACGAACTTTCGCTCTTTTCGGTTTATCAAAAAGTGTAGTTTTGAAAAAGGTAAAAACAAACACAAAAACGATTTGATTTGTGCTGAAAAAGAACGTTTTTTGTAGAAGAGAACACAATAACAAGGCCGTAGTTGAGAGTTTGAAAAGTGTGCAACAAGTTGTTTAGAGCAATGTTTACAAAAGTAGAATCAAAACACACATGTTTTAGGTAAATTAGGCCTGCAACAAGACAACTTATGGCAGAGGTAGGATGATATAAGGGTAGGGTAGGGTGCTGTAGGGTAGGGCAGGGTAGGGCAGGGTAGGGTAGGGTAGGGTAGGGTAGGGTACGGTACGGAATAGCACACTAATGTACGGCAGAGTAGTAAAAAATAACGTTTTGACAGGTGCAGAGCTTCCAATATGACTCACAGCTTACAGTGTAACACCAATGATCATACGGTGACAAAGTAAATGTCAATCCAAAAACAGCGCTTACACAAATAAACAATTTTACAATGACTCGTTTTATATTATTTGAGGTTAAAAGCAAAATTGCTCTGGTTTGTGACATTACTCATCTAATAATTGTTCCGATTTGCAACAAAAATAACAATATTATTCTAGGATGGCAGCGTAGAGTAGAGCAAAGATAGGGGTTTGCCAAGGGAAGAGTAAGCTAGATGGGGGCTATGTTAGGTCAGAGCAAAGGCAGGGGTGGGCCTGGCAGGGCAGGGCAGGACAAGAAAGTAAAGGGCAGGGCAAGGCAAGGCAAAATTTCAAAAACCTACTAATTTTCATGTAATCCATATTTATTTGTAAAGAACTTTAAATACACTCTTGAATAATATAAATACATACAGTTATGTCATGAACATGCCATTGTAAATACACTTCAAATACCCCGTACTATAGTATAAATACAGCACAATAAATGCCAAAATCTACGATTTAGGTTTAAAAACCCACTTTTCAAGCCTTAAAAAGTACGCGGACTAGATTCGACCGGTTTTGCGTCGTCCTGAATCGTTATGTCCATAGGAATTTCGACCGGTAGATTCTTGTTTCTTTCTTCCTTCCGCCGTGTCGCTGAGATCATTCGGTTGTAATACACAATCCATAGGATTAAAATTGAAGCCAGAGTTATGATATTCATTTGCCAAATGTATTTCGGGCCTGTCACTTCGTAAATCGACCTGAAAATAGTCAATTAAAGGCTGTTTTTACCAAAAACTGAAAAAAGGGAGAGAATTTGCAAAACAAGGCTAAAAATGCCAAAGTATATTAAAATAGAAGTAAAAATGACATTTTTAAAAACGACTTTTATTGTAAAATACGATTTGGTTTGCTCTAGGTTGTTATTTTAATATAAAAGCCGAAACAGTCCAAAAAGACAACTAGGTCCCGGCGGGGGTCGAACCCGCAATCTTCTGATTAGAAGTCAGACGCGTTATCCATTACGCCACGGGACCACGGTTGGTTTCTTTTCGAAATTCAAGGCTATTTAGGCTTATAGTGAATCGTATATTGTAGTGGGGCAAAAAGTAGTTCAAAATTTGATTTTTTATTAATTACTTTTGTCAGATTTTGAAAAAAAAATTTGATTTTTTTGAAATTTCAAAGTTTAAAAACCTACGTCAATATAACCGGCCCAATGATGGTCAAAACCTCTCCAGAACACAAGAAAATGCCCTGCATAGTTCCTTGTTTAATATTGCCCAACACTTTTGAGTACAGTACGTCCAAGTTCAGCATGGTTAATGGGAAGCCAGTACCCAACAACAGTACTTTGCCAATACAGTACACCCATTCATTGATAAGTGGAGTCGTGGCACACCAATCGAAGCGTTCCGAACATCCATGTGTGGTTATGGTACCGTTAAGGTCTCGGACTTCGTATGGAATGGTACTGTTGAGGAATGGGTATGGGTAGGTGATGATGTAGAAGAGCAGTTTTAAGGCTATGCCAATGACAATGGCACGGCGATCAGAGAGATATCGTTGAGTGATTTTTGTTATGTAGGAGGTACTGAAAAGAAAAAAATATAATTTTAGAATTGAAAATAAAATGTTAAGTTTAAAAATAAATTTTAGGTTTAAAAAATAAATTTTAGGCTTAAAAATGAATTTTAGGGTTAAAAATGAGTTTTAAGCTTAAAACTGAATTTTAGGTTTAGAAATGAATTTAAGGCTTAAAAATGAGATTTTAGGCTAAAAAATTAAATCTTAGGTTAAAATAAAATTTTAGGTTTAAAAAGTTAATTTAAGGCTTAAACAATGTACTGTAGGCCTAAAAATGCTTTTTAAGCTTAAAAGGTGATTTTTTAAAAATAAATTATAAGTTTAAAAATTTCCAAAACTTACCAAATCAAGATTCCAATAACACCCATTCCAGTATGCATCACAGAGTTATACCTCAGTAACTCCTTACTGCTCCATCCAAATGCAGTCATCATATAGGGCCCGCCAACGTTGATCAAGAACAACATACTGGTCGATTGTGCTATCCTCGTCAAACAGCAGATAAAAACCGCAAATTTGTCGTAGGAAGTTTTCGTTTTGAGACCCAAAAAGCCTTTACCTTTTGTTTTCGGCACGATGATACTATCCTTGTTTCTTATTGGTACTCTCATAGTACCATCAAAGCAACATATCAGTAAAATGACGGAAATTATCGTCGTCAAAAGTACCAGATACATTGGTGCTGTGTATAAGTTGAGGTGGACCCCAAATGGCATGAGGATTCCGGGGTAACTCATAAGAGATACGAATACCATGATAGCTGGACCAACGGCCATACCTATTGTGATGGATAGGGTCATGATGGAGACGGCTTTTGGCCGATCTTTTTCTGTTGATGTCATGGCTACGTGAGTACGTGATACACTCATTAGACCTGGAAGAAATAATGTTATTTTTCAGTAATAACATAGTTACCCTACCCTACCCTACCCTACCCTACCCTACCCTACCCTACCCTACCCTACCCTACCCTACCCTACCCTACCCTACTTTATCTTACTGTACCTTACTTTGCCCTACTTTACCTTACCCTACCTTGTCCTACTTAAATAAATAATAAAAATAGTTTTAAAAAACCTTACCCATGGACAATCCGAAGCACACTTCCATGCTCAAGAACCAAAATTTGGCATGACCTCGCATCAATTCCACCATTAAATACGATAAAACAGCGAAAATCCATAGTGATTTGCCCACTACGATGCAGATTCTGAAAAAACAAATTTTAATTAAAAATTTTTTTTATTAAAAAGTTTTAAAATTAAAATAAAAAAATTAATAATATCGTATTTTACCTACTTTGTATCGGCCAATTTGTTACAGACCACACCAGCGATCAATGACATGAACAAATTGGAAAAGTTGGCGGTCGAGTGCATGGCTCCGAAAAATGACTCGGTTACGTCTGGATCCATCTGAAAATGTACATGTTATCCATAACATTTTGAAGCTGAGGATCTACACTATACCGTGTTGTTAAAAATGGCATAACATTCAAAGTTTTGACTAAGTTATGACTTGTTAAACAAAAACAACTTCAAAAACAAAGGATAATATAAGAGTTCCTTTGAGGTTTTGAGAAAAATATGCAAATTTTTGCCCGAAATTTAAATGTTTTTAATTTGTGCTAGACAGACAAGACACTATTTCGTATTTTAGGATCAAAAACAGTACCAATTTGTACCATTAATTTTATTAAAAAAACCATTTAAAAAAATTTTTATTTTTTACATTTTTTGAAGACTTTCACAATTTTTCATTTTTGAGCTAAAATTAGGTATAAAATAGTAGATTTCAAATGACAGACCACAAGGTATCTTATCTATGACGTATTTTACAAAAAAAAGTTAACTTACCAACTTCATGTAGGCCCATAACCCGGACGACATGGCGGCCATCTTGAAAGAGCCCAAAAAGCTGACAATGGTCAGAATGTAGATGGATCTCCAGTCTGTATTCATTTTGAAGCTGAAACACAATTTTTTAATTTTTTGTAGATCGATTTGTATTTTACACAAACGCGCAAACTAAAATGTTTTTCAAGGTACTATTGGGTACGGTACTAAACTATGATATATAGTACCAAAAGCAGCTTAAAGCAAACTAGGAGTAAGGCTACAAATAAGGCTAAGACTAAAACCAGAACTAAAGCTAGGGCTCTGGGCTAGGACTCTGGGCTAGGGCTCTGGGCTAGGGCTCTGGGCTAGGGCTCTGGGCTAGGGCTCTGGGCTAGGGCTCTGGGCTAGGGCTCTGGGCTAGGGCTCTGGGCTAGGGCTCTGGGCTAGGGCTCTGGGCTAGGGCTCTGGGCTAGGGCTCTGGGCTAGGGCTTTATAAACATGAACAGCTGTTCAAAGTTCATCAAAATACAAACTATGAGCTAAAGAACATAATAACATATAAACCGTGTTTTTGATTGCTGATTCATTAGTCTAAATTACAAATATGTTTATTACTCGAAATTTGATATGTTCCTCAATATATTTCAATGTTTTTTGATTTTGAAGTTTAAAATGTGTTCAAACTATAATTTTTTCAAAAATCCAAAATTTAAAAATGTCAAAAAAAAGCCAAAAATACCACTTCCCTTCCCCATCCTCTTAAAAAACAACCAAAATTACCCCGCCCAAAACAAAAAATGGACTGCCATTTTTAAAAACCTTTCTAAAAATTTATAGTTGAGCCCTATTGATAACAAAGATACGATGCATACGAGTCCGTTTACCTTAAATTACGACAATCACACAACAAAACGTATTGGTATTTCCGGTTGACCGCGTAACACGAAAAAGTAAACAAAACTTTGGAAACGATCAAAAGTTTAACTTTATGCGGAAAGCATTAGTAAAGAAATGCAACAAAAATAGAGTTTAGGTTTCAATACTAGAAGTTGTGATTAACGAGCTTTTATATAACGAGATTTCTGTATAACAAGCAACATATACTCCTCTAGCTCAAAACTACACAGTGCATTTGAAGCTTCTGTATAACGAAACTATTCTGCAGTGGTCTCTCTGTGTTGTGAACCGTTTGTATAAGCAACTTTGGTGTAGTAAACAAGAAATTTAGTACCGCCAAATCAATTTGCACTAAAAAGCCTCTTTGTAAAGACAACACTCCTTATAGTAGACATAAAAAGCCGGTCCCTTGGTGTGGCTTATATAGAGAGAGTACTGTATATCAAAAAAAAAAAATCCCCTAGCAATTAGTTATATAGGAGTTCTAATTGTAAGCTTAAAAATATAATTTTAGGCTGACAACTGAACTTTAGGCTTACAAATGAACATTTAGGCTTATAAAATAAATTTAAAAATAAAAAATCACTTTTAGGCTAAAATATAACATTTTAGACTTAAAAAATGAATTTTAAATTATAAAAAGAACCTTAAACTTAAAACAAAATTTTAGGCTTACAACGAGAATTTTAGGCATAAAAACGACGTTATTAAGTTTAAAAAATAATCTTAGGCGTAAAATGTAAAATTTAAGCTTAAGAAAGAATTATAGGCTTAAAGATTAAATTTTCTGCTAAAAATAATAAAATTTTAGCCTAAAAATAAATTTTATGTGTAAAATGAATATTAGGCTTAAAACGTCATTATAAAACTAAAAAACAAATTTTAAACTTAAGATTTAAAGTTTAGGCTTTTTCATAAATAAAATGCTTTACAAAAAAGTTTAGGCTTAACAATGAAATATAGGCTTACAAAAGTTACGCAGCATAAAACAATTTTAACTTTCAAAGTATATCCATTTGTCAAAGTAGTTCTACAGTAACCTTCTTCAAGCGAACATCTATTATATAATAATACTTTATGCGCACTGTTCACCAAATAACCCCTTCAACCTACACATCTCACGATAACCCACACCCCCCTCACAACATATGATATCGCACAGAAGACAGCCGGCTTAACTCGATACGATGACTCAGGTTGAACATTTTTAGAAGCGATTAACGCTCGCCGAATAGTCATGCAATCGCATCGAGTTTCGACAAACAGTAATGTAAGCGCCTACACGCAGTAAAACAACGTCTTCAGGTTGTGGTAAGCTTAGATTTGGTAAAATACGGCTTACAAAATTAAAAACTTTAAAAAAATTCAATGTTTAAAGAAAGTTCTTGCCATTTTTTTACTTGTAAAGAAAATTCTTGCCATTTTTAGTTTTGTAAAGAAAGTTCTTGCCACTTTTAGTTTTGTAAACAAAGTTCTTGCCATTTTTCATTCTGTAAACAAAGTTCTTGCCATTTTTTGTTTTGTAAATAAAGTTCTTGCCATTTACCATTTTGTAAAGAAAGTTCTTGCCATTTTTTGTTTTGTAAAGGAAGTTCTTGCCATTTTTTGTTTTGTAAATAAAGTTCTTGCCATTTACCATTTTGTAAAGAAAGTTCTTGCCATTTTTTGTTTTGTGAAGGAAGTTCTTGCCATTTTTTGTTTTAAAAATAAAAAAAAATTGTAGCTCCAAGTGTTCAGTGTTCATGATTACGATTCGATTTCTGCTGTCATTTGATCTCAACACTGTTTTTGTCATAAACCAAAAAGAGATTAAGCATGAACGCTTATTGTTTTTTAAAATACCGTTTTTTAAAATACTATACTAAATAAATTAGTAGTAAATTTAACAGAGCAAACTTTCGAAAGTAAGTTAAGTACAATAAATTTTTTAGTTAACCAGAGAATTTTGAAGGATAACATACCGTGCAAAACGATGGCGTTCTGTTCCAAAAAAGGTCAACAAAACTCCTGTATAACAAACTACTTTTGATTCCGCGTCTCCCATTACACAGTGCATTTAAAACTCCTCTATAACAAAACTCTTTCATAAAAAACAAATTTAGAATCCTAGCAGAGTTGGTTAAAAAGGTTTCGTTACACAGAAGTTCCACTGTAATTTAGAACTATTTCCAGCCCCCAAATTATAAAGCAGACAAAACCAATAATAAATAAACACTACACAGACACAACATAGTTATAACTACACTTTTAAGCGAGAAAGGAGATAAAAACAATGTTGAGTTTGCTGAAAAGGCTACCCTACTCATTTGGAGTGAGGTAAATAAACAAGAGGGTTGAGAGTTCAAAAAAACAAGGTTAGAGTAGAAAGTATTTTGCTATCATTTAAACTGCATAGGTAAAAGTACTTCCTTGTTTCAGAGTTGATTTAAAACTCTATAATAATGGTGGTATCTTTAATCATGTAGCCTAATTTTTGAGCATAAATTGTAAGTTTTAAGCCTAAACTTAATTTTTGAAGCCTAAGATTTATTTTGAAGCTTCAAATTATGTTTTTAAGTTTAAACTTAACTTTTAAAGCTTAAACTTTTATTTTTGAACCTAAAGTTAACTTTTAAGCCTAAATTTCATTTAAATTTAAATTATAAGCCTAAAATTCATTTTTAAGCCTAAATTCATTGGTAAGGTTAAAATTTGATTTATAAGCCTAAAATTAATTTTTAAGCATAAAATTCATTTTTAAACTCTAAAACTGAAAGCAAATTCTAAAATTAAGTTAATAAACCTAAAATTCATTCTCAAGCCTAAAATTTAATTTTTAACTTTAAAACCTAAATTTAAAACCTATAAGCCTAAGACTCATTTTCTATGCCTGAAATTAGTCATTCAAACCTAAAACTTGTTTCCCAATCTTAAACCTACAATCACTTTTTACAAAAATTTGTTCAATTTTAAACCCACCAAGATTTGTTACCTAAAAAACAGATTTTTGAACTTTTAAAAACGTTTTCACCCAACAATAACAAGTTCAATATGTTCTCTATTTCAATCCTTAACAAGCAATACAAAGCAGGTAAATATCAACAAATCTTTAGTAAAAACAGGTAAATGGTTAAAAATTGTGTTGCATATCGACTAAACAAACTATAACATATATAGACAATGGAATAACTTTTACAGTCAATATACAAATGGCAGCGGAAATGTTAAAGCATAATTGAGGCTGGTATGTCAAAGAGCTGACGTGGTATTTGAAAAAACGATTATTACAGTAAAGTACGTTTAGAAAAGGTCAAATTTTATGTTTTAAATTTCAAAAACGGCAAGAATTTTTTTTACAAAACTGTAAATGACAAGAACTTTCTTTACATAACAGAAAATAGCAAGAACTTTCTTTACAGGACAGAAAATGGCAAGGACTTTCTTTATAAAACGAAAAGTTGGAAGAACTTTCTTTGCAGAACACAAACTGACAAAACTGTCTTTACAAGACGCAAGATGGCAGGCAATAACTTTCTTTCCAAGGCAGAAAATGAGAAGAACTTCCTTTACAAAGCATAAAATGGCAAGAACTTTCTTTACACAACAAAAAATGAATCAATCCTAAAAACTCCCTCCCCTCTTCTTCCCTCTCCATTCTTTCTAAATACAAAAAAAAATTTCATTCCCTCCCCCCCCTTACAAACGAAAAAAACTCCCCTCTCCCATCCTCAAAAACGAAAAAAAAACTACTTTACTACCTTCTAAAACAAAAAACAAAACTTATTCTTCCCCTTGAAATGATAATACTCACTGAACTTCAATTCACTACACTATTCATCACAGTAACTCACCAACTTTTCTCAAATTAAAAAAAAAACATTTTACCAAAGTAAGCCTTTTCTTAGAAACAATAATAATATCAACCCTGAACCTATGAGAATCTCGAATCATCATCACAATTCGCCGATTCGAAAAAACAATTATTTTAATAAAAAAAGGTTCGCTGAACAGAGTTCACGTCATCTACCGACTCGACTAACCAGAACACTTCACGTCAATCCATTTGGGTCGACGGTTCAAGTCAGCACAAACTCCAAACTCAATCGCTCAAGATGATTTATCTTTGTTAAAACATTGTTGAAATGAGCGTTGAATTAAGGAAAGATGTGTTAAATTAAAAATGGCAGTAATATTCGAAATTGGGTAAACGTTTTTTGATCAATTATATTATACTATGACAGTAGGTATTGACAATGGTTTTTAGTGCTTGGGTAATAGAAAACATTTGAAAAGGTCATAAAATGTGTGGTTCTTGAGTTGTGTCATGATTTGGAAAGAAAGTTTTGGCTTCTTGCCTTGTAAACAAAGTTCTTGCCATCTTTTGTTTTGTAAAGAAAGTTCTTGCCGTTTATGTTTTGTAAAGAAAGTTTTTGCCATTATTTGTTCTGAAAAGAAAGTTCTTGCCATTTCATGCTTTGTAAACAAAGTTCTTGCTATTTTTCGCTTTATAGAGAAAGTTCTTGCCATTTTATGTTTTGTAAAGAAAATTCTCGCTAAATACCTTTTAAGACAAATAAAAATTTTAAAAGTTACTTACCTTATGCTACCAGATGGTTGACGTAGAGTTATTACTGCGTTGTAACGAGAAATTCCAACTGTTTTGGTTTACAGCGGTGAATGCGCAATAATACTTTGAAAGTCTAAAAGAGAAGTTTGTAATGATTGTGATAAGCACAAGATATATTAGATCACTTTTTTAAAACAAGACGGCAAGAACTTTCTTTAAAAAACAAAAAATGGCAAGAACTTTCTTTACAAAGCAAAAAATGACAAGAACTTTCTTTACAGCACATAAATGGCCAGAACCTCCTTTGAAATAGAAAATAGCAAGAACTTCTTTTACAAATCAAAAAATGACAAGAACTTTCTTTACAAAATCGTAAATGGCAAAAACTTTCTTTACAGAACAAAAAATAGCAAGAACTTTCTTTACAAAACAAAAAATGACAAGAACTTTCTTTACAAAGCAAGAAATGGAAAGAACTTTCTTTACAGATTAAGCAGCGACAAAAACTATTTTGATTCTATTCCCATCGTATAACTTGTGATCCGCAGCCTGCAAAGCTGCAAAACCAGGAAAATGACAAAATTCAATAAAAGAAGCTGAATACCTACAACAACATCAAAATATTTATTCAAATATAGATTGTGAAGATCAATCAAAAAGATAACACGCAAAAGATGGTGACACTTTCTTGAGGACCTGAATCAACAGCACCAGAACTATGGAACACGTCACGTAGACCATCCCCAAGTGCATCACTAGCAGCAAAATGCCCTCCTCGAACAGCAGCTGAAACAGAATGGCATTAGCTTCAAAAATTTTTAAATTTTCAAAAAAATTTAAATTTTAAAAAATTTAAAAAATATTTGAAAAGTTGAAAAAAGTATGAAAAATTTATCAAATATTTTAAAAAACCATAAAAAATTATGTTATAGTAGGTATAAGCATTAACAAAACCAAAAGCTTACCTTTCTTGAAGGAGTCATCTAAAACCGACAGCTTTTTAGAGTAAACAGAATGTAAAATGACGAAAGATTAAATAAAAATACATTTTTTAAAAGTTTTTTAAAAATTTTAGTAAAAGAGAGCCCTACATACCCTATAAGGCCTCTACCCTAACCTCGGTTGTCATACTCTAGCCTATCTTACTCTAATCTATCTTACCCTAGCCTCCCTTACACCCTCCTTCTATCCCTACTTGACAATCATAACTTAACTTCCATATAAAGACCTTACCGTACTAAATCATCATTATATATATTCACCAAGCCTCTTATTTTTAATTCAGGTCCAAAGCTAAAACACCCTTCCCTACCCTACCTTGCCATACGAGATAAAGCATATCCAAAACGACTAAAAATATAGAAAAAATAAAATTTGAAGACTAAAAAATAATTTATTTTCAATAAATATTATGTTTCTGCCAACACTGTCTTCAGAAAATTCCAAATTAGAGTTTAGGTTCAACGATCTTGCATGGCATTATCAATGGAGTGGTCCACGGTTCTTCCGTCGGCTGCCCCCTTTAGCTGAAATTTGAAATAGTGGTTAGACATAAAAATAAAGTTCAGGCTTTAAAATAAAGTTTGAGCTTAAAAATTATATTTTAGGCTTGAAAATAAAAGTTTAGGCTTAAAAATGAATTCCAGGCTTAAACATAAAGTTTAGGCTTAAAAATAAAATTTTAAGCTTAAAAATAAATTTTAGGCTTAACAATTGAATTTTAGGCCTAAAACTGAAACCTAGGCTTAGAAATGAAATTTTAGGCTTAAGAACCAAAGTGTAGGCTTAAAAATGACCTTTAGCTTATAAATGATTTTTAGGCTTAAAAATTAAATTTCAGGCTTAAAAATGAATGAAAGACTTAAAATTGAATTTTGGGCTTACAAATGAGACTTTAGCTTAAAAAATAAACCTTGTTCTTAATACTATACTAAAAAAAAATTTTGTCGCTTTTTAAGACACAAAACAACGTCTAAAAACGACAAGACTTTTTTAAACCCTAAAGCTTTTTGAAACTTTAACTATCTTTCCCCACCCCTCCAACCATCTCCCTCTCCACTCAACTTACCAACAATTAAAAATGTTAAACTTCCCTCCCCCCCCCCTCCTCCCCAACTTACCAACAATCTCTTTCTGATAAATCTGTACAACACCACTACGGGATAAACAATGGTTTTGATGGATTCTTCAGTCGCGTCAAAGAACAGACATAAACCCACTGAGATCAACAAAAGTAGTACTTCCGTTGTGATATAAAGCCCCATCATTGAGGTTGCACCTCCATTTTCGTCGACCAAACTCAAAACACGTGAAAACTCGATAATGCCAGCAGAAAAGTGCTCCACAGAAGACAGCGGTTCGCCTAAAGAGGTTGTATCAATGTTCAAACCTAAGTGAAATGGCATTTTTTGTTTTTTAAAGAAAGTTCTTGCCATTTTTGCTCTGTAAAGACAGTTCTTGCAGTTTCTTGTTTTGTAGAGAAAGTTCTTGCCATTTATTGTTTTGTAAAGAAAGTTCTTGCCATTTCTTGTTTTGTAAAGAAAGTTTTTGCCGTAAACCACTACACAACTTACTTCTAGGTATAGTGTCCTCATACGGAGCTTCTTCTCCCTCTTCCTCTTCGTACATAAGCGGTAAGTAAGTGGTTTCAGTTCCGTTAGCATTGTCAAACGTCACGCACTTTCTAAAACATTTAAAAAAATTAAAAAAAGTTTATATTATAGCCTTTTATGCTAAAACGAAAACTTACCCATTACCTGTATAAACGCTTACCGCTCCATTGTATAATGATGCCGTTTTTAATTTAGATGGGTCGTTTCTGAAAAAACATTATTATTTAAAATCTACCGTACCTCACCCTGTCCTGCCCTACTCTACCTTATCTTACCCTACCCTACTCTACCCTACCCTACCCCTACCATGCTATTTTACTGTACCCTACTTTATTCTACATTATCGTAACCAGGGATCGCTTAGTTAACATATTAATAGTCTAGCCTAGCCTTACTCCATCTACATCTTTCCCTATCAGAAAAAGCATGTCCTTCCCTACCGTAACTATATGTACCCTATGTTTGTCATAGTCCTACACTGCCTTACAAGAGTAAGGCTTAAGTAATTTTACCCCGTAACTTATCTTACATTTGCCCTGCCTTAGCCATACGTTGCCTTAATCACAGCCCAACCTAACAGAAACATTACCCTTAATAGTAATATAAACCACACTAGCTATATCAATATTCAACCTATCATATAATATCTTACCTTACCCTATCCTAACCAATACAACCCTACCTTACTTAAAACTGCCCTGCACTACTCTGCCCTACCTTGCCCTAACCTACCTTATCCTAGTTTGTATTACCCTTACCTACCCTCTTCAAAGTACCTTACTACCATAATTTTCTTTACCCTACGCTAACAAACGTTACCCTACATTACCTTACCCTCCTTTTTACACTACCATATTTCTCCTTACCCTACCCTAGCATCCCTTACCTTATCCTACCCTCCTCTGCCCTTCCATACTTACGGATCCGAATAGGCATAATAGAGTCTTGTGTCCTTTTTCTGTACATGAGTAATATAATCATCAATAATGTAGCATTCTTTATCATCAATACACGGCTTAGTATCATCTACAATTGGCAAGGTCAAGTGATCATCACATTTCTCTCGACGACAATTGATCTCCTTACCGTTGATAGGAACAGCAACAGAAAGGTCGATGAAGAGGTTATTGCGATGCATCAACACGTTTTCTAGCCTTTTGTTCATAACTTTGGTAGTGCCATAGCTAAAAATAAAAAAATTGATTTTTTGGCAGCTTGCAGACTGTGCGTGACAAGTTATACGATGAGTATAGCAATATTGCCATTTTTGCATTGTAAATAAAGTTCTTGTCATTTCCGGTTCTGTAACGAAAGTTCTTTCCGCTTTTTATCTTGTAAAGAAAGTTCTTGCCATTTTATGCTCTGTAAAGAAAGTCCTTGCTATTTTTTTGTTCTGTAAAGAAAGTTCTTGCCATTTTATATTTTGTAAAGAAAGTTCTTGCCATTTTTTGTACTGTAAAGAAAATTTTTGCCATTTTTCGTTTTGTAAAGAAAGTTATTGTCATTTCCTTAAAGAAACCACTTACCTATTACAAAACACATAACTGCCGTCAGTAAACCCGCCCATGGTGTATATAACCTCTCCATCAGGAAGAACTGTCCTATAAACCACAAAATTCTTTTCTTCGTAAGTGCTTCCACAGATTTCTTGACCATCCAAGTGTAATATAGCCCAGCCATCGGTAATCTCAACGTAATGTTTCATCGAAGAGTTGGTTGAAACTACAGATTCACATTTTTTACCTTTTGCCATTTCGAAAAAACGATTCAGATCGTCTTGTAGTGTGGTAGCTGAAATCAAGGGTATGTCAATATTAAAAATAAGTTTAGAAGTAGTTTCTAGACTTAAAAAATTTTAGGATTAAAAACAAATTTTAGGCTTAAAAATTGGATTTTGAATTTAAAAATAAATCTTAAGCTTAAAAATAAATCTTAAGCTTAAAAACGAATTTAAGGCTTCATGATAAATTTTAGATACTAAAAAAAGTTTAACTCTAAAAAAATTTTTAGCTTTAAAAAATTGAAAGCATTTCGAAAACTTACCATTTATCTTTTGAAACAGTGAAATTCCAATCAAAACCCATAAAATTATGTTCATTTCGACTGCTCAATCGGTCCAAAAAGGTAAAAAGTAACAAAAGTTTATAATTTTTAGCGTTTTCAAAACGATCCATGTTTTCTTACAATTTGCATAAACTTTAAATAAGTAATGTTTTATATAAATTGTCAAAACTTCTAAACAAATCACATTTTTTGATCGGAAAAATACAACTTTATCATCTTACGTACCGTAATCTCGTATCCTACATTGGTAGTTTAATCCATCGGCTTTAAAAATCGTTCTATCCCGCCATACCACCTGTGTATTTCAAGCTGACGTATTTTAACCTTACCTAAATTATTTAACCCAACCCTATCTTACATCACTCTAGCCTTTGGTGTACTACCGTACCCTACATGGGAGCGGGACTTTTCACTCTACATATACCCATACTTAGCTAAACTGAAATAGCATACCGTTGTCGAATATTCCGATTAAAAGCAACTGAGATAGTCCCACCCTACAATACCTTACCCTATTCTAACCTACCCTACCTTCCAATACCTTTCTCGCTTCCTTCATCAAAACCTCCGCCCAACACTGTTCTTCCTCATCCCTACCCCTACTTTTCCTTAATTGTCACATCTTTTACAAAAATGACATTGTCATCATCAATTACAAATAATATATCATACATTAGATTCAAATGAACAAACAATTAAATAAATAAGTATTAGTTTTCTTCCATCAAAGTGGCATTCAAATCCGATTCTTCCAGTTTGCTGCTGGTGTCATTGGCTGGGGGTTCGTTTTCGGAATTGTCCATGACCGAGAATTCGCCACAATTTTCTTCTGGCTCTTCTTTTACCATCGTATCATGGGTTACAGAAGTCAAGTTTTGTTGATCTGAAAGGTTTTTATATTACTTTAGGTCTAGAAGTATTAAATATGGGAAGAAATTTATTCACAGAACAAGAAATAGCAGAAACTTTCTTTACAGAACAAAAAATGGCAAAAACTTTCATTACAAAACATGAAATTGCAAGAACTTTCTTTACAAACCGTAAAATGACAAGAACTTTCTTTCCAACCCAAAATACAACAAAAACTTTATTTCCACCCACCTTTACTATCCTCCTCCACGTAAGATTCCGCCTCCGTGGCTCTGCTTTCGTTTCTGGAGCCGGCTTCTTCGTCTTCTTCCCGGATCGTGGAGATCCTGCCGTCTTGACTTGGTTCTTCTTGTGGTTTGGCCAGATCTAACGCGTGTAGAGCTTTCTTTTTACATTGGTTGTAGGTTGAGATTATCGACCGGTCGCCTCGGATTGGGTGTTCGCTCTAAAAAGGCTATGTTATCAACGTTTTAAAAGACAATTCAAGCCTAACACTCAATTAAAAAAAATTTTTTTAAGCCTAAAGCTCGCTTTTAAGCCTAAGATTCATTTTTAAACCTAAACTTCATCTCTAAGCCTAAAATTTCATTTTTAAGCCTAACATTTCATTTTCAAGCCTAAAGTTTCACTTTCAAGCCAAAAATTCATTTCTAAACCTAAAATTCCATTTATAAGCCTAACATTCATTTTTAAGCGTAAATTAAGTTTTTAAGCCAAAACTTCATCTCTAAGCCTAAAATTCAATTTATAAACCTAAAAGTAATTTTTAGGCCTAAAACCCTATTTTTAAACCTATAATTCATTTCAGATTCAAAAAAGACCCACCGTATAATCCTTGATCTTCTCAATAACATCCAATAGCTTTTGGATCGTCTCACACTTGTGTGGATGTGATTGAATGTATAATGACAAAACATTATATAAAATTTCGGCAATTTCCGAGTGACAAACGATTGAGGGACTTAATTCGAATTGGGTTTGGATCCAGTCCACTTCGTACAATAATGGGTCAGCGTCCTGTTCGGCCGCTGGTAATAGCTCTGGTTCTGCAGTTCGAGCCCTGCGACCTCGACGAGATTTTTGGGCTAAAATTATGTTGTTTTAAGTAACAAAATTAAAAATTTGTACAGAAATCGAAGTTTGTACTAAAAAACAATTTTTAAGCCTAAACCTTAATTTTTAAGCCTAAAAGTCATTTTAAGGCTTAATCTTAATTTTTAAGCCTAAAAGTCATTTTAAGGCTTAATCTTAATTTTTAAGCCTAAAAGTCATTTTTAACCCTAAATCTTCATTTCTAAGCCTAAAACTAATTTTTAGGTAACAAATTCAAAAAAAAACAAAAATTAAAAAATTTCTTACTGTCCTCCTCCTTAACCTCAGCTTTGATTTTCTTGTCAAAAGCCAGGATTCTGAGTACTGCAATCATGTCTGTGGTGCGACCGAATAGAGCGTCAGGCATATCCTTCGAGTTTCGACCATTCCGTCTCGCTAACATAAAATTGTCACGGGTTTGAACCAATTTGGCTATGAATTGGGACACAAAGTAGTCGTATTCCTAAACATATTACTTTAGAATATAAAAATTCATTACTGAAATTGAAATTCATTAAGCCTAAAATTTATATTTAAGCCTAACTTTTCGTTTATAAGACTAAAGCTTCATTTTCAAGACATTCAATCCTTAGACGTAAACTCCATCTTAACAAAAATTTCCACTATTAAGCTTAATATTTCATTGCTAGGCCTAAAGTTCTTGATATAAGCCTAGAATTTCATTCTTGAGCCTAACAATTCATTAAGTAAAAAATTTCATTCTTAAGCCTAAAACTTCATTTCCAAATCTAAAAGTTCATTCATAAGCCTAACATTTCATTTCTAAGCCTAAATGTTCATCAAAAACCCTCTTTCCCAATCCAAACTCACATTAAGCAAATAAGCGCTAGTCGTTGGATTATCCAACAGGGCTGTCAATGCATCAATAACAGCCAATTCGTTCAAGAAAATGGACGGTCGTGACTGTTTGGCTGGAGTTGGTACGTTTCTCGAAGCGACTTTCTGCGAACTCATTTCAACCTGAGTTAGTCCTTCTAGTAGCAGTTGAGTGAACTTGTTCATGTCATTCATGGCGAAGGCTTGGATTTGGCGTTCGTCGATTTTACCACCTCTGACTTCCCGTTCAACTTGAAGGAAGAACTTGGGGTAGAACTTGACGGCCGTTGGAGATAGACTGGCTAGGGTTAGGGTTGAGTCCATTAGACCTTCGTGGTCCTGAAAAGTCATTTTTAGTTTTGTAAAGAAAGTTCTTGCTATTTTTTGTCTTGTAAAGAAAGTTCCTGCCATTATTTGTTTTGTAAAGAAAGTTCTTGCCATTTTTAAGTTTGTAAAGAAAGTGCTTTCCACCTTACCTCAAAACTTTCAAAAATAGTAGCCACAATTTCCGAGAAGGCTCGTAAAACACTGGCACTGTCAGTTCGCACCCGGGAGTTGTCCGTGGCCATAACATGCGGTTGGATTGTGGCGTACAAAACAATGGCACAGTCGAAAACGTTCTTCACTATTCCAAGCTCTGAAAAATGACAAAATCTTTAAAATTTTTAAGAAATTACAGTATTCAGCTACCTGTGGTGCTGTATATATTACCTTACTCTACCCTGATGTACCCCTACCTTTCCCTATTCTATCCTACATCACCATTTCTAATTAATTCCAAAAAAAATTTTTGAGGAAAGCAGGAATATTTTTGAATATGGCAGTGGTAGAACGGCAAAAAAATGTTAAAACTCACTTTCATAAAAACCCTCCAGATTATCTTGTTCTTCGTATTCTTCTTTCTTCAACAAAAACGGTTGAATAAATCCTACCAGAGCTTCCGTGTACTTCACTAAAATTTTAAAAAAATTACAAAGTTTTAAACCAAACATCACAAATAACCATAACTTTCTTTACAAAACAAAATATGGCAAGAACTTTCTTTACAAAACGAAAAATAGCAAGAACTTTCTTTACAAATCATAAAATGACAAAAACTTTCTTAACAAAACAAAATATGGCAAGAACTTTCTTTACAAAACAAAAAAGGCCAAAACTTTCTTTACAGGTCAAAAAAATGCAAGAACTTTCTTTACAAGACAAACAATGGCAAAAACGTTCTTTACAAAACCGAAAGTGACAAAACTTTTTGTACAAAGCGAAAAATAGCAAAAACTTTCTTTACAAAACAAAACATAGCCAAAACTTTAATTTCCAAAAATTTTTTTGCCACTGAATCTTCAAATCCTTCAAATTTTCATTCCATTAATACCTAAATCAACATAATATTTTATACATATTACACATCTATCTAACCTTCAAGAACTCACATCCATTTTCAATCTTAATCTGCCCACTAGTGAACAACAATCTATGGTAGTCCAAAGCCGCATTCCTTGATATTTTTGTGAATTTTCGAACAAATTTCTGCAAAGGTAGACCATATTCGGTTGGAGAGGCAGTTTTGATCAATTTGAAAATGGCCAGCTCAATCGCTTCATTCTGTTCGAAATCCAATCGATGACACAGCGAATTTAGGTCGATGAAGCGGTCAAACTGAAAAGGATATGGTTGATTCTGGCACAGAAAAGTTCAATGCAACAAATGGCCCAGAAGTACTATTTTTAAGCTTTTCAGGTCCCCATTTTCAATTAAAAACGTCATTTTTTAAAGATTTTACAAAATTTGTTACCTAAAATTAAAAAAAATAATGAAAAACCTTACTGGAGTATTAGCCTTTTCCACAAAGAACAACATGGCTTTGGCACAGTTCAATCGAACCTTCTCTTTGTCATCATCGATGCCATCTTTGCAAATCTTTGGCAATATATCCTCTATGGCCTTGGTTGTCGCTGCTGGGCTCAGAACAAAGAATCGCAGGCTCTAAAAGACATTGAGGATAAGTTGTGTAATTCATGGCAACTAAAGCTTATAATTGAGTTTTTAAGCCTAAAATTTCAGTTTTATGCGTAAAACTTCATTATTAAGCCTAAAGTTCCATTTTTAAGCCTAAAGTTCATCTTTAAGCCAAAAATTCATTTTTAAGCCTAAATTCCATGTCTAAGCCTAAAGTTGAACTTTAGGCCTAAAATTCAATTTTAAGCCTAAAATTTCATTTTTAAGCCTAAATTTCACAAATTAAAGCCAAAATTAAAACTCAAACCTCAAATGCAACTCTCACCTTAAAAACCGCAGCCCTAACATCAGCCTGACTATCATGTGCCAGCTCTATGACAACATCGATGAACTTTGACTTAAACACTTTTGGAAAGTCTTCCCACCAGAAAACAATCTTCTCCACAGCTCCTTCAATCGCTTGAATTCGAATTGGCAAACTTGGATGTCTTAGAGCCTTTAAAAATGCTTCATGATGCTTCTCTTCATAAACTGCTTGTTGAATTTTGTCGGTTGATCTGGGTGGATAACAACATTGTTGAACAAAAGCTGCGCCCCATGCTACGTTGTCGTTTGGAGACTGGAATCAGTTTAAATTTTATTAAAAAAGCTATCAAAAGCATCAAAAATGCTTTTAAATTCACCCAAAAACCATTAAAATAATGCTTAAACCAATAAAGTGAAGCACCATCTATACCTACACCTAAACTTTAAGAAACAATATTTAAAACCTTCAGAACTTACGTCAATTTTGCTCCAAACCCTCATTGATACCGTGAACAAAGCTTCACTCAAATCCGGCTTTGGGTCGTTGACAAAACTCTTGAACATCTAAAAGATCCAATGATAAGCACCGATACATCAATAACCTTTGAAAATACCTAATAATCAAAAAGAATAAACAAAAAACTTACCGCAGCAAACTTCTCCGCAATTTCTCTGTCTCTACAAAGCATAATATAGTCAACAACTTCAGAAATTTGATCCATCAACCACGCTTTTGTAACCTTGTTTTCAGAAACTTGAGAATCTTCGCCTTGAAGAAGAACATCGTCTGGTGCTCGGTCGAATAGAAGAGCTATACATGCTCCAACTCTTGCAAGATGGTCTCTAGAATGTTTTTAGTTATTTTCTCTTTAATGTAAGCCTTAAATCAAACAGTTCTAAGCTATAAATTTCATGTTATCCATGTTGATATGTCAAACTTTCAAAAAATAAAGTTTATGCCAAAACTAACAAGCTAGATAGTGTAAAATTCAACTTAGAAGTCCTAAACACATAATAAAGTAATAAAACTAACTTACTGTGATTTAGCAATATTCACAATTGTCTCTCCAACAATCTCCCAAACATGGTTACGTTCCATTTTGTGCAGTGCCAAAAACACGCATAACTTTTTTCCCTAAAATAAAATATTGTTAAAACTAATATCAAAACAATCAACAGAATCTTTTTCATGTTTAGATACCAAATTCAAGTATATTTCGAGTCTTCTAAACCAAGAAAACCTATATATTAACTTACATCTTCAGCTCGAAGAACATCATCCCTCAGAAACAAGCGTTCCGCTTCCTCCACATCAATATCTTCACGTTCTGTGTAAAAACGACGTACATCTGAGTTTTTATAAGGCATTTAGAATGATATGTATTCAATTTACCATGAAAAAGTAGAAGGTCCACGGAAAAAAGAAGAAAAAACGAAAAATTCGATTTTTATGCTTTTGAAAGGAAATTTTCGCGCCAAATTTTAAAAGACGAATTTAATGGAAATAAAGGATGTTTTCACGAAAAATGTAAAAGTAAGATAATCATAATTGTAAAATACGACTAATCATCTCAGAAATATTTTAAATTATTTAAAAAATTTTTAATTTCAAAGTTTGAAGCTAAATTTGATTAAAACTTTTTTAAAAGTGCAAGTTAAAGCCTGAAAGTTTGTATACCCTATAGTATGAACATTTTAAACACTTAATTTTATCTTAATCAACCGTTTACCCACTAACTTATGTCAATTTTTAACGTGGCTTCCCTGATTTTCTCCAATTTTCCGCTAAAATTTTAAAAGTTTATACAATTTCTGAGCCAGTAAATTTAATTAAAAATGCTTTACTGTGGTAATCGTCAAATTGATTGACAGTTCAACTTTTTTTTTTCAATTTTTATGTAAATGAACAAAGACTCAAGGAAAAACCAATAAAATGGCAATGTTTTGCTGGAAGGCATAGTCTGTTGGTTTGATTGACAGTGCGGCTTCATTTCAGACATTTAACAACTTTTAATTACTTTTTACAATTTTAAGTATTAAGCTTTAGTTTTTATAAAATGTTGAGGTTATGGTACTTGATTTAAGCCTAAAATTTTGTTTTTAGCTTAAAGTTTCATTTTAAGCCTAAAATACATTTTTAAGCCTAAAGTTTCATTTTTTAGTCCAAAGTTCGTCTTTAAGCCCAAAATTCATTGTTAAGTTAAAAATTTCAATTTAAGTTTGAAAATTATCTTTAAGCCTAAATTGATCTGTAAGCCTAAAAAATATTTTAAGAATCTATTTTTTTATTTATGTATCATTTTTTTTTGATAAATGATACATAAATCACAGTAAGAAATTACATAACTCGGTGTACGAATTCCCACGTTAATCGTCGATAATCGATTTGAACTCATTTTGTTATCTTTGAATCTAGCATAAATATTATCCATCTTGTTGCGTCATTCTTGACGACCTGTTGATTATAGTAATCTTGAAATCGTATTTTAACTATTGGCTTCAGTTACAGTTTTTTTTTAAATTTAATTTTCATGGCATTAGGCTTAAAAGTTATGCAAAATGAGAAAAAATGACCAAAATTATAGTCGTTTTGAGCTATTGACCTAAACATCGCAATTTTTGATGATATCTTACCTGTTTATATTTAAATAAACACAAGTATTTTTTACATAGTAAAACAAAAACAAAGCCAAAACAGAGGCTCCGTTACTAACAATTCCACAAGTAAGCCTTCAGAACAGGTCTGTGTTTTATCGCCATCGCCCCGGACTCGAACCCGCGGCCTTTGATTTCAAGTCAAAAGCGCTACCAGGTCGACTATACGCGCATCTTCGCAAGGTCTCTTCTTTTCGTTTGGCTATCGAAAGGGAAGAGAGGCTAGTTGGGAATACGAAATAGGAATGGTTTTTAGTGGAAACGTAGTGTAAAATACGGTTCCTTTAAGGATTTCATAAAATGTTAGGATTTGGCATGGCTGGTCAATTTTAACATTAGTTAAGAAAATCTCGATTTATCATAAGTTATATGGATTTTTAGGCTTACAGTTCGCAAAGTTTGCTTTTAAGCCTAAAATTTATTTTTAAGCCTAAAATTTAGTTTTAAGCTTAAAATTGATTTTTAAGCCTAAACTTTTTCTTTTAAGCCTAAAGCTAATTTTTAAACAAAAAGGAATTCAACTTTAAACCTGCCTAAAATCTCAAATATTTGCCAAGCTTTCCCAAAGTTTAAAGTGCAAATCAAAGCAGATCATTTTACACAAAAAATCGATCATTGCGCAATGAAAATCGTCCTTTATAAAGTCGAGAATCCCGACCAGACGGCCACGAAAGTGTGTTGGCCTTATAAGTGCCGTTGCAATGGCATTTTCTTTGATTTGGCGGTTGGAATTACTGTATTTTGACTTGTAAAACAAAAGAATGGAAGATCAGGTTTGAAATTGAAATTTTAGGCTTAAAAATAAATTTTAGGTTTTAAAGATGAAATTTTAGGCTTAAACATAAAACTTAAGCTTAAAAATAAAATGTAGACTCAAAAATAAATTTTGGGCCTAAAAATAAATTTTAGGCTTAAAAATGAAACTTTAGGCTTAAAAATAAAATGTAGGCTCAAAAATAAATTTTGGCCTTAAAAATAAATTTTAGGCTTAAAAATGAAATTTTAGGCATAAACATAAAACTTAGGCTTAAAAATAAATTTTAGGTTTTAAAGATGAAATTTTAGGCTTAAACATAAAACTTAAGCTTAAAAATAAAATGTAGACTCAAAAATAAATTTTGGGCCTAAAAATAAATTTTAGGCTTAAAAATGAAACTTTAGGCTTAAAAATAAAATGTAGGCTCAAAAATAAATTTTGGCCTTAAAAATAAATTTTAGGCTTAAAAATGAAATTTTAGGCATAAACATAAAACTTAGGCTTAAAAATAAATTTTAGGTTTTAAAGATGAAATTTTAGCCTTAAAAACAAATTCAAATTAAGGCTTATAAATAAAATTTAGGCTTCAAATAATATTTAAACATAAAAATAAATTTTAGGCTTAAAAATTACACGTTAGGCTTAAACTTCAAACTTCAGGCTTGAAAATGATGGTTTAAAAATAAATTTTAAACTTAAAAACAAAATTTAAAAGCTCTCAACTAACAAGATTAAGCTTATTATTATGCCAATTGCTTTCAACTTTGCATGTAATCTAATCTCGGTCGGTTTTTATCCTCAAAGCCGATCTATAATATTCTCTTTTTGAAACTTTATGCAAAACCCGAGATTCGGAATTTTATTAGTCCTAATATTGGGCTTGGCAATTTTTTTTAAACTATAATTTTGAAAAAAAAGTTTTATTATAACATTTTTGTAAAATACGAAATAAAAAATGTGTTTTTTAAACTTACTTGGTCATCAACTTGTTTTAAGCCTAAAATTTATTTTGAAGCTTATGTCGTTTTTCAGCCTATATTTAGTTTTAAGCCTAATTTCTCAGTGATACGCCTAAAATTCTGTTTTAAATATCAGTTTTAAGCCTAAAATTTACTTTTAAGCTTAAGCTACATTTTTAAGCTTAAAATGTTATTTTCAAGCCGAAACTATCATTTTTAAGCCTAAAATCCATTTTTAAGATTAAGCTTTATTTTTAAGCCTAAACTTCATTTTTCAACCTAAAATTTCATTTTTAAGCTTAAACTATCCTTTTTAAGCCTAAAATTTGTTTTTAAGCCTAAAACATTGGTTTTTACTTAAATCCAAAAAATTGTTTGCCCGGTTTGCTAAATATGACACTTTTTATGTCATATACAGTTTTTTTCGAAACTTTTTTCGATATGAAGTGCGCATTTAAATGGGATTTGAAACAGGTGTTGGATGAGTTATGTCGCTGTTATTTTAATGCGTAACAGATTGGAATTTAATGTAGTTCGGATGAATTTTGTAGAATATTTGTTTCCGGTCGAAACTTTTTTTACTGCAGTGGAGTTCTTGTGTAACGAATTGCTTGGAATTTTAAATTTGTTTGTTATAAAGGCTTGGGTACCATAGATGGGTTTTAAATTAGTGTAGTGTAGGGTTAGCAAAAAATTAATTTAAGCTTAAATAAAATTTTAAATTTAAGGTATAAAAACAAATTTTTAGGCTTAAGTCTACAATCTTAGGCTTACAAATAAATGTTTATGAAGTTTAAGTTTAAAGATTATTTTTAAAGATATTATTTGAATACAATTAGTATAGGCTTAAAAAATAAACTTGGGCTTTAAACTGAAGTTTAAATTTAAAAACGAATATATTATCCTCTAATGTATTTGAAACTTTCTTTTTTATAACGAAAGTGTGTTCATTTACAACTTCATAAAACTGATTTTTATTACACTATGAACAAGTCGTATATTATCTCCATTCGAACTCATTCCATTAACGCATCGTAAAACCGTTGTTTTTGCGCGCCAGAAGTGTTCGGACAGTAAAATTAAATGGAGGAAAAAGTTGCTAAAACTACTTTAAATTAATAGTTTAGGCTTGAAAAGGCGCCCACTAACGCCGGCTTGGACACCTTCTAGGCCGGGTCAAAGCAAATTTGAATAGAGTCAGTCTGAGCCTAAACCAAGGCTCAGCACGGCCCTTTTTACAGGAAAACCAAGGCTCGGCACGGTGTTTTTACTGTGGAATTTATGTATAACGATTCAATCGCTCAGAGTTAAAATTTTTTTATTAAAAAGAAGTTTTATTATACAAGAGTTTCACTGTAATATATTTGTTGTGAATTACTGTATATAAAATTTATGTTACGTTTTAATTTTATGTGTTTTATTATACTCTGTGTTGATTGTGTTTTTGTTTACTTTGTGTTTTACAACTGTGTTTGTTATCGTATTTGCATTCTATGTGCATTTCTTTTGCATTCTTCTTTTCGTGTAAATTTTTAGGCTTATAAAACTAACAAAGGAAGTGTCTCATTCCGGAGATATGAATTGAGACTAGGCTGTTAGGCTTGGGATTCAATTCGTTATAGCCTACCATCATATTTAGTGCTAAAAATACAATTAAAATTTAAAGCTTGAAAATGAAAGTTATGCTTCGAAGTTAATTTTAACTATTAAATACTGATTTTAATGTACAACCTTAGGCTAAAAAATAAGCTTAAGCTTAATACTAAAGTTCCGATTTGTTATACAGCTTTCCATTGTATTGCATTTATACATTTAGCTCTGGTATTTTACATTTTCACTAAACTCTTATTGTATCAAAAATAATTTTAGAGCATTGTTATTTACATTTTAAGGTTAAAAATGAATTTTAGGTTTAAGAACGAAACTTTAGGTATAAAAGTAAAATTTAGATTCAAAAATAAAATTTACACTTGAAAGTGAAACTTCGGGCTTAAGAA